AAGATGTAACCAGGTCCTTCCTTACAGTACTAAGGGGCCTGGATCAATCATATGCCTAGATAAGATTAAATAAATTAATAAAGGATAAGTTATTAGATATGTTTAATAAGATCTACTATTTCTATAAATAATAGTGATCCCTTAGTTAAAGAGAATAGAAGAGCATATTTACCACCTTTAAGGGATAATCCTCTGATTAATAGAATTCTGATTTGGCCAATCAGAATTATGGAAATGAACAGCTAAATAAATAGCCTAAGCAAGGCCTAGAAGACTACGCCTGCAGAGAGAAGTATATGTTTAATAAGTGCCTATATTTAATTAAATCATTAAGGCTGAATGGATGGAAGCTAAATGCAGAGATTATAGAATAATTTAAGTAGCTTAAGCAGATGAAACTAAGAGTGTGATATGCTATAGAATAAGTAATTAAGTAAGTAAATTAGAAGCAGGGAATATCTTGCATGGTAATAAGTATTATTTAAAGTAATTCTATAGTATTCTCACTAGGAAGTAATGCATATGAGCTATAAGATAGTTAGATTATTAATTTAGGAGTAGATATTAATATCTATAATAGTTAAACTTAATTCCTTACCTACAAACCAGTGGAAGACAAGTATGCGCGTTTTAGTATAATAAATATGCAAATCCTCAGATACAGGAGGGTCAAACTAAAAGCAATTAGAATAAATAGAATGCTATATATCCTGGAACTAAGCAGAGTAGCCTATATATCTAAGTACTATATAAATTTACTTTTAACCTTTCATATGAAGAAGTATAGATTTTATCTTAATTAATACACTAATACCATAGAAGATCAGCATAGGAAGCTAATTTACTGCATAGAAATAAGATGTAATCTAGAAGTGGTGGAATATAATCTAATATTAAATGTCTTTGCAATGAATTAATATTCAGAATAGCCACATAAATCCACTGAAACTAGTGAATGATGGCATAAACAGCTAGTATATTTAGGAGATGAAGCCATATAGCATCTAGAGGAGGCATCTATTAGTGCAAAAGTATTAAATTATAAGAGATCAATCTGCAAGACATGCAGGCTAGTGAAGGCCTATAAGTAAATATCTCAAACACCCAGAGAGAGATTAACCAAGCCATTTAAAAGTGTTCATTTTAATCTGATTCTAATGACTATTACCTATAATAGTGATTGTTAGGCCATGCATTTCATCTGTAAATTAACTAGATGGCATGTCATCTACACACATCTAGATAAAGATTAGCTTAATGGCCAAATACAGCAGTTTATTAAATGGGTTAAGATGTAATTTAATATCAAGCTAAAGAGGATGTTCTTAGACCATAAACTAATACTTAGAAATAAATATATATGCACTATGAAAGATGAAGGCATTGAGATTATTTATTTAATATGATATATTAATGAGCAGAAGGGCCTAGTCAAATGTACTAGAAGATTAATAATTAAAATAGCCTAAAGCATGAGAATAGCTGTAAGATTACCTAAGAAGCTATGGCTATATATTCTCTATGCTGCTGTCTACCTGCATAATTAATAGCTGTGAAGAGAGGCAGTAGAGGAGAATGGATAGAAGAAATAGATCTAGATCATACTATATGAGAAGCTTTATAGCAAGAAGCCATCTTTAGTAAATCTGCGTGTATATAGATGCAGAATGTATATTAGATAATATAAGATTCTAAGAATAAAGAAGCTGGATCCACAGGCCTAGATAGGCTATCTTGTTGGATACACTGCGTCTAATATATAGAAGATATAGAATCTGCTGACAGGGAAGATAACTAATAAAAGAGATATTATATTTAATGAAGATATTATATTTAATCTAGATAGGCCATTCCACGCAGAAGTAATTAAGATATTAGATATGCTAGTGCCACCAATTAAAATTAATGCAACAAATGAAGATATATAGATTAGGAAGGAAGAATTAAGTAATGATAATAAGTTAGATAAGGTTAAAGCTTAGGGGGTGAATGAAGTAATTAATATAATAAGTAAAGGAACTATACCTAATAAGGCAGGTAGTTAGATGCTAGAATTACTAGAAGTAAACCTCACACCTCTAACCCCTCTTGCTATGCTAGGAAGATCTATCTAACATAATAAACCTATTAAATCTATTAAGTAGAATAATATATTAAGAATGAGCTAATATAGCATTCCTAGAGGCTGGATTAATAGCCTATAGAGAGAATAGCATATTTGCCTTGATTTAATGACTCTGAGATCTCCTATAAGAATTAATAATTCCCTAGAGCCTGAGATGCCTATAAGGCTTACAGATACACTTCCTAAGTCCCCAGTTTGATTAGAAGTAGATACAGGAAGAAATCATATCTTACTAGAAGATTCACCTTTAAGACAGCTATTTGAGGAAGTTAATTAATTAAGTATTGAGCTAAATAGTCTAGATAACATTAATAATTTCCTAATGAAGCTAAAGCATAGTATTAGTACTAATTTTTTAGTGGATAACATTATTAAAGGAAAATAACAGCATCAAGCCTTATAAAATATCTATGCTAGTGCTTGGATAGATAGCTTAAAGTAATTCTACTTAGTATTTACATCATTTAGAATAGGCCTATAAGATAAGGCATCTATAAAGAAATAACTTTATTAAGATGAAATACTGCCTGCACCTGATGGCTGGAAGGAAATGCAAAAGCATCTACTAAAGGAACTCTTTAAAGCAGCTACAGAGTTAGAACATAATATATTATTAGCTTGAGGAACTTTTTAGAAGGTTAAATAGCCTAGAGATAAGCAGATCATTCCACTATAATAGGTTTTATATATAAATTCAATCAAGAAGGCTACTTGATTAAGGCTAAGGCATAAATCTATATATAAGGAGACATGCAGCAGATAACATATAATAATACTATAGCTACTACTCTTGCTGCACAAACATTTTAGATATTAATAGCTATTGCAGTAGTATTTAATCTTAATATATAGTAAATTAACACCATCAACACATTTGTCAATAGTGAACTAGATAAGGAGGTCTATACCTATATAGTAGAAGGATTCTCTAAATATGGTTATATTTACTAGTTGAAATAAGCCCTCTATAGCTTATGAAGGGCACCACACCTCTAGTAGAGAGATATTTCAAAAGCCCTTAACAAGATAGGTTTATAAAGAATTAATACAGACTCATGCCTTTATATAGATGATAAGACTGTTATCTTAGTATTTGTGGATGACATACTATTTCTTTACCATCTCAAAAGTAAGAAGTATGCTGATAATCTGATTTAAAAACTATAAGAATAATATGAATTCCATGATCTAGGTGAGGGAGAGAGCTTCCTAAATATTAAGATTAGCAGAGATTGAATAAAATGGAAGCTATGGCTTAGCTAATAGGTATATATTAATAAGATTATTATAAGATATTATTTAGATTCCACTAATTAGAAGGCGTGAATGCCTGTAATGACAGATTATCTACACCCTTATAATAGAAAGGCTACAGTGCATGAGATATAACACTATTAATCTAAAATTAGATTAATTCTCTATGCCACAGTGATCACTCACTTAGATATTACTAAGATAATATCTGATCTATTAAGATATCTATTAAATCCTAGACTAGCTTATTTTAACACAGCCAATCGCGTCATTGTATATCTCGCTTTAACAAAGGACTATGCTTTGGAATATGGAGGTAATTTATTAGGGAATATCTTTATCATTGCAAGCAATGCTACCTATGCAGACTAATTGGATTGTAGCAGCAGCAAAGGATATCTAGTGAAGCTATTCAGTGCTGCCATGGATTAGCGCGCAGGGAAGTAATAAATAGTTACTACTTCTACTACTAAGGCTGAATTGCTTGCCATTTTAGAGGCTGCAAAGAACATCTATTGGTGGAAGTAATTATTCCTAGATATTAGATTCAATCCAGAGCATGAGATATCCATTCTGTGTGATAATCATTAAATGGTAGGGCTACTGCGCAGCAAAGAGCCTATAATTTGCACAAAGCTATGCTATGTTGATATACACCAGCACTGGCTTTGGCAAGAGGTCCAATCAGGCCGCATATCAGTTAAATGGATTGAAACCAATCGCATGCTGGCAGATGGCCTTATGAAGATACTGCTGAAGAATAAGCATATCAACTTTTATAGGATGGTTGGGCTCATGGACTAATTAGGAAGCAGAGATTGAGCTTTAACTAATCCAATGCCATTGATTCAACATGATTACTTGATTTGGATATGGATATGGCTTCAACAGCTATGGATTTTGTATGTAGCTTCGCCTAACGGCTCAGCTAGGGGGGTGTATTGAATTATGTTACTGCTTGCCTGATTTGGAAGCATATGAATTGGTGAAGCACTGCCACTCTTAGCCAAATATTCGATAGCATTCGATCATTAGAAGACCTGCAATCCGACCCCTATCGAAGGCATATATAGGAGATAGATAGTCATTTGTTTAGAAGAATCGGACCTTCATTGATTTTCGATTGGCCATATAGTTTACTAGTGATTTGGAAAGTTTACGTATTTTAGCGATTTCAACATGAAGCTATCTATGACCCCATGTTGCCCTAGCGCAGCCGTTGATAATCTGACATGCATGAACCAGTCCTCAACACCAATGATATGGGCTTGCTGGCACACGTGCACGGGGCAGCCGCAGGGTCGAACAGCAGGATGCACTGGCAGGGTCTAGGGACTATGTTGTTCCTACATACTCCATACTCCGTGCTCCGTACTATAATAGCGCCATCATTGAACGGGTTAAATGGGAGTGGCGGGCAAATGTGGCTTGTAGCTCATTTCCACCCCCTCTCGATCTGCCCAGTAACCAAGCTTATATTGGCACATTTTAAGCAATAGGATGCATTGCCCTGTGCTAAGTCGCCGTCATGTCCCCGTCCCTTTTTGTTACAACTGGAATCTTGTCGTATTCTTAAAGCATGAGACAGCTGAGACAGCCGAGACAGCCTCAGGTTCCATCCATCCGTCCCAGTATGACATTCCCGGGCATTCGTTACAGTCATGTCTGCTACGACCGTGTCTACTAGTGATATCTCTCTGCAGCCGCTGACGACCCCCTTTATCCCACCGCCCGGCTGTGGAAACCAATACAGCACCATGGATTATCTGCTCTACTCCAAACATTCATATCATCTGTCTGTCTCAAAGGAACTTCCGTCTTGCCAACCATCCGGATGGGGTGTGAGTCAGAGCTCCCGCTTTGAATATAGCCCCGCCGTCTGTCCCGCCGGGTGGACGGCGTATAGCATCGGGGGACGGTGTTGCCGGCAAGCCCTATGACAGTGGCAACACGCAGTGTAACCACCGCCTTTTGCTGCTCCGAGTGAGTGACGCTTGATTCCTTCGTTTCCACAGTCCTCAAACACCAGGCGACTTTGCTTCGATCTCCTCTTAGCCTGTTCTCTTTGGTTTGGTGTCGCTTCCGCTGGCTGGTAGATGCACCCTTCCACTAATTATGGAAATAGGAGGTTCACCCTTTCTACCTTATACGGCCTGGCAAGCCCCGGCACCTCGCTACCGGCGTGTTTCCAAAGTGTGTCCGCCACCACGGCGTTGCTTCCCGGCAAACCATCCCGAGCCCGGTACCGACGGTACGCATGCATGAGGCATGGCACATCACCTGGGCCTCGACCGATGTGCCAACCCTTCATCCCCCACCGCCGGATATTGGTGCTTGTACTACCCTTGCACTGAGCTCCTGGGTTCCGGGCGCCGCGGTGGAAGGCGGACTGCTATGCGAGTCCTCGAGTGGAGAGCCCCCGGGGCCGACCAACACCAACAACAGCGAGAATTATCATGATAGGGGGTCTGACACGGCGACAAGGTGGTTTCTCATTGTTGGACTTCCGATTATTGCGGTTTTCGCAGTCGTCGGGTGCTGTATATGTGCTTGCTGTCGGCAAAAGAAGCGTAGAAAGAAGAGGCTGGAGCCTTCCAATCAGCAAGCTTCTTTGGCTTCTTGAGGATGTCGAGGCTCTCCCTAAAAAGGCTTCGATGCCAGGAATTTTGGTGGCCTGAAAAGAGTTAAAACCACCTCCTGAGATCGGGACGGTGGAGTCACTCCTGATACTTGGTAGGAGACTCTGCAGCCAAGTGATATAATTTGGTTTACTTTTTCTGCTGTCTAAAGGGGAGTATTTTGTCTTCGCTCCCTTGATATCTCTCCAGTGATTGCCGTATTTATCCTCATCGGAAACTCCCGATGATCGGTCTCTGTTTATAAAAAAGCTAAACGATGAGAATATTAGAAAGACAGCCATAAGAAGAGAGACTAAATCATTGACTTCGTACGCACAGAACCAAAGCAAATTTCCGACACCAGGTTAAAATCCAGAGTTTCAAGCATTGTGGTGGGCTCCTTAAGGCCCATCTTGTGTGCTGTTGCTGGGTCCTATCCGCGTAGGCCGCAAATTAATGGCACTTTTCAGGTGAAGTATCCGTGAGGCTGTTGTCGGGGAATGGCGAGACCGGCCCTAATATATGCCAGACCTCCTGGTGCTCTGGCCAATTTGGTGCTACTAAGATCATGTGTATGAGGTCTCAGCTTTGCATTGTCCAGTCAGATTGTGTGAACAGAAGGCGAATTCGCCAGCACGCAGCTTCCAGAATGCTGAGTTCCCAGGATCATGCCTCAAGGCTCACAAGAACACCATGCCACTATCCAGGTTTTCTTATGCTCCCAGGAACCCATCCGAGCCTCTAGAGAAGCATCTTTCATGTCCCAAGAAAAATGCTTGAGGTCCAAGGAGGCCAAAAGAGCCCGCGATCAGTCTGCTTGTCCACCAGAGCCACTAAGGCCAAACCAGTGATTACTATGCTTAATACATTCTTGTTTGCCCGCTGCTTGCTCTGCTCATTGTCTGCATGGTTCACTCATAAGACTTGCCAAATCACATGCAAACATAACTTGTTAGTTATCCACATTCCCTTACTCTCGCAGTTACCATTATTGGGAGCACATTGAACATAACCATCTAGCCAGGTTTAGTTGGTGCCACAACGATTTGGAACATGTATGTTATGAAACCTATCCATAACATAGTATGAGAAGAGAGGGGGAGGTACAGCTGCAATTTCTAATAGGAAAAAAAAAAGAAGGGGGTTTAGTGGTAGCCATATAGGCAGATGAAATAATAGTAGTGACCAGAAGGGTGTAGATTATTTAGGAGACCGGGGGGAAAGAAGAAGTTAAGAGAGAGGATGGTTAGAATAGTAAGACGGATGGTTCTTATATACTGGAGGTCATGATGCAGGTGGTGTTTACAAGACAGTGTATCAGGCAACCATACCCAAAAGGGCAAAACTAACCACAAGAGGGAATTCACAGGTCCTTGCTTTACATCACAAATGGTTAAAGAGAAACATAACAAGTAATTTTAATAAACCAACTATCCACAGCCTGACGCCGTCAGCCACATAGTCCTAGCAGAGACGCATTTCTCTTCCTATACTACATCCACCTCAACCAAGGACAAAGTGACGGAAACGACAAAATGGCGTCCCCCCAACAGACTTCCACCACCTCTACACCACCATGGCCACCTTCGTGACGTCCTGCATGTCCGCCCACGATCCCTCCCACAACCCCGCCCACGTCCACCGCGTCGTCACACTAGCCCGCACAGTCCTCGAGAAAGAACAGCTCGCACACCCGGACATCACCTACGACGCGGACGTCGTCAAACTCGCCGCCTTGCTCCATGATATCGGGGATAGGAAGTATCTGACGCAGGTCGCCGCGGCGACATCCGCAGCGGGGGAGCAGCAGCAGCAGGCGGCGGTTGATCCGGGCAGGATGGTGGAGCAGGCGCTATTGGCGCATGGGGCGGACGCGGCTCTCGCGGCGAGGGTGCAGACCATCGTGACGCATGTGTCGTACTCGAAGGAGGCTAAGGATCCTGCGACGGTGCGGAGATTGATTGACGAGGAGGGGTATGTGGAGTTGGCGGTGGTGCAGGATGCGGACCGGTTGGATGCGCTGGGGCGGTGGGGATTGGGCGGTGTTTTACGTTTCTGGGGCGCAGGGGAAGAAGTATCTTGGTCCTGGGGAACCGTGGGATATGAATAATGCTATAGCTCACTTTCAGGAGAAGCTGGTGCGGTTGGAGGGGATGATGAAGACGCAGACGGGGAGGGAAATGGCTCGCGTGCGGACGCAGCGGTTGATCGAGTTTCGCAAGTGGTGGGAGGAGGAGATGGAGGAGGCAACTCATATTCCTTGAGAAGGACATTGCTTAGGTGACAGTCGCAGCTTACCCCAAGACCTCTCAGCAAGTGCATAATAGATCGAGCAATCATTCCATAGATCTCATTCTGTCTATCAAATCTCAATAGAGAGGTACAGTATTTGGGTATTTAGTATGTAGTTGCAAGAGTATCAAGCACACAGCAAACATCCAGAACCAAAGGGAGCGTCATAGAACCAAAGAAAGGTATCCTGGGGCCAGAAGAAGCAACCAAAAAACAAGACCAACCGTGTAATAGACTCCAATGACATCGAAACTACCAGATTATCTCGTGCTGCTCTGCATGTATGGATTTCTATCAACAAATAGGCATGAGCACCACATCGAGACCAAACGCCAAAATCAGATCAAAGTCTAGAAATATGTCAAGGTGCTCGGATGCGCAAGGCACATAAGGCACAGGTACTCCAAATAGCATGGAACGGTTTGATGTTGAATTTCAAACCCGATCCCGAGCAAAATCAAGCACCTCACAGTCGTCTTCGAAGAAGCCGTCGTCGACACCAGCGCCAGGAGCAGCGGGGACTGCCATGGAATGTCTCTTCTTCCTCCGAGTGGTGATAACAACTTCTTCAACGTTGCCGGTGCTGTTGCCCAGACTGATGAGATTCTCCATTTCTCCCCCGAAGCCGTGGTGTTGTTCGTGCGTGATATCGTCCTCGTCCCCGGTGCCGCCACCGGCGCTGAATGGCCGCACGTGAAGTTTGGTCAGCGAGATGCTGTCGCCAAAGATCCACTGGCCGCCCGGGCCACAAGCCAACGGATCACATACTTCATTTTCATTCGAGAAAACGAAGAGATTGACTCTGTGGTCGGTGTGGAAGGGCTGGTAAGGTGCGTTCGTCTCGATCTCAGCCTGGGACAGGGGCTGGCACCTAATCTTTGAGGCAGTGTGGGGCCGTGAGTTTGAAGACGGCAGGCTTAAGATGGCAGAGACAGTGTGTTCATGAGCGAATGACCCAATCAGCAGTGGACCGCATTGAGTCTGAAGGTTCGCAGGCAACTTGTACTCGATTTCCTTGTTTCCGATAACCGACTGCAGCTGGCGATACTTCTGAGCAGAAATGGACCGTTTGACCCGGTACAGCCGGAAGAATCCATTGTCTACCACGCCCAGGAAAGGCTGTCCTTTGTTCGAGATCCAAACCACACGAGACGCGGCTGGGTCACGGGCGAGACCGGAGAGGTGCAGTCGATTTTCACCAGCGTGCCGGAGAGTATTGACTGTTCCAGTGGCTGCACCCATCGATTTGCTAAGACCAGCAGCAACCGCTCTCCCACTTCGGACTCCAGCTGCGGAGGGAATTGCGAATGCACTGACTGCAGGAAATGCAGAGCCAGCGGATGGAGTGCGGCCTCTGACGGCAGCCAGGATAGGCTGTGTTTTTCCACCAACGAGTTTGAACGCGGCGGATAGCGGATTCGTCACAGCCGCTCTGTCAGTCGCTTCGTCCGTGGGGGAATTGCTGGCTTGCGATTTGTGGGGTTGGGGACGAGCTCGACGGAACGGGGGCCACTGGAAAGCACTGCGGGGGAGGTCAAAAACGTGCACTGTACCCTTGCGGGTAATCACTGCCAGACGATCTCCGGATGGAGGGGACCAGATCACATCGACAATGGAAGATGTGGTGAGGCGTGCGAACCGCGCAAGTTGTCGCACATTGGCTGATGGTGATGCGGAGTCCTCGGAAAGGAAGACCCCTGCCCGGCAATGCCTGGCTTGCATCAAGTCCCAAACGTACTGTACATCCCCCTTCTTGCTCGCCGTGAGCAACATCAAGCCATTAGGGGAGAATGACAAGAAGCTGCATCCATTAGGGACCTGGAAGGTAGCGATGGGGTTGAGCGTAGCATTCCTTGTCTCGCCGCCATCATCGAATCGTCTCAAATCCAGTATCGAGACAAAATCAGGTTCTGCAGGCGACGCTCTCTGAGTTTCCTGGGCATGTGTCGGAGGGAAGAGACCGTATCCTTGTTGTGGTAAGTCCATAAAATTTGGAGATCGCCGCGAGGACGTGTTCTGAGACTGGTCTTTGTTCCAGTAATTGTTCCAAGCTTGAAGTCCCTGGTCGCCCATCCAGCGGGCACCACGTACCAACTCTTGTGTGACACCCCTTGCCACTTTGTCAAAGAGACTCTCGCCCTCGCCAACGTCCGTTGCGCAGGTGACTGGTGGCTTGGCTGGAGGACTACGCGTCTCGAGCCCAAAAGCTTTGCCCTGAATAAGTGAGGCAGGCACCGTTCCACGAATAGAAGCTCTATACGTTGAAGATGGTGGCACTATTGCTAGCCATCGTCCTCTAAGCGCCAGCACAGGGAAATCTGAAACAGCTGAACCATGTGGGGAGTCGTTGCGAGATGCATCCGGATCAGTTGAATTGGATGATGTTGAGTATCGCCGAGCCTCTCGTGTCTGTACACTTGTCCAGGTTTTACCCAAGCAGTGATATGCACATGGCTGTGAGAAAGGGTTTATGCCGTATACATACACCTCGCCACTGACGCCGGACGCCAACACAATATGGTTCCCGTTGACGAGTAGCTTAAGATTCCCAATAGGAGATGGGGCCAGAGCAGGCAATCCGGGAATGTTCTCAAAACACGGAGTAGGTTGCGTGGTGAAGAGTGTTGTGATCTGCTCTCCGCTCCTGAGAGAATAAATCTCGGCTCTGGTTTGGTACAGTTTCGGCTCATCCTTGCTAACGCGCTTTTCACCCGGCGGAAGCCTTCCAGTCTGACTAGGCGGTATCTCATTTGTTTCCGAACCAGCAGAAGATGTCCTGCCTTCGTCTTCACTTGAGGCACAGGGTCCGTGTATTATGACGGCGACATGCGGTCTAGATGAAATGAACGGATCGTTCGATGAGGTAGAGGCTAGGATCTTCGCCTCTACCACCCGGCCCCTGAGCCCACTGAGCTTTCCCACTAAACGCGTTTTGCGGTCTTCGATTGCGAGAACGTCCAAGGCCCCATCAGTACCAACAAGCACTACGGTGCCACCCATTTTGGAGGACTTAAATGCTGGACCGGACAAAGTGTCAAAGCCACAAAAGGAGTAACCTTCTTCTCCAGCTGCACGGTTTGAACCAGTAAATGGAGAGAGATCAATATCTGGAGCACCGTAGAAGTGAGGTTGCGGCAGATGAGGCAAGGGAATATGACCATCGTACGGGCCACTCAGAGAATTGCTCTTCTGCCTATCTACGGATTGCTGCCTGGACAAATTGCTGCTCAGGTATCCATTACCGTAGCTCAAGGGTCTCCTTCGAGGAGGAGGAGAGGTTGACGAGGGTTGACTGAAACCACCTTTATCTAGGTGCGTAGGGAAGCTGAGGGGAGACCCGCCTGTGAGCTCCCCATTGATGCCATCATTTGGAGGACTTTTTCCATATGGAATTGATTTTGCCCATGTTCCCGTACGGATGGCAAGATCATTCTCCGTCGTTTCCGTAAGAGACCCAAACGCGTCTGGAACGGCCGAGGCAGCCGGATTACTAGGGGGAGCTAACGGAGTATCTGAATAAGACGCCGGCTCAGCTAGCATAGGCGGGGAAGTGTCAATCCTGTGGCATCAAGGACGGACTTTGTCAGTTCATGGACACTTATAGCCTGAAGAGGAGTGATTTCCATGCATACAGGTCATCAGGCGGAGACTTGGCTACCGCTTTGGCCCCTTTACCTCCTTTGCCGTTTTTACCCTTTTTCTTCGTTTTTCCAATATTGTCATTGTTTTCGGGACTTGGCCGAGTGAAGTCTGAAGGAAGGGGGATGAGATCGCCTGAAGCCCGGCCCTGCTGGCGAAATAAGTCGTCCGAGGCTGCCGGGGGCATTCAACTGGAAGGAGTGCCTCAAGGAGGCAACAAGAATCTCACTAAGGAGACCGCCCTCAAGACCTCCGATAAGGTCTGAGAACGGGGTTCAAACGCTAATGTTGACTGGTAAAGAGGATCGATGAGCTGGGAACCTATCTAGAGACTGCGTGGAACCTTGTGTACAGAACACTTGTCAGCGTGAGTCATCGCAAGAAGCAGTTGCGTGCTCTCATTGAAACATACTATTGTTTGTTGATTGAAGTGACAAAGATCTCAGAGGAAGGACGGAATAAGTTATTGCACTCTCTCTGTTCGAGTGCGGAGCTGTCGCGCGAGCCAGCGTACCTGGGGATTTGTACCCTTGGATACGCTCTGTAGATGCGGGATTCAGTATGACTCGGATGCCAGAGTTTCTTCTGTCATCCAAGCCTCCAACTCAGTAGTTATCTCCAGTATCTCTGAACTACAGTCTCGTATGACTGTTCCAAAACTCAGGACTCAAGAAAGATCTCAGATAGTCGTTTGAAGAGAGATATAGAGCAGGTAAACGGTTCAAGAGAGGGGGAGGGGAATTCATGCAGGTCAGGAGCATAGGTAGATGACATCTCTCCATGGTAGGCTGACTGCTCATACGTAATTTAAACCAAAGTTTACCCGTTATCTGCAAGCAGCTAGCATGTATCAGTCAATAGTTCCAGGCTGGTTTCCTTATCAGTGGGTACCTAGGTACCAGGGAGTACGGAGTTACCTTACGGAGTAAGGTACCTGTCTGCCTCCCCCCCTACTCTCCGCTCCGTATCTCAGTTAGCACCCCTCATAAACCATGTCTCATCGATGGTTTATAAGTACAAGTTGTTGAAATGTTAAGGTATTCACACAGAACCTATACTTCAAAGTTACAAAATCCCTCGCAGCATTCTCGACAGCTGATCTTGGAGCATGAATGCCTGTGACTATATATCTGGCACGAGGTACCGTATCTTTGCTGGTAACGACATTACAAACAACCACCCCCATCCCGCATGAGGGGTAAGACAAACATTGCAAACAACGCGCGCCCGAAACACGGGGTCAGCATACGACACGTGATTTGCCTGAGGGATCCTCATATGAAGAGATGGCAGGCCATGATCATCACCATCATCAACTGGATACTGAAACTTGGCTCGAACATTCCACGTATCCACGGTTGCCCCCGGAGGTAACCGCCAGTCAAACAACGACCAAGTCTTCCCGACTCAGGATCAAGCGTCAGGTGGTCGTTGTCGACTTGTCACGGGGTCACTTCTGCAGCATAGCCATGATCTGTAAGGCCCCAAGGTGTCATTGGTGGACGATCAAGCGATGACTTGAGACATGATATCTGCCGGTCATATCAAATCTGTGCTTGTCATCATCTAGGGAATTTTTTCCCCAACGTGCCATTTTCCTATGACACCTCGTACCGTAGACTTCTGTGCCTGCCGATGACCTATCAGTTCGTCATTGACAAGCATCACCATCCTCATGATGAGACAACGTGAAGATTCCTCTCTAACTCGATAGGGTAAAGCGAAAGTCAAAGAATATAGATAATATTGATATACAAGTTTATTAAATAAAATCAAGGGGAAACTCCCTTGCACACTCCGGTAGACTTTGCTTTTCTTCACCGGTCCTTTGTATGCCACCTCTTCTTGGCAATATTCAGGTCTTCTTCTTGGCAGCAGCAGCTTTGGCGGCTTTCTTTCTGTTGCTCTTGATCATTACCAACCCAATGAAGGTACCAACCACGGCCGAGCCCAGTAGAGTCAGAATGACAGGTATGCGGATAGCCCACACGCGAGGAGGAAAGAGGTCATGAAGAGGGTGTCCGGTGTCAACGAATGGCTATTTGATAGTTAGTTTTCGTGTCAGGTGTCGTCAAGAGGGGTGGATAAGTACCATAAGGAGAGTCCAAGCCGTGTAATAAAGAAAGATCGCGGTAGCGACCAAGAGCATGGCGGATCCCACGAGTTGGCCCAGCTGCGATCAGATTCAGTCAGTAGAAGCTGGGTATGGCTGAGGAGGATTTGAAGACTCACCATAATGGATGCTCGAATTAGGTTGATTCCCTCCTAACAGAACGCAGGAAGTGCACGACGAAATGTCTCCTCTGATACTGCCCATAAACAGTCCAGGCCAGCTTGGCTCCTCCGAGATCACGTGATATCATTGGACGCTAAGGCTTTCTCCCTTCGCCGCCTCAAGTTCCCGACTGAAAGAACTTTGTTGGATCACATACTGCATCTCGAGCTCTGGAGTTGATATCTAGCTCAAGAAACTCCGGAGTTGTAGATTCAGACACAGTGCAACCATGACGGATTCTGTCGTGTTGCAATCCGCCGTTCGCGTGCCTACACCTCCCCCAGGCACGTCGTACTCTCCACAGCCCTCAGCCTCGCGAAAACGCTCTCCCCCATCTCGGTCTCCTTCCCCTCGTCGCCGTCGATCGCCACCCGGTGACTCGCTGAAGGATGATGGGGATGCGCCACGTATCGATCCTGAGCGTGCGGTCGAAAGAGAGCGCCAGCTGGCCGAGCGCCTTCGTCAGCATGAGAAGCAGGAAGCTGCGCGGAAGCCCATGACGGAGGAGGAGAAGCAAGCTGCCGCCAAAGCTGAGTATGAAAAACTGTTGGATATGCGATCTGGGGGCACATACATACCACCTGCTCGATTGCGTGCGCTGCAGGCGCAGATCACGGATAAGAACAGCAAAGAATACCAGCGTATGGCATGGGAAGCTCTGAAGAAGTCCATCAACGGTCTCATCAACAAGGTCAACGTGTCCAACATCAAGTTCATCGTTCCCGAGCTCTTCGGGGAGAACCTGGTGCGTGGCCGAGGTTTATTCTGCAGGAGCATCATGAAGGCGCAAGCGGCGAGTTTACCGTTTACCCCGATCTACGCGGCGATGGCGGCCATTGTCAATACCAAGTTGCCTCAAGTCGGCGAATTGCTGCTCAATAGGTTGATTGTCCAATTTCGAAAAGCTTTCAAGCGAAACGATAAGGCCGTCTGCATCTCATCCACCACATTCATTGCGCATCTGTGTAACCAGCAAGTCGCTCATGAGATGCTTGCCGCCCAGATTCTCCTTCTTCTACTACATAAACCTACAGATGATAGTGTGGAGATTGCCGTCGGTCTGACCAGGGAAGTTGGCCAGCACTTGGAAGAGATGAGCGCTCCCATCGCCCTGGCTGTGTTTGATCAGTTCAGGAATATTTTGCACGAGGCCGACATCGATAAACGAGTTCAATATATGATCGAGGTCCTGTTCCAAGTTCGCAAGGATAGATACAAGGACAACCCCGCGATCAAGGAGGAACTCGACCTAGTTGAGGAGGAAGATCAGATCACACATCGTATCGGTCTCGATGATGAAATTGATACTCAAGATGGCCTCAATGTCTTCAAATACGATCCTCAGTGGGAGGAGCACGAAGAGGCGTACAAGAAGCTCAAGGCCGAAATCCTTGGCGAGGGTAGCGATGATGAAGAAGATGAGGACGAAACCGACGAGGGTTCTGATGAGGAAGAGGAGGAAGAACGACAGATGGAAATCAAGGATCAGAGCAATACAGATCTCGTCAATCTCCGGCGAACAATCTACTTGACTATCATGTCTAGTATCGACTTTGAAGAATGTTGCCACAAGCTTATGAAGATCTCGTTGCCGCCTGGCCTGGAGCCAGAACTCCCCTCAATGATCATCGAATGTTGTTCCCAGGAGCGAACATACTCGAAATTCTACGGCTTGATTGGAGAGCGATTTGCGAAAATCAATCGTTTATGGTCTGATCTTTTCGAAGCCGCCTTCGCCAAGTATTACGATACAATCCATCGATACGAAACCAATCGTCTGCGCAATATAGCCCGTTTCTTTGGCCATATGCTGAGCACAGACGCCATCGGCTGGCATGTCATGTCTGTTATTCACCTCAATGAAGACGAGACGACCTCTAGCAGCCGTATCTTTATCAAGATTCTGTTCCAGGATCTAGGGGAACATCTTGGCCTTGCGAAGTTGCAGGAGCACATGAGGGATGAAATTCTGCGGCCCAGCTTCGAGGGACTTTTCCCTCTGGACAACCCTCGCAACACCCGCTTTTCCATCAACTACTTCACGAGTATCGGCTTCGGTATTCTGACGGAAGACATGCGGGAACACTTGAAGAATCTTCCCAAACCGACTGTTCCCGCCCTGCCTGCACGCGACGCAGAGTCGGACTCGGAGTCTGTCAGTTCGCATTCTACCTGCTCGACATGCACAGGTTCTTCTCGGTCTCGCTCGCGATCATATTCGTATTCACGATCTCCTTCACGGAGCCGCGGCCGGCGTCGTTCCGTTAGCCGTGGAAGGTCGTACTCGAAATCAGTGTCTGGATCTTCTCGAGGAAGAAGTTTTACCCCAAGCCACAGTCGATCGAGATCTCCAGTCCCAAAGTCTCGTCGGCGCTCAGTGTCCTATAGTCGTTCACGCTCGCCAGCTGGCCGAAGAAGGTCGTCGGTGGCTCGTACACCACCTAGACGTGTCCGTGGCAAATCTTATGACTCTCGCTCTCCTTCGCGATCCGCCACGCCGCCAAGAAGGCGAACCTCTTACAGCCGGAGAGATCGATCTTACTCAAGGTCACCGTCACGCTCTGTTACCCCACCACCCCGAGCTGGGGATGCAAGGGCGCGTGGTAGACGCTACTCCTCACAGTCTCTTTCTCCGCCTCGTCGGCGTGCCGAAAGAAGTGTATCCCCTCAGCGTCCTCCTCCTGGTCGCCGTCCCCGTGGCGGTTCTTTGTCACGATCACCCAGTCCCCCTCCGCGGTATGCACGTGAACAGAGACGCAGAAGGAACTCGAGCTCTGTCTCGGCATCTCGTTCGCCTCCACCTCGCGACTCCAACAGGCGCAGGTCTCTATCTAGGACTCCACCTCGTCGGGACCGCGCCTCCGACTATTTGTAATAAGAAAAAAGCTCATATTGAATTATGCCCTTCGGTACTTGGACATTGCACAGTGACTCAGCAGGTTTTAATGGTTGAATAACTGGAACAACATAGGCGGGCAAAGGTTCTAAAGGTGTATCTATATTTCTAGGCTGTGAATTCATTGCAAACTGCTATACCCAGTCTCAGTCTTGCCTGTTAGGTCTTGTATATCAAGTCTCTGTAAGATTCACATAATCATTCAGTCATCTATCGGGTATCTCGAGTGCTGTATCGCCGCCACAACCATTCTATATACCAAGTCCAACCATCTACGCTATAGAAGCCTCCCAAACACACCTCTCACACTGACACAAACCCCCAGCGCACCCCTAGCCCACTCCCTCCGCTCCTTCACATCGAGCCCAATATCACAGTAATGATTTAAAATCTCTTCATCCGCCTTGATCCCCTCGCCGCTCCGCCGCAGAGGCGCCCCCTCCCCTTCCACACCGCTCGCTCGGCCTCCGTCCGCGCCCGGAACGTAATCTCGCCGCCCCATTCCCAGCGCACGTTGGGATCGCACGAGTGGTTCGCCAGACACCACAGCGGATGCACGGCGCACAGCTCCGGCCCGCCGTCCCAGGTGGAGAGGCGGCCTGACGCGGTGCCGCGGAATTTGGCGTACAGCGTGTTGAGCACCCAGGTGTCGTAGCGGGCGAGGTTGGCGTACGGGTCGAGTTCCATTTCCTCGAGTATGCGCATCGGCTGGAGGATGTTGAGCTGGAAGGAGAATGGGAGGGTGGCGGTGGGGTCGTCTGAGTCTGAGGGGTTGTTGAGGTCGAGGTCGTGGAAGTCGCCCCAGATGTATTTTACCTCCGGGAGATCGAGCGGATGCATATCCTGCGTGGCGGCCATGGCGATGGCCCGGCCCAGGAGCAGGAGGTACAGGTAATCGGCCTTATCCTTCGGGTCGGGGATATCCTTGCCGATCGACTCGAGGTTGTCCATGAGGCCGCACACGGCGCCGTGGTAGACCGTTTGCGCTGTGTCGTGGCATTTCTGGCTGCAGAAGATGGTGTCGGCGCAGCCGTCGCACGCGACGGGGGGTTCCGCGGACGAGAGCTCCGGCAGCGGGGCGTTGCAGGCGTCGCAGAGGTCATCGTGGAGACGGTTGGTGGCTGTTAGCAGCGACGACTCGCGCAACAGGATCTCCCCGGGCGCGATGTCTTCCTTTGCGAACAGGCCCAGTTGGACGGAGACTCCTGCTGCGCTCTCGTCGTCGGGGCCTGCAGTCGGACCATGCAACGCAGGCAGCGCAACGGCCCTGACCTCGCACTTGGGCGCAACATCCTTCAGTCGTTCGTTCAGCAACGCCAGTGTCTCGGGCGCCTTGCGGTCAGGCTCATGCGTGTTCCACGGGTAGAGCACCCGCCTCGCGTAGCCCTGCGCATTCAGCACGCTTGGATCCACCACCACCTCCCCATCACCTTCCTTCCCCCGCTTAGCAGCATACACCTTCTTCAGTATCCCAAGCTGCTTTTTCAGCCCAGCAATCTCATCCTCCGCATCGACACCCGCCTCCTCCAACAACGCAAGCCCACGCACACAGAACTCATACGCATCCCGATAACATCCACATTGAACCAAGCTCCTCACAAGCAACCCATACACTCCCCCAATCATCTCATCGTATTCCTCCTGCGATATATCCTCGAATTCGCCCTCCTCATCCTCCTCATCCTCAACCCCTTCCAGACTGTCCACCCGCCGCCTAGCCTGAAACTCGCACCCATCCGGATCAACGACAGACTCCAGCAATGACAGAGCCCGGTACGCATCCGCCGACGCGAGATCTGAAAAGCCCAGGCGCTCGTGTATCCGGCCTCGGTCGAGGTATCTGTGCGGATTGTGTGGGTCTGCGTACAGCTGGGTGGTTGCTTCGGAGCGTTCGCGGAGGAGTGTGTCTGTGTCTGTGTCTGTGTCTGTGCGTGTGTCCATGTTTATGTTCGATCGTTTGCAAACAGGGAGCAGAAGCGTATATTCAGATACTTGGGAAATTGCTGTTGCTGCTCGTAGAATTCGTAATCGGTCCTTATATGCGAGGTATATGCCGTGATCTGCAATGTGGAAGGTATATTTCAGGTTGGTGTACTCCAGGATTTCTATGAGTTGGACCAGTAAGGTAATAATGATAAGAAGAAGGATGAGGTGCTATACATGTATATTCAAGAACGGCAATAATTTGCAATTGCTTCCCGAAGATCTTGGACCCATAATCCATCTCTCGAATTTTTTTTTTAGACGTGGGGTATCCTTATCATCACGTGTCGATATAACAATAATAATGATGGTTGACAACCAGATCACAACCACAGCAAATATCTGACTAGGTTGCACCACAATTCTAGCGATATATGGACTGTGGATGAGGAAGAGTATTTCCAAGTATGTACGCTACAATTGCGTCTATTCTGTCGACCCGATAGTACCATGTCCAAGTGTTACTTACTACAACACGTTGCCAGTGCATAGTCCCAAGAATGGTGTATATAATACTGTTGGCAACTTGGGTCTAATAATAACGTTGAAAAATCGTACGCATGGCCAATGACCAGTTGACCACGCTTTGAGACCATCTGGCGAGGGGCACTCACATCACCTGAACACAACACTTTTAGTCTTCAAACCAGGGGAATGCCAAGAATAATCCGAGAGCTTACAGTGCAATTTTCGTCCAGAACAATGGTCGCGCCCTCGCCCGCCCCGTCCACCAATGCACCCCCAACAGTCTGTCTTTGCCGTAATGTAGCAGCTAGCCGAGCCAACATACTCCTCTGAGAATGACGGTGTCAGACCATGAAGGAAGGATAAAATCCCAGGGACGAAGGAGCAGATGACTTACCGTGATGTACGCCTCGCTCATGCCTCCTTGACGATCGACGTCGTTCTGGCTCATGATCCGGTAGCTATCATGGATGCGTTTGCAACTTTTGAGGCCGCCAATACCGGCAACATTTGCACCAAGCGTGTTAGCTGGGCTATCGGGGTCTAGGATGTTGATACCACGGCGCGCATTCTCCTGTGCATGGCGATCGGGCGAGAAGATCTTGATAGTGTTGTCGATCCCAGAAGCGGCGATGGTCGGTTCGTACGGGTGTCCTTATAAACAAGCGTGAGTTAATGCCGTACATGTGGTCAATACGGACATACCTTGCACAACATTGACAACTTCGCTATCTGCCTCGAGTATGTTGACCAGGTTCGCTGTTTTCCGATCCCAGATGAATATATGGCCCGAGTCACTGCCGCTCACGACGTACTCGTCATTCAGCCCAAAGTAATTGACGTCTTTGACTGTTTTGATATTGCAATGCCCCCGGTAGACTTTAGTATGGGAGGAACAAGGCACGTCCAGTTCGACATCCTCTCTTCGCGTTCGTCGGAAACCATATCTGTTGATGAGGTGCTCCTCGGCTTCGTCCTCATCCTCCTCCTCGTCAGAAGAATCACCGAGCTCCATGTCGAAGTCTCCTTCATCCTCGTCCTCTTCTTCATCTTCGCCTTCGTCTTCTGTTGACACATCGGAGCCATCTTCGCTCACAACCGCCGCATTGCCGTGCTCAATGGAGTCCCCATCTCTAACGCCCGACCTGCCGTTAGTGGACCCCGTCCGCAGTCCACTCGGGTTGGAGGTTCGTGAGTCTCCGTTCATAGAGGCACCAGAAGTCACGAGGTGCACGTCTTGGATCGGCTCCTCCTCGACGCTGCCGTCGATATCCTCTTGCAGCCTCTCTTGCGGAAGCTCACTGTCCAAGTTATCTTCAATTTCTGTGCGCAGCCCGCCAAAGGCCCGGTTCACAAAGGCGTAGTTGACTCCAGTACCCGTCTCCATCAAGATACCTCGGCCTACCTTGAGAACCCAGAACCTGGTTGCTGAAGCCCGGTCAAGAGATCGAACGTGATGTGATGTCCCACCATTACCATTAACCCTGGCCGCAACATGTCCCAAATCCTCCAGTGGCAATCGCAAGGCATTTGCAAAGGCGGCAACTGCAGCATGTTGTGTCGGGAACAGTGTGCGAGTGCTGTCATGCTCAAATCTCGAGGCATCGACATTCACCACCGGATAGGCCCCTGCCAAGCCTTGAAGGTAAGGAACCAGGACCGATTCAATAGCACTGTCCTCAGCTGTTTCAGGAATCGGATACCGCGCCAGATTACGCCTGTGAAAGGGATTGCTCTTGAACCCAGCCAATACAGCACCCCTCCCTCCTTCGAAGAACAGCAAGATAGCTTTGATAAAGTCATAGCCAAATTGCTCTTTCGTGTCAATCACGTTATTTTCTCCGGGTGCAGGTACTATCTGCTGGAATAGGTTGATCGCCGAATCTTCATTTTCGGAAAAACTTTGGATCTCACCTCCCAGAAACCGTGCAAGTGTTCCCGCAGCTTGCACGAATCTCCAGGCAGATTCCCGATTACGACGAAGAGATTGCTGAAAGCTCACAACCTCTGGACTCGGATCGAGAGGATACCTCCATGTCCGCATAACTTCTCCCATTCGGGGCAGATGCTCCGCCGCATGTGTCAACACAGTAGAGAATGAGGCAGTGTACGGCGTCAGGTCGGATGGGCTTGAGGCCTCGGTAGCTTCGCGCACAGATGCTTCCAAGGAGAAGAGGGCCTTGCGGAGCTTGACAAGTCCTTTGGCGATACGCATGCTCAGCCGCTGTGCCTCGTTCAGAACCGAATACTGCGCCTGCTCCAACACATTTGGCGCAGCGCTCGACACCGTTTCGGATAGCGAAGGGAACGGGATATCCTCCATCTCTCCATTGCCATAGCGGACTCTGAAGGCTAGCTCACCGCTGTCATCGTGTTCCGCCGATCGCCGACGCGATTGATGGCGGTTGCCGCTAGACTGAGACGACAGCGAAGCTCCCTTTTGCCGTTTACGTTTTCTGTTCTTTGAGCTTCGACGTCTACGTGAACTAGGACTTCCATGCATGGACTTCGGAGCCGCTGACGCCGGGTCATTCGCATCCGGACTCCGAACTAGATCAAAACTGTATATATGGTCTCCGGACCAGCTGACAACCATCTCGTTCGGACTGGCGTCGCTGATCTTGCAGGCGGTGATATGCCCATTATCCCGTGGGCTCATTCGTCTCTTACCGCCGGGGGCAAACCTCCGAACACATCTCGTCGCTTGTCCCATCAGTTCGTCATCGTGCTGGCTACCGCTGTCGGAAAGTCCCCCGGGATGGCCCTTTTCCGCAAGGAGATCCCGTCCGAGCATTCGCCTGTCGTGTAAGAAGCAATGCAAATGAGCGCCGCCCAGCGCGATGTAATGCGGTTGACTCGAGGAGCACGAGATGGTGTTGAGATCCAGATGGTACTGTTTATACGAAATCAGCGGAGGAGGCACATTCGAATCGTCATGCTCCAGACCCGGCCGGTACGCCATGAAGCCCTGTCCCCCGCGCGGCTGCGGATAGGCGGAAGATGGCTGGCGCAAATCCCACTGCCGAACCTCGCCATCCTCCGAACATGTGAGAAAGAGGTACGGAGACGACTCGGTGACAATCCTCTTGACCCGATCCGCGTGACTCCGATAGACTCTGCAATTGGTGTTTCTTTCATTCAAATAGCGCGCATTGCCAAAGAAATTGTTGAAGCGACGGCTCCGGGCCGACGCAGCAAAAGCAGACGTGGCGGCGACATTGCTGTTACCCGCGGAATATTCGATGTCAAAGACGCGCACTTGAGAATCGCCGGCGCACGTCACCAGCGTGCGATCATTCGAATGGGGCATGAACTTGGCGGAGAAAATGTTCGCCTTGTGACCGGTGTAAACGGTGGTGTTGAGCGTAAAGGGTGCAGACGAGCATTCCGGCTGGTACGAATAGATGTTGAGATGCAGATCATCAGAACCGGAGGCCAATAGCTGACCGGACCGCGACCAACTACCGCCGGACACAAGAAACCTCGTCAGAGAAAGAAGTCCATCGTTAGTGGTCTCGCAGTTAGCACATACCATAACGCATTGACGCAGCCCGTGTGGCCTCCCAGCTCATTTACAATATCCAAATCGTCAATCCATTCTTTGGAACCATATATGCCACGAATACTCGTCGGGGGCGGAGTGTAGCCCGACTCCCGGCGCCAGATGCGATCATACAGTGAGTCCTTCATGGTTGGCGTCGATGCAGAAGCTAGGGCGAAATATTCGATCTAAACGACGGGAGGGGGGGCGGTTTTCTAGTCTCCTGGCGTGTGGACCATCTCGACCCGGCGATTAGAGCTTCTGTTTCTTCTATTCTGTGCCGTCGTATCTTTTGGGGCGAAAGTAGTGACGTCAGTCTCGGCGATAGACAGTTGGCCAGGAATGAATGCGGTAGATAAAGAGATATAGCAGGTAAGAAACCAAAGGAGAAGAAGAGTCTGGGGAAGAGAAAATGCAGAAGCAAGATCCGATGAAGCTAATCTCGGTACGGAGTAGATCGAGTCGATAAGGGTGGGTTGGGGAATGAGAGCGAAGAGTGGGAAAGTAGAGGCGAGCAAAAGAGGTAGGTGGAATAGATAAGCCGAGAGAAGAACAAACGAAAAGAACCGAAAGAGGGGGCTTGAGGCTTGATCAACTATTAAGCCAGGTAGATCCATCCATTCGTTCCAGGTCCAGACTCAAAACCCACCGAACTACTATTCTCCATGTATTGGTTGTGTTGAAGCATCTCTCCTCGGTCCTCTCTAGGTTGTACTGTCACTGGACCCACTCTTCTTCTGGGGACAACCTCTACGGTACTTACATCTGACAAGTAATATAGCCTTTTGTTTGCCACTCACTGCTTAACATTGTCTCGGCAAGAATTACTCCCTCTTTTTGCTGTTTCTTTTCTCTCTTTCACCATCGGCATAGGATCCCATCTTCTTACTTTAGTCTAACTCTCCAGCACGAGTTTCTTTGAAATGTGACACCCGAGTCGGACCCGAACGATGATGATCATGCCGGCAGGGACTCCACCGCTTAGTCAAAAAAGCAAACCCGCCTGTCACCGTTCTCTGATGCGGTATGGAACGCTCTGAATGGCCTGCAGATTGCAGGAAATCCAGGAAACTAGATGTCTGTGTCCTGTTGGGACTGTCTGCTGCTCTGCCTAATAATAGGCAGTAGATAAATAGTACTACTACTAGCAAGACTAGGGAAGATACTTTAGCTTGCTTACCGCTTCAAGTATGTTTACGCTTTTCCCTGTGAGCCTGTTCGCTGATTATCCTCGTTTTATCAGCCCCTACCTCTTTACTTTGTTCATAGTTATGATACGTTTTTAGCACCTTGGTTACTCCGCTCATCATTCCATCAACTCATCAACGTCCATTCTACAGAAAATCCTGATCGGAAAGGCGATGGCGATCTCAGACACAAAACAGGTCTAAGATTTACCCTGGCAGAATCCCGGACACTGCAATTCAAAGTCCTGTTTTTCGCATCGTACAAGTTCAGGTTCCACTGGCTGATTGCTATCGCTTTTATGGAGAACAAGGGCAACCTTCCAGACTTCCGGTACTCTCAGGCGGCCCCTCACCATCCGAATTCTGAGACTTGCATGGTTGGACAAAAAAACCAAGGTAGTAGAGTGCATGATCGACCGAAAAAAGAGGACTACTTTCATGAAGTGAGGCGATTCGTCCAAATCAAGGCATACTAGCCCCCGCGACCCATTGCAATGATCAGGATTTTCATGGATCCCGTTGAGAACCGTTGGCGGGCTAAGGAAAGAATGGGACAGAGGGGAAAAAGGAAAGGAATAAAATAACCAGGTGCGAGCAGTCTCAGGAACGCAGATGGGTTGGAATCATGGATCAGACGAGGAACCGAACAGGTTTTCCCGTCCCTGTCGATGACACTTTCTCGTACCGACAGACGGCGTTTCTGGATGCATCGAACGTGTCATTGTGAAACCCCATCTGCCCGAGTTTTCTGTCGGTGGGCCTGCTCTAGACAGCTCTTCTTTGACTAGTTTCTCTCGCTGCTCGCTGATGTCCCCTTCTTCTCTCGTTTCTATTCCTTTCCCAGCGACTGGTGTGCTGTCTAGTGTCAAAACCTACCTACGTATGGGCTATGGTTAAATTTCAGTTCTTTGCCAGTAGACTGCTGCAGCGGAGGTGCTAGGTACAGTCTGGCTACTGAGCGTCGTGCCTTGGTACTCTCACTCTGCGAGCGATAGATATTCCGAGGGTTCCATGGTCGATCCATCAGATAAACCCAGATAGAACCGTCTATGACTCTATGACCTCGACAGCGCAGTTCTCCACATTCCAGGCCTCGGGCCCCTCGCATCTCGCGGGTGGGTTGCAGCCAATTCGGCTGTGAGCTGACTAACCCACTGCCTCTCCGACCTTACAATCTGCGCTTCGATCCGACGTATCGCTTTCAACTCGTCCACCATCGAAGCGATTATCACGTCTAGTCCCTTGGCTGTGCGCACAAGTGCAGCATCAGCTAGCGCTTGCTTTGGTCCGTCGTAGCCCGCAATATCCAGGCTCTGCAGCTGCCTCGAGCTCTGTTCAAGCTTCATAGTCATGGCGTGCACCTCGTCCTTCCATACCCGATCGAGAGGATCAATGAAAACCACATGGCTCGCATCCCCCTGTTGTCGATGAAGTCGCATGGTCTCGATCGCTTGCGCTTTCCGGAACCATTCCTCGAATTCCTGGACAAGCATCGTATACCTCCCTCCGAGACTGTCGGTCAAATCACACACTTCCTGCACGAGCTGCGAAAAGGCCTGGATCTGCGCGGCGAAGTTCGGGCGACCACCATGTTCGCTGGCGTGCTCTAGCCAGCGATTCAAGGCCTGTCCATTCAGCAACCGCTGGCACTTCTTTTCTTCCCCGACAATCGCGCGATACGTCTTCGCGACCGCGTCATACTTTGTCTGTAGCTGTTCCTCCGACTCGGCCTCCAGTGCCGCCATCTGCTGTAGTGACGACGAATGTAGCAAGCTCAACTGTAGTAATTCCGTCTGAAGCGCCGCAACCTCCGGCCACGACGCCGGAATCAGTGAATCCTCCCCATCCGCGGACGCCCTGGCAGTCGACAAACCCGCCGGCCTCACCACCTTCCTCGGCGAGAACTGCTGCTGATATGTCGTAAACTGCCCACTCGATCTCGTCCCAGCCGCCAACCCAGCTGTCGTAGACGTTGACCCAGAAGATTGCGAGTCGCTCCTCCTCGAAACCTGACCCTGACTCGACGACGGCGCCACAATCTGGCTCCGGTGCCGTACATGCCTAACCCCAGTGGCCGGGTTCCCGGGACCTGCGCTAGCACCAGCACCAGCCCCAGGACCCGCTTTCAAAGGCTGTCTCATCGAAGCCGACCGGGTCGGCCGCGCCGGCGGCGGCATATCCGTTTTCTTGGGGGACATCGACGGGACCACTTCCCGTTTCCTGGGTGAGGTCGACAATCCCTGCGCGCTGAACGTCGCGCTCTTCGGCGTTGTAGCAACCCTCCCGCCCGGGTTCGTTCCCGTCCCTGTCCTTATGTCTGCGCCTGTAGCTGTAGCTGTCCCCGTCTTCAACGGGCTAGGTCGTATCAAACTCCGTCGTCGAGCGTTTGCGGCTGTAGCTGTAGCTGCCGCTGCCGCTGGTACTGCCGTGCTGGACTCCGAAGAACCCTCCTCCTTCAGCTTCTGTGCTCCCGGCGTCTTCATCAAGAGCCGACTCCCCCGCTGTAACCGTACCTCCTGCTGCTGCTGCCACACGGGAGCAGCACCATCTCGATCTCGATCCCGAACGGGGATACTGCGCTGAGGGAGGAGACTCTTCCTGCGATCGGTCGTGCTTGTGCTCGCGCTTGTGCTTGAGTGCGTGTCTGCGGATCCATCGCCATCGCCCTCTGGCGGGGTTTTGCTCGGTGCTGTGCGTCCTGTGGTTGACTTGGTGATAGTGAGTAAGGTATTCCAGCCAGTAACGACGCGGTAAGAAAACAAAGCTGAGAGACTGGGTTCGGTTTGGACTGACTGATAGCTAGTTGGATAAGGGGTTTGGTTCTGGTTCGCAACACTAACCTGTTTACTTTGTCCGCGGAGGGAAAGGGAGCGCGTGGGGATTGGCATGGTTGTGGTCGGTTTAGATAATATGCATCGTTCCTCTGAAAGGAGGGGTCAATACAAGTGTATATCTCGTTCTGAGCTGGGTATGTAGAAGATTTAGAAAACAAGGTAGGTCAGGAGTGACGCAGCTCCGTGCGGTGATATGTAAACACTAACAATGAACGAAGCTTGGCGGAGACGATCTCCACGAGTTGTATTTGTCCGACTATCGATATACTGATACTTGGAGCTTATGGACATGCTCATGGATGGATGCTTTTTTCTATTTGATTACGGCAAAGTTTGTGCACACAGTCGTTCATAAACGTTCAATGTTCTTAGCTACGCATTTCACGACCCTAACCGCCGTCTACGAAGACTTTTCTGCCGTCTTAACTTCTAGATGAAGAAAAAGACCATTCGACGACCTCATATTGGATTGAGAATGAACACATTATAAGAATGATCTCGATTCAAAGTCACTGTCCCTGCACTAATCCAATTTCTAGGCCGTAACGCCAGCCAGGAAACCTAGAAGACTTGTGTAAAAGGTAGAGGTACTTTTCGCCCTTGACTGTTCTCGAAAGCAAAAATAGCAAGTAGAACATAACGCCATTCATATGTCCACAACAGCTTACAAGCTTCCACGTCTGGGGAATGAAACCCCATCAATGGCAGCATGGTCGGTGAACCAGCTCACTTTTTCCCCAGCACCCTGGTTGACGAGCGCCGAGGGCAGTTCCCGTCCCTCTTCCGCATCGAAAATCTGCTTGAGAATCTCCTTCTTTCCCGCTCCAGTGGCGACGAAAGCGATACTGACGGCGTGTGTGACGACAGGCAATGTGAGGGTTATGCGCTTTGGTGGGGCTTGGGCGAGTTGGTCTCCGCGGCCACCCAGGCATCCTTCTCTCGCAACAGTTCATGGCCGGGGAAGAGACTGCAGGTGTGACCGTCGGGACCACAACCCAAAAGAATGAGATCAAAGACAGGCAGCTTGACACTGTCCTTGGCCGCGAAAGAGCGCATCAAGTCCTCCTGGTACAGGTCGGCAAGCTCCTGGGTGTCATCGTTGACATGGTCGGCGTCGATGGGATGCACTTTAGGAGTGCCCATTTCGGCGGGAATCTTGCTTAGAAGCTCATCCTTGAGCAGGCGGTAGTTGCTATCAGGGTGGTCGAGAGGGACAGCACGTTCGTCGGCGAAGAAAACATCCCATTTATCGAACCGGACAGTGTCCTCGGGAGAACCGTTTGAAGGCGCAAGAAGAGCCTGGGCGAGGACTGCTGGTAGAGAACCGCCCGATACAGCGACACGGAACGTGTTATGGCGATTGATGGCGGAGTTCTGACACCGGAGCACATAGGCCCTCAACTGCGGGGCCAAAGCGTCGGTGTTGGGAAAGCTGTAGAGATTCGGGGACGTGCCGGTCATGGTGTCAATTCGTCGCTTTGACAATGCGCAAGGTTTGTAGGACAAGGATATGCTGCAGCCTCTCAGGAAGGTTTTGTGACTTTGTTTGTGACGTGCGTGTGAAGACGGGAGCACGAGCGAGATGTTGGCAGATTTTCGGTCAACAGTGCTCTGGCGGGGTAGGTACAGTAGCGGGAGCTGCGGGACAGGGTGGTTGATCCACCAAGTACGAATCAAGCAGACGGCTTGCAGCAGGCTCTGTTTTCAATTAGTTCGAACTGTGCACTCGCAGTAGTGTGCTACCTAGGTGATGTTGCGATCGAAGGGAAAAGAAGCTTCAATGCGAGACTGTGGTTGGGCGATTTGAGGTAGCACTCTCGATGGTGGGCTGCTCGCAGTTCTGAATGTTTCCATGACGTCGGAATGATTCCAGGGGAAACCACACCCAACTGTCCAGTTGATAAGAGAGAGGATGATATCGGATGAGGCTGGGGACCAAGCAAAACACTCTCAAGGCTCAACATTAATGCTCTCTCGTCTCTCAGGCCTATCTATAACCATTAGCTGTCCAGAATGTGTGTTGGTCATCGCGAATCGCCGTAGTTTGTCCATAGTCAAACACAATTTTTTTTAACCAGCACATGTGAGATGATGTCACAGCAGCAGCGTTGTATCCCCTCACATCGGCTTCCAGATACGGAAGAGTCCGACAAATAGATGGGTATAATCATGCAAATCGACATCACTCCCCGAACCCAAGACCGTTAGGCACGCATCATCCCGGCCATTATGGTTTCCAGTTATTGGTCTAGATAAGTGTGGACTGGTTATGAACTTCCACCAGTATTGAACCTATTTACCTTTTCACCCCCCTGCATGCCGCCCTGCTGCAAAAGGAAGACTTTCTCAAGGCTACACTATTATGACGCCTTGCAGATGCTGCAGATGGAAATCTCGCAGTTACTCTGGACAGCCTTAAATTTATTTGCGGACTGTCGACTCTAGTGGAATCTTCAGTAAAGAGCTGGCTGTACTTGGAAGTTCGACTACTTCAAAAATAAATATACCAAAGCGGCCCGTTCCCAAGTTAATTTAGTGACGCACATAGACGCAGTATCGGCAGAACGGAACTGGACTCGTGTATCTGCAAAGAACAATGCACTTCATAGTCGGGAGATTTGTTCGAGACGCGACCTGTGTACGCCGGCACAAGATGGTTAGGAAGTTGGATGATTCTCGGCAAAGTCTCATGTTTGGATCGGTGAGATGTCGCAAGATGAGAGGCGACCGAGGCCTGTCTAATCAGGCACCGACGATATTCCTGGCCCTTTGGAGCCAGTTGTTATGGCAGGCATTCGATCGAAATTGTGTTGTATGTTGCCCGATTGCCCCATTGTTAGCATGGATCTGTCGGAAATCGGATAGATGGGAGAAAATCACTCAACAGAGGGATTACTTCTGTAAATTGCCTCATATGTAGCCTTGACCAGGCTAGCCGGGGCACTTCATCTACAATATATAAATAAATGCTCTTAATCGAGCATCTCCTGTGCTACTACTATTGATAGATTTCTGCACATGAACATCTTCGTGTCTAGTCTGCTCAGGCCTCTGTAGTTCAACTAGTTTCAGAGCTGGTCGCAGTCCTAACTCCAAATAGACAAGCGATGTGGGATGCTAAATCAAAAATTCGGAAAGTAGTCTACCGAACTCCGGAAAACTGAAAGAAACATTTCCTAACTGCTGGTAAGGCAAAGCTTTTCCCAAATCGGGTAAAAGCTCAACATTCCCTCGACTTTGTTAGGGAGACAAAGGGCATGTGCTCGGAGTGAGTCCAACTGGGATAAATTACTGAAGTACTGGTAATCTCACTGTACAGCACAAGATCGGACAATGGACATCTCCGAGACATATCTACAGAGGGATTCAGAAAAAATATGATATGAGCCTAGGAAGTAGCTCCCGTCACTCTATGGGGAATGATGGACAATAATGATCAGCCACTGACGGGCTGACAGCGACTCAGGCTCGCTCCAGCGAGTATTCAGCTCATGTCAGACGAGATTCTGAAACGCCCGGAGTGGGTACTCTGAAGCCCCAAGGATTCAAAAGGAATGCAGCATAGCCGCAGTTATTTTACTAGTCTTTTCTCAGTAGCGAGTAGCGGAGTATCTGGTATCGGCTACCTGTTGCTGACCTTTATATCCCAACACAAAGAGACCATTAGGATTCATACAAACTTACAAAGCCAAATTAGCCAAATTACGAGTCAAAAGTCCCCCAACTGTGCGTAGAAAGAAATATCCAGGGCGTCATGCTTGCAAGTCTGGAAGATAATTCCCATCCTTCGACCAATCATACCGGACGGACATCTAAGGTAGTCTGGGCCATGGACATCGGCATCCTTCCAACCCCGAAGGTACATGGATCTTGGCTGAACGAGCCACTTACAAGCCATAGACAGCCACGCTCTGTAGCCGCTCCGTAGCCTTAGTTCGAGATATTATGTGAGAATTGAGATTTGAAAACAATTATTATTATCTTTGGCGCTCCTTCGTGCCCTGGTGGGACTTGTCTCAAGTAACACTAGTACTAGAGGGCAATAGTTTGATTACTACTCCGTATGGAAAGTCACTAGGCCTTTTTGAGCATCTAGTATTTTCTATTTTCCTGCACTCTGCAGTTTTGTCAGTAGCTGGAGTTACTCAGATAGAAGTGGGACGATCGATTTGCATCAGTGGCTGACGAGATAAATGAGTTTAATCAAATAAACCTGGTCGAGCCAGGTCATGACGACATGACCCTCGAGCCTCGGAGGTTCATGGGAGATTTCTATTGGGGGGTTGTGCGGGATAACCGTTGTAAAGAAATATGAAGACACATGGAACGATCCAGAAAAGGATTGGTTCCGATGCCATCTCTATACCTAAACTCCTAAAGTAGGTAGACTGTATATATTTGGGCGTTTTCATTGGTGAGGAGCAACCCGCCAGTCAACGAACGCCCCGGTTCCGCGATGGGACAACAAGTTTCAGGGCAGCCTTAAGTTAGGCTACTCGATCACAGCACTCGATGACAATTATAATGATGGTATGATGGCAATAATAATAATATGCATGGTTCTATCGAGAGTGGTGTGGTAGCTATGTATCCTGATGTACCAAGTCAACGCCTTTATTTTCTTTGATCATAAAAGAATCATCAACAATGCCAGTATTGATCTAGAATCTGCTAGTCTGCCCTCCACAGTTCCAGTACTGTACTTATCAATATCCATCCACACTCTTCACTCAGAGCAGGTATTTTGTACCACATACTATTTACCTACTGCATCATGATGCTCACTATCATCATACCCTGATATCCGCATCATCATTCCAATTCACAACCATCACCGTCCATATTAGGGGCTAATTCTTTAGACCTCCAAAGCTCAGATTTATTGATTGCATGGACACCGCCTGAAACCGAAGCCACATTCCATTGCAACCACTTTACTCCGTACTATATCATTGACCCAATTGGGGATTGATTGCTGCACTTTTCTCCTTTCTTTCATAGTCGAAATTCTTTGCCCCCTCTTCTTCTACTAGGAGTAGCTGGAAGAAAACAAAGGGAGGCGGATAAAAGAAAAAGACAAAAAGGAAATCCGGAAAGTGGATCGATCTGACCCTTTAGACAGCAATCTACGGGGCGGTCCCCTTGGCGTCGAATCCCTGGCGGTGGTACGCTAACAGTAATAAATAATTTATACCTGGAGATACCTGACTTCCACTGTCCTGGTGTCTCCCCCCACTGGGCCGGCGTCTTGTATATCTATCCACACCTGAAATCGCACACCTTTCTTCCTCCTTTTTCTCTCTCATCACCAGCAGATCAGGTTTGCTCAAGGGTTCACTGAAATACATAGTTGACCTCGACACTACTCGACAGATATTTCAGTGAATTCCTTCTGCAAACCTTGCTTTGGACTGGAGCTTATCCTTGATTTCTCCACCACTTAATCTGTCTGCCACGCATCGACTCTGGTTCCCTGTTTTCTCGACTTTACCAAGTGCCCAAAATCTGGGCCTGATTCTCACGAATTAGTCGGTCGCACATCTCGGCCAACTCTTCCTCTTATTGCCACGAACTCGCGATTCTCTGGATAGCGACAATGAGCTCGCCCTCTGTCCAAGTCCAACATCAACCCTCCAGCGGCACCAAGCCTGTTACCTCGCCCTCAACCACCGATTCCGGACCTACCTCAATGAACTTCGATATCGTCCGTTGCTCGAGGTGCCAGCGCTCTATGAGCCTCGAAAACGGATCTACCCCAGGCGTCGTTCGTTTCGGCATGAATTCATACTACTGCAGTCGCTGTGCATCCATGGTCGGCTTCATTCGCTGAGTCCGCCTCTGACAACGGATCGTGAAATGCAGGAAATTTACATCATATGGAGTCGAAAAGAACAACCTGGTTGCCGTCATAAGGAACACAACTCTTTGGCTGTTCACCTATAAACGAAGCTTTGACGTGGTTCTCCTGATGCTTTTTCTATTCGCCATTCGCTCGACGATATTATTGGGATACACTGGACGGTTGATTCTTTGCATAATATCGAATCACAGACTTTCGCACCCCCTTCGATCGATCCCTCAAAAGTACCCGTCTCATCGCCTGACAACTCTCGCCTCACTGTCTGCGTCATGCGTTGGTTGTACGTTTATTGGATCACTGCGACGATACATCCTTTTGACGATATGGTTCGCAAGATGGTATGCCATATGTGTTGACATCGAGACAACGGCACACTCGAGTTGGCTCCAGCTTGTCGGCTCTACCTACGCAGCCAACCCGGCACAGCACAAGACGAAGACGATGGCAGAGATTGGAGGAATCCCTCTAGCGAACCCGAATTGATGGATCGCAATGTACCCTGCGTACAATTTTTATTTCCTTTGTATGGCTACTGGGATTTTTCTCTTGTTAGTCTGAGCTTAGCGACATGTTTTCATCATTATAATACCCAGAAGGCTTCCTTCATGTTACTGTACACTTTATTCTCCTCTCTGTTTTCTTAAGAGGCTACTCTAGCTAGTCAGGAATACAACCCGCCAATCATATAAGCAGATGATTCCGTCAGTTCCCCAGCCTAGATAACGGCATGTCTATCATAACGTGAATCCTCAGCTTCCGGAGATCAGCACCAATCACCAAGCAAGTCCGAAAACCAAAGATCCATTCCGTGGCAATTGATACTCCTCATTCCATACATCTGATTGGAGCTGAGCCTCCTCCGTCAGAACAACGCGCCTCGGTTCGTCTGTTCTTCAAGCAGAGCAGTCTGCAGTCCTTTCCCCTCACATTACAAGCGGGGAACGAATGGCACCACGACGAGGGCAGAAATACAGTAGAAGCTCTGTGCAACATGCCGTGCAGAGTTCTCCAGGCACCCCTCATTCATTCGAAACTCAAACTCCAGAGTTGAGACTGTCTACGGAGTACTCCACTAGGACATCCCTAGTTAGATGAGGGATACTCCGCAGAGGGGGTCTTATCTCCTGCTACCCCTCCCCCTTGCTGTCGATCCCCGTGACCTGCGTTTCAGCTTTGCGTCACACAGTAGCAATTTACAACGGGCCGGCCGTCTCGAGAATTTCCTGATTTTGTTTTCTGGTTTTTCTTCCTAGTGACTTATGTTTCTGCCTAGGGTATCAGCCGACTTTGTAAGACGCAGGGAGGGGAACGAGGGAACCGCTTTTAGCCCCGGCATCAGCCCATGTGGCGGCCTGTGGGGTGAAGATTCGACTATTGATTGTTGATTAGGATAAGGCGCTGATCAGCGGGTCTGAGCTCTACGGTTTATGAACCGTAGTTACCCCGTGGATGGTGCAGCCATATCAAGTCGCAAGTACGCACTCATCTTCAGTTTATTGAGATCTAGATAAATGGCGGATGACTGTTTGATTTGACTCTCGGCGCTGTTCGGACCACTGTTGATGATGATTGTATCGAAAGTTTTACTGCTAAGCTCAACCAAGCTTGTCGGTCTATCTATTCTTGGAAACACAGTCGCGCACGTTACCTAGGCAGACTTCAGCAGTTCAGCTCCTCGTATGGACTCTATCGAGATGATGCGCCACAGCAAAAGCAACGGGACGAGTAAACCTCTGTGGCGTGGCACTGTTCTTTAGTCCTCGTATTCGCATTCCTATTCCTGCAAGATACTAACCTCTTTTCGGGTCAAAAGTATAAAAACATGGCGTGCCAGGTCCCTTGACATGGTTGTGAACCGCATGAAATAATGCTTGAATGAATACGAGTACAGACTACGGAGTACACGCAATGGAAAAAAACATCATCATCGTCGGCGGTGGCATGTGCGGCCTTGCCTCCGCCATCGCCATCTCCAAGGCTCTCTCCTCAGCTCAAACTAACCTAACCATCACAGTCTACGAGCTCCGCAGCGTCCCCAGCACCCTCGGCGGGCCGGTAAATCTCACCCCGAAGGCTCTCCGATGTCTGGACATGCTCGGCGTCTTGGACGAGTTAAAGCAAGCGAAGGCCGGCTGCGAAGTCGATGCCATCCAGATTCTCTCCCTGCGGACGGGCAAGCAGGTCGGGACGATCGACTATACCGGTCCCGAGGGGACCGGGTTCGGCGGGTACAAGGGGTGGCGGGTGATGCGGTATGAGCTCCTGCAGGCGATGCTGCGGGTGATTGCGCGGTTACCGGCCGTGAAGATCGAGTATGGGAAGAAGCTGGTGAGGGTGGAGGAGCTCGCCGGCGCGACTGCGGTGAGCGTCTACTTTGAGGACGGCACGAGCGCAGCGGGGGATATGGTGCTGGGGTGCGATGGTATCCATTCTGCTGTGCGGGGGTACATGTGCAGCCGGATCGCAAGCCTTCGTACTCTGCGGTTGCGGCGGCGTATGGTTTTGTCAAGGCGAAGGCTGTGCTTGGGGAGAACGGCAGGCCGTTTTTCAAGGATACAGCGCTGCTGATGTCGCGGTATGGGTCTGTGATGACGACCTTCTGCGACCATGCTCGGGAGCTCGTCTACGTGGTTGTGCTGATGCGGACGGAGGAGCAAGGGTCCCGCGAAGGGTGGAAGTTGCTGGAGAAGGACCAGGAGATGGTCCGGAAGGAAGGCAGGAGGATCACGCAGCAGTCGGCTATTCCTGACGCTGAGAAATTCATCGAGGCTGTGGAGGACTGGACGTTTTATCCGATCTACCTGCTCCCGCCGAACGGGCAGTGGGCCACAGATCGGGTGCTACTTCTGGGAGACGCTGCCCATGCGGTTCGTAATGGTTATCTCTCACCCTAGGAAACTGTCATACTGACGCACTCTGCACTAGATGCCTCCAAAAGGCGAGAGTATCGGTCATGCGCTCGAAGATGCGATCAAATTCGCCGAGGTCCTCTCGCGGTACGGGGTAGACGACCCCAAGGCCAGCTTCCGCTTCTTCGAAGACATTCAGCGAAAGAAAGTAGAGGCCGCCCACCAGGCCGCCGTTAGAGGCTGGATGCCGGCCCATGACATGGGCGCTGTGTTTTCTAGGGTATTCGAGTGGATCACTCCACTGTTCTTGTGGTGGATGACGAGAGAACAGCAGCAGGACTTTCTGGAAGATCCCATGGACATACCATTTCCAGATCGTGACGAGTCTGCAAGGCTGTGAGTGTAGCGTGCAGTGATATGCTATGTCCACTTGTCACAGTGATTAGCAATAAGTTATGCGAACTATCTATCATAAAGATCAGTTGGTCAGAGTTGGCGAAATGACTCCGCAGCCAATCTCCAGGGGTGGAGCAATTATCAAGGGAAATATTACTTTAGCAGCAGGGAGAATCTATTGATTGATCTGCGCAACTATTGTATTTTATGTTCACGAGTAACTGTAAGATATGGAGGATCTCCGCAGTCTGAATGTAAATGTTAAATTTAAATGTTAAAGATCATATTCCTATTTACTAGTAAACAGCACGTATGATACTAGGTGTCTTAGAAAGTGGATAAAGGCATATGCTTATACTAAGGATGTTCACTAATGAATCTACTCAACTTCTTGAGACTCTTGATGACTAAAAAAAGAGTTGTACATACTCAGGAGGTTCAAAGGCAACCGCCTGACCACCAGGAACAGGCACAATCTGTAGAGAACTTATCCCTAATTCATAAGGTCGTCCACATAAAGTATGATATCACGACAAAGACAATAAGCTCAAGTCATTGAAAGGTTAAGTCGTTGTTTCTATTCCATTTCCGTCAAACTGTCGAACAATGCAAGCTAAGACATCCACCACGTCAAAGAAAACTCTCGCAGAAAAGGCATCAGCATTTGGAATCCAAGTCCCGGATGAGTCAGGTATCATTATCTCAGCTGAGCCATTGACATATATGCATCCTGCACAGCTTCAGCCCCCTAGTCTTAGTCAGTCATTTTCTTTGGGGGTGGAGAGGGGGCCTGTTTCCCCTTCCACTTCAACTCTGGTTTCCCATGAGCAGCTTTCTTTATTTCTCTCTCTCTGTATAAGGCGCCTCTGTGTGTTGTGCGACATTCTTTTGCCTGTCGGATGTGTACGAATGACAGACTGGAAAAAGCGAAGAAATTGTAGCGGTGACTGTGGCGAGGCAGTGGTTGATAGCTCATATGCACCAAGGCAGTCCAAGGGTGATCCCTGACAGATCTCGGAAAGGCCTCGAATGATGGATGGATTCTGTGAAAGACTGAATTGGACTGAATCAAGGGATGACTCGAAGGCATTTCTTCGGTGGCCAGACAGCTCATTATTGTCTGTCAATTGCTTATCGACGCATCATTCGTCCTTGGTCATCGCTGACAAGGCCATAGTGATCATGCCTATTTTTGGAGAACCCGCACACACGGACAGATTTGGATCTCTGAAGGATTTCTAGTCTGTAAAATTCATCACCATCGTCATCTCTTTGCCTTGGGTCGAGGGATACTCATCGAAGCAGATGGTCTGGCACCCAAACCAGCAATACCTGCCCATCGTCAACCGTCTCTCCCACTGAATCAATCGAACGAAATGCAGGTGACGGACCGCCTCGTCTTCTCTAACCAGTAGCCATTCTTTCGTGTTCGTCCAGGTCTGGCGGTGTAACCTGGAGACGCCAAGCGCAGTGTCCTCCTCGTAGATATACAGTGACTGAGTGACAGAGACTACTGCGTCGCTCCCAGCATACCTGATCACCCTCGGTTTCATACCAGAGGTCGGAGTATGTAAGACGACTTAGACGACTATTTCTACACCACATAAATTATCTGGCACCGAAAGAACCTTCAGGAAAAGAGTTCCTTTGTTTCGAGAATTGTTCTCCGTGTCTTCTAGCTGATCTGTCGTAGTTGATCGATGCATGACATATCGTCTTCTCTCTGGACCGCTCCACTAATTCCTCTGTGCAGAACAGACAGACTCGATTTCCTCCATCAAGAAGTTGATACATCCCATCTACGGATCGGCAAGTCACCAATTTCACTCCACGCTAGACGAGTAGACGAACCTGTGGCTGTTGACGCCAGATCTCTTTCTATCTACTATTGTCACTACACCGTCTCTCCAACATTGAATTCATATCGGGGTACGATCATCTCCCTTGAAACTTGCAGAGAATAAAACGACCTGATTTTTGTCTTCGCTCCCTTTTGGTCTTCTATTTTCTTTCTTTCATTGTCGAAAAAGCCAGGGGTTCGCGTTATATCCCGTCCCAACTCCATTCGTCCTCTTCAGCCATCAGGTACCCATCAGGTTCAACTTTGCCACCAGTACCCCTGACGTGAAGGGACAGTCAGGCCTTTAGGTAGGAATTACCAATCTTGGTTATCTAACTACCTTTGATTAGTTGTTGACTGAGTATCGACCGTCAGACACGCATGCTGACTCTCACCAATTTTCCAGACCGTTGCTTTTTCGGGCAGTGACCCAGCCTGACTTATCCGCGTTTCGCTGCATATAGAGTGGGAGGTTGCCTGAGTTCAAGAATTCTTCTTGACTTTCCAACTTGGAGAAAGAGACATCCGGGACGTTCAATTGCTGCAGATCCCTGAGCTGGCCCAACTCAGCTATCATCATGCCTCCGCGCGACAGAGGACGAGCTCGAGCTCGAGCATCAGATGAAGAGTTCGTTCTATTTCTCCAGGGTGTAAGCCACCGATCAAACTCCTCCAGCTGAACCAGATGGCATGTCTTACTGAGAGAACAGATCCCAGCGCACTGCCGCTGGCAAGAGCTCAAGGACATGGTACGCCAGACAGCCTTGCATATACGACAGGCAGTCGTATACGACGACCAGCACGGGTTTCCCACTGGTTTGGGGCAAATTATCGTGAAGAACGAAGATGAAGCATGGCGCACATACCGTATGTCAAACCAGAGCATGAAAACAAATTGACGGCTAACCGAACGCTCAGATAGACTCTCCACCAACGGATGGGATGGACAGAGTCTTGTCGTCACTCTGGCTCGAACGAGCTCACCTACGAGGCCTGTTGCCGGTCCCACGAAAAGCCCAAGCTGTGTGATCCCCCCGGCATACGTAGCAGGCTATTCGACTCCTCCTCGAGTGGCGCAGAACTTGGCCATCCCTCCTTCACCAATCTCCCCAGAGTGCGTCCCCTTCCCTTGTGGTCAGTGTAATGCAGCTAACGAGAGCAGCACTCCGCTCGTCTCGATGGCTCCAGCTCCAGCCCCAGCTTACCAGGGCCAGGGCCCAGAGTATGCACAGGTCATCAATCCCATGGCCATGCCCCCTCCACCTCCCCCGTATCTCCAGCCGTTCGTCCCCATTTTCACCGACCAACTACCGAGTATCCCCCACTCGCCATCCCTAAGCCACTCCTTCTGCGACACTCTCGCCTTCGCCATGCTCCCCACATACCCTATCCCCCGCTACACCCTCCTCACCCCGACCACTCCTTCACCACCAGCAACACCAACAACAACAACAACAACAACAACAACAACACCCCTCAGCCAAGCACCACCCTCTACCCGCGCAAACCCTCAAGCAGCGACCAAACCCAAACCCAGACCCAACCGCGCTTCACCCCCGCCGCACAATCTTCATCCAAAACCTCAGCCCAACAACCACCCCGCACGACCTAACCCTCTTCCTGCAGGACGCAGGGACTATCGAGCAGTGCGAGATGCCCCTGAACCCAGATACAGGCCGCTGCAAGGGCTTTGCGCGCGTCACTTTCCATTCTGCCGACGAGGCCAAGCGCGCCATCGCCCTGTATAACACGGCTTTTTTTCTTGGCGCGAAGATCAGGGTTAAGATTGATCGGAGCGGGTATTTTTCTTCGGGTCATGGGAATGGTCAGGGCCAGGGCCAGGGGTATGCGGCGAGGGAAGGGTATTATCTGCCGAATAGACACAATCAGCCTGAGAGGAAGACGGTTGAGGGCGATATAACCCCTGCGCCGGGGACGGGTCCGGGTCCGAGGACGGTTTACAGGAACGGCGGGCCGCAGAGGGAGACGGAAAGGGATAGATGCCAGCCACTTGTGGTGAACGGGTCCGGACTGGGGAGCAAGACGGCGGTGGCGATTTGATCTAATGCATAGCATCTGGGTGTTGAGCGTATGTATACTTGCTTCTTTTCTTTGTCTTCGTCTGCTGAGTTGAATGGGGTTGATTCTGCTTCCTGCATCATTGCTTTCCATTTGAAATTCCATCATGCAATTGCTTCTGGGCGTCAGGGAGGGCAATTAGAGGTGGACGTCGCATCTGGCGGAAGTCAAAAGTTCATTGCCTAGACTAATTAACAGTAAAGTCATCATTCATCAATCGTTCTGATCTAACAATACATGCACATGCATTTCGTCCCGTTCCATTCAATGCATCTTTTGCGTCTCTTTTCCTTGCCTCATTATTCATTCAGTATAACAGTAACAGTCCAGTGTGGTATGGCAAGCGCATGCAGAAGGCAGAAAGCCCTCAGGTAGCCACAACACAACAAAGCAACAGGGAAAACATCATAACCCAATCGGGTGACAAAAAAGAAAAGGCAATATGCAAGCTGTAGATAATACATGTTACCTGATATATTACATGGGCGATACGACCAACGGGCCTATTTAGCATGATCGATCAACTCCGCATAGAGAGCATCAGGAATCTTCCGGACAATGAGGACGGTCAGGGCAATGATCTCCTTTGCGTCGAGCGGCGGGAAGGACCGGAGGATCTTGTTGGGGCTGTGTGATTGGTCAGAATCGATTCGTCCATGCATAGCAATGTGATGTGTGACTTGTTGATATTGGAGAAGAGAAGAAAACATACCTTGGACTATCGAGAATGGTGTCTCTCATCCGGATCAGCTGCGCAACGATGCATAGAATATTCAGATGTGGGCCATATGCGAACAAGAAATCCCACAGGTGGAGCACCTCGGGCAGTGGCGGCGTGCAGGCGCACAGTGTCAGCACAGATGGGAAGGCGTAGAGCTCCGCTTGCATTCCCTTAGAGAAGAGATAGGCGGCGAGCTTGGGCTCGACGATCTCGAGGCATCGATCGACCAGCCGCAGACCCCGGTGGACGCCGTCCATGGCGCCCCGGATATAGCCTGGGCATTCCCTGGTAATGAAATAGTAAAACAGCGCAAAGGCCTCGACTTCGCTGCGCGCCACGTAGAGAAAGGGCGCGCAGAGAACGTTCATTCCCTGCACGTAGATCGCCGACTCGCTGGTGATGGCTTCGCTGCTGGGTGTTCCCATCAGGAGGTTGTCTGTAGGCTCTTCTTCTGCGATGCTCGGTGGTGTGTTGATCAAAAGTTCCATTTCCCGCCTGCGGGAGGTCGATAGGCGCGATTTCGGTCGCTTTTTGGCCTTCGCATCGTGAATCTTCCATGCTGTGGCGTTGAGTAGTCGGATCAGGCTGGCTTCGGTGACCCGTCGCTTGAACAAGGGGTCGGTGGCTAGGGTGCGGAATGTGTCGTTACGGATCTTGGTATAGGCCGGCGAACGACCGCGATGGATGAGTGAGAGGTATTCGTCGGTTGGTAGAGGAGGGATATCGAGTAGTGTGAGCCATAGGTAAACGCGATATGTCGACTAAAACAGACATGTTAGCATGGCAGGCTCATTCTCCCCCTACCCGTCTCAGCGCAGTTGCAAACATCCACATACCATGCCATCACCATCTGCTTCCACCCTTGTTGACAGGACAAGGTATCTCAGCTCCTTCAGTGCATCGTCGACGTCCCCATTCTGCGGTCCATCCCGTAACAGCGTCTCCAAGACTGATCTCTTGATCCCAAACCCCGAGCCTGTCTTCCTCCCCGATCGTTTCTGAGTCTGTAAGATCGGTCGTTCGCCAGAGCCAGCGTCACTATTTGACCTAGCCCGACGGTGTCGCAGCCGAACAGGGGAATCCAAATGTGCCGGTTGCGCCAACTCCTCGGCGTTGACGGACGAGCGCGCAGTGGAAAGATGTGATGTCGGACCGCTAAACCCAGAAGGATTCGACGAAAGGATCTGATGCGACTGTATCTTTCGCAAAGTTCGCATCGTCCGGGGTGAAGAGGAGCCCGCAAGAGCGGCTAGATTCAGCTGGGCTTGTGTTGGCTGGGACATGGCTGGTCCTGTATGAGTATGGAACAGGGGTTTGTTTTTTAGCGCACACGATCTCTGCTGAAACGGTCGCGGAAAGTGACCATCTTCCTGACGATGAGGACAGCAGCCAAGGATGAGAAGAAGAAATAAGAAGCTGTTAGTGCCGAGAACCTAGTAGTGTATCCGGGGATAAGAAACGTAGTTAGATGCAGGTTCGGACGATCCGCACCCAATATGCATCTCTGGGCATGGCGGGCTTTTTCCCGATCGAGGAATGCGGGGACACGCGACGCGCCACAAATAGATTATTGATGTTTCAATCTGGAGATTACTTCTTTATTATTTATTTTCCAATGCCTCACATAGAAAAGAAAAAAAGAGATAACAGATGGTGGTTGTGATGGATCATGCTGGGCCCTCGTAAATAACCCCGTCGGCCCGCCAACAGAAACGTCATGTGTAGGGGCAACCCATGGATGTCTTCAATAACTAAGGGAGGTAGGATACTTCTGTTTGGATGCAATCAGCAAGAATATACGTCGTTGCACAGCTTCCAGAGCCGAAAATTAAGTATACAAAATACATCTCCTATGTAAATACAAGCTCGCCGCCTTTCCAAAACGCCATATCCAAGATCACAGCTACTAACGAATAGTCCTATCTCGCGATGGTATCAGGATCACGGCGCCCACTTGCTGATCCTCCTATGGCGCTATCAACAAACTCCTGATAGCGAAGCACCTCGCCTCTTTTCCCTCCTCCAGGCAGTTTCCCGGCTTTCCCACCAAACACTCTGCGTCCGGTGAATCCACTCAATACCTCGTTGATATCCTTCTCCGTCAACGGTGAATGTCCATCCTCCGACGCTGTGTGTAAAAGTGCATCGCGAAGCTCTGCAACATCAATCTGTCCGCTATCATCGTCGTCAAAAGCAGCCAAGGCATTCATGAGCTCCTGGCGAGAAGAAAGAGGCGCGAGTAGACTAGATAAGATATTCAGAAATGTAGGGAAATTGATCGTCTGGTCGCTTCCTGGAGGGAAGAATTGCGAAATTATCGAGGCATCCTGGCCTGAATTATGACTCGGATTAGTCCAACCTTTTTGAGCAACAGAGAAGGCAATTGACTTACCGATATTCACAAGCACATCAGCGACGTCGTCCTTGTTCACGGACCCATCGTTATCTCGATCGAGGACTTGAAATGCCTCGCGGATCTCCCTCAACTGTGCCGGCGTCAATTTGGCAGCGGCGTCGCTCGAAGCAGCCATCATGCTGGCAGTCTTTACTTCCATGATGGAGGAGGAATCATCGGGAGCGTCTGCTCCTTTGGTCGGCGATGACGGCACCTCCCTGGTGAATTTGGGTTGTGGGATTGGCTTATCACTCTTCGGAGAGGATCCATCGTCGTCTGCAACTGTATATGTCTGATTCAACTTGCTTGGTGACTGTACTGGAGTATATCCTCGCCCCGGGGAGCTTCCTGCAGTTCCTGGTGTGCTGGGACGGATCTGTGTGGGCGGTGAGTTGGGTGTAGACGGTCGGCGAAAGGGAGAAGCTCGAGGAGACCCAAAGGATAAGGGCGATGGCCGGAAGGGTGTGTTTGAACCCTGCAATAGTCTTGTGGTCAGCCTGATATGATCTGGCTATCAGCTGTTGCGGCGAGGGGAAGCAGCACACCATGATCTGAGATCTTTGTGAATTCCGACCTAGACGGTTTTCAATAATCCTAGATATCTTTTGTAGATTGTACTCCAGAATTTCAATCAGCAGCAGAAGCAAGTAGTACGGATTCAGATTGCATTGGATGCTGAGGTTATCTGCGTCTACTCTGCGATACCGTAACCATGCATCGGACCAGACAAACAAACAAAACACCGCACGGATGACGGCATAAAGTCGGCCCGCTTCTTCGCACGTGCGCGTCTGCGGGGGATCTTGATCCTCCAGTTGATGCTGAAGCCTGGAGACAGATAACAAGAGTTTCCACGAGTTGGGTTTTTCCGGGAATTCTTCGTCCTTACGATAATCCCTTCTTTGCTTCCTCCATCAACGGAATGAAACCATGAGATGCCCAAGAGGAGCTGTGCGGAAACTGTGCTTGAAGCCGAATAAAGCATGTGGATGGTCTTCATAGCCAGTGGAGTCAAATGGCCACACTGAGGTCGGCAACGACTCAATGCCTCAGGGCCATGGATCAGATGATGCCAACATGATGAGAGACGGAAGAATATGCTCCAGCATAGCGCTCGTCCTGAGGCCTTGTAACCGGTCTACGAGGAGTAATCGACAGCCATCGGCTTGAGATGCTGCGCTTTTCTCGACAACTCTGAATGCTGCTATGTGCTGCTTTTCGCAATCTGCCAGAGCCAACTGGACTGCATGTTTGAGTGGACGAGAGGGCTTGACAAATCCTCCTGAGAACCCACGCAACGTGTTTGCGAACTCGGCAACTGGTACGAAGGCGTTGTTCTCCTCAAATAAGGGGAAACACATTACCTTAGAGCGGGTCCCAGACCTCTGTCACCTCAGCAGGGCCTTCTGTGACCACCAACGCGCGGAGTTTCTAGCGATTCGATAGTATTCCCGGTACACTGGTGCCCTCTTCAGAGTGAAAAGGACTGGAGTTTTCTCCTTTTGAGATTGGCACGAGGGAAGAAGGGATTGGATATTTATTGAAACTACCGTAGTTCTCAAGTCGTAGCGCAGACAGACAGGTACTATCATCGCTTTCGCGTTTCTGAATAAATGAATCCCGGCTCAGTCGCCGTTCACAATATCATTGGCGATCGCATCATCTTTCAAGACTCTGTAAGGCGGTCTTAACAAACGGCTTCCCCGTCTGCATAATCTGCCAGAAGATCCGAATCACAGCTTGCGAACATGGCATCTGCTGAGGGTGGAAATGGTCGTTTTGCGGGACTAGACAGTGGGAGATTGGAGTCTAAAACACACATCGGATCAGTGTACCTGCATGGTCTATTCGCGAATCACACCAGGTGTGGTTGAAGTAGTCTTAGATTAATTTCCTGCCATGCAAGGGGACAACGGAATATTGTCGCGACCTCACGATGGGATTGATCTGGTCCTGGCACTGCTTCCCGTCGACTTTCCCCGCTGTGGAGATGGTTGGTACGTGGTGGTTTGGTTCGATGGGTTGAGTTGTCCCCTTTTTCCCTTCAGATCGACTGCGCAAGTGAAACCCCCTGAAAATGAACCGACGAACGACGATCGACTAAGCTTCCGATCGGTCACAAACTGACTAACTAGCAGATTGGCCATGGCATCCTACTTACTCAGGACTCTTTAATGTCCATTGATGCGAGATATGCGGTGATTATACCCATTTCTCTGCTAGGAGCAGTCCTACCCGTATCTCTTATCCTCCCATTGCTTTTCTCCCTCACTACCGAAAATGACCACCACTCTTCCGTTCCGACCGTCCGACGATGCTGCGCATCCATTCCCTTCCGTATCGAACCCGTCGAAGTCCAATGGCCTGCCCCGATTGTCTCCATCCCCCTCGGTCGTCAAGAACAGATCTCCCAGCAGCTCAAGATCTTTGCGTCGGCCCTCCGGAGATCATCTCGCTGCCCCTCGTGCCTCCAGACCCCGACGATGCAAGTCACAATATCCTTTACACTCATCGGAGCGCCATGTCGAGTACATCCTCGTCGCGTCCTTCCACATTGACCGGGGTCCGATCATGGAACATCAGTATCCGGCGCCCATCAGCGGAGATGAGAGCATGCTTGCGGAATTGATGCTCCCGGACCAGACGCATGTACGGAGCCAAGACTGGACCATCTTTTTCTTGCACAAAGACACCAGTGCGGAGGGAGAGGACGAGGATTCAACAACGGCGAAGAAAAAACGGCGGAAAAGGGCAAGGACAGAGCAGAACCCAGGCGACGAAGCGGACGACAATAGCCAGGACGAAGATACCGATGCTCTCACAGAAGAGAGCAGCGACGAGGAAGACGATGGTGGCGAGGGGCCACCGTTGATGTACGTGCTTAATCTTGTGAATACAAAGCAAGATAACACAGTCAGACGGTTTGTTCTCCTGCTCCACAGCGTCGTGAATCACTGAGCTGATTTCATCTGCAGAGGTGCGGTCGTCAAGGCGATGGCAATCTGTACGCGCCATTCATTCCTTCATATCTACAAGGTGATTTCACCCGTCTTCAATTGAGATGAACATGTGCTCATACCATTGGCATCATAGCCCTTGCTATTACTGGCGCTGGAGGACTATTTCAAGTCGCCGTACCCCGAGACTCTGGCGACGCTGTACAACGCCGTTAACGAGATGGATCTATCATTGATGCCCAAGCTTTCGCTCCTGGAACGGCAGATTTTGCAGGCTAGTAATGCGAAGGACATGTTTATTGAAAAATTCGAGCAGATGATCCAGCAGCGACTGATCGAGGAGGGAGAGCCTGCGGAAGACACCCCGCCATCGCCCAAAAAACCCGCCCCTCGGTATGCGCTTCCCCGCGACACCCACGAGTTCGAATCGCGAGTCATTTACAATGACATTCCCATTCCTGTCAAAGTGCCAACTGTTATATGGCCCGAAATTGTGGGGGACTTTTCTCTCATCAAGCTCATCCAGACGTTCTCTACTGTTCATGCTGCAGCACCTCAGCCCTTTCCCCTTCACCCGCACTTGACCACCAATGGTTCCTATACGCACCCGATCATCGTCCTTGTCAACGCCATGCTCACCCAGAAACGGGTGATTTTCTTGGGCCACAATCGGCCCTCGGGCGAAGTAGCGGAGGCAGTTCTGGCCGCCTGCGCTCTTGCATCCGGTGGGATCTTACGTGGCTTCACGAGACATGCCTTTCCCTATACCGACTTGACGAAGATCGATGATCTGCTGAAAGTTCCTGGCTTTATCGCTGGAGTAACGAATCCCACCTTTGCAAATCATCCCGAATGGTGGGACCTCCTGTGCGATCTTCCCACCGGCAGAATGAAAATCAGCAGCCACATCGAGCCCGCCCCGGTTACGGAGGGTCTACTGTACTTTCAACAGAGCTCTTTCCTCCAAAACTACACGCCGAGCGCCCATCCGGACCCCACCGGTGACAACGCCTTCATGGAAGACGTCCAACGGAGTATCACTAACCGTTACGGAGAGAATGCGATTCGTGCGAAATGGCGCGCATACATTACCAAATTCACGCGCGTCGCGGCTGCGTTCGAGGAGACCGTGTACGGAGCGTCGAATCTCTACATCATCGGACCTAACGAGGAGCTATCTCCGGAGAGCCCGAGTGGTGTCCAAGCCGATCCCCTGGACCCCACAACGCTACGTGGCCATGGCTATGTGTGGCCCGACGAGGCAACGAAGCAGCGAGAATTGATCGCCTCTGTGTCACGAATCGAAGGCTGGCGCACGACACGGTCCTACTACTCGTTTATACAGGACATCGCGGCCATGTACTATCCCGCGAGACCAATCCAGAAACCTGACCTGCACCATCACCATGATCGGCTGCGCACATTGCGGCTATCTCATGCCGACGCTGGAGCTATCTACCTTGCCTTTTCCCATGCAGTCAAGGACTATGCAGGCATATGCCAGCTTCTGACGGTGACGCCAGAAAGCCAAGCTGGTCTTTTCTACATCAGCATGGGCCTCTTTCACCCCGATCAGACCGTTCGTGAAGCAACAGCCGATCTTCTGGATCGAATAGCTGCTCACCCCGCCGGCCGACACTTCTGGGCTCAACTCAGCCGCTTCAATAAACTGGCATACTTCCGAGTCCGACGCGAGAGGGATGCAGCGCAAAGCCCTATATCGACGGGGCCGAGTTTGGGGGCGCCGCAATCTCTCATCGGAATCGCCACTGGCAATGCCTCGAGGCCAAGCTGAAATCACCTAACGTCCTGACTACAGTGTTCTCGTCCATATTACATATAACGACAGTGAATATATCTATTCGATTATACAATTCTTGGATATCATTTTCTTTTTTTTTTTTCCCTTTTTTTTTTTCTTTCATGTGAGTGGGGAGGTGGGTTACACCTCATGTGTATTGTTCTAGGCGATATGGCATGCGATACATGGCGGTATGATATTTGATGAAGTTATTCAATTCAGTGTCGATACTTGAAATACTATGAAGCATAATGATGACCTTGTTCCTTAATTCCAGCAATCAATGTCGTTAAGGCACGAAGCATGTAGGTGTTATTATTACATTAAATCTATATAAATCTGACAGTAAGGTGAACATCCAAGGAAGTAGAACATGCCAAATCCACACTCGCTGTCGTTATCCATGCAACCATGACCTGAAGAAGAGCAAACAAGCGACAGACACCATATACGTAAGGAGAGAAGCGAAATATACAAGGAAATGCGACAGGCGTCACAGCGAAGAATCACAGCAGAGACATCCCAAGACTTAGCGCCACCGTCCACCCGACCAACCGCCAATCAACCGCTGCGGGCCTCCAAGCCCCCGACGTCGTTTTTGCTTTCTCGCCAACGGTGATGTTCACATTCGCGAAATTATCGCCACAGTGCCGGTTCAGCGCCAATGCAGAGGGGAGATAGGAGGTCGTGAGCGGCTGGCCGTCGACCTGCGCCCAGCGGCTGAAGATATCCATGCTGGCTTGCAGGCACTCGTTGCAGGTGGGCCAGGGGGCTTCGTCGGTGGGGTACCCGGCGGGAATGGAGTAGGTGTCGAGGTTCTGCGGGGAGGAGGCGTTGGTGGCTGCGTCGACGAAGCAATAATCGTTTGTGTCGGGGTTCTTGAGGCAGGCGGCGCGGTAGACGGGCTCGTAGGTGATGAAGCCTGTGTAGGCGTTTGCGACGAGCGGGTTCCCGAGCTTGTAGTCTTTGCCGCAGGCGTCGTCTTTGAGCAGGTTGGTGGCGAGGCGGTTGAAGATGGAGGTGCAGGTGTCGACGGAGGCGGCGCAGGAGAGGTCGAGGACGTGCGAGGTGGCGGTTGCGGAGGTGAGAGTGTGGAAGAAGGAGGTGGAGTCGTGGAGGAGGAGCGAGATGGGGTAGCAGGAGGTGACGGTTGAGTTGGAGAGGAAGTCGTTGAAGAATTTGGGGCAGCTGTCGGCTGTGAAGTTGTTGGAGAGACTGGTGTCGAAGGGTGTCGGCAGCGAGTCGGTGCTGGAGTCGGAGCGGGCGTGCAGGTGCGATGAAGTGTGTTCATCGACCTCCTCCTCGGGGGCGATGAGGATGGGTAGCGTGGCTGCTTCGTCGGCCAGACTGCTCTCGATGGCCCAGGTTTTGCCGTATCGGGATTGTCCACTATCCAGATGTTCGCCCGTTACGCTGTTTCCGTTGTGACGGGCTTCATTTCGAGATAGGAACATGCCATGAGCTAGTGGGTGAGAGTCATCTGGAATCGCAGCCGTAGAAACTAGCGACGACAGAAGCAGTACCATCAGAAGTGTAACCAAGGTCGAAAATTGAGATGTGCATTTTGGATTGCCGGATTGGTGATGTCGTGAGGTACTGCAGACATCAGGTCTCACACTTTCACCCAAGTGCGATGGTCTGCTTGGCCTATATGGACTAGAATGAAGGAACGACTCCATATTGGCAGAGAATTGAACGAATGACATTGCCACAATGGCTTGGAATTGAACTCAAAGCGATAAAAGAGAGTGTGTCAGAGGCCAGTGGTTATCATGGTCTCTGGGGTCCTTGACCTGGTGGGTGGTATATCATCAACGAATGTGAAAATGAGAGACTATTAGTACAAAAACTACCCAGAATCATCAATCAAGAAAGGACAGCAGAAGGATTAAGACTGCCCCGGCGGAGGCATAAGAGAATCATGATCCAGCCTCGTTGACAGACAAGAAAGAAGAGAGAAAAGAATAGGATGCCTGTCAGTCTGACAGTCTGACAGAAAGCAAGGAAGAGCACGAAAACCTTCAGGAGACAGACAACCTGCAGCAACAACGAGAACCGCTGTGTGACTGCAGAGTTTAACTTTGGACTATTCAGCCTAGGGCTGCTGGTGGTACGGACCGCCCTGCAAAATCAGTGCTTTTGGCGTCAGTCTATTGAGACAGATGCCTTAAAACTGGGCATTATAGCACCGAGCGTAAATATAGCAACCATTAATGGACCAAGGAACGGTCTGGCCACGAGTAGAACCTGGACGAGTGGATCTCTCGTCTGCAGAGGTCCGACTATCTCTTCCACAGAAGTCGACACTAGAAGAGAAGAAAGGGGAACATCTTCGGAGAATCCGCAGAGCTAGGACCTGTCCATGGCCCATGGCCATATGGGCAATGGTCAGTGGTCTACGGAGTACGGAGTATATATCCAGAGTCCAGACTCCATCCTGTGACGATCGCAAAGCAAGTGAGCTTCTTTCTATGATGCAATCATCCTTCGTAGGAATGGGAGTAATGAGACTATATGAGTTATCTACTCCCTCATACCGAAAAGTGACCAAAGTGTCCGATTGACCCCTGACTCAGAAAGCGGAAAACCAGGAGGGAAGTACCCATCAGTACCATTCCACCAGCCATTTACCGTTGAGCTACATCGGGGTACATGGACAGTGCAGGAAATCGAGCCGAGCCTTGATTGGCCAATCATGCCGCCAGAAAATTCCCTCCACTTCCATCCGCATTTTGTCATCAGGACAGATACCTAAGTTATCTAAGTAGTGATTGATTCATTGTATCAGATACAATTGATGTAGTTGATTCGAGCTCGGACTATTATGAGCTGTGTATGATCAAGGAACATCACAATTTTTCACCATAATCTCTCCTTCTTTACATTGAAAGATCGGCGTCCTATAACTCCGTACTTGCATACCATGTCCTCCGACAGCTTAGTACCTGAAACAAGGGTACTTGCCATTGCGAGTCATGTAAGTCTATTTGCCCACCTTGATTCCAGCTTTGGTTGATGGGATCATAGTCGGAGTACAGGTACTGACGAGGAGAGCCAGGTTGTCTACGGGTACGTACTCCCTGCTGTGTCACTGTACCCCTCCAAGTGCGCCAGGATATAGACCTCTTGTCATCTATAGCGTGCACCCGTGGCAATATGAATTGAGCAGCGACTAATGGCATCAGATATGTTGGCAACAAGATGGCTACGCTGGTCATGCAGCTGCTGGGGTGTGATGTCGCCGCCCTGAATACTGTCCATTTCAGTAATCAACCCTATATATCCTTTGTCAGATTGAGTCAACTAACATTCAACAGGCAACCACACCGGCTACAGGCAATTCAAAGGCACAAGGTCAACAGCCCAAGAGATTAGCGACCTATATCAGGGTCTCTGCCAGAGCCATCTCACGGATTTTGATGTCATGTTGTCGGGTTATGCCCCAGTGCTGCAGCAGTAGAGGCAGTAGGGGCTATCGGCTTAGATCTGCAGCGCAAGGCCGAGTCAAACCCTGGCTCATTTTTTTGGGGTATGTTCAACTCTGTCGTTGTTGAATTCCCCGCTAACGGTGAACCAACCTACAGTCCTAGACCCTGTCATGGGCGACCAGGGCCGGCTATATGTCAATGAGGATGTAGTGCCTGCATATAAAAAGATCATCCATCACGCTGATCTGATTCTTCCCAATCAGTTCGAAGCCGAGTAAGGATGCAGCCATTGCCTTTAGTCCGGTAACACTCTTATTGACCACGTCCCCTTAGAGTCCTCTCCGGAATCAAGATCACCTCCCTCAGCACCCTCGCCGAGGCCATCACCGCCATCCACACCACCTACTCAGTCCCACACGTCATCATCACCTCCGTCCGCATCTCCCAGTTCTCCTCATCCCCAGAAACCACCACAGACAACCTAACCGTGATCGGCTCCACCATCAAATCCGACGGCTCCCCTCGGCTCTTCCGCGTAGACGTCCCCGCCCTGGACTGCTTCTTCAGCGGCACAGGCGACATGTTCGCGGCCCTGACGGTCGCCCGGCTCCGCGAAGCCGTATTCGCAGCCGACTCCACCCTCCGCTCGACCAAGTCGTGGGTCTCCCCGACGACGTCCAAGCCACCGATCTGCCTCTCGCCAAGGCCACCGTGAAGGTGCTGGCGAGCATGCACAGTGTCTTGGAAAGGACCCTGGAAGCGCGTGATGTGGAGCTCCGCGCCACTGCGTCTGCGGAGAAGACTGAACCGGGCTTGAGCGAGGGGGAGAAGCAGAAGAGGGAGTACTTGCGGCGGACGAAAGCCGCCGAGGTGAGGGTTGTGCGGAATGCGCGGTTCCTGCGGGAGCCGGATGTGGAGTTCCAGGCGCGGGAATGGAAAAAGGAAGATTTGCCTGCGGGACTTCAATAGTCGAGTGCATGATTTAGACGTACTACTTCGTATAGACTTATTGATAGACCTAACTCATGAATAGAACGTGTTATGAGTACCCTGTCATTTTTCTAGTATTGTCATGTCTCTCTATGTCGTAAATAATCCAAATTCGTTTATATTAAAGACCCGTGCTTCCAAACCCACCCGCCCCACGGACGCTCTCCTCCAATTCCTCCACGACCATCACCTCGGGCGTATAGATCTAGGTACCATCAGCATCAACACGCCCAGAATGACAGGTAAAAACTTACCCGTTCAAGCACAAGCTGCGCAATCCGGTCCCCCACCTTAACCGTAAAATCCACATCCGAGAAATTAAACAACAGCACCTTCACCTCACCCCGGTAATCAGCATCAATGACGCCCGCCCGGTATCGATGAAGTGCTTCGAGGCAAGGCCACTCCGGGGAGCAACGCGGCCGTCTGTTCGTCAACTAATTAGCATTCCATTCTTCCGAAAGATGAAGAAAGGATAGGAGCAGCATACATGTCCCCTCAGGCACGGCAATCGCAAGCCCAGTGTCAACCAGGGCTTTACCCTTGGCCGGGATGACAGTCTCCTTTGCGCTGTAGAGGTCGTAGCCTGCGGCGAAGGCGGACCCGCGGCTGGGTGCTTGTGCGGACTCGGTGAGTTTCTTGACGAGGAGGGGAGGGAGGGCTGAGAGATGGAGGTGACGGCGGGTGCTGTGCCGGTGGTCATCTTGTTGGTGTTGGCTGTGCTGTTGGAGTCGGGTTTTGTTCGTTTGGCGAGGGGAGAGGCGGGGAGAGAGGGAGGTTCGTGGGTGGGAGCTGTGGATTGCTGAGGCGGTGGTGTGGTCTCTTTTGTCATAACTTGGATTGGGATTGCGAGATGTATGGAAGAGAAAGAAATTGCGGTGTGCCTGTCCAGAGCTATGATAATTGACCCAGCAGAAGATGCATGTATGGTAGACGCGTCTGGCGGTGTACGCGCACCGCGTTGTTAATTGGCTTGGCATGTTTGCTCTTATTGTGCTAAATTTTCAGCCTCAGGCACAAGTCCAAATCACCGAGCTCCGACGCCCCGCAAGTGCAAGCTCGGGCCAGAGAAATGGGGTTCGCTGCCAATTGGACTGTTTTGCCTCGGTCCGCAGCGCTGGAGCTGACCTGGAGCATGTCCTGCTTTCTTATTACCGGGGTTATTTCTGTCTCCAGGTTCCTCCGGTTTTTACATACCTGTTCGGGTTGACACTGGGGAGAAGGGATTTCTAAATCAACTACCCTTGTATTGTTTGAAAGTTGGCGTCATGGCTGGAGCTGTACGCCAACCGATTGATATCCCGTCGCTGGAGCGATACCTCGACCAGAACGTGCCTATCATCAAGACGCCAATTGATGTGAAACAAGTAAGTCGTCAATCCTCTTTCTTCACTTAGTTGATATGTTGACTTCAACAGTTTGGCTTCGGGCAATCCAATCCCACCTACCTCATCACCGGCTCGGACAAGCAACAATATGTCCTACGAAAGAAACCGCCAGGCAAGCTGCTGTCCAAGACAGCGCACCAAGTCGAACGGGAATACAAGATCATCCACGCGCTAGAGAAGACCGACGTCCCTGTCCCCAAGGCATACTGTCTATGCGAGGATAGCAATATAATCGGCACTCCGTTCTACATCATGGAGTTCCTGGACGGCCGAATATTCACGGATCCTGCCATCCCTGGCGTAAGCGCAGAAGAGCGAACCGCACTGTACGTCTAGCCCTCTTATTTAGGACCAGACAGATACTAAGAGGCGCAGATGGCGCGATGCAGTCCGCACCTTAGCCAAGTTCCACCGGGTCGTCCCCAAGTCTGTCGGCCTGGAGCGATTCGGCAAGCCGTCCGGCTACTACGACCGCCAGATCGCCACCTTTACCGCCGTGTCCAACGCACAGGCGCAGGCCGTCGACGTCGAGACCAAGAAGCCCGTTGGCGAACTGCCCCACTTCATGGACATGGTGCGCTTCTTCTCCGACAAGGCCACCCAGCCACTCGACAGAGGCACCCTCGTGCATGGCGACTACAAGATCGACAACATGGTCTTCCACAAGACAGAGCCGCGCGTCATCGGCATCCTGGACTGGGAGATGGCGACGGTCGGCCACCCGCTGTCCGACTTCTGTAATCTCACTAGCCCCTATTTCCTCGACGGGACGGACCACAAGACGGAGCAGTTCCAGCCCGGCGTGGTGCCAGGCCTGCCGAGACGCGAGGACTGCTTGCGGTGGTACCGCGAGGTCGCCGGGTGGGACCCCACGCCGGATATCCTTTGGGGTGATGCGTTCTTCTCGTGGAGGAGCTCGGTGATCATGCAGGGAATCGCGGCGCGATATGCTCTGCGCCAGGCCAGCAGTGCGCGTGCGCAGGAATACGCGCAGAAGACCGGGCCGTTTGCCTTGGAGGCGTGGGAACGGGTCAAGAAGGTACAGGAGCAGGTACGTCAGAAGGGGAAGCTGTAGTATTGTCAATGCAGTACGATAATGCATACACACATCCTTTCGTAACTAGCATGTATGCGTCGGCTAAAGCATCATTGTTTGTTCTCATACCGCTACAAAACTCGCACTGCCAGCTGTCAGTGTCAACGTCATCAGCCCAGACCCATTCCTAACGCGAATCTATACCTCCATCCATAAGCTTCTATGTATAAACAAGCAGTAAGCACCGACAACTAACAACGCACGAAAGGGAGAAACCGGAACAAAAGCACCAAAGTAGGAGGCAGTCATCCAATCAAGCCCCTCGGACCAAGCCACCGTTTGCTCTCAGTGATAATTGGGTGCGGCTCAGGGAGGCTTTGTTTGTGCTGCCTGTACGACCGGTGGGTTGTAGAACTCTGCAAGATAATACCAGTCCATTTGCAAAGACTAAGGTAGGTTTGGATGACAAGGTGGATTTGCGAGTACTCCCAGTGTCCGACCACTGCATGGACAGTATGTTGAATTAAGATTGTGCTAAAGTACTGAAATGTGTTTGTGGATGCTTTTTGTCAGTACTTAGGGAATAATATAACTAAACACAGCTATAAAGCTATCGCATCACTATTATACTGCATATGAAGTAATAGATGCAATGCCATATGCCCAGTCTAGAACCACTCACGTTGCAGCCGTGAAACCAAACTGGTGAGCTACCTTTCATATTATTGGCCTACGCAATGCGGTGACTTGTCTGTGAGATCCTGCAGTTCAATGAACTTCACACCTACTATTTCTAGTAATCCCAGAATAGAAAGTTGATGCCTCATATCTACTCGTCTTACTCTGGTCAACTGGGATGGGAATGAACCAGGCGGGTCAATCGGGGCGGCCCGCTTTACTGGCTTGACTTGGTTTAATGGATAGATCCGCTTACCGGATAGGTATCAATAATGATATGATCATAAGTCTACCTTCCTTGAGAATGATTGAGAGCTGAGCGCATGATGGATCATGCTGGATGAAGATCAGACGGGGGAAGAATTATCAAGCCAATCATGCAATTAGGACCCTGGTACTGTTAGTGCAGCAGGCGTGTAATTGTAACAAGGATTGTTTGACCAAGGCTAAAGCCAAGGCGTCAGGTAGGGTAGTACTAAGTCAGGTGAATCGGACAATGAACACAAACCCGTTAGATAGACCAGACTACCTCAGACACCTCGGTCAAAAGACGTTTTTGGAATGAAAGAGAGAATACGAGATAAGCTTGTTGCCACTTCCTAGGGTGGTTGTCACCGTCTTATCTCCTACCTAAACTGTCCGGGAGGATTCCTAGTATATTGGGCCTCAGGCCAAAGTCAAGTGGGGCACACGGGAGGGGAAGGTGACCAAGAACCAATAATAACAGCCAAGAGTTCTGCAGAAAACAGCTGTCGATCAGTTCAGCTCGGATTCTGGAAATACACCTGGTCCGTTATTTGTGTCACATTCGCTTGCGTGGATATCCTGAAGTCTGGAACTCCACTTTAGAGGCTGATGCTGATGCTGATGCTATGCTGCCAGCCTGCCAGATCAGCACACGCGGATGCAAAACCAATGATTAGATATCTACCTACCCCCTCTCATCTTCTGAAACTTTTCTTTGTCTGGTTAGTGAGGAGAAAACACTGAACTTCGAGTCTCCGACATCGCAAACACTCAAACCTCGGACTGGTTCGTATAGGGTCGTATCCCGGCGTCGAGGCGCCTGAGGCGGAAATATCAACCGGCGACTGCTCATGGGCGGATTGATGTCTCCGTCATTGCCTGGGATGGTCGGCGACTTTCCAGTCTCCAGCTGGGCAGTCACCCAGTCCCTGTTGTACTCGTCTAGGGTAGTATATGTCCTGAACTCAGGGATTTGCTCTTTTATTATCATGTGTTGAGGATCAGTCTATCTGAAATCGCTGCTAACCAAGGAACTTTATTCTGTTTTCGGTCAATAATCTTCAAATCCTCCTGGTAATTTCTCTTCCTGTGGGCTGTAGAGCTGGTGGAACCAGAATATACGGTCAGGGATAAAATGTAAGAAACGAGCCTTCAGGCACGAAGACTACCTAATCGATGCGAGGCTTGCAGCCTTGTCGCCTTAGGCACTAATCGGGAAGTCAGACTCACCCTAGAATTCTTCGCTCATGTACGAGCACGTAATTCGTAGTCCTGAGGGGAAAGAGGGCAGATCGTAGCAGGCTGACCTCTTGAGGCCAAAGCTCCAGGAGTTCAAAGTTTTGGAGAATTTGGAGAGTTTGAGCCTCTTTCGACAGTCCCTGGTTCGTCATGGAGCCATGCACATCACAAGACCGATAAGATCAAGGCTAATCAGAAGGATCCCCTCGTTGAGAATCCATTCACATACAAGTAATAGGGATTCATAGAGTTTCTAAGTTGGTTCGGAGCAGATGAGTAACTTCAGCCTCCTCTTTTTGCCTTCGTTAGCCGACCAATCATACACAGCCATTCTGCAGAGAGCCTCAAATGGCCCGAACGTGGAGGTTGTTTGGTTGGATGGTGCGGCTGGCCCGGAAGAGGCTCGTGGTCCTTAGAACGGTGCTAGGTGCAACTGTGAAATAGAGCTGCCTAGGTGCAGGCGTTAACTCCTTGAGGATCGGATCACGAGAATGAGATAAAACACTGCCATTCATTAAGTCAGTGGTATCTAAAAATGTTGATAGACTGATGAATCCACACTCAACTTGGATAAAACAAGGTCTCGGACAATCCCCGTTTACAAGGAATATAATAGTTAACGCCACTACTGTTCGTGCTGGACGATTAGCATTGTTTTGCTCAAAATAATATCAGGCGGTATTATGATGATGACTGATGGCCATACTTTGCTGTCAATCATTAGTATTAATACCTAGATAGCTAGACTAAGGTACCTACTGGGGCTCATAGATGACTGGACAGTGGACAAGCGCTACCTTGCTCCCTCCCTCCCTACTAAAATTCATCTAAATTGAAATCCATACCTACCTGCGCCATAAAGGAATAGTCGTACTGTATTCCGTCCTCTGCCTCAAACCCCACTTTGCTTTGCCTGTCTGTGGCGCGTCTGGAGACAGTTAACCCAGCACTGTGTGAGCGTCAGGACGTCGACCTTTTTCTCTTCTTTTCCCTTCTCAAGGATGATCTTCTCTCCTATCTCATCGCATCTCATCCTTTGCCTTCTCCCTCGAATGATCGAAAATCTGACAACATTTTACTAAAATTGGAGAGAGTGAAAATAGGGCGAATTTCACCCAAGCATTCGTGGTTCGGAGTGCTTGCTTGCGATAATCTAGAACAGCTAACTTCCTGCAATTCTTCGTCTTCATCCCCATCATAATAATTGTTGTGCTTATCATCCTCATCCTCATCAATCTCCTCCTCGTCATCATCTCTATCTATCGGTGTCTGTGGAACTATTGCCTGTCCATGGATTTACCTTTGACCGCTTAAACCTTCTCTCCTCCTCTCTGATCCTCTCTCTGCTCATTTTCTCCTCCATTATTCCTAAGTCTAAACCCTTTTCAACCGTTCCGCCAAGCCAGCGTCACCTCTTCCCGCTCGAGCTAACTAGCTCAAAGGCAGTAGCCTCATCGTCTGGAAGGCCCATAGTCTCGATAATTATTCCTATTATTGATCATTATTTATTATCATCGGTATTTCTGATTTGATCTTCCTTCCTCTGGCCACGCACGACTTGGCTACTGCTGTCATTGTTGTTACAATTGGCACTCTTATTACCCTTCCCGACCTGCATCCTGCTTCTACGTTGCTTTGCTCCTGCGAAGTACCTCTACAACTGCTACCACACCTATTCTTCTTATTGCGACGAAACCCACTACTGCAGCGTCGTCACCACCAGCACATGTCCACAGCTCCACGGCCGTTATAATAACACTCCCAACTATTCCTCCCATTGGCGACTCCGCTTTTCTACGATTCTGGACTTTTTTGCGCCCTGTGAGATTCCTTGTTTGTCTCCTCCTTCCCAACATAACAGCTCTGTCATCCTCCTCCTGCGCGTTTCATTCGTCCACATCTTCGGTATTTTTGTTCTGGCACTCCCAGCCAGCCGATGCGCCTGGTATATCAATTCGATCTCCGCCATTGACCGTGCGATTCGGCCTTCTTCTGAGCCTCACTGCAGGTGACCGGCTCCTGCAACCATCATCAGTCCCATCTGGAATCACCGATAGGCTTCAAGCCACGAGGTCTTTCCAATTCCTAAAGGTGAGCCTACCTTAAATTGCTTCAGTTTTTCCCGCATTCCCCTTCTGGGAAAGTGGAGCTTGGATTGGCGCCATCATCGATGAACTGCTCCATAACGCAAATCTCGCCTTTTTTCTCTCTGGCTAGTCAACGTAGTCCTCATGCAAAAGTCTCAAGATCAGTTCTGGTCTGGTTCAGATTCTTAGATGGACGATGATCTACTGCGGGGTTTTCTCCCCGGAAATTGCGTACTGGCTCTGAGCAAACAGCTGTATTGGCTACCCGCTCAATGTTTCATAAGCTGTTGTTTAACATGCTATCCTTTTCCTGTCAATCGCATGTACTAACGATGTCAATAGATATTCCCTCTGAGGAAGCACTGTTGTCTTATGTGCTTTGATTATCTCTTCACCTGCTCCGCTCAGTCGCGGGATAGTGAGCTTGAAATCGAATTTTCCCCTCAAGTCAGGTACAGAGAGGTGGATTGGAGGTAAAGGCACCCATAGACGCGGAAATCCATCAGGAAGGGGCTTCCTAATGCCCCCTCAAAGCCCGCCTCCATGACCGACGCATACGAACCAGATGACGACCGGCTCACTCCCGGGCTAGAGGTTCAGAAACCCAATTATAAGCCCGACGAGCAGCTGCCCCCATTTCTAACCCAAGATTCGCTCTCTAAATCTGATGCTACTGCTAAATACCCTGGAGATGAGGGAACGTCTTCGGACTTTCCCCGTAAGCCGTCGCCGACATCCAAGCCCGAAACAACTGAGGGCGACTCGGTACTGATCTCTCATCTAGATCCGAATCGCCCGGATATTGCCATTTACGAGTTAGAACATCGGCGCCTTCGGGATCCCTGGGAAGATGGTCAATCAAGTCTGCAGAAGACGAAAATTGACCCTCAAGCAAGGGAAGATGTCAAATTCCAGGAACCGGCTTCGTCAGTGGCGGAGAGAGCTCTCCAACTCTTGTTGTCTAACCCGCCCGAAAACTCGGTATCACCTCCGACTCTCAAGAGCGCATCTCAGCCCCAATCGATCAAGGACTTGTTGGAACCGCCTGTGTCACAGACCGAGCCAATCAGCATCAAAGTCGAAGTATCATCTCCAAAAGAATCACATCCGCCGGGGCACCCAAGTTTAACCGCCGAACGCAAGTCTCCCGTTGTTTCGCCCTTGAAAAAGTTTGCAATATCACCTTCGGAAGGACCGGTCCAAGCCTTACTTCCAGCGCTCCAGACGTCTCCTCCATTAGCAATTGCCAAATCGCCAGAGAACCACCAACAGCATAGCCTGCCGTCGATACAGACTGCTTTGGCCGAGATCTCGGGCCTTACTCTCTTCCTCCAGTCTCCACATCCCCTCCTTCAATACCAAGGAATGAACCAGCGTGGGATCATCAACGCCCAGGACAGTTTGCTCCACCACAGGTTCCCCCTAGTCCTTACTCACATCTTTCCCCTGCGAGCTCCAAGGGGATGTCAGCTGTGTCCTCTCCAGCATCGCAGCAACAATCCCAGTGGAGGCATACACGATCCGACATCACCTATCTCACAACGCCACATTATGAACCTTCGCCATCGGCGGTCAAGAGTCCGGCAACCAGCTATCCCACTCCCACTGATCAGACGCCGACGGGCGAACGGGCGCCTTTCAATCCGGGCCCGCCGCCCACCGCACCGGTTCCCCCAGGCACGTTTAAATGCCGGCATCCAGGGTGCACTGCGCCACCTTTTCAGACCCAATATTTGCTTAAGTAAGTCAAGATGAACCTCGTTGTATTGACAGAAATGGGCTCATCTTTTTTCGCAGCTCTCATGCAAATGTCCATTCACAAGATCGACCACACTTTTGTCCCGTCGAAGGGTGTGCTCGAGGAGTTGGCGGCAAAGGATTCAAACGCAAGAATGAGATGATTCGACATGGCCTTGTCCATAATTCGCCAGGTTATGTATGCCCTTTCTGTCCGGATCAGCAACATAAATACCCCGGCCAGATAACCTTCAAAGGTGAGCTTCTACTGTTCTTGGCCGTCCTTCAGGTCCTGACAGAATCTAGACACGTGCGAGTTCACCATGTCGATAAGAGCAAGGACGATCCCGAGCTCAGACGAGTGCTATCTCAAAGACCCGAGGGCAGCACTCGAGGCCGACGACGCCGGACCACAGCTCAGTAGCTCATGCGCTGCATTATCCTTCATATTTACTCTCCTTCAGTATGCTGACCGTCGGAACCCCTTCTCCCGTCGCATCACCACCCAGGATCGACCGCCCATTCGTGTAACCTGCATATGCATTGACGAATTCCCTTACCGAGTCCCTGTTTGTCGTACCTTACATGATACCATATTCTTAGAATTACGTTCGCGTTCGTTGTATGCTGCCATTCGTTTTGTATTAGCATATATCCTTCCATCGCTATAGGGTACAGCGTGGTGTCCGAAATGGGGACTTGCCTTGTGATTGCGATAGCCGGCGTTGAGTGTTTCTGTTTCTATTGTCTGAGCTGCACATTAGCCTCTACATACATTGTTTTCGTTTGGAAGCTTTGGCGTCTTGATCTTGGCCTGGAATCGAACGGAATCGAGCTTTTCATCTTCATGTATATGCAAAGATATGATATAACCAAATACGACTTGAATCAATGCAAACAAGATGAACACAGTTCGTCTATCAAATACAACAGCCGCGATAGCAACAATTGTCGAGACTCCCACGCAATGACATCCGTCGCTAATACCAACCCAAACCCAACCCGCCCTAAATGCATACATACACATCCTGAGAAAAAGTCAAGGTCAAAGTCAAGAGTCAACCTCTCCCCTCTTATGAATCCGCCGCACATGATCCTTCATGTTATCAACCCGGCTAAACACCCTCCCGCAGTCGGGCCACTCACACACAACCCCGGGGTTATGCTTCGCCTCGTGCCGGGCGCGGTCCTTCTTGCTCGAGAACCCGCCCGCAACAGCCTGCGGACAGCCCTCGTGCCGACAGAACAGATGCTTCCGGTGCCGGTTGAAGTGCTTGCGCAGGTCGCAGCCGCGGTGGAACGTCGCGGCCGAGGTGCAGCCTGGGTAGGCGCAGCGCCAGGAGCCGTCGGGGTTGGGGATGCCGTAGTTGGTTAGGTCTTTGGTGTCGAGGTCGAGGTTGGAGTTTGTTGAAGGGTCCGGGTAGAGGTAGGTTTGCGGGTTTGGGTTAAGGGTAGTGGGGTTGTTCTTTGCTGGGTGTATGTCATTGTTGAGGATGGGTAGATGTCGGTGGGGCGGTATGTTGTTGTTGTTGCTGTTGCTGCTGCTGCTGCTGTTGGGGGACTTGGGAGGTCCATTGCTCGCCGTAGGGGAGGTAGGATCCGCTCATGGGTGCGAGCATGGTGGTGTTGCAGGCTTGGTTTGTTGGCATGGCTGGCATGGCTGGTTCGAAGTCGAGGCCTGTGTATGAGGACGCTGGGGGACTGGCCAGGTAGAAGCTGTCCATGTCTTCCTCGCTGTCTGCTTGACCCATGGGGTATGGGTAGGTTTCGGAGACATCGTGCATACCCGGGAAGGTATACTGGTGCGAAGACATGGCGAAGACGGTTTGGTGGTTCGTAGTGAATAAAGTCATATTGTCATGGGCCACAGTATGAAATGCTGTAGTTGATCCTTGTTTCGTTCAAGGAAACCACAGGATCAAGCGATGTCATTTAAATTCTTGTTTTCCAAGCAAAGGTTGATCATGGCATCTTGCAGTTAAATAGTTACTGGTGATGCGATCCAGCATTGTTGAAGCGGAATGTCTCCGTGCTAGATGAGTCGAGTTAGTATGAGGCCTAATTTTCTTTTCTTTTTCCCTTGACTAATGATATACCCAGAAATGCTTCTTCATTAGAGCCGAATGGTATTGCTCAACGTCAGACGTGGCTATGTTATGCATCGGCACGCTGACAGAGTCGACTGAATTAGCAGCTGTCGACTCTTCACAATGTCCATGTACTACTCTTAAACCTGCATAGAGCCGGTTGATGTCATCAGAGTCGATACCATTGGTTGTCGACGTGCGATTATACCTATTTCTGGGTTCTTCATGTTGTATTTCTTCCATTCACACAGCAGGTTGAAACTACGAGAGAAGGGCCAGGTAGGCTCAAACTCCAGATAGCGTCGGGGTTTACGCTCATAATGAGCCAGTGGCCGCGAGAGATATCTGTTGGTATGATGCTGTGCTGAGACACATACCTTCATACCGGTTGTTCGCTGCTTGGTACCTAGGGCTCCCGAACCTTCTTGTGGGCTTGGACTTGGCTGCATATAGTTAGATGTATACGAGGCTTGGCACAAGAGCCAATAACAGCAGAATCAAGTTCCGAACACCGGTTAGCGCTGATTAGTCGTTTAGTCTTGACTCTTCTCATTCGCACTGGCGGCCGCACCAAAGGCACCACAGCTCGAGAGATCTGTGGTTGACAACACGGACTCCCGGCATCGAGTATGGACGAGTCACTGTGGTCCTGGTAATCAGGGGTCATTATTGGATGTCCGGTAGGGCTAAGGTGCGGGAACGCTGTGCAATCAGCAAGTGGCATGGCAATTGTCTTAGCTGTCGGGAAAGACTTTACCTGGTTCAGATGTTGGAAGTTATAATTAGTCACAGGCGATCTACTAAACAGACGACACTTTTTCGCTGACAGAGGATATCGGCTTCCACAAAGTGGAAGACGCCCTTTGCCTGGTCGATCAGGCCGATCGGCCAGAGGCTTAGAGCCTCTTAAGATACCTGTTTGGGCCAAAACCTGCGAGCCACGGGACTTGGGTCTCACCTTCGGCCCTATCCCTGGGTATGCACGGCTCCGTGCGGTGTGAACGATGAACATAACAGCAGCACAATTAGGAAAAGATGAAGAGAATATGCTTTTCTCACTGTGCCTAAGCCAAAACATGCATGGCATTGCGCCTTGATTAGGCCCCCGCACCTTGGTGACTGGACTGGATACGCTTACCTGGTCTTACATCCTCTTGGTTCCTGCCTTAACTAGAGATAGCAGTCATATTCACTGTGACAGTCCCGTCAAGCGAACGCTGATTCCAATACAACCCCATTCTGTTATTTTTCAGTGCTTATCCTCCCGAGAAGATGTTGTGCAAAAAATGGATAAAAATGGAAACACGGAACGGCCCCAGAAAAGCCCGCCGGGCGGCTGTAAAAGAGCGGTGTCAGCAGAACAAGGTTCATGATGTATCAACAAGCCTTTAAGGTATTGCTTGTCTTTTGTCATGCTAGAGAGTTCACTGTTGTCTTGCCCTCCCTGAGACAGCTGACTCTTTCCCTCCCGTCCCGCTAAAGTTGGGTTTGGCAGCCAGGAGGCCTTACCAGATTTTCTTCCCGTAGAATTCTATTGATTACGCTGACCAGAAGGAGCCTACATATGCTCGTGGTGCAGACGGGTCCAAGCAGGTTCAAAGGGAGCAAGTACGGTAGAGCTATTGTCTAAAGGAGCATAATATGTAGGTATATATCAAGTAGAAAATGGTCAAGCGCTAGCACCTCTTGGGTCCGACAATAGGGGAGTGACAAGGTCCGGATGGCGACTGATCTTGCCTTCCATGGAGTCTCTGTAAAGGATATAGTGCTGCACAATAAAGACCAAATCGAACAGAATGGTCACGTTTGACAATAAGAACTTCACGGGGTTTCCGGTAATACCACTCCAGTCGCTCTGAAACGAAGAATCCAAAACTAGTTGCAGAAGGGAAAGGACCCCACCAGTCAAGTCGAAAAGTATCTGGGAGATACTCCACCCCTCTGTGGACTTTCTTTTATAATTGACCCATGCTTGAGGGACATATTTCACAATGGTGATGATCAACTTCACGTAGGACAAAGCGTAAATCTAGAATGCGGAGTCAGAATCGACAAAAATCTCCTATATGTCTTTTCAAATCGCCAAACCACTTACCACGTCGATCCATGCCCAGGTGGATGGGTCATATCCTCCGTCAGGGCTCTTAACCAAAACAACGCAAACTACTATAGCTATCGCTGCAATGGAGCCCCAGAAGAGGCCAAGAACCGGTTTACTAACGGTCTGGAAGCGAGAGACTTTGAAACCCCAGATCTTAGGCCAAAATTGTGTGTAAACTAACGTGCTGAGGATGACAGCATGCGAGGCAAAGGCAAAGTCGTTGAAGCGCACTGTCGACTCCTCATCCGAAGGGTGACGGGCAGCATATTGCCGCCGGATCACAGGAGAGTAAAGAAAGGCAGATGTATATGCTGTGTAGCAGACGAAGCCCAGGACGTTGATGGTGGGAAAGTCAATGGCCAAACCGACTGTTGAACGTCGTCGAAAGTTACTGATCGGCTGGGGATAAAAGGATGCCGACCAGCAGAACATACTTGGTCATTAGGTCAGCAACCGGCAGTATTTGGGGATAGAAGCCTCTCAGGAGATATGTCTGCCCCATATTGACTTGGAAGCACGCAGTCACATACTATATCCATCCTAACAGGCTATAAACGGCTTATCAGTACATGTCAGTAGTATCAGGGGATAATCGATACTCACCGAGAGAGAGCCCTCACGAAGATCTCGAGCTGAGAAGACATATCTCTACAGTTCGCCTTGCGTTGAAAAGAATCATAGAAAAGACGAAATAGAATGACGTTGAGATGCGAAAAGATTTAAGGGACAATGAGAATCAAGGGACTGAGGACCATCGCCAACTGACCCACGGGTCCAGCTGATAAGAATCATAAGATAACCTAGGCACACGACAGATCCATAAATAGCAGGCGGTGTAGATAACTGTCGCTGAGTCAGCGGTTGGTTGCTCGGGGATATGAGTTGGCACACTAAACCCGAATCGGCAAACAGTTGTTATGCTGATCGGACGCTTACTCCTTCAGCCGCCCCAGCAGCCAGCCATCTGCTCCCTTCCAGAGGCTGATTATTATTATTGTCAGTATTGCTTCATTGACACTGATTCTGGTAAGATCCTTTATCTTGCATATTTTCCTTTCTGCCGTTTTGTCTGAGACCATATTTGGTATTCCTTCCAGCCTTTTCATTCTACCGTCTTGTCCCCGCTTTGATCCTCCTCACCGCCAGCCTCACGAGTATACAGAAGTAAATATTCCATCCACGACATTTCTACAGAAGCTTAAACGTCTTCCATTTTGGGTCTGGTAATCTAATCGACAGGCACAGGCGACCGTCATCACGCTTCTATTGTGCTTCCTTTAAGCGCATGGTGCATTCTTCGGAGTGGGGGATCTAAATAGATCTCCTTGGTGGTTCTGGCATTCCCTTGTCTCGAAGGCCGCTGTCGCGAAGGGGTGCGCACGGAAATCATGTCGTCAAATTCGGACCTCACGCCTCCGGGGAGCAGCACGTATGCCTCCAATACATTGCATGTCGGAGATGGAACATGGGACTCGGGTCGCGATACGTTTCTTCTACCCAACTTGATGGGCGTGAACTTTGAGACTATGCGATACAACGGTGAGTGGAGTCGCATACTTTGTGTGAACGTCAAGCTTTTTCTGACATACATTCCAGGCATGGGGAACCGGTTCCGAGATATGCCCCAGTACCGCACGTTGATAATCGCTCATGGTGTCATTGCAACAATCGTGTTCCTCGGTTTGGTGCCCATATCCGTCCTAATCATACGATATTATTCGCGATGGAGCCCTTTCTGGGCTTTTAAACTTCATGTCTGGTTCCAGGTTCTGACACTCTTACTGAGCACTGTGGTCTTTGTCCTCGGATGGTTTGCTGTCGGGCCTGAGAGAAGTCTCACGAACCCTCATCATGGCATAGGGCTAGCGATCTACGTCATGGTTATTTTCCAGGTATTATGGGGGTATCTCGTGCACAAGATTGAGAGTAAGCGGAAAAGATACCATGTTCCGCTGAAGCTAGTTGTGAGTTGCGACAAACAAAGCCATTGTCTTTTTATACCTCGGCACCGTTCAGCTAATTTGCCCATAGATCCATCGGTGGATTGGTCGTGCTCTTGCGATCTTAGGTCTAGTGCAGATTCCTCTGGGACTCACCCTTTACGGCTCCCCAAAATCCTTGTTCATCCTATACTCAATAGCTGCTTTCGCACTTCTGGCAACATTCTTCGTTCTCTCGTACCTGTACGATTCTGAGGGATATCCCACAGGAAGTGAATATGACGCTCGGCACAGCTACGTTTCAGGCCCTTCAGGCGTCGAAGATCGGCGTCATAGCAGCTTTGGCCGCATGGCCGCGGCAGGAGCGGCAGGAGCGGGTCTGGCTGAGCTTTTCCGACGCCGTTCACGCCCGAAAGAACGTCACGAAGACTCCCAGATGTCTTATTCGGAAGACAAGTACTCCGAAGAGGAGTCACGCCGCGGTGGCTGGGGGAGCAAGCTTCTCAAAATAGGAGCTATCGGTGGTGGTGCGCTTCTCGTTAAACGATTATTCGACAGAAGGCGCGATCGAGATAGTGATACGGAATCCGGTCGCTATAGTCGGGCGCATACACGAACTGATAGTATGACAGAAGCCACAATGAGTAGGTTGGAGGACGGACGACGGCCAGAACCAAGCTATCAGACTCCTCTCAATCGGCCACCAAGCAGACCGCCAAGCAGACCCCCAGTAGACCACAAAGTCCGGGATCGTCTTATTATTACAATACAACATATCTGACAGAGCCAGAGCCACAGCCGTCTCATGGAGTTCGTAACGCATTGTTCGGTGCTGGAGCTTTCGCGGCTCTCCGGGGCTCTTTAAGCGTCGGAATAAGGATGACGAGCAACGGCGCGTGGAGGAGATGCGCCGTCATGATATAGAAGAGGAGAGAATCGCTCGAGCAAACAGTAAGCGGCGATACACAGGAGACGGCTTCTACCCACGAAAGCACAGACGGGCCGATTCCTACACCGCTACCGATCTCTCATCGACTGACATGACCCGCCCACCGCATGGGCCTCTGCACGGCGAATCCGCTATATCTGCCGGCCCCGCGACACCTGGACCCGTCGACGTGCCACATTCCGGTGCCCCTCCTGCCCCGCCAATTCACCAAGAGCCAATCTCAGAGATGCCAACTCCCGTCCAGTCTCGACATGAGCTGCCGGAGGTGGCCACTGGTCTGGCAGCCGGAGCGGCGGCCATGGATGCCTCGTCCAGCCATCGCCGTCAGCGCAGCACAAGTAGACAGCGGGACGACCATGTGGAATCTCCACCTGTGTCAGTCAAAGTGAAGATGCACAATGACGGCCGGCACGTCACTCTGAGGAGACTGACCGAGGAAGAAGCCGCCGCCAGTCGTGAAGCACGACGAAGGGAGAGGAGAAATTCACGTCGTCGCGCCGGAAGCGCGAGTTCTTTATCGGGAAACGAAGGTAGCTACGATCGATGGCGCCGGGTGGAGGAACTCGAGCGTCAGCAGCAGGAACAAATCCAACGTGAACAGCAGGCGGCCGCGGCTGCAGCCGGTTCTGCTTCTCCTTTGGGAGCTGCTCCTCCCCCATCATTTGTCCCGCCCTCGAGTCAGTTTTCTCCCCACCTCCCCCTGTACCCTCCAGCTTGCCCTACGGCAGCATCGGGTCCCCGGGCACATTTACCGGCACCGATGCCAGTGGCGACTATGCAAACAATCGCCGCCGAAGACGAGCGGAAAGAGCTCGAGCTCGGCAAGAAAGACAACAAAGTGTTGATTTCACATGATTGAACATCCTGGACGGAGTGACTGGAGTGCTTACCGGCCTCGTTATCATTGTACAGAAAGTGTAGTGCACTATTGCAGTATGCTAATTTTCCCGCCTTTACCCTCTTTTCGATGTCACTGTCTCGTCGCCCTTGTTTTCTTCACCCGGAATAATGAAATATTGTCTAGCTCATGCAAGCGTTGGAATTCGTATCCTCTCGACCCCTTGGTTCTATCGACATCCCTGATTTCCCTTCCCCTTTTCATGCACACGAACGACCCTCTTCACCCGCGAATGCTTGATGATCACATGAAATTTATGGTTTGGGTTGATTATGTATCTGGGAAAAGAATGTGGCGGTTCACTGTTTTCCACAATTGGTTGTTTATATGTTGATATTCCCCTGTCTATGTATCCCAGAATCGCTTTAGTTAGACGTCCTCGGCCACATTTTGGCTGCTTATGCTTGGAAAGCGGCTCTCTCATCAAATTTTTCTTTCTCTGTGTATTACTTGCCGTATAGTAAACACTTCGCAGCTCTAATCTTGTTCTACCTTTATATGAGGGCTAATGGGTTCTCAAATGTGAAGATGCAGTATATTGGTTGACCTCTATCTAGAACTTAACTCCCCAGAACGAGAAACCATTTTGTCTTCACCAGAGGCTAAGGGAACCAAGCCTTTCTTAACCAGTAAGGCCCGAGATGATGCGACGGATGTCATCGCGATGATGCACAAGGCTATAGATGTAGACCGTCTTCATATGCTGAAGGCGCGGGAAATGCTTGATGGAGTCATATACGCCATTGGCTGACAGAGGGTTTGGGACGGAGCGTCGAGAGGGCGGCAACGGTTGAAGGTTGGGTGAACGAGGAAGAGGGCAGTGGCAGGCAAAGGATGTTGTAGATATCCTCCTCGCCGCGGGACAACGAGCCAAAGGCTGTTTCTTGGCCAGAAAGCAGGGGGTTCAGATCCAGGGTGGCGGCGGAGAAATCATCGAGCTATCGAGCGGTCACTCTAGGCTAGCTCCCTTGAACCTCTTAGCAAGCTGTTCACTCTCTGACTTGGGAGATTCAGGTCTAGAGGAAAGATGACGTTTCCCTTGTTGGGACAATGGGCGTGGAGGATCGGCGGGGTTTAGCCAGGGGCGCTTAGGGGGGCGCTCACCACTTTCCTGAAGAACAGTAACCAGGGTCGCCCAGCCGGGGGTGTTTAGCAGCTTCAGCCCCTCTGTGGGATCATGGGTCGTCGCGACGCGGCACAGCAGTGCTTCTTCCTCCTGGAAGTCCATATGTTAGGAACAGTGGCCAAAGGCTTGTGAAGCGAGGCTCAAGCTGATTCAGCGAACCGATACCGCCACACTTACCTTGCTGAACATGGATAGCGAATGCAGGAAGCACAGAAGATGGAAATCTGACACTTCCCGAATTGCCTTGTCTGGATCCCCGTGGGATACCAGCTTCTTCGCGACATGGCGTAACTCCTGACTCTCGCCGATGACTTCCCGGTTCTCAATGGGAAAAGTGCTCGCAGAAAACATAGGAGACGCCTCGGTAGGGAAACCATGGGTCAGGGTGACTAGTAGGTACTCGACAGGAAAGCTGGGTTTGGCGTTTTGCTGAGCACTCACGCCGTACTCGTTGATCTTCCGGTAGAAAACCTCGGGGATGTACCGCGACTTGTTATCCGTATCCTCGTCTTCCGACTGCACCAGCATGACGGAGGGCTCGGCGGATGGTTCAACAATATCCGCCCTCACCATCTCAACAGCGGAGATAGAGGCCTGATATGAGCTGACAGTGATGGCACCCTCTTCGTCACCGCTGAGCACGCACGTCACAAAGTTCGAGCCAAAACGGCCGGTTCGACTCCACTTTGTCGCCTTAGGGTGTTTTGCCTGCATCCGAGATGCGAAGGTAATTTCCAGTGACGATAGGTAGTACGAGTCGATGTGTCGCTTGCATACCACCGAACCGTCTCCGCGTCCCGCATCGAGCAGATCCGTGAAGATGACGCCGACTTTCTCGAGTCCACATTGACGAGCTACTTCATCCACCTCCTTTTCATTCGGCCACTCGTGGAGCGTTATCCCGTCTATTTCATCCACCTGTGGTGGTTCATAGATTGCCTGTACCACCGCCTTGATACCCAGAGGTACCTCGGTATATTCTTCGTATGTGCCGTACAGAAAACCCAACCTCTGAGCGCCCGATTTCCGCCAGAAGTCAAGCAATGAGTTAATCAGGTCGGGCGAAGCAAACTCCACGTGGTCGACCATGCGGAACTCCTGCGGCTGCAGACTAATCGCACTGGGCTGACACTTGGTACAGATCCCTTCAGGCCACGGCGGATGACCAGAGGGACAATCGCGCCGTACTCGGTAGTACGGCTCATTGAGAGGTGGCATGAACGAGCTCTTCAGTTCGGTTTTGTTGGTGGTTGCATTGACCTTCCGCATGTATGAGTGAAACGATAGGTGCTTGATCTTCTTCTCCGCTAGGTACTTGGGGTCGTAGGGCTCGAGCGGCATGCAGTAGTCACACATGCCTTTGGGGCCATGTTTACACATCTTCGGATCATGGGGACGGTAAATTTTCCCGTCCTTCTTGTCCAGCATATCGTCCAGCTGCGATTGTTGCACAACTTCCCAGGGATTCTTGATCGTCGCGGATGGGGAGGTGGGAGGGTGAAATGTGACAGTCTCTGTTTCTGGCACCGGTGCTCCGTTTAGACGCCGTGATACATCTGCCGCGACGTGCTTGTGCCCTGGAGCAGCCTGCGATACTTGCTTATCCTGGTAGCCAATGAAGAGCTTGTCACCGTGCCTTGAGCCAACAGCCGTCAGCCAAAGCCAAGTACACCACTGCCGAATATACTCACTTCAAACCGACCTGCTCAATCGAGATCCCAGCGAGATCCTTCATCTGTCTTTCTTGACCGCCAGTGCCGATGGGTTTGTTGGACAGCACGAGCGAGGAAGGTTCAACATCTTTGGGGAGGTTCTCTAGGATCTGACGAAGATAGAGTCAGCAACTGTGAACTCTATGCTATACTGGCCACAGATGATTAGGCATACCTTCTCCTGTAGTGAAGGAAACTGCTCTTGCGGGCTGACACTGAGGCGAAACTGGCCGTTGCGGCTCTCAAATCTGAGGATGATCGGCCGCGCAGCCGCCATGTTTGGAAGAGAAATCGGTCGGCGTATTGGGATGGTTGTTGGGAGTACTGTGATCTCATAAGCTCGTGCCGGGAAGAACTGCGAAGAATCAGCTTGTTGTTGGCTGGTTTTCGCTCAACGGAGACGATTGAGCGAGGAAGGTAGCAAGTAAGTTGTGAGGTGTGAGGTGTGAGAGCTCCAGTGGAGGTGATTATTCAAAGGCGGGCAAAGGCAGCGGAGCTCTATCGTCATCGCCCGTTACGCTGTTACCAGTCTGTTACACTGCGGCCACATTGCAAGTCAATATTTCGATGTAATTATGGTATTGAAGTTACATATGCTATCTGGAGGTAGCCACCTTTGCTGATATTTAATGATTGCTCCTTCTCCCCTATTGCTCTTCTTCTTCTTCATCTTCTTCCTTCTTTCTTTTTATTTTTCAAGGATTTTGCGGGGAATGTGTGTTGTGGTACTATCTGCTTTAACAATTTGATACAAGTACCTTGACAAGCTTCAGGCAAGCTTGTCCACTGATCCCTCCAACATTCTAATATCAAGATCCTCGAGTTGATCTGCGTAATCCATTAATGCGTATATATGGATATCTTTTAAAATAACCACATACATATATATCTATTGCAGGTATTGACCTCCCAATCCAATGACGCCATTTGCAACAAAGAAGAACAAGACAGCATGACAAAGAACAAAGGGGTATATATCGAAATTAACTACGAGATAGTGCACTTGGGAAGACCACAAGGTCCCTCCTTGCTCTTCTCTTTTTTCGCCCCTTGTGTGCCTTGGCCATTGTCCTGTCCACTCTGCGCAGGCTTGGGAGCGGCCTCAGTCTTGGCTTGCTGTGCTGCCGCTGCAGGCTTCACTTCCTCGCCACCATGTAGTCACGCAAAGTTAACCTTGGCGACGGTCTCGTAGAAAGCCTTACCCTGGGCCTCGGCGATGGAGAGCTCCAGCTCAGTGGGCTGGCGGGAGCCGTCGGCACCCTAGATGACAGGAGTCAGTAACAAGCCTCGCTTGATCGAGACGAACGAGGGAAAAGATAGCTTACAGCAAAAGTACCAGCACCCCAAGCGCTACCGCCGTGGATCTCCTCCAGGTTGGCGAGCTGAGGGAAGACGGTCTTGTAGCCGAGAGGGACGTAGATGAAGCCGTGGTGGGCGAGGGTGCTCATAGCGGCAATGGCAGTCGACTCCTGGCCACCACCGAGGGTACCGGTGGAAACGAAGAGACCGGCGTACTTGCCCCAATAGCCACCAGAGGCCCAGATACCACCGGTCCTGTCCCAGAAGGCCTTCCACTGAGCGGGGAAGTTACCGTAGCGAGTGGGGATACCGAAAAGGACGGCGTCGTAGTCCTTCAGAGTGTCGGCTTCGATGACGGGGTAAGACGACTTGGGAGGAGCGTGCATCTTGGCGAGGACGTCCTCGGAAAGGGTCTCAGCGATCCTAAAAACAGATACAGGTCAATCACTGCACGACTAGAGTAAACCCCGAAGATCAAAGACATACTGGAAGATGTCGGCCTGGCCACCAGCCGACTCAATACCCTTCTTCTCGGCTTCGGCCAGCTTCAAGATATGGCCGTACATGGAGTACTGCGCAGTTGACCAATTAGCAAGCGCTAAGTGCCAAAGGGTCAAGGAGGGTCACATACAAAGACGATAGCAACCTTGGGAGCCATTGTGACTGATTGGAAGTGTCCGAAGCGAACAGGATACTCTAGTACACGTTTGTAGAAGTAGAGACTTGTCTGTTGTGAAATCACAGAGGGCCTTTGCAGAGGCTTTATATATATGCGAATGGAGGAAGCTCTCGACTCCTCTAAGGTACCCTCCAGTACTAGTGCCCCTCACTAAGGATTTGGGATCTGGATTATGCCATCCTTCACTGCTGCATCCGTAATCGATTACAGAGACCCCGTCGCTGAAAAGAAAGGCACGCTGATTCGTCGATTGCACCATTCCAGGACCCGTCTCTCATGCTCCGCTGTCAATCAGCGAACCAGTCTTACCATTCCAGGGCCCACCATTTAGTCCCAAAAGCCAATCAGAAACTGTCCCTTGACATGGTGCCCCGTTAGATGATTCTTACGCATTTCTGACAAAGATTCGCTGCGGGATTGAATCCAGAGGACAACACCTTACAAATGCCCTGATTCTTTGGAATCTTCGAGCAGTGGTCTTCCCGACCGCATTGCTGAATGATTCCTTAATAAGACTTTATCAAGAATGCCGATTATGGAGCTGATGATAAGCTGAAGGACATGAGAGTACGTTGCAATTGACCATCGTCCAGCTAGTCATGATGTCATACATTAAACTTTTGATCTCCCTTGTCCTTACTCAAAGAAGTCAACCATGTTAAAACGAACGCAAAAATCTACCGGTAGTATTTTCCTACGGTTGTGGTGGTATTAACCTACCACATCAGGGCAGAAGAGAGCATTACAATCCTTCAGAAACTCTACTGCATTAATACTATGAGCATATACGCCATTAACACAGTTTATAACTTCAAATTGGGTATCTTGACCACCTGCAAAAGCTTCTAAAAGTATGCGAAACCAGCCAACTTCCATAAGAGCCGTAAGTAAACCCCCATGCCGGATACAGACAGCTTGATTCTACCCCCGTCCGCGTGCTCGATATCGGCCGCGCATGAAGCCACCTCCACGGCCACGCTCGCTCCTCCACTCTCGTTCCCTTTCCTTCTCTCTCTCCTGCTCCTCTCGGATGAGAGCCCTTTCCCGCTCCAATTCCTCCTCGGTCTTTTCAACTCTCATGGTAGGTTTGGGGAGATTCTCCGACCAGCGCGGATGAGCATCGGGGCACGCTTTACCCTCCGGACAGAATCCCGCCAAGTAGTATTTGCAGAGTCGTCGCCGAACATGTCGCTTGGCGCACAAGGGGCCCAGCTCGCAGAAGCCCTGATCGTAGTTCTCGCAGGGCGGCAATCGCGCTTGTTCCCGCACGTGCTGGTATAGACAATCATCGCCGTTGGGACAGTAGCCTGATCGCGAGAAGGACTGGCATTCCGGCATGCGGCGGAGGTTGTATTCATGGAGATATTCGCATTTGAGACCTTTCTTGCAGAGCCCCTTGAGGAAGTGTTTGCAGACTAGGGAGCCATGCGTTGTAGAAGGCGCCAGCCCGGACGCTGTTGTTGTCGACGTCGTTACCCGCGAGGGTGTGGGATGCCGATCTGGGCAGGCTGGTCCTAAGGGGCAATGCCCTTCACTGTAGGCTTTGCAGACGGGTACATCGCTCGCGAGCCCAAAACCGAAGCTGTTGCGGAGGAAGGGAGTGAAGGAGAAGTTGTTGTAGCTCGGATCTCGAGAGCTATCAGTGGATAGAATCCGTGCCGCAGCCGATTTGACGTCTGCTGTCATGGTGGATTATAGCTCGCAAGACATGAATTTGAATGAGTGATCGGCGGGTTTCACCAGGCTCGATGGCCACGGTATGCGTTCAACGAAATCCTGCTCCTATTATGACTGCCCAGTCTTGATAGTCACCTTGACGTTAAGTCCTGTGATGCCACTCAAAATGACCAGAGGGAGAAGAGTTGGTAGAATTCAATAGTTGTAAAAGTGAAATAACTAAGGCAGTCAAGGATAATCATATCACTGCCAACTTTGATGCCTGAGGCATTAATAAGCTAGTACTAATACGACAGGCGGTGGCAAACAGCATTACTAACATCGGAGCAGATCCGGTAACTCCGTAGTCAGTTAGCAATCCGCGATGACATGAGCTGACTGAAACTCAAGTAAAGAAAATAATAGTCTATTCATTTTTGCTATGCTGATGCATCAACAAATGTAACACTGTATGAGATAGTCTTGTGGTTTTCGCTGTGAAACAACGACACCATTGACCTCTACCCCGTTCTGAGGAGTAGGCAGCCAATATAACCCACATTGTCCCGTGGGAGACAATTCCCCCTGCATATGGTCGATTTTGGCGATTTCAAAGTGCGAAGTCAATATGGGTAGCTAAAGGTGCATATATAGGGTACAAGGGGCAGTCATTTAACCAGAGGTCTGTGCTATGTCCGGCCAGAAATACAGTATGGTATCTCGGCCATTGCTACCTATTCATTGGTTGGTCTCATGAGAAGACGGGAACCTTCTACTGTCTCAACCTCAGTCGCTTTAGGAGACATGTAGATTCTTTGTTCCGTATCTAGCTCCAAGTTCATCCGATCATCTCGGCTCTTCTCTTCACTGTGGAGACGGACAGAAGTGTTGTGGTTGATTTTTAAACTCTGGCCCCGTATGCGTATGGTGTCGCCTGGCCGCCTGCTAACAAGCCCAACATAAGTACGAAGTACAATGGAGGGACCCCCCCACAGAACACTCTGTCAAATTTGCTCCACCATCTCTTCTTCCTTGCATGCACCTTGAGAATATCATGCATGGCCTTTCTATCGGTATAAGTTCGGTTGCTGGGCTCCGAGATCTGTTTATATTCAATAACAAGGATGGCTTATGATTGTGCTAATGGTTTGTCAGTCACCCGGGGAATCAGATCTAGTTTGAGGCTTGTATCGTCCCCGAGCAGCCAGAAGGAGCAAAAAGCAAATACGAGGCGGCTTGTGGGAGCTAAGGAGAAACGGGAACAAAAATAACATCTTTCACATGGTCTTCGATTCTCGGTTACCTTTGCCAAAGCCACGAGCTCGAGTACCTCGAAATTTGGCCAAAAGTCATAGAGGTGCACCCGTGAGGATATTAAGGACCTACATGAGCATGATGTACTGTCTTTCCCTACCAAGCTAAGATTAACAGTACTGCGAGCGAAATGATCCCCAGGGTCCAAAAATGAGGCCAGCTGGGTCTCGTCTCTAGACAATGGATATTGCCACCAGTAGAATATAAATGCAATACCTGTGGTCAGATTCTCACCGGGAGAAGCCAAGACGAGTCATCCCAGCTCTACAGAGCTGAATCCAGCAGAAATTGACGAAGCTTTCAGGATACCCAATAATAAATGCCTCCACTAAGCTTTGATCTCTCGGGGAGCCATTGGACCTGGGTCTAAAAAGGCGGGGCTAGACATGATCATCCGGGGCGTTTGGACCCTACTGGACCAAGTCACGATGAGGATTTCCATGTTGCCTGAGTATGCTGATTCGATGGATCAACTCAGTACTCTAACCCTTTTCTGCAAGCTCTCGCCGCATTGACGCATGCATTGAGTCTCCTGTGAGATTAATGTTTGCGACCTAAGGAGATTGAATCGGCGAAGTGTGGAGGTGAAGGCCGGCTACCTATACTCCGCCGCATGAATGTCTGTACGTGTCGAGTGTCATGCTTCGCAGTAGCTCGTTGACAGTCAAAAGCTCTTTGCATCTAGACTCGAACGAACTTCGACGGATCAAGCAAGCGATTTCGGATGCTTGAGGGCTTTTACTGGCATGGAGGAGCGTTACCCATTGGTTGCCTTTTCGGCCGCTGCATCGAGGGGTTTCTCCGTTCCTGTCGTCCATTAGCACTTCTCGTCAACGTAATTGTATGACTCTGATGGAGTTTTATTGACCCCAGGGAAGAAACAGGTCAGACCCAAAAAGGACTTTCCACACGTGACACTGTCAACAGTTTTGGCAGCTGCTTCTTACTCCCTCAGTTGCATATATTCAACCTCACTTCGAATGATTTTCGAATGATTTTCTGTATTCCCGTAAATCCTTTTCAGCCTCTTCGTCGATCTGTGAGAATACTACAGACCCGGCGGCAACCCTGCCGAGCTTCATCGCATTATGTTCTCCGGATCCATCTTTCCCCACTGGCGTCGTAAGGCGGCACAGCGGTCCAACAATTTCAGCAGCTCGTATGAAGTCCCGTTCTTCATGAACGCAGCCTACTATGCGAATTGGAGGATCTATCGGAAACAGCCTCCCTCGTCCTTGAGATTGGGATTCATCTCTCACATCTTCTATGCATTTGCTTGGTACTAGTCATACACACAGCCGAAGCGATTAATCGCCTGGTCTAGGTAGATACAAATGTTAACCATTATGTCTTTCTTTCATTTAGGGTCAAAGAAGACGGCACAGTTTATGTGAATCCCCAACCCGGACTTGATATTTCTTCTTCTGTCCTTCACTGCTTCTCTCTTCTTTCCATCATTTTATTCTTACCCCGCTGACAAGTTGTTTATGCAGTTGAGCGATGAATGGGCCGACTCTCAGATGCCTGTCGACGGCACCAATGGCTGCCTCCGTGCATTCACCCAACTCAAAGCACAATACTCGAAGATGAAGGTCATCCTATCAGTCGGAGGAGGAGGCAAGGGAAGCGAAAATTTTGCCGCTGTAGCTCGGAGTCAAACCCGTCTGGAGACCTTTGTACGGACCGCGAAGGGACTCGTAGATGAGTTCGGACTCGATGGGATTGACAGTATGTAGCACCGTACGTTCGAGCCGTTCAGGATATGATGCTGACGACCTGCAGTCGATTGGGAGCACCCTTCAAGCCCCGCCGAGGGTTCAGACTATGTCCGTCTGCTCGCTCGGTTGCGTGAAGTCCTACCTTCACCGCGTTATGTGCTAGCCACATGCCTTCCAGCTGGTGAATGGGCCCTGCGAAATATAGATCTGTGCAAGGCGCAGAACCATGTCGACTTGATCAACATCATGGCGTATGATTTCTCCGGGCCGTGGACCAGCGAAACAGGACACCAGTCGCAGCTCTATAGCCCATCTAGAGACCCAACAGGGGCAATCTCGTGTCAGTCGGCCGTCGCGTACGTAATCGCGCAAGGCGTCAACCCCAAGAAGATTCTACTCGGGATCCCGGCGTACGGTCGCTCTTTCCTAGGCAGTAACCACATCGGTCAGCGTTACAGTGGTTGTGGAGGGGAGGATGGTGTCTTCGACTACTGCGACCTACCGCGGCCTGGTGCAAAAGAGTATTACGATGAAAAGTCCGGCGCTGCCTGGTGCATTGGCGGCGATGGCGGGTTTGTCACATACGACACCCCGGAGACGGTGCAACAGAAGGCCAAGTTTGCGACAAAGACGAAACTGGGCGGTCTATTTTATTGGCACATCGGAGGTGATGCAAGAGGACCTCGTAGCCTGATCGAGACAGGGTATAAGACCTTGCATGATATGTGATCTGAGATATCCAACTCAGTCAACGGCGGTGTGGACGTTTGTTTGTGCAACATCAGCGAGGAATCGAAAAATGGCGGAATGGGAAAACGGGAGGCATCGTCTGTTTTTATATCTCCAAGTAGCAAGTTTTGAAGTTCATTCCGATGTGAAATTATTAAGTTGATATCCCTTCCTACTTATACCGTCAACAATCCTTGTCAATAGGTGGGCAATTAGCCGATAACAAAAGTAGATGGTCAGACTTCAGCCATGCGTCGATCGTCCGCGCGATTACGCCCCTCCATCTTATTCGTCTCGTCAGAGCCTTATCTTCAGCAGCAGCAGATAGATCTGATCCTGATGCTGATTCTGATCACTAGTGCAGCACGGAGCGCTCCTAGTAGTCCGAAGGTATGACCAACAGGGCCCGGGTAACTACTCCGTCGAGCTAGGGTATGCACTGTACTCCGTACAATGAGGATATCTGCACAGCTATGGCGTGATGAGCTACACCACCTCTACCCTATAATATATTGGAGAAACACTCATTCCAAGTCTGATTGGATGACTCAGTTTTGTCAATAACAGGGGTAGATGATGTGATCATCTAGCGTATTATTAAATCGATCAGTCTATAACAACTCATATCTATAGCCATAGCCGTAGCCATGAAAATCTTGTCTAAGAAGTCTATGAAAACCACAAATGCGATCGAAAGAAAGAAAGACTCAAATCAAGCAACCCCATTCTTCGCAAACGCTTCCTTGATCTCCTTGAACCCCTTGTTCTCGGCAAGCAGCAGACCGAGCAGGATGCGCGCTTTCTGCGGGTTCAGGAAGCCGCTCTCGATCGTGGTATTGCTGTCTGTGGTGGCGACTTCGCCGTTGCCGGTTCGGGTGCTCAGGACGATAGGGAGGGAGTGGGTGGAGGCGATGTCGTCGATGGCGTCGGAGAAGTCGGTTGAGACGCTTCCTGCGCCGGAGCCGGCGATCTGGAATTCCATCATTGTTAGTATTTAGTTTCGGTAGGGGGGCGGGATGGGGAAAGGACTTACGACGATGCCCTTTGCGCCGTTGTCGACGGCGTCATAGAGCGTATCGTTTTGCATATCCTGGTACGAGTAGAGGATGTCGACTCTGGGGATGGAGGTGAGGTTGCGCACGTCGAAGGCGGTCTTACCGGTGGGCATGACGGACGGGTAGAAGAAGTACGGCTTGTTGGAGACGATGGCGCCGAGGTTGCCCATCTCGACGGCCTTGAAGGTGTCCATGGTGTTGGCGTTTGTCTTGGAGGCATAGAACGCGGAGACGATGCGGTCGTTCAGGACGACCAGCGCGCCGCGGTTGCGTGTGGTGGGGTGCGCGGCGACGGTCACGGCCTGGAGGAGGTTGAACGGGCCGTCGGCGGAGATGGCGGTTGCGGGCCGCATGGCGCCGACAACGACGACGGGCTTGTCGCAGTTGACTGTGGCATCGAGGAAGAAGGCCGTCTCCTCGAGCGTGTCGGTGCCGTGGGTGATGACGGCGCTGCTCATGGTTGGGTCATCGCAGACGACCTCGTTGATGGTTTTGGCCATGCGGAGCAGAAGGGAAGACGTCACGTCGGGGCTGCCGACGTTGGCGACTTGGATGCCGGCGACGTTGGCAACGTCTAGCATCTCGGGAACGGCGTCCATGAGCTGCTGGATGCCGATCGCACCGGCCGTGTAGCCTGTTGTGGCAGTGTTGTCGTCGCTAGAGCCGGCGATGGTGCCGCCGGTTGCGAGGATGGTGACGTTAGGGAGCGTCGAGTTCATCTGGGTGAAGTTCAAGCCATGCGAGTTGGTGAAGACGTATGTACTGTTTGAGCCGGTTGCTCGGGGGTAGACAAACGGAGAGGCATTCCCAACGGCTACCAGAGCCGCGAGTGTGATGGTTCTGAAGCTGAGGTTGGTCATCTTTGCTCTGCTTCGAGGGATTGAAGTGCTTGCTGTCCACGCCAGGCAACCGTACCAGCAAAGCATCGTAGGACATCCATCCTTAAATAGTTACTCTCGTCAACATTTAGCCGTCGACCGCACGATAACCCAGGAACTGGGACACTATCCAAGCCTCGCGATTACCCTGATAAGGAGGTATCGTCGCGGTCGCGGTGTGATCTCGTAATGAGAATCAATATCAATTGGAGTCGTTTCGAGGACCATGTGGAATCGACTCCAAATTCTGCTTGGCATGAGGCATTTATCTGCAAGAGGAATCCTGGAACTTAACTCGATGCAGGAACCAGGATACTGTAACAGCTCTCCAATCTGTTAATAATTGGCTTCTTGCCAAGAGGAAGTCGTTATCCATCAGCGATAAGAGTTGGAGATTGGAGAAACATCGGAGAATTCATTGCATTGGCATTACTGATAAGATCGGCGCATGGGTTTGTTTCTCGGATCTCTCAACGGAAAGTGCCCGAATCATGCCGATGGATGATGTCGTGTCCTGATCTATTTAAGGTCGAAGAAGGTCCTGCCTGTGGTTGAATTATTCCCGCGAAGAATCAAGTTGCCAGCAGACGCCTTACCGCCTCAGGCACAAACTGGATCATCCACAACAAAGTGCATTTCCATGAAATGGTTTCTTTTTTGGAGATTAGTTCAAGCATATTACTCCAACGGGTTGGTCATTTTAATATCAGCAATCCAGATTGCGAGGTCGTGTTCAAAAAGCCCTATCTCCTTTGCACTTACGGTTCTCACTTGATTGGTTCAAAGCTGGCTACAGAACTCCCATCGGAGTCACCTTCGAAGCGAAGATAGGTCACGGAGCAGCACGAGAAGATAAGGTATCATATGTATTTGAGTCTGCCGCTGTCGCCGTCGCCGATCACTACCGCATGGTCAACATAACGAGTCAAGAAAGAAGATGTGCAACAGTAAATGGAATAAATCCATCCAATCGTCATAACATTAGCATATATGTATCAACACTGGATTGTACATGTAGCCCCGTAAGGCAAGAAGTGAAAAGAAAAGCCCAGTGGTTTATATATCCACCGGTGAGGATATCTCTCGACAACTTCACCAATCGATTAGCCTAGCAACTTAGCAATGTCCAAGTTCACATTAAGTGTATTCGACGCCAGGGCCTCGCTAAAGTACGGGATAGCTTGGCCGTTGTAGACGCTCGAGTTGGTCGAGCTTCCTGAAATCGACACAGGCATACCGTTGGGGTACTTCTCGAAGAATGGTGCGATTGCCGACAGTTTGACGGCGGCTGTCATGGGCAGGGTGTTGTTGCCGGGAACCAGCTTCAGGTCGTTCAAGTATGAGGTACCAATGGAGGTTCCTTCGCAAGAGAGGTCGAGAGTGACATTACCCTAGGTCAATCAGTCGACGTTACTTTGAAGTAAAGAAAGCAACATACCAGGCTGATCGTCATCGGAGATGGGTTTGGGATGTACACGGTTCCACCAAAATTGGCGCCATTCGACGACTTGCCGGACAGGGCATGCATTTCCGTGATGGCGAAACCGTCGAGCTTGTTGAGAGCTAGAGTTTGCATAATCAGCTTTGTCCGACCCTGTGGGTTTGACCGAGCCCTGATCACTCACCCTTCATAGTAACAGTCTTGTTGTAAGTCACATCGATTTTAGGCAGGCCCCCCTGCTTCAGGTCGGGCTTGCCATAGATGTTTAATTTGATCTCCTCATTCTGCATGACCGCCGTAGCAAATCCTCCAAAGGCACCCACATCGCTCAGGTCCAGGGCCTGGCTGATATGGACCACAGTGCCGTCATTGGCTTTCACCTGAGGAACCTTTACGGTTGCGAACGATGCAGCGCCCAGCAAGCCGACAGTAGCATCGAAGGCATAGATCGTAGGATGGAACATGCTGTGCGAGCCGATGACCTGTGTCTGAGTCAAGAAGAACGAATCCGGCGTGGGATCAGAGATGATCATCTCCTTGATCTCCAATGTGGAATCATTGATGTCGCCTTGTGCGATGTTTGGATAGCCAACATACACCCTATTGTCTTGTCAGCTCCGAGCCTTTTTTCTCATGTATCACGCAGGAGAACATACAAGGGAAGTGTCACCACCAGGACGACCACAATGATCACGATGATATGAACCCACCACCAGCGCTTGTAGTGGTTGAGCACACGTCTCCCAAAGCTCGGTTTGGGAGACGAGGCTTCCACAAACCCAACCTCGGAGACTTCTGGCTTACCGCCGGCCATTTCGAATCGCTTTGTGCTTTTTGTAGTCTGTCTGACGTTCTGACGTATGACCGGGATGGCTTGTGACACAAACGGTCTATCCCCGGCGCGTCAGTATATAGAAGTGGTCGAAGGGCAGTCGTTTAACAGTGCACACCCTGTTCAGATGATTAGCATTAGTTCAAATCCAGAACAACCTTCTAGTCATAATATACCGAGTCATGCATCAAGAACAAAGCAAGGCCGTTGAAATTTATTGGAGATAATAGGGGCACAGAAAAACGGACGGGGTTAAAAAAAATTGCTTGAAAGGAGAGGATCTACCTATTTTAGTTCGTCCACCGAAGGGGAAGGCGAAAAAAGTACTAAGAACGGATGGTCAAAGTCCAGAATCCAGACGACGGACCACCCAGTCCCTAGGGACCCGTCAAGTGCTATATCTATGCCCCAAGGAGGGGCGAGGTTCCATCACATGTAGAAAAATACAAAGCAACCAGATTCAAGCACCGCGGATCTTTCCACCTGACGGAAATGAATTCTGACCAATATCCGGAGACTTGTACAGAAACATTCCCCCTTCCCGACTGCTTAATTTTGGATCTTGCGGAGAAAACGGGGGAAGGGGGAGCTAAGTGACTGGGGTTTTGACGCCAGGACCCAAGGTGCTAGAGACTAGAAGAGAGATGGATACTAGACAAGCAGCGTGGCGAGGACCTTTACGGGACACCTCGTGGATTAAATGGGATGACCTCGGCGGATGAGGGATAAGCGAGCATGAGACAGAGCCATGGCCATGATCAGGCTGATGAACAGCAGTTTATGGCTGATGCATCATGATTTGCGTTAGCTTTGCGAGGCATATTCCCAATCCAGCCGAGGCTGAAGGGCGTCGAGGATGGCTGAGTTTGCAGGCTCTTTCTCAGGAAGCATAATCCTGGGTTGTTCCGCAACGTAGCAGTCTGGATTTGATTGGATTGGATGCGATTGATAGTGCAGAGTCTAAACGAGGGGCGACTTGTACTGCTGTTGGCTGGTAGGGACTAGAGAGGTACTACTCTAGTATTCGGCGTACCCTGGATGCAATCCTGGATGGTTGTGGATGGGAGCGTCCAATCCTACCGCTCGTAAAGAAAGTGCAATTTCCCCATGGTCGATCCTGACTTGGCTAGGGAGACAAAGTCTCAGGAACTGATTGGACTAGGAGGCCGGGGTAAAGAGGAGAAGTGAGACCAAGTGGGTTGGAATGATAAGAAACATGGAATAATGGAGGCAATGGGCCCAAAAAGAGCAGCCAAGACAGAAGCAACCACAAGAGAGAATGCGGCTTAATTTGGTTAGATTCGCGGGGGCGCAGAAGCCAGAAGGTCGAACTAGACAACCGCCAACAAAGTGAGCGGAATAAAAGAGCCGGACAAGATAGCGCGAGTGCGTGACCTGGGGTTACAGGCGGGAATGGCCGCTTTAGGTGATTCCTCCGCGCGCCATCCTGAATACGAGTCATCTTCCTTGGTTAGTAACTTTCGGAGGAGCTTCAAACTCGCCAATTAAGATTTTCTTGATTTTGGGATTTTGAGCAACCATCAGTCATCGCGGAGACGATGCTGATTCGATGACAAAGGCTCCGACTCCTGAGATCGATCGACACAAATCGAAGACCAACATCTCTGATTACCTCAGATCGTCAGTTTCATGTTAGAGAGTTATTACCTATCAACTGGATTTGGACTATGGCGCCATAATCCTGAAGGTTTGTTACAAACTAAAAGATAAAAATAATTGCATTAGCCACACCTGAGACGATGATCTACATAAATGATCAACCTGAGGTAGGATTCCCTGCTGACGGGGATTTCGGGTCGTACGAGAGACGCCAGTCATCTACATTTCTCTGTCGTCAGCATTCTAGCAGTCCAGTTTTATCCAATGGCTTGGATATGTCAGTCTTGCGTATGAGGGCAAAAATGCCAATCAGAGCTGCTGTGTAACCATACTAGGAGGTAAAAGTCGAGGCTCTACATCGCCTTAGGCAATTCCACCAGCCTATTCTGTGCTTATGTTACAGCTTAGTGGTCGACTGTTAGAAGATATAAAGCAAGTGGCTATGCTGTCGGAAATGTCACCAAACGTTCCAGAACTGGGCGGCCAAGGCCTCCTGTACCGAGAAACATTCAATTATGTTTTGAGTATCATGAGGATCATCAGGTATAAACTGTGCCAGAATATACATCGCCAGCTGAGAGAAGAAGAAGAAGAGGTGAAGGAGAAAGAATAAAGAAAGAGAAAGGCACGAATTGTTGGAAAGAAAGATATGGATGGGGAAAAAAAGGTGATGGAAGGGGACAGCATCACACAGTGATTAGAAATTATGGGTATCCAAGAAGAGTCAAGAGGCAAAGCTCACAAAGCAGCCAAATGGTCATTGGCAGATCTCGCAGCACCCCCGCCAGGGTCGACTGAGGCAGCCGACAAGTACTGCTCGAACCTCAATAATGAACAGGAGAATGGAAGAGAAGGTTGATGAAGTGAAAAAATGATAAAAATGAACAAAGTGAAAAGCATCACGAGCATTAGCTCTAGATGGCACATTCACACGAATGCAAGAACAGGCTTCAACTCAGCGTGGTGGCAGTACACTTTGTTGCTGCTGTAATAGTCGAATGGAACAAAGGGTGAAATGGAACAGAAGAAGAACGAGGGAGGAAAAGAAGAAGATATAGGATAACAATGCTCAAGGAACGATAGCGAGCTTTTCTGTTTCCTGACAAATGGTGGACAACGAGAACTGCATAACGTTCAAGCTTCAGCTGCTAGAGACTTTTTACGATGGAAAAGACTGCGAGTTCGGGACTTGCTGCGGGCATTCTTTTCAGGCGTTCCGCCCTGTCGACCTCGGCCACGCGAACGGGGGCGGATTCGTCATCGGACTTGTACTTGTCCTTGTAGATCCTGTAAATGCTCATTAGTATCCATCGACCGATCTATCTGGTGTACGGTCCCGGCTTACCAGCTGTTCCCAACCATGCTGATCCCCTTCGCTTCCGCCTGGCGATAAAACTTGGCCGCCTTCTTCATGTCCTTCTTGCAACCGATACCTTCCGCGTAGCAAAATCCAGCCTCTGCCAGCGCGTCCGCGTCGCCCCACTGACCTGCGATCTCGAAGCAGCGCAAAGCTAGAGATTTGTCCTGCTCGATACCCCATCCGTTCAGATGGCTCACGCCAAGCTCGTAGATACTGAGGGCAAACTGCGCACGATAGGCTTTTTGCATCTCCTTTGCTCGCTGAGGTACAGTGCCATTCGAATCGTCCATCAGCTCCAATCCCACGCAATCGACGGCTTTGCGGAGCCACTGCACGCCTTCTCGTTGGTTTGGTCGCATACCCCAGCCATGGCGGCATGCCAGGGCATAGAGAAGCATCCCAGTGGGATGATTTTGCTTGGCGGCAATCCGTAGATGATATGTAGATTCTTTTAGAGATCCTTTCTCGTGGCATTCAATTCCCTTGGCCACATGTTCATCTGCGGTGATCATACCAGATGATGAAGCTGCCCTGCCCGTCTGTGGTCGAATCGTGGAGGCCGAGTCCGCAGAAGAAGTCGTATCCTCCTTATCTTCTTTGTTCGAGGTTGTCGATTCTGGCGGAGGTGCCACCGCCTTCTGTTTCTCAACAGATGGAGGCTCTACCTGGTCAACTTCGGGCTCAGACGTGGCCTCAGCCTCCTGAGAGCGCAGGCCGGGTCCGTTCGCCGAAGGCGTCGGTCCGGCTATTGTTGGAGTACCGCACATCGAATGCGCCCTTTGTGAATACACGGACTGCGAGTATACTGACTCATGTCGTGAGGGCGGCGGAGATGGGGTCCGAGAGGGCCTCAGACGCGCTTCCGTACTGACAGGAGGTGGGCTTTCGAATAGCGGCTCTTTCCACTCAAAGTTTGGAGTCTGCAGACCGGAGAACACAACAGAGTCTCTGGAGACCTTGCGACCCCGAGGAAGTGAATACTTCGTGTAGATATATGAAGACACTGCGGATGACGGCTCCTCATGCGAATGGTTGGCTAGGTCCGAATGCGTAGGCACAATAATAGGACTGGGCTTATGCTCGCGATGCATCGTACCCGATTGGTTCGTCTGATCCATACCACCAATGCTGACTGGCGCAGAAAGGCTCGTGCTGGACCTACTCAAGGGACGCGAGAAGTTGAACGACGGTCGGGGAAGATAGCCCGTAGTATTTGACGTCTCCGAACTCAAGGATGGGGACCGAGGATGTGAGCGGGGATTGGCCGACATTGGCGAGTACGGCAGCGACATGGCGCTGCAGGACGATAGCTTGCGCGGTTTTGAAAACGTCGACCCTGCATTCGAACTGCTATAGTCGTCATCGGAACTTTCCGGTTGAGTGGCTCTGGAACTGGTAGATGGCCTTGACAGTGGAGAGGGAGGCGGTGCCAGGCCTCGTGGGACATTGAGTCGAGAAGCAGAATCGGTCGATGGATTGCGAGATGGCGCAGCGATAGCAAGCCCAACGGAAGAGACAGGGCTGGCAGGGCTGGAGGGACCGGAAGCATAGAACCGTGGAGGCGCCTCCGGTGCACTGCCCATAGACATATCTTCCTCAGGAGATTCAGCACGCGGGACTTCAAAGGTATCTGTTTCCATAGGGAGCGGCGTAGGTCCTTCAGTCGGCGTGGCCTCTTCGTCATCCTCTGCGAAGCCATCCTCGCTGGCAAGATACGAAACAGCACTAATGCGAGGGTGCTCGGACTGCGGACGAAACTTTGGCTCCTCAACCTCCGGATTGTTCTTCTGAGTAGGACGTCTCGCAAGTTCCCCGCCTCTTCCACCTTGAGAGTAGTAAGAATCGCCGGATGATTGGGCCCGAAAGTAGCCTGGTCGACCCTGTGACAAAGATCGTGCGACGCTGGAAGGGGGCAATCTGCTCATGCGCCTTTCTCCCCGTTTCGACTCTTCCAATTGCCGGGCCAGAAGCCGACCCTGAGCAGCGAACGCATCAAGCGGAGAGAGCGCAGGAGGAATTTCGCCGTCAAAATGTTCGATGCGCGGCGAGGGGCTCCGGAGGGTATCGTAAGATTGGGAGCGGGTTTCACCAAACTGCGGCCGAGATGCCATGGTTGCGGGACAAGGGCTTCAAGGCGTTGGGATTTGAGATAAGCAGTTATTCTTTCTGTACAGCGGAATATATTCCATTCAATTCATCTATCAGGAGTCGCTGTAATCGTTCGTGAATGCAACTTTTCGCATCGGTGAGGGCTCTCTGTCGAAATCAAGGGAGGTTAGATGAGTCGCGCATAAACCTGTGGAAAGGGAGTAATAAAAAAGGAAAGAGATGCAAGAGGATATAACAAAAGGAGGGAGGAGGAAGAATTACAGAAGTTAAAAAGGAATGGCGATCCTATGAGTATGAAGAGTGTAGTGAAAGGAGCGCAGCAGGCCAGGCTTAGTTGGATAGTGATACTAGTTCCTGTGAAGGTCCAATGAATGACAGGGTAGTTGGAAAATTGAAGTATGAAGTCAAGAAAATAAGCAAAAACAGTGAAAGAGATTCAAAGAGTTGAAAAGTGCCACAAATCAAGAAGAGCAGCGATGGTCAAGCATCGCGACTCCGAGAAAGCGATTGGGATGTCTAGCCAGATGTTGATGATGGCGGACGTCGAGGAGGGAGAGGGAATAGGCTTCCTAGGTACGGAGTAGTCGTAGGGAACCTAACAAGCTAGACTAGATGATACCTCAATGGGTCCCAAACACAACCTGTGGGATTTTCGACCATTCAACTCGACGCCCTGACGATCATTAGACGAAACGAGGGGCGGAATAGCAGAGTGGACTGAAGGGAAAAACTGACAGTCAGTCTGGGCATTCTCCACGCGGAGCGATGCTTGTATTCAACGCGTTTCCAGAGTGTATGCTGTTCTGTACGTAATCACATTTCAAATCGTCTTGGCTCAATACCCACACCGACCGGTACTATTCAGAACGCCAAGCCAGAAAATGTCTGAAGAGAAAACACATACACTTACATTATTTACATGACAAGCATGGAATAGCCATCATGTTCCTACCGCTAGAGTCAGGGGCTGCATTACATGGCGTTGCATTTATTATCATCGTCACAAGTGCGTCAATTCATTGAATCCCAAGAGAGACTATGTCTTTGTAGTCAGTTGGTACGCGAACAAAATATATTCTCTGAATTGAGATGGTGATCTAGACAACCAAGCTTCCAGAACAACAGTCGAATTCTTCCCAACATACGACGATCATCCATATTAATATCTCTTGAAGCTTCCCATCGGCAAATCATACCATAGGGTTGATGTTCAGGCCTTGGTCTTACCAAGGATAGACGGTCTCGCAGTCTGGTTCGTCCTGACTTTAGACCCGAAAGTGGGGAAGTCGCCTCTATATATAAACATTTTTGAATCATTGCCCGAGCCCCTGTGCCATGGGTATATACGAGAGAGACCAACAATTCTTCGCTCAAAAAAACAGAATTTAGGGTCTTGAATCAGAGGCGCCTTGATTCGATCAAGACTCTATATCCGCCAAATGGAAAAGTATGTGGTTATGGTTACTGTTGGACTTTGGAGCTATTTAAATGAAGTACTCCATAATGCTGTCGCCTTTTATTACCATCTGAGACATTATCAAAGTGTTGCGTTGCAATAATGACCAATGACCTCTTATTGGCCATTTGCCGTGTGATTCCGGACCTGCTTGAGAGATCTCGTCTAAATAAACTGGAAGTCTCCCATTGAGTGTAGTTGTCACTAGTTATATACTTCAGTCAACTCCTGCCTTGACCTTCTAGTCTTTAAGATTTCACTAATAGTGTGACATGTCGCCTGCGACTTCTTAGAGGGAGACAATTTCATCGTCTAGATTGAGATACTCCTCTGCTAGAATATCTCCCCAGAGTTCCTCTGAGATCTCTTCTCCCTTTGCAAGTAGTATCTGTCGAGGAATAGCCCGAAGGCTAAGTCAATCAATGCATAAGGATTGTCCGAACAAAACTCCAACCAGTTCGTTCGGCATCTTGACTTTCGGCACAATAAGAGCAACAGCTTCAATAGCAACAGGGCAATTTGTTAAAGCTATCTCAGCGTTAATCTGTAGAACCAAACCATTGCTTGAGCGGTATGGGTCGTGAACCGAGTCCTTCAGATATTCTCAGAAAGAAGCAGAGAGAAGGTCTTCTGCAATAATAGTCCAGTGGGCCCCCATATCGAATATCATATTAATCCCTTCGAGCTTGTAGGTAGGGTCCGTCTCGTTGCTATCCACACCTCGTAAAGTAAGATCTGCATGAATAGTAGGGAGGTACCCTTCTCCTAACACCGGCTGGAGTGGTATATATAGCTCTCAGAATTCTGCATTAGCAGCCTCTTCAGCCATCTTGTGGAGATGCTCGCGAGCTGCTCTGCTTAGAGCCAGGCAGGACTTCGCCGTCTTTATATTGACACTTGTTCGAATTGGGCGACCTAAAACATTCTCTGATGGCGATTCTGAAGCTGACTGGAGTGCTTTCTCCTGAAGTAATCGACGGTTGCCAGTTCCGGGGGGCATCAGAATAAACGGTTCATCAACATCACCTAGGGCTGCTTCGGCAGCTTGAATGGCAGCCCTCCAACTGGTGCACACAGGGAGGGTAACAGAAAGTTCATTGCATTGCCCATCCATTGATTCGGCAACCTGGCGAAGTACATCCCTCGGATGCAGGATTCTTGTTTCGGGAATATCCATGGTTGACCTAAGCGATATAATTCATAAGTCCTCCGTAAGGTTATTAGGAATTGATCACTACTTACTGTTTATTCTCATCAGCTTTCCAGTCCCTCTGAATCACTGGCCGCCCAACGTTGTCTTCAAGGAGAAGGCGAACACGCTTCCCTTCGACGGCAGCTATCGCTGGACTGTATCCAGAATGGGGTCGTTTGGCACTGGCCATGATAAGGCGGGATCAGCGATCGTGTTGCAAGGGATAGAAGGTGGAAGGCAGCATACCTCGCGTCAGGATGAACGTAGTCCTTCCCTATTCTTCAAAAGCAGAAGTCACGCCTCTCGAGCGTCGATATACTAACAAGGCAGGAGCGGATATCTACGACAGGCAAGTGATGGGAAAAAATGTGTAGTTCTCGGTCGGAAAGGGGGCTTGTTCCTTAACAAACGCAAAGAGAAGAGAAGCTGATGGACCGCTGATCCACCCGGAGCTTATTGTATTCGCAGTCCAGAGAAGCGGTACCAGCGGCCAGATAACGCAACTCCTAACGGGACAAGCACTATATGAGGTATACTCTGTAGAGTATAAGGGGCGCTATACCTAAATGGGAGGTACAGTAGCAGTCTAAGGCAGGCGGTCAGGGGCAGCAGGATGGTGTTTCAATGGGAGCTTGGTCTTGCGCCCCGCTAACTGACATGACGTATACTAGTAGTTAACTTAGTTAACATAAGCATGCTGCTGTGTGGATCTCTGTCATCATTATCATCACCACACCTGGTTAGGGGTGCTGCCCTGAGCTTCTGCAACCAGACTGTCACTATCATATGCAGCGCCCAAAGCTAAGTAGTTTCCACTATAAGCATACATTAGGATATCCGTCACTCTCACGCACTCCTCTAGTTAACTTAACTAGTCAAGCTGTTGTCACATTGACGATGAGTCAGCTTCCAGGTAAAAGTGAATCTAACCCTGAGTGCCTGACTAGGTAGTTACCCCTTGGGTGCTCAGTCCTGTGCCATTATGATTATCCTTTACCTTTTTAAGCCTTTGATTCCCCATCTGACGACTTTGCCTTTCGCTTCAGATTAACGCCCTCCCCTAGATGACTGTTAGGTTGCTTCTGGAAAAGGCTTTTTCAGGCTGGGCCTAGAGCACATTACCTTGCTGTTTGGTTCCTAAGATCGCTGTGCCGCCATGTGGTTTATTGATATAGAACTGGTGATTTCAGCCCTAGCTGAGATGGAATAACAGAGAATCAAGGTAGCAGCACTCACTGATTTCAGCTGGAGCCAAAATGGGGGCATATATGCGGGGTTCTACAAGGGAATCTACAAGGGAATCTACAGGAGTTCAGCCTAGCCCTAATATCTCTCTACTATATGATATGCATAATTCAAATGATAGTTATATTAAGTCATCAGCCTAAATACTAAATAAGAGAGAAAGGGACAAGGAGAGATGTATATATACATATATCAATATATATGTGTGTATATGAGCAGGAACCCGTCTGTATCCTAGTAGAGGAAGATATTACTCTAAAAGGCAATTTACCCAGCACAGGCCCACCCTTGTCTTCCACAAATCATCACCACCAACGTTCTTCAACACCAGCGAATCATCAGACAATCCCACCATTCACGCTGTACAACAGCACCATATTAATCAGTGTGGATCACAACTTTCAGATAAACAAGCTAGCTAGTTGTCTTCTGAAGCCACCATCTCCACCTTAGGTATATAAACCAGCGCCCACCTCATATAAACACCCGCAACCAAAACTTACAAGACACCAGCATGACAATGGCAGCAACCAAAAAGCGCCCTAAGATCATTGCTCTTACATGTGAACTCAAAGATATACCTATGTGTAAGGAATATAAGCGCATGGTCTCTGGCATGATGTACAATCCTAACACCCCTAAACTACTCAAGGCGCGGCATCAGTGTTATGGGCTAGCAGCTGACTACAATAGTCTGGACATGAAAATAGTGCCCTATAATTAGATTACTAAGAAGAGGCTTGAGCTGCTCCGGCGCGTGGTCAGTAGGGTGGGTGATGGAATGTTTATTAAGCTGCTGTTCATGCTAGACTATGAATGTAATATTAGTATTAGCAGAGATTATTTATTAATTAGAAGTATGTTGTCTCCATGTTCCATGTCCTCCAATTCATACTGGTTATATATGCTAGACTGACTGACAGATCAGTCTTACTGTGCTGGACACCAGCCTTATTATCATTAGTGACTGGGTCCAGATAGGAATGAACATCAGCATTATTACCACCAGCCATGACACAAGTATCCTGTCACAGTGGAAGTTTGCGGAATTTGGCCGTCCTATCTTCATTAAGGATGACTGCTAGATTGGCGTGAATGTCGTTTTCCTGCCCGGTATTAGAATTAGACTAGGTATTCAGAAGTATCAACCACTAAACAATGCAAACACAGCACCCATAGATAAAACATAATGGAAATGAGCAACAACATAATAAGTATCATGGAAAGCAACATCAAGTGATGCATCCAGTTAGTTGCCATTTACCTCTAAAGAATCGCAAAATACGACTGCAACGGCCCATCTCTTAACTCGATCCCGGTGCTGAACCCCGAAGATTTTTGAGGAGGCACAGGCATCCGATGCCTATCGAAAGGGATCCCATTCACGGTTAAAGACAGCTCTAAAGTTAAGGACATGACCGTCGCAGCCGGCTCCCCTGCCTTTGCTGATCTGGCTTCAACTTCTGATGTGGTACATACTGAGCTGCAAATTGACCCAGACTTAAGGTACATACAAAACACCAGCAATCAGAGCAGGAACGCCAGCAACGTGAACGCGAAGCCAGTCGATGGCAGCACAGGGGTAGAAGGAGAGAGAGTAGCAGCAGAGAGGCAGAGGCAGATTTGATAGGGTGGGGGAGCTGCGGCAGACCAAGTCCAAGCACACAAGTATATATATGATGATTGAAATAAAGATCAAATAAATTTTGCTGTCCGTCCACTGGAGGAAGACATATGCTTTGGAATCCGTACCCTTATACATGCCGAATTGGACACTATTTCCGTCTTCAATAAGGCTATCAACGTCAAGAACATGTGTTTGGTAACGAGTCGCGGTAAGGTGGCCATTAATGTACTGTGAAATTTCAGCAACCTGAATAGGGTTGCCTTCAGCATCAAATGTACGCCCGTCAAACTCCATTCTTTCGGCCGGTATTGCAATATGGTAGACAGCGCAAGGGCTTTTAACTAATATCAAATGGTTGCCTATCTTCGTCTGATTCCGAACCGTGGCTCGCTGGACGCATGAAATGTCTGGGTCGTGTGGTGGCTGTATTAGGCGTCGATAGCACACAGTACCAACTGGACAATTTCCTTGTATGCATCTCTCTAATATCTCAGATTCGCCTATACAGATGTCGCCCCATGCCATCGGTCCAATGCTGTGATTGCACCAGGCCCAAAGAGTTATAAAAATGACTTCTTCCAGGAATACGCGCGCATTCAGCATCCGTCTCCCGAGTTCGGCGGCTCAATGGAGAGGCACCATAAGGCTAGAGTTGTAAGGGAAATCCATGTCGACATCAATGGCACTGTCAATTGGCGATCCTTGTACCATCAACTGGGTGCCAAGGAACAGTAGGAATGCGGGGAAGAGCATGATTATCGGGGAAGATGCTGCTAAAGTGAAGTCTGTGACTATGGAGTAAGGAAGGGATACATGGAGGGATATATTGGCAGAGTGAGTTGTACCACGGTATTTATACATAAGCTATTGAGAAAGATGTCCTTGGGAGTGGTTGTCGCTCTCTGCTTTGTAGTACACTCTGTAGTTCTCTCTTATTCACTCCTTCCCTCTGGATCTGATGATTCTGATCCTTCTGACAGATCCGCCAATAGCCTTGAACCGAGAGAAGTATTTTGCTGTGATAATACTGCTAAGCTGTCAAGTTCCAAATCCGATCCTTACCCTATACCAAATTCCTGGAATTCTGGTCCTAATAAGTTTCCTGATTTTCATACAATGATTGAGATTGGTCAACATGGAGGTATCCCATTCAACCACAAACCTACTCATTCTGAGACACAGAGCGGTGTCTCATAGATGAGTGTTCATTCTCAGTTACTCGATTAGCTATGAATAGATAAAGGGGCTAATGGTAAGAAAAATGTCTTGTAAATGCCCAGTTGAAGTGTGGTGGTAATGAAAACCATGGCTCCTAGACTTTTTGACTGAAACCCAAAAGCTTCCTTAGGCCATACCGGGGGACATGGGGAGGCAGAGGAGATAAAGCTTTTGCTAATATAAGAATTCCATGTTCAAGATTTGTCTGCCTTAGGATGACTTCCTATTCTTTTGATACTCATGCTGACTTCTGGGGGAAGAAGGACAGTAGTCACAGTAAGGACTACTATTAGGGTTAGAGTACATACTGAAGCATTTAGGGTTGGCTGAAGAAAGTGGACTAGCTATCAGAGAACACTGAGATGATGGGAGGATTCTAGCCCTCTGGAGTCTGGACAGTCTGGAGATATTATTATCTATGACTAAGGTACATTTCAGCCTGGGTAACAGTTCAGCAAGGTCTTAGAATAATTTAGTAAGGTCTCAAATTACCCTACATATCTGAGACCTTGATGAGCTAAAGTGCAGAAAGGTTTAGCAAGGTCTTAAAAGACATTTAAGACCTTGTTGAACTTTAATGCTTACAATCATATAATATTAAAATTATTATGTAGGAGGGATTTGAATCATTCAATATCCCTACTCTATGACGATTCAAATCGTTCGATATCCCTACTATATAAGGATTTGAATCATTTGATATCCCGCCTATAATGATTCAATTCCCTACTTACTATTACACCTAGTCTATAGATTGCAAGCGGGGTGTTACATACAAACCCAACTAAAGATCAACGAGGTCTGAAAATATGCCAAGGTCTGAAAGATAACTTGAGACCTTGCTGAACTGACTGCCCATGTCAGCCAACAGTATGGCCTGGTGTACGGAGTACAGTTTAGTAATTTCTGATAGCATACTTCAGCATAACAAGCTTGCACTATTTATGATTATTTTTGTATGCCTGTTCTATTCCTAATATTATTATAGGTGAAATAAAATATTACAGATGCTTCTACATTATTAGGACAAAGTGAAATCTATCCTCCCACCCCTAAAAAAGGAGAAATAATGCGTGGGCTTAGCTTTAACTTTTATTTAGCTGTCATGTGGTCCTTAGGGCGAATAATTAATCCTACTCTATCTCTATTCAGGCATTAATTATTGAGTAAATCATGGACTATCTAGAGGGCTCCAGGACTGCTCAGAGAGCAATCTCTCTCCAGTGATGAACTGGCAGGCTCGGAGAGCAAAAAGCAGCGGCGCTTCGGACCGAATCCAGAAACAAAAAGTCAAACAGTGGTCACAGAAAATCAGTTTAATAGTGCCAAACCCATTTTCGGTGTCCACGGGACGAAATCAGGCCTCGCCTCATACAGTCGGGCAGTCGGATCACAGCCGAGGCTGCGTATGGAGTCTCTACCCTAAAATAGTCAAGTTCCGGTCTCCATCAGCCTTCGGTTAGGCTCAATCCATGTATCCACAGCGCAGACTTACGTACTGTACTTTCGTAGATGGTTTGAGCCCCCAAGGCAACTGACAAAAACATTGGAATAGCGACAGCACTAGAAACGACGAACAAAATTTAGCTCAGCCTCCGAAGTCTGAACCTCCCTAGCGGAAATTTTCTTTTGAAAACCCCAGTATGACCGTTAGATAAACTCTTATTCCACTCCTTCCCACCTTCTTCCCCCGCAATATCCCATCCTCATGCGCGCACGACAACCGCCGCCGCCGTCGCCAACATGAAGCTATCCAAACCCTCCTTCGGCGTCGACCCCTCTCTCGACTCCCGCCACTGCTACGAAACCTCCTGGCTCCTACCCCCTCTCCCCTTCGCTCTCCTCCGCGCCCTAATCGCCCTCTATATCTTCATCACCATCTTTTTCATCTGGGGCTGGGACGGCACCCACGGCGACTCCGACGCCATTGGCCACAGCTTCAGCTACTTTACCTGGCTCACGTACTGGGGTCTGGGCTTCTATTATCTCGTCGCGGCGATCCATACCGCATGCTACGCACGCACGGGGCGCTCCGTGCTCTTCGACAGACTGCCTCGTGCGCTGCGCGCCCTGCATGCGATTTTCTACACGACCATCACTACCTTCCCGTTTCTCGTGACGATCGTGTTCTGGGCGATTCTGTTTGAGCCGCCGTGGTATACGCGGACTTTTGAGGCTTGGTCGAATGTATGCTGTCCATGTTTGAGAGAAAAAAAAAAAAATCGCAAAGTGAGTGTCAGGTGTCGCTAACGCTATGAATGATGTAGATCTCGCAGCACGGCCTCAACTCCCTCTGGGCCCTGCTGGAAATCATCCTCCCCACCACGAACCCGCATTCGCTTCTGGCGTTTCCGGTCCTGGTACTGATTCTCCTGCTGTACGTCGCGCTCGCGTACTTGACCTACCACACTGAGGGGTTCTACACCTACTCGTTCTTGGATCCTGGTACGGACGGCGAGCATAGTGGTCGCGTGACGGCTTACTGCTTTGGGATCTTTGCAGCGATCCTGGTCATTTTCATTCTCTCGTGGGCTGCTATTTGGTTGAGGCGGAGACTTACCCATGGAAAGATCAAGAGGTCGGTCTACGACAAGGAGGACGTTCCTGAGATGCGGTATGTCGGAGTTTAGTAGGGATATTATGTGGTGTGTATATAGGATAATACGTAATAATAATGAGCATGTATGTGTGCACGCTGCGATCCAATACTAGTTGATATGCAATTGAGTATTCTTCTCATGAGATATCCGTTGCGTCCAGAATAGAGAGGAGATGGGATTTGACAAATCAAGGCATGTCAGCGGGGGTCAGTATCCAAATTATAACCAAAAAATAGGCAGAATTATTATCGCGCCTCATTGACTTTTTCCCAGCCAGTCTCACTGCTGCTATTGCTGGCACTGTCCGACGTGGTAGGGTGGCCACCTCGGAGGCCCATCATCCATCCTACCAGGCCGGCGGGAACCCACTCGCCAATAATGCTGTAAGACCTCGCGCCTCTTCCAGCGTATATGACCCGCTTCTTGGGAATTTTTCTTCCAAAAATATCTTTTGATGCTGGCTCCAGCGCATCCAACACCGCATAGTGCAGCGTTCTGGCAGGTGAGCCTCGCACCGTACTGGGTCCTGCAGATGCCACAGGCCGCTGCTCAATGCTCGAAAGGTACTGCGGCCCATAGAGAGACCGTTGCTGTGCGCTCCATGCGAGGACCTCGGTCCCAGTGACATGACTCTGCGCATCACGGAACTGGGGGCCGAGGTCGATGTTGCCAAGCTTCAACTCCACAACATCAATGTTCTTATGCTGCAAGAGCCGCAGCTCCGTCCGTAGAGACGTCGCGAACCCTGACAAAGCGCGGGCAGTAGTGACTTCAGGACCAGCAAATGGTGCTGAAAGCGACGACGATATAGAGGGGTAGAGGACGAGGATGGTGCTATTCGTGTTGCGAAGTGTCAGAAGAGGGAGGAAGATCTGAGTGGTTAGTATAGGAGAAAGGAGTCGAGTATTGATGGTATCGGCCCAGGCTGATGGTGGAATAGTGGCCACCGGGCCAGTTGTATAATTAGGAGATGGGACCAGGATAATACCGCTTAGCTGGCAGGTATGGGGAGGTACGCCAGGCATCGGCCATTGCGGCTGTGTAATGAGGGAATGTATGTCACGCAGAGAGGGATGAATCTCGGAAGGCGAAGGGGTCTTTCAAGGTCAGTAATAGTTCGTCTTCTGAAGTGCTGAATAGAGGCTCACTGCTGTGAGATCAAGCCAAAGGGCTCTAATATCCATTCGATTTTCCGACCGAACCAGCTGTTCCTCTTGAGCTGACGTGACAGTAATAAACACAATATAGCCTCGACGCTCCAAATCAGTGGCGATCGCTCTGGTCATAGGTTCATGGGGAGACCCGGCGACAACTGACCAAGTAGTTAGCCCTTATGGACAACCCGTACAGGTTTCCCAGCTCGGTAACATACCAACTATCTCCTTTCGAGCACCATTTCCAGCCCTTCTTGCCTTCCGCCGGCGTCCATGTAGCTTGCTGCTCCCAAAGTACAGGACGCTGGTTGTCCCAATAAATGCGATTAAAGCAGCGCTCCATGCTCGATTTCGGATCATCCAGTCATACGCGCGATCAGTGAAAGACTGCGACCGCGCCGCATGGAAGCTTGGATATGTCTTGGGAGAAGGTCGGATCGCAGGAGGGAGCCATGACTGATGCGAGAGTGTATCACGAATCACTGTCGCGACGTGATCGACTTGCCGGTCGATAGAATCTGCGACCTCGAGCGAGTATCTTCTTACGTCATGGGGAATCGACGCAAGCTGGAGGTTGAAGCATCTTGTCAGCCTTGTGACTGGCAGTAGTGTAGACCAAGTAACTCACATAATCGAAGAAGAACTGGTCATCGCTTGTCATCTTGATTGGAAGTTGAAATCAGAAGCGAAATGCTTGATGCCACAAAGGTTGATAAAGGCGAAAAAGTTCCACTGATAAGTGCAGCAGATGTATTATCAACCAGTCACATGAGCGTGATATACTCCACAGCACAGGATAAGGATAAGGATGTCAACTGTAGCTTTGAGTCTCAGAGTTACTTAATATAAAGCTGGTATTTGTACCAGAGAATATCTAGATGATTCTGACATTTTCATGTTATTAAGTGGTTTACTGTGAAATGTTGCAGACTGTATTGATCCCCACCTAAGTTCTTCAATCACATAGTCTTGACTCCAAATGTTAAACTAGTCCATATCTGTACTAGCCTCCTCTATAGTACATTTAAGCAGCTGCTTTATGCATCAAATTGCCACAACTTCTCAACCCTTGGTTGGTCATCTATTTCTTCAGGAGCGTCTTACAGGCCTCACTTGGTTCTGTGATGCCTGACAGCCAATTCTTGGCCTCAGGGAAGGGTGTGAACCTTTCACGTGATTATGATCGAAGGCAGCATTGATTCTAATGTCTTCCGCTGATTATCAATCCAAAGTTAAAGTAGCAAGGCCTTTCGACATTATCACACTATCCTAGAGTCTACTGGAATATAGAGAAGTGGCCAAAACCTATGGTGCATTGATATCTCTTTGGGACGGGGACTCATGCTGCCATTTTGGACAGGCTTGTACTCGGGCGCCTAACAGATATTTCTCATCTGCAGGGACATAGAGAGATATATGGAATCATTGTCAAAAGGCATATATTCTCTTTGAGAGAGCTTGAGAACCCAAGCAGTATCATTTCCACACCCTGCTTTTCCAATATCCTCGTCCGATTTTCTTCAAGTCGACTCGGTTTTCTTCACTGCCATCGATATGCGCGAACTAGATCCGTTGGTCTCCGAGTACCAACATGACAAACACCGGCCCAGAGAAGCAGAGGCTTTGTTGATGCTCCGGAAAATCGCTTCCATAGTCAAACCAATTATGCGCCAGAGGGCTTGGAGGGTAGGGACACTGTGTGAATTCTACCCACAGCAACGAAACCTCCTGGGCTTGAATGTCAACGCGGGCCAGAAAATATGTCTCCGTTTACGATACCCTTCTGACGAGCGTCAATTCCTACCGTTAGAGCAAGTAGTTGATACGATGCTGCACGAGTAAGTCGATACTCAGATTCCAGAGAGCTCATTCATTGACACATCCAGGCTCTGTCATATTGTGCATGGACCACATAATCAGCAATTTCACGCCTTATGGAACCAGTTACGTGATGAACACGAAGAGCTAGTCATGAAAGGCTACACCGGAGAGGGTTTCCTCTCCCAAGGTAAACGCTTGGGTGGTCGGAACATGCCAATAGACGAGGCGCGCCGCGTAGCTAGAGCGGCTGCAGAGCGGAGACGGACCCTTGCAGCTGGATCAGGGCAGCGGCTTGGCGGTGCCCCGGTATTGCGGGGAACAGATATGCGCAGAGTCATTGCTGATGCCGCTCAGAGGCGTATCGACGTGACCAAAGGTTGTGCCTCCGGGGCAGACAACAGCGTTGAGCTTGCAGAGGAAGCCTCTAGGAATGGGTTTCGCACCAAAGCCGAAGAAGACGATGCAAACGAACGGGCTATCATGGAAGCTTACATCGACTTGATACAAGAAGAAGAAAGGGAGAGATATGGGCCTTCTTACATTCCTCCTTCCCAGGAAATTCCTGCCGGGCCTCGGTCAGCTCGTTCTCCTCCTCCTATACCAGAAAACACCAAACCTACTACCTCGGCTGAGCCGCGAGACCCAATTGATCTCACCTATGACAATGCCTCTTACGAACAACCTTGGACATGTCCCACCTGCACTCTTGAGAACCCAGCCAACTTCCTGTGCTGTGATGCTTGTGCCTCGGAACGCCCACGACCCTCAGCTACTAGATCATTATCTGGACCGCCGACCACAGGACCTTGCAGCACAGACAATCGCAACAAGAAGAAGCGCCCGATAAGCCAATCTGCCAGTCAGACTGTTCTCAAGAACCGAACTAGGGCCGTGGAAACCCTCGCTGCCCTTGACAGCAGTATCGCCAAGCGACCCTTGGGCTGGATCTGTCAAACATGTGGCACATTCATGGAAACTGAATGGTGGACTTGTTCAAACTGCGGAATGATGAAGCAGGACTCATGAGTCAATCGCACATATTGATTTGATGAACTGTATGATATTATGATCTCTACGATAAACGACTCCATACTCAGAATTCAATGATGTAGACTTCAATCGACGATAAACGTCAATAAATCTTTCATCCACTCGTGCACGATGGTAGGTCTTACGCCACTATTCCAACCATGTTCCCTTTAAACCGTAATAGTTGAACTTTGCAATATCTCTGTCAAGGGGATATGCATACCAAGGAATAATCACGTGACCATATATGCTCCACACAACAATCCTTGGCACTTGAATTTTCCAGTCAACAATGATTTTCTTCCACTTTTCCTTCTTTCCTCGTAGCTATCAAGCTTCACTCTCAACAGCCGAGAAAGCTGTACAATGCCTACAGCTTTCATTCCAACAATTTGAGTCACAGATCAACATTATACTTGACAGAATTGGTATGCAATATCCTTATCCCACCCAACTCCAACCGCAGCCCACCTCGAACAAGAACAAGCTTGAAAAGCAAACAAAAGCCCAATCGGAACCTTCTCCTAGATGATGAGAACATTTTCTTGAACCGATACTTTTAGGAAGAGCCGGAAGAGGTATGACTTGAGGAGATCACCATATTAAAATTGGGTCTCCCTTGTCGTCGGTGCTTATAATGGTTCTGCTGAGTGGAGTTTCGGGTTGATGATTTGGGCTTTTGGCTTCGCTTGTGTCTTCCTTGATCCTGGAGGCATGCGGTACGGGGCTTTGGACACTGGTGGCATTGCTTTCGGCATCTCAGTTACTGCCTCTGTGATGATGGATTGTGCTGACTGCTTGAAGTGATAGGTTAGACTACTCTTTCGCTTGATTGCGAAAGCCTGGGGTTTTTGCAATTGTGCGTTGATATATCGAGATTGAATTCCTTCATCGTTGCAGGCTCGGAATATATACGTCTAGAAATCAAGATACTCTATTAACAGACCAACTTTTGCCCTTCTGGAAACTCCAAGGATATAGAACTTTCGTAGCCGACCTCAACCAACATCGTGTAAACAATCGCAACGCCATATATGCACCGATAGAAAATACATGCTCGTAGATTAAGCCCTAAGAAGCAATTTGGACAAATGCCCGCTTCTTGCCTGTACCCGTCACCTGTGGGTGCTCCTGCTCCCATGTTTCCTCATCGACGTAGTCCTTGGTGCTCGCTTCCCGCACTTGCTGGCCTATGATCTGTAAAGCAGAAAGGTTGAACCCCATCTCGTCTTTTTGACGGGTAAGGACTCGACGCAGGGTTGACCGGATACTATCCAGCATCGGTCGCATCATCTTGCTGGCAATAATCTGACGATGGTGCGTCTTCAGCATGAAGAATAGAACACGGCACGTGAGAGGTATATTCCAGCCCCGGTTGGCCCAAATATTGAGGAAAGTGAAAAGCGCGGGGACTTTGGAGAACGGCAGAACGAGCAAAGCATCCTGGAGTGCAGCAGCAGGAATCTTTTGAACAACGCTAAGCACATACCGCTCGGCTGAGATATTACCCAGAGCCATGTATAGAGGGTTGCGAGCTGGCGGTGCCGCGTTTGGCTGGCTGGCTTTAACGGCGCGCCATTGCCGCATCACTTCGAGGTCTGCCATACCCAAATCCAGAGCTTCCATGATCTTTTCACCGGCCATGAGCGTTTCGCTGGTCTGCTTCCCAGCATCGACTGCCTCGGCCTTCTCTCCGTCTGCATCCTCATCCTGCTCAAGAGACGCTGTCAGAGTGTTATCATACATTTCTTCGAGCTCTTTCTCGCGCTCTTCTTCCAGGAAGAGCTGTTCATCTGTCTGTTGCCAGATGCGAATGCTCTTGTCATGGCTAGCGCTGACGATGAATTCGCCGGAATGGCTGATAGTCAGAGCCCAAATTTCACCGTGATGGCCCTGGAGTTTCTGAATGTGCTCAAATTTGTCACCATCCCAATATTTGATGACACGGTCTTTGCTCGCGCTGAAGAAGTTGTGGCCGTTGCCCTCCTTGTTGGTAGGAACGAAAGCTACGGCCATGATACTGTCCTCATGGGCCAGGAGTGCTTTGTGGCAATCACCAAAGTCCAGACCCCATAGTCGAACTGTCTTGTCCGCGGAACAAGTGACAATGAGCTTGCTGTCATAGGAAATGTCCATATTGAGGACAGGAAGCTTGTGGCCATAAAGGTTGAGGAAGAGTTTTAGAGAGTCGGTAAAGAACACCTTGACGGTGTTGTCTAAGAGGGCGACTGCAAGCAACCGAGCGTCAGGTGAGAAGCGGAGACTGAGGATGTCATCCGCAACTTTGAGGGTTCTTGTATGTACCAGTTTGAGGCGTGGTGTAGTTCGTTTGGTGCCGGGAATTTCTTCCTGGACCACCTGGAAGTTCCAAAACTTCGCGGACTTGTCAGCACTACCACTGACCATCGATTTGCCGTCCGGATGGACGTGCAGAGACCAGACTGGTCCATCGTGCGCCTTGATCGTATCCAGCAGAGTCGAGGATGCAATGTCAAAGACTTCCAGTTCGCCGTTCTTATTACCGACCACAACGATCTTGTCACCGGGGAGGAAGGCAGAGCACAGGGAATAGCCGCACTCCAATGTACGCAGGCAGCTCTGCGTACGAACGTTCCAAATCTTCAAGCTGCCGTTGGAGGCAGAAGCCAGCATTCGGTCGTCCGAACTCAGGGCAATAGATCTGATGTCGGTACGGTGACCCGGGATGTCAACGGCCAGGTTGCGATTATAGTCGGAGTCATCATCATCCTTCTTTTTATTCGCAGTGATAACGCTGTACGATTCCAACTGGTTGTTCGTAGTCGAAGCCAGAAGCTGGAGATTGCCTGTAGCTTTTGTTCGAATCCAGTCGAAGGAGCGGACCTTGCCGCCAGTGCGAACAATGACGTGAGGAACAAAGACTTCAGTGACCGGCGCAGACGAAATATCGTCGACCTTCTCATTGTCAACTTCTGCCACTGCCCCTTCCTGGTCTGCAGCCCGCTGGGCTTCCTTCTCCTTTCTTCTCTTACGCTTCCTGGCCAAGCTCTTTTGTACCTCCGTCGCTGAGCGGATGCGCCAAATTTCTATTGCCTTCTCCGAGCCATGGAAGCCGATATAGTCAGCGCGCGGGTGAAAGCTGATACCAATCGTTCGATCCTTGCCGTTCCGATAAAGCGTCCCTCTGTCCGTCAGAATTTTGCGACCTTCAGAACCAATTTTTTCTCGCGAGATCTCGAGCATAGCACTTTCATCAATCGACCAAACCTTGAGTTCTCCATCGTTCCCTGCGGTGATACAACCGCTTTGGTCGGGGGAGAGGCCCAAGCTCCAGCACTCGCCGTTCGATTGGGCCACATGTGTCTCAATACAGTGTTGCGTAGCCAGATCCCAGATCTTGATTAAGGAGTCCTTGCCGGTAGTAAGCAGAAATCCCGCGTGTTCGCTCAGTCCAGCGGCTTGTAGCAATTCGGAAGACAGATTGAGGAAATGGAGCGAGGTGACTTGGTCGGTGTGTCCGCGGAGCTTGAAAAGCCCAACTTCCGCTAGCAAGTCCCACACGATGATATCTGTGTCCTTCGAGCCACTAGCAACGCGCACACCGGCAGCATCGAAGGCGAGTTGAGTAACGGCCGATTTGTGGCCGTTGAACGAAATGATCACCGTCTCTGTTCTTGAGTCCCAGATACGAATACTTCCATCATCGTACCTAAATAGAACCAATCCTGAATGTAAGCACCAAGCGGATAATTGTCCCATATCTGGTAAAAGGAAAAGGACCTACCCGACAGCGAAAACGTCCTCATCGGTCTTACTCTGAGTGATCACGGTCACCTGCGCTTTGCAGGATGTGTCCCGCCACCGTCCAAGTAAGTCGCCTTTCTTGACGTCCCAGCAGAGAACCTCCTCACCGGCACCGACAATGGCCCTTCCCGCGCCTGTGCGGCGCGCAGTACCAGCGAGATCATCGTCTCGGGTCCAAATCGCATTCGACGAACCCGACGCAACGAGCCCGAAAGTATTCGAATGCTCGAATTTCCTATAAAAATTAGCTATCGCGTTCAAGATTCCACCAAGCACGAATTTGCCGAACAAGCTGCACATACAAATATGACTTCACCATCGTTGGAATGCCCAAGTCGATAGCAAGGAAAATTTAAGAGCTCCGAGACTGACTGCTATCGATAGGCCAAAATGCGCCAGAAAAAAACTACGGGCGGCGAGAGCGACCACCCCGGACAAATCCCCACCGCCTGCCGTCATTTCACACCCCCCCCAGGCACCCAATCGACCCGACTCATCAACTTGGTTGACTATTTACAGGTGCCTGACAGATACTATCCTTGCTATCGAAATTAATTGAGCTGTGGTACACGGCCTGTCGTCATGCTTTTGCTTGATTATCAGAACGTTCTCATTCAGAACCTGCTGACGGAGCGGTTCTCCGGGTATAGCTGTCCCCTTCCCCGCCTCCTTTGGTATACGCAGGTCCCATCCTTTACGACATCAGCTAACTGTTGACTTTTCCGCTTGTTGCGATAGAGGTGCGCCGGTTTCAATTGACCAAGTTGTCTCTGACTTTGACGGAGTGACGTTCCACCTGTCGACGCCAGAATCGAAGACCAAGATCCTTATCTCCATCCACGTGAAATGCTTCAAAGAGCTGGTTCAATACGGTGCCCAGGAGGTACTGGAAAGAGAATATGGTCCTTACATCGTCACACCAGAGCCTGGCTATGACTTCTCGGTACAGATTGACTTGGAGAACCTGCCCGCAGAGCAGGAAGCTCGGGACGAGCTTATCATGCGGCTTGCGTTGCTGAAGCGTAACGCCATGGCTGCTCCGTTCGAAAGGGCATTCGACGAATTCGCGAAGTTGTCAGAGGAGGCATCCAGGTACACGTCGGAGTCCGCACCCCAGGGAATCAAGGAAGGTGGGGAGTTGATGGCAATTCATTACCGGGAAGAGGAAGCGATCTACATCAAGGCCAGTCATGACCGGGTCACAGTGATCTTTAGCACTGTTTTCCGCGAAGAGACGGATCGTATCTTTGGCAAGGTGTTCTTACAGGAGTTTGTCGACGCGAGAAGACGAGTGGTGACGTTGCAGAATGCGCCCCAAGTGCTCTTCCGCAGCGACCCTCCGCTGGAGCTTCAGGGGGTCCCTGGTCTGCAGACAGCTGGGGACGGTAAAATGAGTTATGTCACTTTCGGTGAGCAAATCTCGTTGCCTATGTTGCGAGCCTTTATTGACAACCCATAGTCCTTTTTCCTCGACACCTGACTCCTCAACGACGCTACGAAAATATCTCTCACATCCAAACCTTCCGTGACTATTTCCATTACCACATCAAGGCGTCCAAGGTAGGCTTCCATGATGCCATTGTTTCCCTTCTCCAATGCACTGACTCTGTATAGGCATATATCCACACTAGAATGCGTAAGAGGACAGCAGACTTCCTCCAAGGTGAGTCGCAATGGATACGGCGGCCTAATTCGTTGCTAACAATCACAGTCCTCAACAGAGCTCGACCTGAAAACGAGGAGCGGGAGCGGAAGACGGCCAGCGGTCGTACGTTCAGGGTTCATGGATAGAGCGGTCAATCGTGTTTCTTGTTGTATATTACGGCTCGAAGGTAGTACGAAGCATTTGAAGCTGAACAAGCAAAGTGCACATACAATTTCACTCGTTACACAGAGCACCCTTATCGTACGATTATTTGGCCGTTTCAGCAAGAGGCAAGGGGGTGTCTGAGGATTTGACGTGTCTCAAAAGATCTGATAGCATTCTTGCCGGGGTTTCAGGTGCAATTGCTTTTTCCTCCTTTGCAGCTGCATCTGTCAATCTGCACGAGGTGGATATCTACTTGGCAATAATAGAGACTGATCATCATCCTGGGTTCTTCGTATCTACAGACTTCACCGCTGTCTTGGCTTCTCTATTGAGATTTGTGGATCTTTTTTTGGACCCATGCTACTTGTTGGTCTCTGTCGTCCTTGCTTCCTTAGGTAGATGTGCGCCTCTCGAATCACAGCCAACACGTGTGACAACGTTCTTATTGCAGGGAGTATCCCTGAGAGAATGGCAGTGGCAGGGCGGAATTGTTCAGCCGCGAAGATACCAAGCTGCTCCATCGAATACCACCGAGAAAAAGCGACGGACTTGCAGGTCCAACTAGCAGATGCCTGATTCACTGCCAAGTTACTCAATTGTGATTTGCGACCAGCGGACTAGCAAACGTCAGGCAGTAGTCTAGAGAGCGGCACCCTGACAGCCGTAATCATTTGATCTGGGCGCTATGAATATCCCACCAATGACCCGTAACGTCCCCTTGGTCGCGTCGCCGAGCAAGCCGCAGCATGCTAATGTTTCGATTGGGTATATGGAACCGACAGCCTGGGTCGGAGTCGCACCGGGCATGCAGTTTAATCTGGTGCCTTGGTATCATTGGTATGCCCGTGGAGCAGATGATCAGATCTGTGTCGGTCACTGTCGGAAGAACACAAAAGCGCTGATGCATGATTCAGATATCTGTCACAAGCCACAGCCAATACTGAGAGACCCGTTCATTGGAGAAAGCTGACCACACTTGTGTGTTCTTTGTCGCCTTCCTAGTAACTCTAACCACAATTCCAGTTAGCGTGTCAGGACTGAGAGTCTTGATCGCTGTGCCGCAGTTCTGCGCAGCAAATGGCCTGCCCTACTTGGGCTTTAGACTTCGTGGTCAGATTCAAAATCATAGAACCATGTCTCGGGGATTTGTTTTAGAAAAAGAAGGAATCCAGAATAAATATGGATTCAGGTGCTTACACTCATTTTTATTCGGCCAAGTTGAGGGTTGTTGTTTGCTCTTGCATTCTCTTCGATAACTTGTCGCAAGGGGTCAATAATCACCCACACGATTAGCCCAAGTCCAACCAGCGCGTGCAGTGTTGAGCTAGACAGGCATACAAGAGCATCGTGGTCCATTGCCTGCTTTGTTCTCCGCTTTCTGCAGCTATACGTCCCTTTTCATGTGAAAAAATACGCAGCTAGTTGAAGAGCAATCATGGTGTGCCGCCAGTTATGCCACATAATCCCATAAATAAGCGAGAGAGAGTTCCAAATCTGAGATTCAAAGCGTCTATCAAGACTGAAGCCAATTTGCATGGCCTTGGTTGCCTCGCCTAATGCACATTGTTCCGTTATTGCCTTATACAGTCTGTCATCATTCTTTGGCTTATTTGGCACATTCCTGGACCACCTCAAAGTCGAGGATTCCTCAGAGAATACCGTATATCATCAGGATTGGATATTGATGGAGGAGAACAAGGCAGGAGAACCATATTACTGCAGATAAAGGAAAGGAGTGGTTGAGTTAGAAGGCTGGGAAGTTTTCGCTGTAGTTGCGTTGCAAGAAACAGGAGCAGTGCACATCGATACAGCTTGGAGGTTCACCTTTTGGTCGCTTACGATATTGAATGAGTTCCCAAATTTTTCTCACTCAGGTCATTGAAATCCCTCACCAGCTACCATCATCTGTGCCATGATTATACGCCAAAGGTAGAAGCACTGGATCTTTACCAAGGCCTCCACTGGCTTAACTTCCACCATACTGTGTCTGGCGCCACGATCAGGTTTCCTCCAGGTAAGCCCTCTAATAAAGTCGCAGACGTTTCTGTTTATTTTCTTTATGGTCGAGGCATTATCATTTTGTGGGACGACTTATTGTTGAAGTCCTCAGGTTGTTCATCCGCCGTACGCTGAACTTACCATTGTTTACATAGGCAATTGCCTTAGATGCTCTTCGTCTTTACGTCTAACCAACATCTCTCGGAGCAATTATTCGGTGCTTCTAGGCGTTGCGTTTACATTGCTCGCTGCTGAAGGAACAAACAACGAAACCTGGTAAAGTTGGAACAGTGACAACTTCACGGATCGTGAGCGTGTTCGTCAACGGGCTCGAGAATACTCTGGTTCAATATGTCGGACAAGATCAGTTTCCTGCCATTGGAGGTACTTCTCTCCATCCTGGCGTACCTACCTTTTGAGTCTCTCCTTGCCTTTGGAGAAACATCTCGCGCGAATTTCACGTCTCACGCCCTTTGCCTGAGGCGTCTTCGAGTCGGAGTGTTTGAAAAGCGAGTCCATTCCATGATCTCTCTACTTCAGGCAGGCTGGGCTACCCCCGATCAACTTTCTTCGTCGCGTGAGAATGATGGTTCCAGGAGTGACTATACAATTTCCGTGATCCAACCAGGCATCTATGCACAACAAGGATTCGACGGAAAGCCACATGCTAAATGCAAACTGCAAAGAAAACGGGACATAAGCCCACAAGACGCTCAGGAGCAGACGGTACAAGCACAGAACAAAGTTCTCGCACGACTGGTGGATCGATACGGGCCTTCGTTGGTCAAGCTTGAGTTCATGGCCTACGATCTTGATGTCGACGGGGCAAAAGCGCTCGGAACCAGATGTAGAAACGCGCTGCGCTATCTTGCACTGCGTTTCGAGCATCCACATATCCGCGACGGGCCGATGAGGCCAACCGCTTGGTATTATCCTGCGCCGGGTAGCACTGCCTGGAACCTACTAGCAGGCATAGGGAACCCCAAGAACATAGGGCTCACCGGCCTTGAGACTCTGATATTGGAACGATCAGGCATCACACCATGGCAGTTGGCGATGCTTGTGACGAAGAATCCTAGGCTGAGAGTCTTGAAGTTGAGGACCTGCCGTGGTGCCCAGCCGGAGTTTTTGGATTGGCTTGGGGCCTTCAAAAGGATAAAAACGGTGCAGTGATAGAAAGGCCGAGACTGGCACCTGGTGCGAAGCTCGAAGTTCTCTGGCTGGAGAATTGCCACGGTTTACTTAGCCATCCAATAGATGAGCAAAAAGGCAAGCAGTTGCCAGACAGCCCGTCTGACGAGGGCCTTGAATGGGTCAGAAATCTGTCAAACCTACAAGTAAGTTTCTCTCTCGAGGCCACACCCTTTCCAGACGTTGGCCCGAAGTTGGCCCTTCTTCTCGCAATTCTGGCCATGCTAATGATTCTTCCCTCCAGTCTCTTTCTTTCAGAGAGTGCGCGTGCATATCGTCGGAGTATGTCGACAGGGCTAACAAAGCCATCTGGAAGATTGCAGAAGTTATTCTGCCATATGCCTTTGTTACACAGAATTCAGCTATTGAAGTTGATCCTCTTCTTTCATAGACCTTATATGAAACCATCCTCTGTTGTTAATAGACTATGATACTCTTCTGTGCATCGTTCATCTTTCTCTGCCTCATGAATCACAGTATGGTCCTGTCTATTTTATCCAAGGTGGCAACCATGAATAGTTGATGACAGCCCTGTCTATTCCTGTAGTCTTATAGTCTCCTTATCACTACTGGAAGAGTAATTATACTGATGCTAGCTATATATCTTGCAGGTTTTCTGGATAGAAGTAGCTATGCAAGACTTACTGGTCAGTAGTGTTCTCACATATCAATTCCTCCGCTGTGCTGTGAAGCAATATCATGACTGTTTATGCTCAGTAACTTAATGAGTGGCTTCTTAAGGGTGTCTGATGTGAGAAAGCTTTCTATGATCATCTCTGACGATAGTATAGACACTCAGCCATGTCTTTCACAGTGAAGTGGGACTTATGCACCAGGTGCTCAGGGACAACATTTACTGACTAGAAGCAAAGCACATCACTCAACACATCAACACCACTCACCTTCCATGCCCAGTCCTCATCACATACCAGCCGCACTTTTCTCAGTGCTTAACCACGCGGCTTGACTGATGACCCGCAATTTCATTAACAACGCAGTGCTCTCTACCAACCATGCGTAGATCAAGCTCCAGCTCTCACTCCTGGCAGTCTGCCTTGCAGAAGGTGTTTCGCAGAGGCTCATCCGAGGCGAAGGGTAAACAACCTGCTTTGGATGACGATTTCGAAATCGGCGAACACAAGGACGGCTTCTACAAGTACTCTCAAGAGATGCTCGAAGAGAAAAACAGAAAATTCGAGCCTCCAACGATGCGTGCTTCGGACAGTGCCGAAGTTTACGACATGCGTACTTATAGCACTGTCAAAGTCTCTTACATGCGTGGTTCAGACAGTACCGAAGCTTCTTACGCTTCAGCTGTGAGTGGACGCGACATCCTTAGCAGGCAGTTTGTCAAACAGAGCGAGAGAAAATAAACTAACAGAGAGTCAGCAGATGCCACCCATCGAGATCCCCACTCTTCCTTATACCATAGGCTCATCTGAATGGCGCTCTTTCGCTGCCCGTGACCAGCTTGTCGAGAATCCTTCCGGCGGTACGGCTGCAGAGAAATCTGGCAGTGTCATCGGCATCTTCTCCAAGGTTTACACCATTGCCAAAATTCTCGCTTGGGCACTCAGCATGTATGGCGTAGAGGTAAGTAGGAAGAGCCCTGAGACCTTCCAGTGAACTTTGTAGACCAGTACAGAAAACTGATCGTCATTTTCCCTCCTCCACAGTTAGACGACGCTCCTGGTGGTATTCTGGCTCGCCTCAAGAATGCAGAAGCGGTTGCGAATACAGATTCTCTTCTTGAACTCATCGAGGTCACCGAAAAGCTTTATTATGCTCTGTATGCGAGACTGGTTATGGAGATTGCCAACGTTGAGCTCTGTGGTCACTTCGACCTTAACCTGCGCCGCATGCTCATTAAGGAAACGTTCACCCTTCCTGAAACTAGTCATCTCCGCGACATATTCATAGCATTCAAGGACGTCCTGGACGCCCCGGAAATTTGCAGTGGCCTTGATTACGACCTTGTTAAACAGCACCAGGACTCGATCATTCGCCATGCTACCGACAAGCTTGCCATCACCGGCTTCTCTGCGCACGATCTTATCGGTTATCGTACGTCCACCTTGAAGATTGTCTCCGACGAGACTCATCCGTTCGTTCTGAAGTGGAGAGGCCTCGTTTACCTGTATCAGATGCCAGGCGTCGAAACTATCACCGTGATGTCGGAGAAGTACCTGACTATCATGCCAAAGGTGACGGCTACTGATGACTTTCCAGCGATTGAACTTCCTTTTATGGACCGCGACTCAATTCAGCCAGAAATTTGGCAGCGCGAGAACGTCCTTGACAACCGTCAGGCGACCCTGGCGAAGCTCGAGGGCAGGAGCGTCGGAGACATCAGACGTGACGATGGCAGACGCCGCCTTCTTGATTTCGTCAAAGAGAAGAAGTGCATTTGCCGTTCATCTTGCAGTTGCGCGACAGAGTGCACAATGGATGTCGTGCTGCCCTGCCCTTGCTCTGAGCGTATCCTGCGCATCGTGCTGGCCAAGCGCCATGAGGGTGCTGGCGAGCAGGACTTCGGCCCCAGGTGCGGCAGTCTGGCCAGAGCCTTCTTTGAAGGGCTGGCGATGGTCAGTCGCGAAGTTGCTCACTATGAGCTCGTCGCGGAGCTGCACCGCGCCATGCAGCTGTTCGAAGAAGTGGTGGGCAAGCAGCGACAGACCGCTGCCACGGGCAGTCGACTCGTCTGAAAATCCAGAGTTAACATGCCAACTCCGGTTGAGCTGGCACGTCGTTCTTTCTGCTTCCCCTTTTTTTTTTTCCTTTGTTTTTCCTCTTGACCACGATGGTCACTTGCAGGGATGGGTGACTGTGGGCCTCAAGGGGCAAATCGGAGGCGATAGTGATGTATCTATCGTATTGGTCAAATAATGAAATCCATGCAATCAACCCAGCGATGACTGGCTCTCGGAGCAAGCTCTGCTACATATTACTGTAATCATTGTCTCTGGTGGGTGTTTGGCTGCGCTCAAGCCATAGTGAGCCAGCCATCTCCGTCCGCCTTACCAACTCTAATCTCACCATGATTTTGGACTAGAGATAAAGGAAAAAGAGAGGAAGCACTTCCCCCCCAACCGCGAGGCAATCTCAGTGCGCTGAGAGAGTGCACATCTTATTTCACGCGGGCATGGTGACTCAGGATACAGTTACCACGATATTATTGATGATACGCAGCCCACAGTGGACCGCAGCGCGTACAACAAGCTCTAGGAGGCTAATCCGACCCAGAACGCCTGTGCGGCAGTATCGAGCCGCCGTCTGGCCTTCCTACGGCATCACTACCCCGGTTCCCGATCGTTATCCACATTCAAAGTCTCCATTCTGCTTCCAGACAGGCTACGCTCTCTGCGCCAAACGGCCCTCGCGCCCGTTTCCCCCACCCTTCCTGTCTCCGCCGTCGTCCTCCTTCTCCGACCCCTTGACCACCCACTACCAGAGTCAGGATAAGAGATTATCCGTCGGGGGTGAACTGGTCCGCGGCCTGAACAATGGTGACGATGCAGTGCTCGTTGCAGACAATTTCATCGGGGTAAATGATGGCGTGGGGGCGTGGGCTACCAAAGAACGGGGCCATGCTGCGTAAGTGCAGGACATCAGCCTCCTATCTGTCACTTGAGATTTCATCGCTAACATCGTCCTCGATCATACCAGGCTTTGGTCTCGATTATTGCTTCATTTCTGGGCCCTGGAGGCCGAACGAGAAGTCGATAAAACCTCAAAACTAGATCCGGTCGAGTACCTGCAACGAGCCTACGAGGAGACGATTCGCGCGACGACATCACCGAATGAATGGCTGGGCACCACAACGACGGTGACTGCGCTTTTACACTTCACTGGTGACAATGCAGAAAATGCAAAGCCTTTACTCTACGTGACCAACTTGGGAGATTGCAAAGTGCTTGTTATACGTCCGAGTGAGGAAAAGGTCCTGTTTCGAACCACCGAACAATGGCACTGGTTCGACTGTCCTATGCAACTAGGTACAAATAGTGTGGATACTCCACGGAAGGATGCAGTGCTTTCTGAAGTTCAGCTTGAGGAGGATGACCTCGTGCTGGCTGTGTCTGACGGAGTCCTCGATAACCTTTGGGAACATGAGGTCTTGACGATCACGCTCGACAGCCTCAAGAAATGGGACGAAGGACATTTCGAGGAGAAGGATATCGACTGGGCACCCCCGGCCCACCTGGCAGATGAACGTATGGTATTCGTTGCTAGAGAGCTGCTGAAAGCTGCGCTGGCTATCGCTCAGGATCCATTTGCAGAGAGCCCATATATGGAGAAGGCTATCGAGGAGGGCTTGGCCATCGAAGGGGTAGGTTTCCTTAGCCCTACTGCCACGCTTCATGTTATTGACAATAACCTAGGGAAGATGGATGACATTAGCGTCGTTGTCGGTGCCTGTAAGAAGAGAGGGCGTTGAGACAACCGCGTTCGGAGATTCTTTCAACATTCAGCTACCTGCCCCCAATCCCGCCTTCCGGTCACGATTGTGGCTTTGAGCCTCTCCAAGGAGGTCGTCCCATGGAAAGTATCCTGTATCAACTGTCCACAGCCTGGACTTGGGTCCGACAGCCAACTTGGTTCCATCTTCATCACGATTAGGCATATTCGATACCCGGAAATCGTTCAAATGCCCATCATTATCCACTTGAGAGAATGGATGCACCTTTGGTCGACTCACCGAACTCCAATTCGCCGTCCTTTCCCACGGTTCGAGGTCTCATATATTCCTCTCTAATGCCCCCGGATGCTATTGCAGTGCTTTGAGCTTTGATACCCTTAATGAAATGAATGATAGATTTGTGATACCTCAACAGTCGAATACCTTCGCGTTTGACGAAATTGCATTGTGGATAAGTCCCTTAACTGTATCATATTTTAACGTCACATCTGTCTGTCTGTTTTGTTGGTCTTTTTGGGTCCTTTCTGAATATATCATTGCAAATTGTAATAATGATATGCTCGAATGTCGTTGACACGCTGGGCTGAACAATCCATCTAGCCATGATACAATACTGTTTTGATATACAAGCAATGGTTTCATCGAGTCTTTGGCTCGGAAATGTTCAACAGTATCGCAGTTGCGCTGCTTGCTCGTTTAAGGTCTGCCGGAAGCACCATGTCCTCTTGGTAAATTGAGATAAAATTTATAGATTCAAAGATTCGAAATCTGCTCAATAAATATCCTCGATGGTCTAACGGTCATGATTTCCGCTTGTCACTCAATAGAGAACGAGCGCGGGAGACCAGGGTTCGACTCCCTGTCGGGGAGATGTTTTTTCGTCTCTGTTTTGGTATATATTGGACACGTCAAGGGATCTATTCTACATCTCAATGTTGTCGTTTCCTTTTTTCATGGGGCTATTTAAGAGATGTAACTGAGCGACATGCTAAGAACTGGGTGCTCTTGACAGTCAATTTTCACATTCAGCTAAGTCCCATGTATGTTGTCGAACTCCGTGATTCTGCCACTATGTAACTGCCTAACGGTTATCTGAATGTGCCCTGAATATATAAGGATATCTTCTCCTACATGGAGTGCTTGAGGTAGTCAAGATTCGAGGCGGAGACCTTCCCCATGGTGTATGAGATCGTCGAGCCGAGGAGCTTCGAGCCATGATCTCATAGCGCACTTCGCTTCTCCTGTATCAGATGGAAGTCGAATATGACGTGACAAGCCATACCCCTAGAAAAGCAACAGCAACGACAACGGGTTCCCCAGTCCTAGGTCGACATCTCATTGCGCTCATATGCGTACAGGGCTGAATTGGATGTCTTGTGCTGTGCAGGCTGCTAGTAGTAGATATATATTGCATGAGGCCATGAGCACCGCTGACAGTATCTTGCCAATGCATGGCACAGTTATCGAAAGAGGAGTCCAGATCGTGTTTTGCTATGGACGGAAGGTCGCTCAACAAAGGGCAACGACGGGGTAGAGGGAAGTGTACAATGAGGCCCGGACAGTGCCAGACGAAGAACTTCGCCTCTTACAGCAGGAAAGGGTTAAGACCAGGAAGCACTTATGCTTGATATAACTGTCCAGGTGTCGAGGATGTCACATTCTTCAACAGGGTTGCTTATAGAAGATCCGAAATATATATCTCGGGAACGGTAGAACTGGCCGTGGCCGGATTGTTAAGCCGTGATACATTGAGATAGTACACTAAACGGATCACGGCCAGATCGGTCTAAGGCATAGCTTCTCGAGCGAAGCCAGCCAGACATTGAGCGAAAGAGGATGAAGATTGAAAAAAGAAAAACCAACCGTGCATGATACAAGCGTTTGGAACGGAAGGGAAAAGAAAAAGATTCTCCCCGACAGGGAGTCGAACCCTGGTCTCCCGCGCTCGTTCTCTATTGAGTGACAAGCGGAAATCATGACCGTTAGACCATCGAGGATATGAGATGTTAGGATTCTGGATTTTTGGCCAGACAAGCATAACCGATAATGATGTATAAAATGCTTCTGGATGGGTGCCCTAAACCCGAGCCTGTCTTATGAAAGTATTGCGAGAACTGTAGCTTGCTTCAGAGTCACAATCATATCGGCCAATGTATTCGACCGGGTATCTTGAATATGCTATAATAACAAATGTGTGAGGTGTATCAACATAAGAAAAGCAAATCATTCCATGCTCGAATCCCCATAATATAACTTTTGTCTTCCGAAATAGCATTTCCCATCTCTGTCATACCCTCTAGTCCTCGTCCATCGATTCCCAGCCATCTCCACCTTGCTGAGCACCGATCTCCTCCCCTGCGGCATCATCATCCGATTCATCATCGTCGGCTGGCAGTCCGATTGTGCGCTCCTTGACCTCCCCTTCAAGGGCGGGCATGCGCGACACGAAAGCTCTACGAACGGCTCCGTTGGTTGAGGTGTCCCAGATCTGGACGGTTCCCTTGCTGCCAGCTACCGCCAACCGGAAGCCAACCTCGTTGTCGGGAGCGAAGGTGGTCGAAAACACCTTACCAACGTCCATCTTACGCGAGACGACCATGCTAGGCCGGTCGTTCTCGACGTTCCATAGCTTGACTTGCTTATCCGTTGACCCGGTCACGAGGAAGCCAGGAATGGCAGGGTTGATGTCAAAGGATGACACCGAGGTGTCGTGCGCCTGCAGGGTCCAGACCGGTTTTGATTCCTTTGGCGTTGCAGGGATGTTTCGCACATCGTAGCGGTAGACCATACCGGCATCTGTGGTGACATAGAAGAAGTTCGGGTCGTGAATATCCCAGCGTACATTCTCGACGTCGGCATCCACTCCCCACCGTGCTTTCGCGTCGGGAGCTCTCATGTCTGCCGCCACCACGGTACGGTCGTAACTCCCGGTGAGCAGAACGGTGGCTTCCTTAGGGTGCCAGTCCAGCGAGCACACCTTGTCCGTATGATGTGTGTAAGATTTGGCGCACTTGGTGGTGTTGAGGTCCCAGAGTTTCACGGTACGATCAGCGGAGGCAGATGCAAGCAGATTGCGGTGTTGACGGTTTGCAGCCAAGGCGAGGACGGAGTCGACGTGGAATTCATCATTCGCCTTGGTCTTCTTCTTGGACTTTTTGGCCTTCTTCATGTCTCCCTCGAGCTCCGCACCGCCCTGACCCAGGATGGCGTTAGGGTACATGCAATCGACAATATCCAGATCCCAGACCTCAATGTCTGGCTCCATGGTTCCTACAGCCACGAAATTGCCAGTAGTCCGGTCGCCCGTGTTTGCGCCAACAGGGAAATCCAGCCATTCAACGCACAGAGGGATGGCGGGCAGCATAATGTCGTGGTGCACGTAAAGGTTCGCCTCCCGGTCCTCGTAGACGTAGACTTCAAGATGGGCCACCTCATCCTCGACCTTACCTGCAAGGAGCAAGTTGTCGGTGGGAAGGATCTGCAACTCCTCTCTCTCTTCGTCCTCTTCTTCTTCTGGCATCACAAGGTATGGATCTTCCTCGTTGGGCTGGTGGTACGCCAGCGACTTGACGTTTCCGAACATGGTAATCTTCTCTCCATCGTCGTCGACCTCATCGCTGTCGTAGTGATCAAGGTCGTATTCTTTCAAATCATCATCACTAAACAAAGCGAGATGCAGTGTTAGCTTTGTCTATATGAAGATCGCGACACTCAAGATTAGCACCTACTCATTGAAACTTGTCTTGCCCTTCTTTTCTTCGGAATCGTCCTCCATTGCGTCTGGGGCTTCCTCCTTCTGATCGTCCTCCATCGTCTCGCCGTCCTGGTCCTTTCCTTCCCTGGCAGCGTCCAGTTCGCCTTGGGCTTCTTCGAGCTGCATCCGAGCGAGCTTGGATATCCGGTTCATCTCCTCCTCGTCAATCTCATATTTGGTGGGAAATTGGGCAGCGACTCCCCGCCGCACCCAAGCGGTCGTAGTAATCATAGAAGACATCGTGAAGTGTTTCCCTCAGTAAATTTTATTTTCCGTGGTGTTTGGTATACGCAGCCACTGCTGAGCAGGTCAAGTGTAAGGCCAGAGGTACGTCCAGACAAAAACCCTCGTAGTAGCTGACCGTAGACCACAACTTCAAATCAATAATTGAAAAGCCTTACCCCAAAACGCTATGTTGCTTTCTACCCAACGATAGATGCACTTACCAGACTTTTTCTCTCGCTTTCACTTTTTTTGTGGTCGACTATCCTCCCCGCCCGGCAGAATCCCCTCTCCGACTCTCACCGCTCGGCATCGCCTTCGGATATTTCTCAAAGGCCGAGACTCTCTTAGTAGTTACTACTCGAGGACAGGTGCAAAACTGTTTTGTTGAAGTAATTACGTTGACCGTCGCGATCAATCGCGCTTCTACTCAAGCTACACGTATTTACACAAAATGCATTCCCACCTACACACCCCTACAATGCCAGTACGTCAACCCACTGTCCTGAAAAATGACAATTAAACTAACGGGGTATCAACAGACTGCGAAGAGATCATGACCGCTCTCGACGAATGTCACGCTCGCGGATTCCTTCACAAAGCCCTGGGCAATTGCAACGACATCAAGCGTGACGTCAACAAGTGCCTCGCCGCGGAGCGGTATCAGCGCGCAAAGAAGAATCGGGACCAGGCTCGGGATAACCGGAAGCGGATCGAGAAGATCTGGGCTGAGGAGAGGGCTCTCGAGCAGGGTGTTTCGCTCAATGGGGAGTCGAAGCAGCAATAACTGCGTTGCTGACGAGTTTGGAAGTCGACGATTGAGAAGGTGGATGGGGTTGTTTTGCATGATGGAGTTGTTGTCTTGGTTTGGTGCTAGGCGGCGTTTATGGTCTTGTTCTCTCTTCTCATCTTCTGAGTGGTGTCACTCATTCTACTCAGTGTAACACTACATGTCTGTATATATAGCGTGGACGAGTCATGTCTACATGTCAATGAGATTGACGGATATCAGATTGTCTAAATTCAGAATATACATAGCTTGAGGACGGTACTTTTAAGTGCATTAGCCAACCAAACGCCTTACCAATGAATATAGATCTACCTCAAGCTCAACGAGGGACAATTATTCGCTCGGAGCCGTTGCGGCCTCTGCCCCATTTGAGGGTTCACCGATGTGGTCATCATTTCCATCCCCTCTGGAACTCTTATGGTGGCGCCGTCTTCTCTTTGGCTTGGGTGCGCTTGATTCACCGTCATCGTTTGTCCTGTCCGGCGCCTCGTCTGATTTCTGTTCCTTCTGATTCTCTTGTTTCGGCCCACCGGCCGTTTCTGCCGTTTTCTTCTTCGATTTCTTCACACTCAAGGGATTAGGCCCCTTGGGCTTCTTCGGCCCTCGCTTCTTCTTCTTCTTCTCCTCGCCGTCCTCGGTCCGATTTCTCTTGCCTAACACTGCTTCATCATTCAACCCCGCCCGGAACTTGCTGTTTTCAACTCCGTCTCGTACTTCTTCGGATGGCGTGCTCATTGGCTCGAGAATCATGACGGACCGTTTCACGTAAACAATCGGTACACCGGGGATTGACCGTGCCCCGATACGCAACTTCTGCGCCCGTCGCAGCGCATCCCGTCCCTCATCATCCCCTCGCTTTCTCTTCTTTCCATCGCCAGAGTCGGCCTTGGCGGGGGCAGGTGGGTCTGCAGTCGCGAGAGTATAGTGCTCTTTATTCCGCTTGACTTCTTTAGAAGGTGACAGTAATGAAAGCAAGCATTCCACTTCGTCAATGGGCGTTGAGTTTTCGTTGTGCGAGCAGTGTCGCAATGGGAGGATCGTGGGTGGAGGGAGATGTGTTGGGCGGTAAGGATTGTTGGTCTTCGGGTTGATAGGTTGAGATGCCATAATGGCCGCCAGAGAGCATTTCGTCAATACTATTAATTGTTATGTTAGCTCGTCTGGTCCATTGTCCACACGTGGTGAGACTCTGGATCGAAGACATACAAGGTTTGACTTGTCCTTGAAGTGTACGCTCAAGTGCAGGAATCAGTTCCATCTTAAACGAATGGACAGCGCGAAGAAAATTCGAGTCGACTGGACAGGTCCAAATGTTAGCATTGAAGACCATTTCAACGCAGCCATGAGTTTTTGCAAAGGTGTAATACCTAAGACTTGATATGGTTCGCGGAAGCCAAATGCCATCTCATATTGATGCATCAGCTTGCGATACTTCTTGGAGCGTTTGGCCCTCATCTTAAATGTGAGCCAGTAAGCCTCTAAATATGAGAAGCGAGGTTATATGATGGTGTTCTGCGAGTGAGGTCTGCTATGTTCTACCTCTTCTTGATCCGAATCTTTTTTGGATGGTCACTTTTTTTCTGCCGGGCGGAAGAGGTGTCAGTGCTCGGCGATAACGATAAACTATCAAGGCACCAACTGGCATTAACACAGCAATTACCTGCTTACGATGACCTCCTAGTCACACTGTTCCCGCTGTATGTGGTCAGCCAACAACAAAGCTGAGACAATGAAGTATGAAGGCCTATCAAAGGTCAAAGGTCTACTTTAGCATACATATATCCTCTCTCAGTGAAATCTAGCACATACGACCATAGGGTGTGGAAAACAGGGCTTCCCGTCTGCTCAGCCTTACTTAAGCCACACGCCGGCTGGTTAGTAGTTGGGTGGGTGACCACCAGTGAATCCCGGCTGTTGTATGTCAGATCACCTATTCTTTTTGATTCATTGGTAGCGCCCTCGCTGCCTTATCTTCACCCCGCTTCTTAAATCCTTGAAGTTAGAGACAAGGATACGCTGAATGACCTTGGGCTCAGCTAACAAATTAACAGCACTACGGCTACAAAGCATGGAAAATCATGACCCCAATTTCCATTGGAGAATTGGTGCCAGGCCTGGATATATAATACCAATCCTCAGAACACCGGAGACCAACGAAAAGCTATATCCTGGCTCCTATCTGTATCATGAAGGCCCTGTTAGCATCGCGTCAGGACTAACATACCTTGTTGTCAGATCACCATCGATCAAATGAACAATAAGTAATGGGAAACGGTTGGGTTGAGGAATATCTTGATTATGGCGGCGTTATATGGCTTGCATATATGTTAAAGCATGGATAAACATTGTAATCTTTGCGCCTTGCATGAAACTGGAAGTGCCTTGGGCCCTCAAGGATCAAAAATTCGTGTTTCTTCCGTTTAAATCATTCAATCAGACGAAGTGTTTATATTTTGAGAGACATATCCAGTAGACATTCATGGCGAGGATAAGAGTCACCCGGGGAGTTAGGAGGGTCGAAAAACGAGACACTACCCACAGTCAATTGTGACACCTCCGGTAGACGTTCAAGGTAGGGAGAAGGTTCGACTGGATAGTTGGAAGGGCCTAAAAAGAGGAACTTATGCGCCATAGACTGTGACCATTCCGGTGGGCGTTCGAGGGAGAGAGAACGTTCAGGGGGGTGGTGAGGAGATTCACAGTAGATCTGCTGCTAGAACTGGGAAGATGTGTGCCAATGCCTGAAGATAGATCTGAACTGAGCGATGATGGAGAGTTTATTTCCTGAGGGATGTCCTGAGGGCTCTCCGTATTCCTGGGCCTGGAAGCGCGTAGTTCAAGTCTATATCTTGTAAGACAGATCCAGAACTTATGAAATGGGACTATGCTTGCCTATACATTGCTGTTCATTAGAGATGTTACTATCAACTGATGTGTTTAACATTGTTTGAGGAGCGCCTTCACGATGGTTATCAGTTAACAGGAACTAGTACTGCTGTGGCTAGGATTACAATAAAACTTACCACCTAAAATATGTCTATTAGAACTGTGTTCGTGTTGCCTATGAATTGACTCACTGCTAAACAGATTGCTCTCTAGGCCTGAGTGCTATGGTGCAGAATTCTAGGCCATTTTCACTGTACCAGATGTAAATTGATCAGCTAGGCTAGAGTGAGCGGATGGCGTCGATGGGATTGACACCCGCTTGGGAGTAGACATCTCCATAAGCCACTGAGTATTCTGTAACTTAGTAATTAACTAGTCCTCCTTACTTAGGTAAAATATAGCTATCTCCGCGTCCTGACTACCGTCAATTTGCTGCGTCTTCATGATATATGATATATGTGTGACCTAGGAAACTGACTAGCTACCTATCGAAGTTTTGCTTGGATTGGAACTGTTTGAGTCTTTGGTCGACCATAAAGTTGACATGCTACAGAGTTCATTATACCACTTTCCCTTGACCTCTCGGACTCAGGAATATCGCTACTTAAACAATGGGATGGTTTAGAATGTGCAGACTGGACGGGCGGCGGTGTCGAGATTGTCCAGATGATTCCATCTGATGCAATGAATCCTGCTGTCGAGCTTATCAAGACAATGTAGGAACAGCCAATGGAAAAAGCGTTTCCCACGAATCCCTGACCACTTGATTTTTCTGTATCAGACTGTCTTGTGTGATTGAGAAGGGCCGAAGGGTTACATTTAGCTGACGATGTACATGCCTTTTTCTGTAAGGGAAGCGAACCATCAGCATATGCGGCTAGAGATACCCTACATACGTTGGAATCCTCCCTCTGACTAGTAAATGTAGGTCGACACCTTTGGTCGACTTAAGAAGCCTTTATGTCCTCTAGATCATTGGGGCATTGATGATGGCGAGTGTAATCATCCTCAAGTGATGAAAGCATGACTAGCACTGCAACTCATCGCTCCAGAGCTCAGTTCTGAGATGGGTTCGATCCAAGGATCCAGGCTAAGGGGAGCTGGCGACGCTGAATGATCTCAAACGCAGGGCTGACTAGATACTGGTCTGCCAGCCACATGCGTATGCGAGAACAAGTACCGGCCTCAGAAATTAAAGACTGGATGTATCACATGCAAGGGACGAGGCCATCATTCTTCTTCCTCGTCCACATCTTACTCTAGTCACTTTTCTGTAGTCCAGAATGTTCCAGGTAACCCCAGTCTACATAAATTCTGACTTGAAGTCGAGTCTGGTCCATGAAAACAGTAGCCATGTTCATGCAAGTGCTATCTACGGCGCACTGACTGAGGCCCGAAGCCTCGAGCCAAGGGCGCTCTGCTAAGTTTTTCTCCCACAGTGGGGCAGACCCACAATGACCGATTGACCCATTGTTTAAATCCGCCTGGTCACTGCGATGAGGGCCATGGATGAATGATTGCCTCAGCTGACTGTGGTTATGTGCAGCCCATTCTGTAAGGGTCAAACTAGAGAAGCTTAAGGCTGTGAAAGAAGCGATAACCTCGAAAAGCTGCAGGATGCCATCAGTCAGATGTCATAGGTCACAGTCGAGGACAGAGTTATCAGCATGAGACAAGTCATCCGGCAGGATTGTTTCATCTTGACTGGTCAGCGGTCGAGGGGCGGCACATGGCTCTTCTTACAGGCTGTCGTGTGGTGGTTCCTGGCGCCAGGCCAACACCGTTGCTTGACCTTTTGACTAGGCCAGCGGACTAAGGCACTGTAGTATTCGTGATTCGACCATACGATGTTACCAGCCGCTACGTTGTCACAGGAAGACAACAACCATGCAAGGAACATAATCTGTAGCAACCGATAATGCAGACAGCAATAGGCATTTGGCGTCTCCTGAGGGGAAATAGGAATGTTACTACCAGAGCCTAACTACTGTGTCATCTTAGAGTTGGAATTCATGGTACCACTTTCCTGCAGATGAGAGACTGATCTTTTTGTCATCTGCGATTCTCCTCCACGTAGAATAATAATGAAAATGTGACTGCGTAGGAAGTGTAGCAGACAAACGATCAATCCACTGCTATCTCGGGGACATCGAATTGTAGTGGGCGGTTTAGCGCGTCGAAGCCGCCAACGATTCGAGAAATCACAGCCTGTACACGTAGAGCCAATCCGTCGGAGCACCGGAGAAATAATATTAATCATTTCCCCTTCACTTGTAGAAGAAGTAGATAGATACCTCAGAAGATGAAGAATATGAATTGTATAATTAAACGACCCTGAGCATCTGGAAGCCCAGGTTCCGTGGTACCAGACACTGTGAGAACCACTGTTCGTGCTGATCTCGCCCTAGGAAGAACTGGAAAAACCAAGAGAACAAAATACCGCACTGGGAAACGCAAGGCAAATATTTCCTTCCTATCGCTATTCTTAGCTATCCAGTGAACCCAGCCAGCTGTCAAGAGAATTCATCGAACAAACTGCGTAGAGCCAAAGGGTAAACGCTGGATACTCTGACAGTTGGCGCAGTGGCTGTTGGCCAAAGGTAAGGTACATACTTGCCTCCACGGTTTGTACTGTGGGCTCTGGAAACTTTGAAGAGAAGATTCACCGTAAGGTACAGCCTGAAAGTCTGGACAGCCAATCCTGAGGCCAACAGCCAGAAAGCCTGAAGGGACACTTTTTAGGGCCTTCGTACACTGGCTGGAGTCGTCACTGGACTGGATCCTCCGACCGAACAGGCCAGAACCATTCTATCCCATACTTTGTTCACTCGCCTCCGCTGGCATTTTGGGTCTTCCTCGGGGATTTCCCTTTTCTCCTTCTCTTCTTCCTCCATTCCCTCCCTCTTCTCTCCCTTCTGACCACTCCTCCCTGGGGGACTATCCTTCATATTATTTCCATGTTATATTATTCTCTTCTTCTTTAGATCCATTGATGGTCATTTTTCTACTTTCCTAGATCTCGGTATCTCTGGAATTTCCCTTCCTTTTTCCAAGTCTCTCAGTGGCGCGTCCTGGTTGTCCGCCTCTGATTTTTACTGTACACTGTACAGTCTGGCTGCAGCATTTTTGTGAACCCCCCCCTTGAGTCACTTAAAGACGGTCTGGCTCTGGAGACGAGAGATCCAACCATCCCATTTTCTTTTGCTGTGCAAATAGATACGAGGATATCCGGTCTCTAAATTCGTTCTCGTCTCTCTTGAAGAGCATACACTAGAAGCTTGAAGCAACGAGCTTCGACCTCTCACATCTGATAGCGGACATTCCGTCGATCGACTTCCATTCCTTCTTTGACACCCCACTCACGATCGTCAACGTCAGCCACGCATTCTTTCGAAGCCAATTTGACGTGCGCAACTATTGCGTTTAGGAGTCCTAGATTTAAGCAGATTTTATTGTGTACCAACGACACGGTTATCTGATTGCGGGAACGAATACCTCTACTACAGTTGATCTATACACATCACTGCGACAAGTGTCCATCGCCGATCCGATTACAACACCGACCAGGTTTCCATTCAATTGCAACTCACAATGTCGACCCTAACTCGAGCCTTTACCAAGCGCCACAAGCGTCCCGAGGTCTCTGCGCCAATGCCCTATCGCGAAGGTCAGGTCAAGTTCACCGCGGGGACCATCAAGCGGGGAAAGATCTCTGGACCGGTCGAGTTAATCTCCACAACGAACATGTTGGCCTACAATGCGCCCGATCTCCACTCGGCTGTCTCTTCGTCATCTTCCTCTTCACTGCAGTCTCCCGACGACTCCGAGCTGTCTTTCTCTCAGCGAAGCTTTGGCTCTCCTGTCACAACCCCAGACGATTCACCGGTTGAGCCGAACTCCTTGTCGTCATATTTTCCGAAACGATCTGCAACAGTGACTAGCCATCCTCGGTCGTCAACCTCGACCACCTCGTCGACAGATGCACCCTTGGTTCCCAAACGTGCTCTATCGCATACGAAACGGTCCCACCAAGAGTTGGCTCGCCAGCGTTCCTTGTCACGGTTGTCTCCGCCACCACTGAACTCCATGCGCAGCAGCCCCTCCATCCGAACGACTCAAGATTTCTTCAAACCGGAGCCCCATCCGTTCGGGAAGGAGTTGGAGCAGGTCAATGAAGTGGCAGAGGAGTTCAACAGCGGCGCTACTCGCGTGCTCGACGAGGAGGAGATGATCTTGCTCAACAAGGGACTGAGGAAATTTACAGCGAACGACTATCTTGTTGAGATAGAGGAACTCTATGGGAGCATCTTCGACGATCATCTCGGGCCAGTCGCCACTGGGTCTTGGCTTTGAGGTCCTCGGATTTTTGCGTCGATCGGCACCATCATTTGTGATATCCTCAACTCTGCGTAATTCGAACCGGAGAAGGAGAACTGGAATTTCCCTTCCCTGTCAATTCCGACTTTGTTACGACCTACCTTATTCAATCGTTACGTTGCCATGTGTTTCTGTTTCTCTTTTTCAACCCTTTCTTGTTTTGCTCGCTATATACCATGAGGTGGTTTCCATCTACTCGCGTTATATGTAAATATTATCAACCTCACTGCAGTCTTTTGTTTCCGTATAGGTTGTGGATCTGCTACAAAAAGGACATGTGATGAATGATGTAGTTCTGTTGCAATTCATTTCTCCTTGACCATGTCCATGACATCATCCTCTAGTTTCTGAAATCATTATAATCTGGCTCATCGATCTGTGTACAGGTGTGACAGGTGTAACCTGAATATTATCATGAGCAGATAACGACATGTTACCCAAGCAGGAAAAACGTAGGGTTTCGCGACAAAGAAGCTTGGGTCACGCGTTGGTCACGCGCGGGTCACGAGTCAGAAGGCCTCAGACTCCACACCGCCCCACAGAACGAAAAATTTCCAGTGTTCAATTCTCCGCTGGTTTCAAACCATTCTCGTCTTCGCTTTTCTGGGCGGCTCTCAATCTTCATTCATTGCCTGTCCGCATATAGCAGTTGTACTACATCATCTTAGATTGCTATTTATCAGGCAGACAGATGAAGCTGCCTTCAACGTCAGCTTTCCCCAGCGCGCCCATTGTCAATTTCAGTAGCACTCCAGAGTGGACCACAGTTTCAACAGGCACTGGCCGTGTCGTGTGCTCTGGGGTTTTCATCAGCATTATCATCCTGAATAGTTCTCAGGAGCCAGGAGACTCCCACTAAGACCTTTCCTTTCTCTTGTCTTCGAAGGCGAGAGCAACAAATGACACAACGCTGGGATTCGCGTCGACCAACCTCACCCCAACCTTCTTCCCGATAGAATCGAGACTGTCATGGTCTCCTTCGCCACCGCTGCGCGCAACCCTACCGGGGCGATCAAATCAGTCAACCCTCCTAAAATGCTGGCCAACCCCTCGCCAGTGCCCATTTTGAAAAATTCCAAGACGAACAGCGTGGCGGCAGCTGCTGGGGCTAAACACAAGTTGGCCGACATGGATCTTTCGCTGTCACCCTCGTCTTCGGTTGCTTCCGACGGCAGCGATGGCACGCCCAGTCCCAGGAAGCGGGTTCGGGTTCAATTTGACAAGGATGTGGAAATGCGAGAGGCGTCCTGGAGTGGTCAAGAGAAGGAAATGGCCGTGAGTATGGAAAAGAGCGCGGCCGTGGTTCGTGAAGAAGTGCGCAGAGCTATCCAGCGGCATGTCTTGGGAACGGACAGCGAAGCCTACGATCGCATCAAGGAGATTTTCTCAGCAGATCCTCGGCGTCTGGACGAAGATGGCTTGCCTTCCGAAGATTTACCATCACACACTACATTGAAGCATCATCTTATGGGTCTTCTGTCGAACGTTGCGTCGCTGGACCGCAATTGCAACGGCTTGGTCAATGCAGTTCTGCACAGTGAATGGCTTGGGCGGGATGAATCGTATATCAAGTTGTACATTCGATTTCTAGGTAACCTTGCTGCGGCTCAGGGAAGCTATCTCGGGGCGGTCTTGAAGATGCTGGCCAACAATTTTGGGGAGATCCCAAAGGGAACGGGCAAGCTGCCTGGATACGCCCCAGTCCAAGCTGCAGAGATCTATAGCAGAACTCACATGGCTCTACGGCATGTGATGCAGTTGATTCCGTCTGGTAGTGGGACCTTATCCCCAATCTTGTCTATGCAATTTCCCTTCGATACCGATTCCGCAAAGGCCAACATTGCGTACACGCGGAATCTTCTAAAGGTCATCAGTTACGCTCCCGAACTCCAAGCCGATATTCTAGCTCTCATCACGGAGAAAGTCGTGAAGATCGACGTCCAGATTCAGGTAGATATGGAGGACATCGAGGACGAAGTGGGCGAGGATGTTCTCCACGCAGTCTCGCCTGAAGCCACGATGTTGGAGGATGACGTGGATGAAGTCGACGACAATGCATCCGTCGCTAGTGATGATTCTCTAGACGTGGAGTCCCGGCGAGTCAAGACCATCAAGGATAACATTCTCAAACTGGATGGCATGATCGATTCGCTGTTTGAATACTACGCCCCGCCTTTCGCAACCGGCACTCTGGATGACAAGGAGAATGCGCTTGATTTACTTCTGAGCCATTTCCAGAGTATCATCCTTCCGACCTACCGCTCCCGCCACTCTCAATTCCTCCTCTTCCACTTCTCCCAATCGTCGCCAATTCTGGTGGATCGATTTGCCGCCACCTGCGTTCAGCTCATCTTCAACAAGATGCAACCTGGAATCCTACGGCAGTCCGCAGCAGCCTACCTCGCCAGCTTCGTTGCCCGCGGTGCGCACATCTCTGGCGAGGTAGTAAGAGATGTCTTTGACCTCCTAGGCACCCATCTGAACAACCTCCGTCTTGACTATGAAGCCACCTGTCGAGGCCCTGATCTACGCCGCTACGGCCCTTTCTACTCTACGGCACAGGCGCTGCTGTATATCTTCTGCTTCCGCTGGCGAGACCTGACGACCGCGGCGATGGAGGGCGACAGCCCTGAACAAATTGATGAACTGGAGCCAGAAGAAATCATCTTCCCTCCATCGGTCAAGGAGGTCCTCCACCAAGCGATCCATTCCAAACTGAACCCCCTCAAGGTCTGCTCGCCGGCGATTGTGTCCGAATTCGCACGTATGGCTCAGCACCTCAACTTCATGTACGTGTTCAGTATCCTCGAGACGAACAAAAGACTGCGCGTCTCCTCGTTCCGGAGCATTTCCGCCATGGCAGATCCGCGCTTCAGCCATGTCGAGCGAGAAACTCGTGCGGGCGACGACCTCGGTTATCAGCTTGATGCCTATTTCCCCTTTGATCCATACCAGCTGCCTCGCAGCCGCCGTTGGCTGGAGAATGACTACGTTCACTGGCGCGGTATCCCTGGCATGGACGACCAGGACGAGGGCGATTCGGACAGTGACCTCGACGGGAGCGAATCCGAAGGAGACCTGAGCGATGTCACCGGGACCGACGAAGACGACTGAATATTTTGCAACAAAAAAAGGCTTGTTCAATTTTTCTATTCATGCTCAATACCCCACAGCGTCTTTATCATTTCTTGCACCTCAGCCGTCTCTAAACGAGTTTCATCCAAAAAAGCAGAAAAAGTGATTGTCTCTATTTCTTTACCATGATGCATGGCTGGTTAGCGTGGCGTATGGGGTGTGATCTCGTTTTTGTATCTTGTTCGGATATCAGCCATGTTTTGTTCCTTGATGTTTCCTATGATGGCAGTTTGACTCGATATGGCGCTATGATGTGAATGCAGTGACAACTATCTAAATGGAATAAACATTCGAAAATCAATGCAACTAGTGCCAGTATCCTGTAGACCTAGACATCGCCTGTTTGCCACATGGCAATCAAGGATGCAACTGCTACATCCCTCTACCTTATTTTCTTCTGCGTCTATAAACCTGATTTATTCTCTACAGTACAGTCGAGTTCAACCGACACTTCGAAGTCCACGAGTATTGAATGCGCAGAAGCCTCGTATCGTGGACCTCGGTATGGGATACTCCAGAATGATGTCATGGTGTGCCTGCATCCAATACCTGCTACCAGACCTGCGGCCATAAGCTTCAGCGTCTGGGGAAGAGAACCCGTCCAACAGGGAAATGGCGATAATTACCATGGACATGGACATGGAAATGGGCATGAATATTAGGGTGCTGAGGAAGAAGATTGTGGTTGGTGGGTGGGAGTGCCGATGTTGGGGATCTACAAAGTACGGTACTTGGAGGCTGTTTACCTTTTCCTGGTTTTCATTGCTAGATACTAACTTAATTGATAAGGGTCGCATGTTGTCATTTATAGATACCTTAGTCATTTGTTAGTGTTGTTAGAAGGTACTTTACATCTATAACGCCTTAAACCGATAGATTGGGGACAGTGTCAGGAGTGGCGCATTTCCCCTCCGATGGCTCCGTATAATGATGGACAAACGCTCGAGTAAGTGACTTTAAGAATAAGGGAGGGTCATGGACAGGAAAAGAAAAGAGGTTAATGGCCCATGCAGATACTGATTCTGTATCGCGCAGATCTATCTGTTAAAGATCGCTTTCATGTCCGCGCAGGCATCGCGATAGAGAACATTGACCTTGCCTTGATCCCGGAAGGGATTCGGCGACTTGTCCCAGGCATGTCGGGCTTTTTCAATCATCATAGCCCGAACGTGTTTGCCTGAATTTTTCAATCGCCGCATAAAGAGCTGGCCCTCGTTCATCAGCATGTCCCATTCGCAGATGTACAGAAAGATATCGTGGGGCAGAGCGTCGCTCAGGATCTCGTCTGTCGCTCGGACCGGTGATGCGTAGGGCGAGCGGCGGTGTTCATGATTCGGCAGGTAGGAGTTATCGAATAGATCGGTCAGGAACTTCGGAAGCGTTTGTTCTGGCATGAGGCTCGCCGCGCGGCGGAAAGCACGCGACTCCTCAAAGTCCAGGATCGGATACCAGCAGAAGAGAGCGACGATGCTGATATCGCCCGATGTGTCAAGCAGCTGCTGCGCCGAATTCGCCCGATCGAGCGAGGGATCATGCTGCTCCTTGGCCATCAGGCTTCGCAGCCGTAGAGGCACAGTGACAGCTAGATTGCCGCCCGCCGAGAAGCCACTCAGAGCAATTCGGGTCACATCCAACCCCAGTTCGGCGGCATGGGCGGCCAGATATTGGAGTGCTTCCACACCGTCATCTACAGCAGCGGGGAACGGATGCTCTGGACTTCGACGGTACCCGACGCTGACTACCACTGCTCCGACGTCCTCCAGGATGCATTGAGCCCAGCGGGAGTCGTCGGTGGGACATCCCAGTGTGAAACCGCCTCCGTGAAAGTTAATCACTACGGGTAGTCGGCGGCCCTCTCTCCGATTCTTCTGGTAGTCAGGTGGACAGTAGAAATGTAGACGGATCTGCGAATTGCCGGAACGAACGGATCGGACGAAGGCCGGACGGGGAGGACGGGGAGCCGGTAAGTCGTGAAAGAACATTCCAATTCGCATCAGGAACCGCCAAAAGACGGCCTGGATGTAGAGCCACCATCGTGGAGGGGCATGAGAGGCCATGGACGTTGATCTAGTACAACGATGATCGCCACGAGTCTAGATGCATATGCGGGAAGCGGTAGGTCCGGCAGGCACTGGCCCTGAGAGAGCGATTACCTAAGTCAGTACCCTGAAGATCCGAAACCTAATAATAAACGGAGGAAAAATTTGAATGTTTGAAATCGGGATATGGATGGAGAGAACCGAGGGATCTATGGGAGTTGGGAATGAAGGAAGAAGACGGTATGTGGTTCAGAGTGGACAAGACGCCAGCCAAGAGATCCAGAGTGTCAGATGATGAGGAGAGTTAAAGTACCATACGGAGTACATTATTTTAGTATGTGAGAAATGGACGAAATGGGCTTGCACAAGGTTCATTTCTTGAGGTATGGATGATATCAGAGAATGCCTAGTTTGCTTCCTAGTGTGTCTTATAAATAGTGTCAATTAATTGAAATTGTTATTCCTCGGACCTCGCTCTTTGATGCCGATGTACGGAGTAGTAACAGTACGATGGATGTACTTCTAGCGGGTAACCCTGGAAGTTAGGTGGAAGGGATCGGTTATATCCGTAGCAAGTATCCCGTCAATTGCATTAAAAGTCATACATACCTAACAATTGAGTGGTATGATCTCTATCTAGTAAATTGATGATAAGATACCTAGTATATTAAGGTAGTTATGTATAGTAGTAGTATACAATACAGATGGGTCGATGGCAAAATGTCTGCCCCTCCATTAAGGCTGACACAGTGCGTCACATTTCCTCCGGGCGATGACATCACCACCAGCGGTTTCTGGTCGGCTTCTCGGTCTTCTTCTTGTTCTGAGATCTGCGTTTCTTGGTTGCGCTCTTTATCAATTGCTTAGTGAGAAAGCTTCGGAATTACCTAACCTCGCTGAATTCAGGGGATATTCACTGAAATACTTGTCTGGCCTCTCTAAGCACTTCCCCAAGATTTTATCAAGACTGTCGATCGCTCTTCGTCAGGGACTCATCATCATCATCACATTCTTCTTCCATTCCATGCATCTAAGCAACTAATACATGACTTAAAAGGTATTAATCCTCCTGGAACCTAGTCACTCCTGTGGCTGATTTACTTTCCCCCGTGTTCCTTTCCATTCCGATTGCTTCCTAGAGCTAACCTTACTAAGGGTCTAAGGGCTTACTCTTATATTCCTACTTTCCCGTCGTACTTTTTTTTGGTACGAGGTTTTCCTTCTGATCCTTCAGATTCTTCTCATTTTATAAACCACATAACTGGTCTCGGATGATTTTTGGCCACCTACCTAACTGTACACCTCCATTGACAATCTAGGTGGTCTCTCATCCGTCACCATGTCCATCAAACGTGCTTTGTCTAAAATCAAGCCCAAGGCCGATGACGATTCGAACAAAATAACCCTAACTCATGGGTCCCCCTCGCCGCGTCGCAGCATCTTCAGCAGCTTCTTACGCGATCGCGATTATGTTTCTTCCTCTGACGATGTCTCCGACGATTCTGGCACGGGTTCTCTGAGCAAAAACCAGCAGAAGCGCTTGGCTCGCGAACAGCGTCGAAAACATCGTAGTCGACTCAGCGAGGAACAACAATCGGATGACTCCGAGCGGCGCCACAAGGAAGAGATCGCACAGGCGGCTCGCGAAGAGACAGCCGGAATGAAGGCTCGCTATGGAGAGCTGCCCATGCTTCAGTCCACTAGTCGTCCGCGAGAACCCCGGATTCGTCTGGAGGATATCTCTTCGAGCAGTGTCGGCCAGGAGATCTTCTTCACAGCCCGCCTACACATTATACGCCGGATGAGCTCGAAGCTAGTCTTCCTCATCTTCCGTCAGCGGCTCACTACCTTTCAAGGTGTCCTTCACGAGAAACCTGGGGCCAAGTCCATTGCGATGATTCAGTGGGCTGAACATTTACGCCTGGGTTCCATCGTCCGCGTGCGCGGCATTGTTCAAGCGCCCCAGGTGCCGGTGCTGGGCTGCTCTATTCATGACGTCGAGCTTGATGTCGAACAGATTCACCTCGTCGTCCACCGCGAGGAACCGGTTCCCTTTAGCGTCTACGAGGCCGAAATTCGCACCGCAGAGGAGGACAGGGTAGAAGGCCGCCGCAGTCACTTACCGGACCGTACACGGCTTAACAACCGTATCTTGGACTTGCGCACTCCGACGTCGCAATCCATCTTCCGCCTTCAGTCTGCGCTCTGCAATATCTTCCGATCCTCCCTTGACGAGCAAGGGTTCATAGAGATCCACACCCCCAAGCTGCAAGGCAGTGCCACCGAGTCCGGTGCCAGTGTCTTTCAAGTCAACTATTTCGGTCGCGATGCTTTCTTGGCCCAGAGTCCCCAGCTCGCCAAGCAGATGGCTATCGCGGCCGACTTTGAGCGAGTGTACGAGATCGGCGCTGTGTTCCGGGCCGAGAACTCCAACACTCACCGCCATCTGACAGAGTACACGGGTCTCGATATCGAGATGGCGATCGAGGAGCATTATCACGAGATGTTGGACGTTTTGGATGCAGTGATCAAGAACATGCTGAAGGGCGTCTATGGCCGCTACCGCCGCGAGATCGAGATTGTCAAGCATCAGTTCCCCTCGGAGGACGTTGTGTGGCTGGAAGAGACACCCATCATTCGATTCTCGGATGGTATCAAGATGCTCAACGAGTCCGGATGGCGTGATGAGGATGGCAACCCACTGCCTGATGACGATGACCTGCATACCCGAGACGAGATACGGTTGGGTGAGCTTGTCAAGGAGAAGTACGGGACCGATTACTACATTCTTGACAAGTTTCCGGTCGCAGCTCGTCCGTTTTATGCAATGCCCGATCCCGAAGACCCGCGCTTCACCAACTCCTTTGATATCTTCATTCGAGGCCAGGAGATTGTCTCTGGCGGGCAGCGTATCCACGACCCACGTATGCTGGAGGAAAACATGCGCCGCTCGGGCATCAATCCGGACATGATGGAGGATTACTTGGAGGGTTTCCGCTGGGGCGCTCCTCCGCACGCTGGAGCCGGTGTTGGTCTGGAGCGGTTGCTGATGCTTCTTCTCAAATTGGGCAACATCCGTCTCGCGTCGCTCTTCCATCGGGACCCCAAGAGTTTCCCGCCTAAGCCCCCGGCTTTACTGCTTCGTCATCCCGAATCGTCCACTATTGAGCCACCGTGGCAACGGGAGGGTCGCGGATCGCTTGCGAAGGACGAAAGCGAGTTGCAGCCATTGGAGCACCTGATCGCCAACTACGGAGATGCCACGTCCACCTCATGGGGTGACGAGCGTTTCAAGATCTGGCGAGACATGGCCACCGGCGCCGCCGTCTCATACGTCCCTAGCAGCAGCAACTATGCGGTGATTCCCGGCAACCCTCTATGTGATCCCTCGCAGTACAACCGTGTCATCACGCAGTTCCTGCAGTGGATGCGACGTGAGACCAAGTACAAACCTATCTGGCTTCTTTGCTCTCCAGAAGTCGAGACTATCCTGGGCGAGAAGCTCGGATGGCGCAGCTTGTCCTGCATTGCTGAGGAGCGTGTGGATCCGTCCCGCAACCAGGCCGCCTCCGATGGCGAGATTGCACGGAAGATCAGGCGCGCGGAGAACGAGGGCATCAAGATCGTTGAGATGAAGTACGGCGAGATGGTTCCCGACGACGCCCGGGAGAAGATTGATGCACGGATCCAGGATTGGCTGGCGAATCGTAAGGGCACTCAGGTGCATCTGTCTGAGATCCATCCTTGGCGTGATTCGGAGCACCGCTGGTACTTCTACGCTGTTGACAAGTCCGGCACCGTCTGTGCCTTTGTCGCCTTGGCCATGCTGTCTCCTCATTTCGGCATGCAGGTCAAGTATAGCTTCGACTTTCCAGGCTCTCCCAACGGCGTCATTGAGTACATCGTGACCCATGCCATCCAAACAGCTGCCAGGGGTGGCACCAAGTCACTCACTTTCGGAGCCGGTGCAACTACGACCCTGACGCCCGGTCATAACCTGCATGGAGCCAAGATCAAGATGCTCCAGCACACTTATGAGACTCTGGCCAAGCAGTTCCATCTTGTGCGCAAGAGTGAATTCAGGGCCAAGCTGGGTGCTCATGATGAACCTCTCTACATCGCATACCCACCGCACGGACTGGGTTCCAGGGGTATTCGGGCCGTTCTTCACTTCTTTGAAGACTAGAGTGGCGGATGTACCAAGCCCCACCTGTCAATCAAGCTCATGCTCAAATATAATTACGAGGAATGTTGTGATACGATTTGTGGATACGATGGATGCACATATGACATATTTCCAGCAGTAGACTTTTGGTTCGAGGCGAGACATTTCTGAAATGATCTAGAACCATTCATGTGCCTAATAATTTTCATGCTGCTTCAGGACCCATTTTTGTTGATGCCCTTTTATTCCCCCTGATGTCTGTGATTTATCATTTTCTACATATTTTGCTCTGTCCAGTTATACTTGTCCCATAATACAATCCACTACTGCAAAGTTTATCAACTCCAACCGTGATTCGAAAAAATAATGCCGTACAGTGACAGTGAGGTACAAAGGGGGTAGCCGTAGAGTTGACTATGTCAAAATTATCTTCCCCTAGGCCTAGCATAAGAAATACAAAGAAAGCATAATATACGGAGATTATAACCTGGGCATGCGGCTACACTAACAGCCCCTACCTACCGCTTCTTCTTTTCATCCCCATCAACAGTCGCACCCCGCCAACCTCCCGCTCTACCATTCCCCAAACGCCCCATCACCCACCTTGCAAGCAAGACAGCCACCGTCCCCACAAGACACACATACCCCGCTGTCGGCACCAGAGACCGCGGGAAAACATTCCACAGAAACGGATCGAGAATCACATCGGCCAGCACAGGGGGCACATTCTCCATGAGCGCCCTGTCAAGCGAGAAGTAATCCGCCGCAGCCCGGATCCGCAAGAACAGCACCGAGTCGGAGGTTGGTGCCGGATCCCTGGACGAAGGCGGCGGCTGGTGTTTGCCGTTGCGGACGAGGGGGTTTGAGGCTGAGGTTGAGGAGTCGAGCGCTGCGAGGCGGGCTGAGGAGTAGAGGCTGATTGCGGAGAGGAGGGATGGGTCTTCCATAGTGCTGGAGAGGGTGAATGTGTCCAGGGTGAAGGACGTGGGTTGCTTGATGGTTTTAGCTTTTACATAAAAAAGGGGGGGGGGGGGCGTACAGTTGCCAGATAGCATATCCGGACTTCGTAGCGTTGGCCTGGCGTGAGGTTTTCGAGGAAGAACCATGAGTCTGTTCCTGGGGAGTCTGGGGTAGGGAATGAGGCGTTGAGGAAGGTTCGTAGGGTTGGATATGAGGGGGAGAGCCGCTCGAGGCCTAGGTCGTCGAGGCTGGAATCTGCTGAAGGGATGGGTGATGGTTGCGGGGCGACGAAGATAGTTTTCTCGACGTTGGCAACGACGAGGGGGATGAGAGAGAGAAGAACAAGGGGGTTAAGGTTCTTCATGGTGAGTGTACTATTGTCCACTCAGATGTATTGGTTGTTGTTGAAAGTGGTTTATATGGCCATGTTGGGTTTGATATGAGATAGAGTAGGTCTGAAAATGTTAGCATATGGTCTCTGGATAAACAAAAACTCCTCTAGGGATACAATTGAAAGCGCCGAGTATAGCACAGAGCAAGGATGCCATATCTCGAATACATTCTATATCATATGCAGAGCTATTCAAAGCTTGGGTTCCATTTCCAGTTTGGGAACTCCCCGCAGCAATTGGTGACACCGCATCAATGAATTGGCTGATACTACAGCAAATACTATCAAATTGCCAAAGGAGATTGACTACATACCTTCTATCGAAGCGACTTTTGATGAGACGTATCGAATTGAGGCAGCTGGTTTGATCTCAGTCTTCAATACATATGCATGCCGTCACTCTCTCACGTGACCCTTATCAGTGCTGAATAAGCATTGTTGATCCTCGTCACGGGACTGCGAGCGAGACTCGGGGCATCTGGCGGTCACGGGCGTCCATCAGCCAATCACAGGCGGTGGATCCCAACGCGACCCAGCCGACGGATCAACAACGAACAAGAACGCCAGCTTGGGGGGTGACAGCGCATTACCTATTGAAGCAGCCCATCCCAAAAGAGTGTCCACAACAAATTGAACAACAGGTCTGGTCTGTCTTCGTCTGAATTGATCATTCTTAGACCTCGACTTTCTCCCCTCCTTCCATCTTCTCCAGATTTCTTCAATTACCTCTCGCACCCCAGGGTTAGTATCCCCCTTTTCTCCCCCCTCTTCAATGTTGTGTGCTGCCCTGCCCACCACATTTTACGTTTTGTGGTGTCCGTTTACTTACCCCTGAAACACCCATACAGCAGATCATCTTGGGTTTTTTTCGTCCTTCATTCCTCCCTCCTCCACCCACCTTTCTTAATTTATCCTTTGTGAACGGAATTTAGTCAATCGAATTCGACAAAATGAGAGAAGTCATCAGTTTGAACGGTTTGTCTCCCTTCTATCACCTTCGTTTGACGTGTTGTTTGTTTTCTGCGGTTCGTGTTACTAATGTTTTCTCCCTCGATACAGTCGGTCAGGCTGGTTGCCAGATCGCCAACTCTTGCTGGGAGGTATGCATTGACCATCAGTTCACCGAGTGATATTGCACATAAGGGAATGGAGGATGAAACATACATGGATGACTGGACATTGGAAGGTTAGGCTAACTTTGGTGGTTTAATTCTAGCTCTACTGCTTGGAGCACGGCATTCAGGTACGTGGAACAACATCCTGATTTCATCACAACTGGGTGTTATCTCTTCATATCGACGCGTAGACCGACTGACATTTTGGTTGTTTTCTCTAGCCCGATGGTTACTTGACCGAGGAGCGCAAGAAGGCTGACCCCGACCACGGATTCAGCACTTTCTTCTCCGAAACTGGTACGTTAGCTGTCTACTCCCTCTCCTACTTACGACCTTGATGATCTGACATTGTAGTAAAGGCCAGGGCAAATATGTTCCCCGTACCATCTACTGTGATCTCGAGCCCAATGTGGTCGATGAGGTCCGCACCGGCACCTACCGTAGCCTTTTCCACCCCGAGAACATGATCACCGGCAAGGAGGACGCCTCTAACAACTATGCTCGTGGTCACTACACCGTTGGAAAGGAGATGATTGACCAGGTCCTCGACAAGGTCCGCCGAGTCGCCGACAACTGCGCTGGTCTCCAGGGTTTCCTGGTCTTCCACTCTTTCGGTGGTGGTACCGGTTCCGGTTTCGGTGCTCTGCTGATGGAGCGTCTCTCTGTGGACTATGGCAAGAAGTCGAAGCTGGAATTCTGCGTCTACCCTGCTCCCCAGAACGCCACCTCCGTTGTTGAGCCCTACAACTCCATCCTGACCACTCACACCACCCTGGAGCACTCCGACTGCAGCTTCATGGTCGACAACGAGGCCATCTACGACATTTGCCGCCGCAACCTCGGCATTGAGCGCCCCAGCTACGAGAACCTGAACCGCCTGATCGCTCAGGTTGTTTCTTCCATCACCGCCTCCCTGCGTTTCGATGGTTCCCTCAACGTCGATCTGAACGAGTTCCAGACCAACCTGGTCCCCTACCCCCGTATCCACTTCCCCCTGGTCGCCTACGCTCCCGTCGTCTCTGCTGCCAAGGCTTCCCACGAGGCCAACTCTGTCAACGAGATCACCTCTGCTTGCTTTGAGCCCAACAACCAGATGGTCAAGTGTGACCCCCGCAACGGCAAGTACATGGCCACCTGCCTGCTCTACCGTGGTGATGTCGTGCCCAAGGAGACCCACGCCGCTGTTGCTACCCTCAAGACCAAGCGCACCATCCAGTTCGTTGACTGGTGCCCTACTGGTTTCAAGATTGGTATCTGCTACCAGCCCCCTCAGCAGGTGCCCGGTGGTGACCTCGCCAAGGTCGACCGTGCTGTGTATGTTCCCTTTCCTGTTTTCTTTTTCTCACGAAGAAAGAGCATGAAAATCATGAGTAAACTAACGGAAAATATAGCTGCATGCTGTCCAACACCACTGCCATCGCCGAGGCCTGGTCTGCTCTCGACCACAAGTTCGACCTCATGTACTCCAAGCGTGCCTTCGTCCACTGGTACGTCGGTGAGGGTATGGAGGAAGGTGAATTCTCCGAGGCTCGTGAGGACCTGGCTGCCCTCGAGCGTGATTACGAGGAGGTTGCCACCGACTCGATGGATGAGGAAGTCGAGGCCGAGTACTAGACGGACGTCATCACTCGGCAGGATTCCGAAGAATGGCTGTAGAGTTTGGCCGTCCGATTTGATGCAGAGGCTGCTCCTGGTTGTTTCTGTGCTGTTGTATTGGGGACAGGTGTTTGCCAAGGTGATATACCATGGACCTGCGCGACTCAGGTTGCATGCAAATACATAGGAGAAGAAGATTGGCTTAGCTCACAGACTATGTTTTTCTTTGTCTGATATATTTTTAATATCCCGAAGCAGCGATGAAATTTTACCCGCTCGTTCATGTAAACAGCACTTGGAAATACGAGATTGTAATTATCTTTAATTTAGGAAGAAAACGATCCATTGGAGGCTTGTCGAGAGCAATCAAGCAGGTTACAATTACAGAGAGAGAGAGAGCGGGAACGAGAAGTGGACAGGAAGAGAAGACAAGCAGACAACATTATGCCATGGCAGTAAAGAAACCCTATTTCCTCAGTTCAGGAATTATTGATGAAGGTGAAGGTGAAGGTATACGAAATGGTGGATCCGGAGCGACTTAGACAGAGTAAGTAAGCTGGCTGTTCAGGGACCTCGAGCTATGGTTGGGTTACTCCCCCGGAAGCCGAAGGGAAGCTAAGCTAAGGAGAAGGACATCATCCCTCCCTCCCTCACCTCCACTCTACTACTACTGTACCTTAGTCTCATCTCTCCTCCCAAGACCGAAGCTCCATTTCTTGGTTGCCTGCTTGTTCTCGAGACTATCATTCCCTCATATCTTCCTACTTTCCTTGAGACCTTTTTCTCTTACTATAATCGAGCCATCTGTATAAGTCTGCTTCCCCCTCCATTTCGTCATTCCGTCTACTCCGTTCCCCCATTCCCCCATTCCCCTTACAATTTGACGATCCATGCTCGTGGCATCATCTTCACTCTAATCCACGGCATTCCGCTCCACCACCTCATACGCCACAATTCAACAAGTATCCGCGAAATTCGATCGAAGGAAGAGGAGGCGCACTCCTCCTGAGCTACCATCATGGCTGACAGCGGTAAGTGTCCCCACCAGCAATGGTAGACCAGGTCGTGGTTAGGCGAGCTCCTCAGGAGAACAACCGACCCCCCGATCGAACTGCAACTTCTCCAAGCGCGACGGAACTGACGGTGTGCCTCAATTATCTAGCACAACGCCATCCCAATCTCAATTTGACACCTGAGGAGAAACGGGTGTTTTACCAGCTCTTCCAGGCTGCTGATACCACCAACCTCGGCGTCATCACCGGCGAGATTGCCGTTCCTTTCTTCGAGAAGACCAAGCTTGCACCGGAGACACTCGGATTGGTAAGTTATTCCATGGAGTGAGTCTTCCGGCGCATGTCTGGCTGACTGGTCACCGACAATGTGTAGATATGGCAGATCGCGGATAAGGAGAACAGGGGGCTCCTGACTCCATCTGGCTTCGGTGTCGTTTTGCGTCTTATTGGACACGCCCAGGCTGGTCGCGCGCCTACAGAGGAACTGGCCCTGCAACGTGAGTGCCTTCTGAGGATCATTTGGCTACGGAAGCAAAAAAGGGGAAATAGCGCTGATGTTGAATTCTTTCTCTAGCTGGGCCGCTACCTAGGTTTGAAGGCGTCGTTGTTGAGCCTACATCTCCCACCTCTCGCTCCGCTGGTGCGACCAGCCCACCACCAGTTGGTGGGCCAATTCGAGTCCCTCCACTCAACCCGGAAGACGTCAATAAATTCACAGCGCTTTTTGAGAAGTCTGATGTGTCGAGGAGCGGGGTTATCTCAGGCATGCATCCTGCAAAATGAGGAGATATGTAGCTTTGAGGCTAATATTGCTTGCATTACAGGCGACATCGCCAAGCAGATCTTTGAACGCGCACGGTTACCGAACGAGATCCTTGGCCGCATTTGGAACCTAGCAGACACGAAGCAACGGGGCGCCCTCGACGCCACAGAATTCATCATCGCTATGCACCTCTTGACCTCCTACAAGTCGGGCGCCATGAGGGGCATCCCTCAGACTTTACCTCCTGGCTTGTATGAGGCGGCAGCACGAAGGGGCCCGGTGCGAACCTCCGTGGGGTCCCGGCCTGCCCTCGACGTTCCTCCGGTGCCTGCGATTCCGCGACAATTCACCGGACCCCAGCGGACTCAAAGCCCTTTGAATAGGTCCCAGTTCGGAACACCGCTTACTGCGCAGTCAACGGGCGGGGATTGGCTTATCACGCCAGCAGAGAAGGCGCAGTTCGATACCATATTTGGAACGATTGATACTGCGAAGTTGGGCGTCATCACTGGTGACCAGGCCGTAGGATTCTTCATGAAAGCTCAATTGCCTGAAGAAGTCCTAGCTCAGATTTGGGATCTCGCGGATATTGACGCTGACGGGCAATTGACGAAGGACGAATTTGCGGTAGCGATGTATCTGGTTCGTTCACAGCGTACAGGAAAGGAGCCCTTGCCGCAAACGCTTCCTCCCGCTTTGATTCCTCCTAGTATGCGGCGTCCTACCACGGCGCAGGCAGTGGTGCCGGCCCCAGTCGCAGCTCCTGCCGCACCGGCGCCTCCTCCGAGTGTCCGGTCTGCTGCGGATGATCTCTTCGGTCTCGATGCATTTTCTGCGCCGCCCGCACCTGCAGCACCTTCACAAGTACCCCAGTCCACAGGAGGCTCCAACACGCCGTTCCAGACGCCGGGTTCACCCACCTCCAGAGCGTCGCCTTCAGCCAACTCGACGACCTTTAAGCCTTTCATTCCGACTTCCTCATTTGGCCAGAGTCTCCAGCCTCAGATAACTGGCGCCTCAGCCGGTGCCCCGCCAACAGTCCGTTCACCACCGCCTCCATCGGATGACCTTCTAGGCGACAACGACCCTGAAGAATCCAATAAACTCACACAAGAAACGGCCGAGCTGGCAAATCTGTCCAACCAGATTGGCTCGCTGGCCAAGGAGATGCAAAACGTTCAGACGAAGCGCACTTCAGCGGAGCACGAGCTGTCTCAGACATCTCAGCAAAAGCGTGACTTTGAGACTCGCTTAGCGCAAGCCAGAGCGATGTATGAACAGGAGGTCAAGAATTTCAAAGCTCTTGAGGAGCGACTGAATGCCTCCAAGGCGGAGACCAAGAGGCTGCAACAAGAATATGCGTTGATCGAGGGCAGCAGGCAAGATTTGCAGACTCAATATAACCAAGTCTCTGCTGCTTTAACCGCCGACCAGCAGGAGAATGCGAGCTTGAAAGAGAAGATCCGCCAAGCTAATGCTGCTGTCGCCCAGCTTAAGCCTGCTCTCGAGAAAGCGCGCTCTGACGCTCGGCAGCAAAAGGGCCTTGTCGCGATCAACAAGAAGCAATTAGCTACCGTGGAAGGTGAACGCGACAAAATACAGCAGGAGATAGACACACTCTCGAAGGAACAACCTCAAGAATCCGACGAAAGCGCGGTATCTGCAAACGCCGGCCCCGCTCTCGCCAGCCCTGCTCTGTCCACGGCCAGTCAAAACAACAACCCGTTCTTCAGACGGACTACCACGGCATCCAGCGACGGCCAGGCAGCGTCCCCCCAGGTCTCGAGCGAACAGCAGCGTGCTTTTGACAGCCTCTTTGGCACTGCCTTTGCTCCTCCGACCACTGCTACACCCCACCTCCCACTTCATTCCGCGCCGACTCTCGGCAGGCTTCGCTCCACTCTCCTGTTACATCCGGGTACCGACCCCCTCCGTATCACCGCCACCTTCGGTTGGGACCGTGCCTGAACCCCCGCAGTCTCGGCAGTTCACCCCTAACGTTCTTCCCTTAGCCGAGACACAGTCTGTGACCTCGTCTACCAAGCCGTCTCCGCCAGGTAGCAGATTTGGTGGTCCTGAGTCATCAACTGTAGGGACTCCAGCCCCGGCAGGTGCCACCGAAATTTCCTCTGTGACTCCAGAACACGGGGAGTACAGTCTCCCTTCGAGGAATTTGAAGAGTCGAAGCGCTTCCCCGAAGTTCCAGTCGCCCCGAGGGAAACGGCAACAGCAGACACTTCGGCCACCGCCAACGAGGACCAGACGGCAGCAAAGGACCCCAGCTTCGATGAGCTGTTTGGCGGTCCAGCACATCAAAGGTCACAGTCTCAGAACGCGAATGATTTCGAAGAAGCTTTTGCTGCTATGAAACAGGGTGCTGGAGAAACCAAGCCTAATGGTACAGCTCCTGCCGCGTTCTCCGAGTTCCCGCCGATCCGTGAGCTCGATGATGACGACGATGATGACGACGACGATAGCTCTGATAACGAGGCACCCTTGGGTTTTGATGACAATTTCACACCGGCTGTTCCACCCCAAGAACAGCAGACGTCTAAGACGGACCCGATTGAGCCATCTCAGTTGGCAGCGTTTCCTGCTCCAGGGTCTGTAACTCCTAGTCAGCCTCCTCCCGCCGAGGCCCAGAAAAGCCCACCAAAATATGATGAGAGCGCAGAGAAGGAAGCGTCTGGCGGTATGCCACCTGAATTCAACGGCCTTTTGCCAAACCGTGGAGATCCCACAGTCGCTCCGGATGCCCCTCATTCAGTAGAAGCAGGCACTGGTGCCCCGATCGTTGGCGGGGAGCCGCAGCGGGATGTCCCTGCGGCTGCACCGACTTCGACCGGTACCAAGCCCAGTGCACCCGATTTCGAAGCTGCTTTTGCTGGAATGGATCTTGCCCCGCGAAAGAAGCGGAAGACGATGATGACGACGACGACTTCGGGCCGTCTGACAATAAAAACACTGCGGATTTCGACTTCTCTTTCGACACGCCCTCACAGCAGAAGATGGCAGTACCCAGTGGCGGCCCTGGGCAGTCCAACCACTCTGATTTCTTCAGCTTTGATCAGCAGGTGAACGCCTCAAATCATGATAACGCCGTATCACCGGCAGCTTCCAACTCGCAACCGGCGACGCACGACTGGGAGACCCTCTTTGCACCTCTGGACAACGTTCAAGGCGCCTCCACCGGTACCAATGGGGCACCGCAACCAGCGTCCTCCGGGGATGGCAAACCACCCGGATGGGCCCTTCAGACAGACTCTGTGGAAGACGACCAAATCCTGCAACGGCTTACTGGTATGGGATTTCCCCGCGATGAATCGCTCGCTGCATTAGAGAAGTTCGACTATGACATTGACAAGGTGAGTCCATCGACATCTCTCAGGTTGTAAATGAGACTGAATTGACTCTTCTTTTCAGGCGGTGGATTTCTTGACCTCCAAGTCTTAAATGGCCCTTCATTCCTGCACATAGTCCATTTCATTCATTACTCCCTTTTTCCTACATTCTCCAGCTTCGCAGAATTTGATTCGATTTGCATGCATACCCGACTCTACCCTTGTATATTTCACGCCGGTCCCTAGCCATGTCCACTATTTAGTGGCCCGAGCCCCGATATAATCTAGAACCTGAAGATGGAGTGGAGTGTACAGGATGGAAGACTCCAGAAGTGATGAGAGTGCCCGTACGTCCTAGTCATTAGCCAGTCTAGATTTTAATTCAATAATTGTCGATTTTGAATTAGCAGCCTGTGTCAACCCTTCAATACTTCCTAGTAGCCTTTGCATTTTGGGTTGTACGGTACGGTGGATATCCATGCATCGGCCTTCTGATCTTTCCCACGATTCTACTTAAGAGTGTAGTCAAAAGCAAAAGAGAGCCATCAATCCGATGACCGGGTAATAGGCTTGATGGCCTTTGCAAAATGCGAGCCCAGCGACTTGGACTTGAACGCCTCCTCGATCTCATCGAGCGACTTCCCCTTGGTCTCCGGCATGAAGACGGCGCAAACCAACGCCGTCAGCAGCGTACACCCCCGAAGAGGAAGTAGGCACCAAAACTACTCTTGGACAGGAGGATGGGTGTCGTCAGCGCGACCAGGAAATTCGTGACCCAGTTACTGCCGTGCGCGAGACCGGTGGCCGAGGCGCGGGTTCGCTGGGGCTGGATCTCCGCGGAGTAGACTTTGATGCCGATGGCCCAGGTGAGGGAGAAGATGACGGCGAAGAGGTAGATGGCGACGATGACGAGCCAGCGGCCGGGGCCGGAGGATGGGTGGACGGCGTCGGCGGCGTAGAGGGCGCCGATGAGGAACATGGTTGTGCTGAGGCCGATGCCGCCGAGGATGATGCTGTGTCTGCGGCCCCAGCGGTCGGCCCAGAGGAGGCCCGGGATGGTCACGGCGAAGATTACGAGGGCGGAGACGCCCGAGGCGAAGAAGGTGGCGGTGGAGGAGGCGAGGCCGGCTTGTTCGAAGAGGAGCGGGGCGTAGTAGAGGACGCCGTCGATGCCGGAGAGCTGCTGGAAGCCCATGAGGAAGACGGCAAGGGCGGTGCGGGCGCGGACGTCCTTGGAGAAGATGTCGAGGAGCTTGTGGCTGGCTGGTTTGAGGGGCGGTTGCGGCGGGTGGTGGGATATGGGTGGTGAGGTCGGGAGTTAGAGTCGTTGTTGCTGGACCGGCGGGGAGGACCTGGATTTGGGACCTGGCTTGTCGGGTCTGTTCGACTTCCACCTTCTCGCGCTCGGCTTGGCCGACGCCGAGGAGGTCCCATGTTCTTGCGGCTTCCTCGTGGCGGCCATGGAGGGTCAGCCAGCGGGGAGACGGGACGAGGAAGAGGAACGAGGCGGCTGAGAAGAGGACGGAGAGACAGGCGAGGATGAGGTAGGGTGTACGCCATGAGAAGGAAGACTCGAGACGCGCGGTTCCGTAGCAGGTGAAGAAGCCGATCACTAGGCCGAGCGTGATGAGCAATTGCGGACCGGTGGCTAATGCGCCTCTGACGCTCGTTGGAGAGATCTCGCAGATGTACCTGTTTCAGTTAGTTTCATGCGATTGAAATCAAGACGGGTGGACCATTCGTGGTAAGGGAATTGACGTACACCACCAGCGTACCCAGGTACAGACCCTCGCCTATACCCTCAATGCACCTCCCGACAATGAACATGGCAAGTTGGGCCGCCGCACCTTCGATAGCAGCGCCGATACCAAAGATCAAAGCCCCGATGCTGATTCCTGTCGGTCTCCCCAGCTTATCTGCCAAGTAGCCTGCGAAGAAGGACGATAAAGCTGCTGGAATGAGAATGGAGGAGACTATTAGTCCGTGGACGGTTGCAGATTGACTCCCAAACTTCGACACGAAGCTATCCATGACGGTGACAGGGCCAATGATACCAGTGTCCATCCTGTTTATCTGTCAATACAATCCTACTGCGGAGCATGGCGTATCTTGGTGACGTCCTTACCCAAACAGTAACCCTCCGCAAGAGCAGAGGATACTAGCGAGGACATATCTCGGGGGCCTTTGTATGAGATTCATTGTCTGGCAATGAATGAGAGGGTGTTGGATGCGCAATCAATCCAGCAGAGCGCGTCAAGAGCGGAGATATATACCCTCCTGCACACTTATCCAAGCAACAAAGAAGAGACCTAAGTGAAAGTAAGAAAAATTCTTTCAGTTGATAAAGTCGAGTACTCTAGTCCATTGACCTTAGGGCCAGCTGACCAGATGGAGATGGCCCACCCCCACTGGAGTCTACTGGAGCCATGGCATTGCATTGGATGGACGACGAGTTGCAGCGCAGCGTCATCGAGGGCGTATCTAGAGTGAGTCACAGCGGCCCACGTATGTGAGTGAGACGGTCAAAGGCCGAGAACATTACAAAGCAATGCCGAGTCAGTTAATTGGCAGCTTGTCCAAACGCAAAAAGTCCGGAGTGGTATGGCCCGAGAGACGGGGAGAATGTTGGAGTCGGAGAATACTAATGACATGCCATGTGGGGAAAGACAAAAAGTATATCGGGACGACGGCAGATAACTGAAGATCATTCAATGATTGCTGCTCTACATGACAAACAACTTGCTAACCTTCTCTTGTTCCATCTTGCTTTGACTATATTCACTGTAGACTGGCTGTTGTTCATTCACTTCTTGGTATCTATCGTGGTCTAAGAGGTACTCTTCGTAGGCATATATATCACCTCCCTCCCCCAAGGTCCCTGGATGAAATCTACGTCTCTCCTCTTCCAGCAATGGTATACCATTTCTTATTTGCGTTCCTCCCCGGCACCAGCTGAACTCTGGCCTGATTTCATCAGGAGGCTTCAATAAGAATGCGAGACCCGCGTACAATCCGCACACTCAGAGGGATAACAGGGATGAAAGTCCAAAAACCCCATCCCACCGCGGATACTACGACTTCAATGAAGAGCTGAGGGATGACCATGCAAGCCGATGGCTATCGACAGGCTACACAACAAATTGACCAGCCTGTTGCGATCTTCGGCCTTTCAGTCTGGGAGCCCGGAGCAGATCAGAAATCCGCACCAAACCCAAGCATGCAATGAAAGCCGGCGGAGCTTGCCTTGGAGCATTCGAAGAATGCGATCCAGGATACGGTACTTATTTCACGACAGCCAAGAAGAGCTATGCTACTTTCCACAGCGAGGCAGTAACTGATTCTGGGATCAGCTATCAATGCGGGATATTCGCGTCGGATCAGCTTACAGGTTGCTGTGCCAAAAGCTCAGATCCCGCTTTTCAAGGATTTCATCGTGAGATCACCTATGCTAGGCTCCAGCGGCAATGACAACGATACATCCAACGGTGCTGTAATGGTATTCAAAGATACTGACCTCTGAGACCTCGATGTCTGGCGACCTGATATATCTGATTGGCAACAAATCATTTCTCAAATTACCAGAGAATCCCCAGCATGCGCATGTTATCATGCTGGAGGATCATCGAGCCATTGATACTGGACACTCAATACCTCCGAGAAATGTATCTTTGGGATATACTACTACCACAAGAACAATGTCAATCTACAGCACCCCGAGGTAGATCCACATCTTTAACGATATGCCACGAACTTAGCTAACCCTGATGCCGGTGTCCGGTTCTCCAGAAATTGAGCGGCACTAAATGTATATGAAGCGGCTCATGAGTACTTCTTTGTGTCGTACAATACAAAAGACAATTATGCGGGCGCAGACGATAAGTGAACACCCATCAAGTAGCACAACATATCCCGCGGACGGTCCTCCTCAACCGTGTCAGATATGCAGAATATGTACTGTCCCTGAACGACTCCGGACTATGGTGCTTCGATCTACGGCATTTCATCAACAGACATTCCAGGGACTTGCTGAATTCGTCGTCCGTGGCAGCCCGCAATTTCCTTCATGTCAAAGATCTATCTCTAACCAGGAGATGTCCAAGTTAATATCAATATGAAGTGTGGCGCCCTGCATGGACTGTTAGTACAACCACTGTCCAGATGCTCGACCGAGAAGCTCATGTGAGCCAGAACCGTACCGAGTGGAATATGTCGACCTTAAGACTATCCTCGCAGACAGCCAGACTCTAAAGGCTCGTGCTAAGAAAAGGATGGAATGGAGTGACTGCAGACCTGAATATGTCCAAAGAGCAGATCATCGCAAAGCCACCACATGAATACTTCACAGCGACTGATCGTGCGTGTTTCCTGTCTCTACAGTACTCGGTTGATATCTGGCCAAACGAGTGGATAGAACTTCCAGGACCGGCAGAGTGGTGGCCAGATGACTACGATTTTGCTTACTGCGTCGGACAGTGCACGTCACTGAGGAGGATTAATCGTGTCTTTTGGTTTCTGGCGTTGAGGAATGTAGGTTTATTCGATGCATGTCGGATACGGATAATCTTGGGTCTGATTTGTGCTGGCTGATTTCCAGTGTCCGGTGAACACTCTATACAGCTTCTAGGCTCTTATAATGATATAATTGCCGGTATGCTGGGACATTCAGAATGAAGACAGGGTACTCATACAAGGACGGCGTGATGCCCTGGACTTACTCTTTGCTGATGGAGTCTCGATGAACTTCAGTGACTTATGTGCCTCTCCCTCATCTTTCAGCGAAGTGGGTTTGTCAATTTCGCAGCCCCATGACGGGCGCTACCTTTTGCCTTCACCATTACTTCAGCTTCAATGTACCGTCGCCAATATACTCCATGCCACGGGCAGGGTGAGAAGATCGACCTATGGTGCGACTGGCGCACTTCCAATAACGGAAGTACTAATATCTCGAAGCTGTGGTTGTGCGGGTAAACTCATTATTGCCCCGGCAATCGAGGAGCGCAGCATGAACTCAAAGTCTAGAAGACCCAGGTTCAGTGATAATAGCAGTCCTACTCATAAGCATACAGACCGATGAATTGAAAGAGAACAGACATGAGTGCTAGTCGCATTATTGCCAACCTACTTACTAGGATGAGCTTAATTGCTCCCTTGAGTTAGTCGTCGATAGCGAGGAGTTTCTGGAACGACCAGGGGTCCTCTTAGCCGCGGCTGACTTTTAAGAGGAAGAGTCCGTCTGGACAATTTGCGTCCGTCTTGCAAGAATCGCTCATTCAATTTATCATTAGAGGAACTAGAGACTGCTAGAGAAAACAGCTGAAAACCTAGGTAAATGGTTTATCGTCCAAGTAATGTCCCTCCCCCTTTCCGGTTCTGATGGTTAGAATAGCGCCGGGGAGGGCTACCACTCTGTCTGCGTTGACTACTGGAGCCTGAGCGCTATTACCAGGAGGACCGCTACCCTTTGCCCCTGATCAATGAAATCTTAGGGCGGATGTCAGGGCAAGAATCTTCATTAGCTAGATATACGCTAGAGATACATCGCAGCAGGCTAGACCCGCGCTCAGAAGACTTGATCACCCGCTTTTCATGGTTCGTAAACGGCATTCTTAGGACTGTTTGGATGACATTTTGACAGCCGTTGTCGACGAGTCGTTAATCTAATTCGACATTGTATCTTAGCTCCTGAACCTAGATACTCAGCGGGCAAAAATGGAAAGAATTGGCTGAGGTCAGGTTGAGCGTTCACCAGTCTGCTACGGCCAAGGGATATTAGCCCCGAATCCAAGATGGGCAAATGCGTTCTGTTTGTAGATTGGGTATTCATCTGCCTCGAAGAGCTCTAAGACCAAATAAGAGACTCTACCAAGCGACGTAGCTACTGGGAACAGCCATGCACTACTGTCTGAGCGATCATCCTAATCAGTCAATCTCAGTTTGCATACAGCCTAGTGCATCACAGTTCCAGTGCTTTATGGGAGTATGGTCTTTTCCTGAAGCGACTCTGCCCCAAATACAGCCGGCTGCATTAACGTCTTGCCGTTGGCCAACTGTCAGACTCTCGAAGCTTTTAACTTGATATTGCCGTTAAGCTGCTGCAATTTCTAGCTTGCTCAAGATGCCAGTTATGCATTACTAGCCAATGGCGTGCTTTCAACCCAACTTCAGGATGCACATCCAAGAAATGGGACAAGTTCTGGCCGCATAACATCACCAGCTTGACCTGAGCGCTCGCCCTGTCAGCCCAAGCAGAGTGAGTTGGCACGAGCTTTCGAGCCTAGCGGTTCTCGGAGAATACTGGCGGCAGAATGGCGTTCGAATGGCCACCTAGCGAGAGGTGTCGTCTGCGTGTGGTATGAACCAGTGTAGGCCTTGGGGAGCTTTCCGAAATGCGATCTCCTTTTTTTCACCTGAAGTGGCATGATGGGCTCGTCTGTCTGTTCCTGACGTCTCGTAGCCGTAAGAGAGGCATTACGACTTAAGACTCGCTAACGTTCGCCCAGGTCCCCAAGTTTAAGCCAAGCCAGGGCTCCCATCTCCACTCCTGTTGAAGAATGAGTCACCTCTAAAAAACTAGCGAAGTTGGGCAACAATCTGGAAGGCCGTTTAAAGTGATCTCTCTTGGGCCTTCACTTCTAAGGCTTGACTCCATCCGTGACGGTGGACCGGAGTAAAAGCCAATTGCAATTGACGACTTGATCAGTGCGCAGCGCTGGGGCAACGGGTACAACCACACATTGAATATTCAACGTATACAACGGCCTAGAGATCCCGAATTTGCAAGATCTCCTTAGCAAGGCACTAGAAGACTTGAGCCCTGTCAATCCTTCCCGGATTACCTATGTGGGGTTCATCAATTGGAAAGCCTGTGGCGCGAGATTCCGCTGACCGCAACTTCAATCATTTTCGCCACCTGGCAATCCACCGGTGCCCTGCGAGAGCTCACTGTCCATTATTAGTTCGGATGCACTGTGCGGTGGAGATTGGTAGGATCATGTCCCTCGATGCTAGTCTCGTGAGTTGAAGGAAGTTCATGCTGCATCGTGGCGGGCCAATTCATCACGTGTGAGTTCCGAGATGAAGTTTCAAAGACGAGTACATAGGTTTTAAGTGTATCCAACCGTATTAAAGTTGGACTCGAGAACGGATGGTGCATTTCTCCATTATGCGAGTGCCGTACTGACGGACATGAATCGCACAGAGGGGTGGATCAGAGCGCAGTTGCCATTGGACCAGAACCAGCGTGGAGATCACTACCTATGACACAGAGAGCCAAAATGGTTGATTAGCAATAATTAGAGTCGGGGGCGAGCGGTCCTTAGTTTCTGACCAGTCAACCAATGTTGTATCATCAGCGGGGTACTGAGAGACGCCGTTCACCTCGTGTCTCAAGCTGCCATCAACAATGCAGGAATGAGGTGCAGCGATAATATGTCGATGGACTAGAGATAGCTTGCCCTTCATGTCGAGGAGAAAGTTACAATTGCATCGATGACGGTAAAAGCGTCAAGGACGACTCCAGAGTCTGGCTGATGTGGAAGTCGGTAGGTACTCGGTAGGTTAGTACTGTAACATGAAACGCCCCACTGATAAGCGATAATGCTCAAAGCAGTGAGGGGAGGTTCTGTATGGAGTTTCTAACGTATGTAGACAGACCATGCTCTGCGCATGACTTCCCATTCCGACTTACTTGAAGAATGGGACGAGACTCCAGACATCCAATAACAAGGATAATTGGGAAACGATGAAGCGACAAACTCAGGTGTGTGCTGTTGTCCGAAGATGGGGTCTACTGTAGCGCCCGCAGGGCCCAGGCCCATGCTTTGACCCTCGCTATTTCTAGAGCTAGGATTGTAAGGTCCAGATGATCTAGTGTCAAGTAGTGAAGTGTCGCAAGATCTGGATCTGGTTGCCAATTTGACATGATGATCTGTCCTAAATATCAATAATGTATGTAGTGACCTGTAAAGCAATAGCAGTGCTCGCGGGCTAGTATATTAAGGTAGCATCGAGGATGGAGATCTTAACACTGAGTCAGTAGGACTTCGCCTCTTTTGTCACTCCAGTTGCCACCATCATTTTCGATATTCAGAAAAGGAGTATCTATGGGGTACGGAGTAGGTACGAGACTCCAGTACTCGCTATTTGCCCCCATTACTTACACTAGGTAATTCTCAGAGATTCCGCTTATCAGGTTGAAGAGGGGATTCCGATGCGACAAACAGCTTTAAGCCCCTCCAATCAAGGGGCTCTTGGGCTCACCTGCGCATCCATTGGGATCTGTAACAAACGATGATTTGTCTGCAGATAGTCTGTCCGTACACCGCCTTTCCTGTGCTGCACCAGTCAGATTGATAAGAACCTAAGTCTCTAAGGACGAAGAATGCAGCACTCTCCATAGGTACCTGACCCAGGTCTCTAATAGTAGTATTCTTAATCCTGCACCAGCAGACTCGAATCAACCAACGTTTGTTGACCGCAGAATCGGTTGATCCATGGTACTAGGCCGATAATATCCCCCTGAGTTCACGGAGTATGGAGTACGTCGTAATTCTGGAATCTGGATCCTGGGTTAGCGCTCAGCTATCCGGCAGTGAACCCTGGAACCTCCCAATTGCTTCCTCCATTACAAATAAAAACAAACACACCCAAGTCACAAAAAGGAAAGAAAGCGCCCAAAGAGAAGATACTATAGGTCTGATACTTGGGGCAAGTTAGGTAACCCAGCTCCAGTGTCGCGAACCATTCGGAACGCGCGTGGCAAACCACATATACGTTCTGTGTGGTCGTGCTACGCTTATCTGAATAATACTTTCTAAAATACAAGGGATGACTTGCTACTACTTGCAGTGTCAATAACAAGAATAGGAGTTGATTGCCCTGAATACGAGAAAGAACATCGAAGAAATAGTAACATATTATTGCCAGAACTATATCTTGCAAGGAGAAAGCACTATCAGGTGTATAATGGAAACTTATTCTTGGTCTGTCTATCGAAATCGAGACCGTAATGGCATATTTTTCTATTGTACCCGTACCCTGTACCATTTTCTTATGTTCCCCTTGATGCCCTTTGATTTGTCAGGTCTTTCTTTTGATGATAGAATAATCCAAGGGTGACTACAACCTACACTGGTTAGATGTGATCTGCTTTCACATATGTGGAAGAATTCAGTGTCTCCACTCAATGCAGACAAAGACGTGCAGAAGTCCACGCTCTCGACAAGCACAATCCAGCTGGGAGGACACCCCTTGCACGAGCCTGTCTACAGAGTACTGATCAAATACTCTCTGCAATCGCAGCTGATCAAAGCTACAGAGCATGTTTGTCTGAGCTGGTGCCGCTCGTTTCAAAGTGGCCGATGATGAAGAAAGATAAGGACCAATCTTACAAGCCGCAGCAAGCCCAGTCAGCCCCTTAGGGAGAGCTACCAAGCCTACCATCACACCCCAACAAAGGCGTGCAGTAGCATCAGAATCCGCACAGGGAGTAGCAAAGCAGGGTCCAATCAAGGGCCGTCCAGCAGTCATTCATTTTGGATCCGTCAGAAAGATAATCATTTTCTCAACGAGGCTTGTCATCAACAGAGATGACACCTCATCACCGTGCTTGCTTGGTCTTGGACTTGGAAAGGGCTGAGGATCTCGTTTAATTAGTTGCATGGCGAATTGGCAATGGAAAAGTCATCGACTTCATCTGTCGGCCAAGAGAGGGATGATCATGAACACGCCTTGAGGTTCTGCTCCATAGGTATCTATCATCCGATCAATGAAGATCTCCAAAAAATAAGAAGAAAAGCTAGGATGTTCCAGCTCACAGACCCCAAGGGATATGCAGCTCCAACTAAGTATGCCAGTGGTAGACTTGATGGTGATGACCTGCTGCGTTATCGTCCTCGACAATCGCGGCGAAGAGCTTGAAGATACCTTGGATATTATTTTGCGTCTACATCAAACCAAATCAACAGGCACAAATCAGAATAAATCAACATTAATGATATTGTAATAATGGTAAAAATGAAAATCCCCTCAAAGAATCGGTTTTTCAAATCGGATCGGTTCTGTTATGACTAGATAGGTATTCAAAACTCCCCGCTCTGGGAGTCCCAGCCGCCCGCTTGTCTCTAATAGTTAGTTCCCCTCCCATTTCCCGCCTATTCTGGCTCACTGGTTCCTCTCTGCCCTTTTCCTCCCACTCCAAATCATCTGTATAACATCTGTTTCCCCTTCGTCATTGTGGTTTTGGATATACTCTCTTTTTATATTGTTCACTCGTTTCATCCTCGTCGCCTCCTGCCGCTCGGTTCTTCGAGCGAGTACGGATAAAGCAGCCGTAAGAGTGCCAATGCCCGCCTTGTGATTCAAGCAGCACTGATCGAGATCTCCGCACCCTTTAGGACCACGTTGTCGGAATCCAAATCACGGCCTGAAAGCGACGGGACGATCGCTTTTTCCACCGTTCTATCAGACGACTATCGACGGAAGCTCCTCCCCATACTGAGATTTAGGCTCTCGAGGCGTTCATTGTCTGTGAGTTGTGGCCTTTTCCCCCGAAGATCTGCTCCGCCGAAGTCACCCCTCAGCCCCTCTGAAACTCCTTACTTTGCACACTGCTGTCCGAGGAAGCACACCGCCAACCGATGTCTCCCTCGCTGGTCTCCTGGCAGTTGTGCTCAAAGCCGTCGTCTGCTTAGATGGCAATCGGTCCCAGTTGTTGATATTGCTTCCTTAAATCTCTCGTGTTACCCAAAAATGCTATAATATAACTTGTGCTCTAACCTGGCTCAACCCCTGAATGGAATTAGTCCGCGAATCCTGCCCTATCCTGCCCAAGATGGCCTTCAAGAATGGGCTTAGTGAACGCCTCGATGAGCTGCGCTTCCCGTCCCCGCGATCTCCTCCCTCCGAGTCCACGTTCCCTGGCTATAGCTCGCTCTCTCCGGGCCATACCAATTTCGTTTCGGCCTTCCCGCGGCCGTCAGGCGATGTGCGCGCCAACCTTCAACGACGATTCACCACAGACTCGAGTAAGCTCTCTTCGTGGAGCTACTTGAACCAAGTGGGCGGTTCTTCTCAAGCTGCCGATCCATTAGATTTGCTCTCATCGGTAAGTTTCCCATATCAATAGGCTATTGTATTTTGCCAAGTTGGTCAGCGTTGCAACCGGCCTTTTGATTATGAATTGGGTTGCCCTGTAGCGCGTGCTTTTTACCCCATGCGCTCTGCTATTGTCTGTTCTGAATCCCCCTATTGCGCGTGCCCCACGCGCACACCTCCCGCTACTGTAGTCATTCACTGTTGGTCACTATTTCATTCACCCGACCATGATTGACCAGTCCACGTTGAGTCATTGTACCCCGCGCATGGCCTCCGTACCTTGGGGGATGATGTCATTTTGAAAGCCGTGCTTGCTTTGATGCCCTAGTCTCTACTTGTATATGGCTCTGACTCTGTTCCAGTTCGAAAAGAAACGTCAGCATATAGAGTATATGCGGGAGCAGAGGAGAAGGTTCGAAGAAGACATGAAGCTCCTGGACATGCAGCATGAGAAAGAGAAGCAAGAGATGGATCAGCTGGCCAGGGACTTGGCCAAAGCTGGGCTGTCGGGACCAGTCAGCGAGCCCACCACTCCCCCGGAGTACCGTGAAAATGGCTTCGCTGGTGCATTCACTCGCCCAACTCGCTTCTCTACCTCTAGCGTGACCTCCTCTCCCGGCTTCTTCAACGTCTTCGCACCTTCTCAAGTTACATCTCCGCCAAGTCAAACAACACACAGCTCTGCTCAGACACCTACCAATCGTTTTTCTGTTCATTCGGTTCCTGGATCTCGTAGAAATTCCGAAAAGGAGGATTTTGGTCAAGAAACTGCTTCTCCCTTCCGTCCTGGACCTTCGTAAGTAGCTGATTCCCACTTTCTTTTTTTCACACATCTCGCTTTGCTGCTGCTGGGGTTGCTTTGAAAAAGCTTGCGTTGGATAAGCTCTTCTGGGGTTCTCCACAAGATCTGGCAAATGGCCTGCATTCACGTATTGCTGGCTTAGCGTCTTTTCACTTGGGATCCCTCACAGACGCTCATTGGTCCATGGCCTCCTGCATGATTGTCAAATCTGGGGTAGCTGACTGACTTCTTGTACCCCAGAATCCACCGCTATTCAATGCCCTCCACTGGTCTAGGATCACAGATTCGTCCTAATATTGCTGCGTTCAGCAACACCTCAGGCCTGGACTCCTTCTCTGCTGCGAAGTACTTGTTCCACAACGAGGACGACAGAGCCACTGTGACAGAGGAGGATCGAATCCCTACCCCTGACATCAAGAGTTACCTCAAACTGACAGATCCCGACGACAAGTTTCCTACCCTGTCACGCAGGAACGATTCTGGCTTGGTAAGTTTCCAGTGATTTATCGTGTGCACGGGCTTTTGCTACTTTGTCTTTCTCCACACAAAGTTCCTTCTTCTGATCCCGCTCACACCCTGTGATTACCATTCTTCTTTGTCGTTTTGTATCTGGTCGGCTTTGCTGATCATTATCCTTAGCTGTCTGCAAACTCGGACGCGTTGGATCTAGCAAATTCTCGGACTCCTAACCCAGAGATGTGGAACACACACAGCCGCCATCGCTCCTCCCACCAGAGCATGCCGCAGAACGCTCTAAACATGTTCCGTCTTGATCAGCTCGGAAACTCTACCAGCGAGAGCCACACTCAAGCGTCCAATCCTACTCGTCACATTGCGAGACACTCCCTGGAAGCAAACCTATTCCACAGCCAGGAGGGAGGCCACGGAAATATGGGTCCAGCTGTCTCAAGTCGTCCAACTTCGCTTCAGACGTCTTACTCTACGAACGACGTTCCCACTGTCAAGGGTGACGGATTCAACCCTGCAATTACACCCCCCAAGGCGCATGCCGAGAGTTTCCAGCAACACACCACCAATCTGGGCAGGATTCCAACCAATTCTATTGGCACTCAGCAGAAGGAAGCCGCGCCACATGATGAGTCCAAGCCTCAGAACTCCCTGAATCAGCAGACGACCTTGCAGGCTAGTGCTCCTCCTTTTGGACCACAGCTTCCTACTGCCGCCGTAAACCATAATACGGTTACTCCGACTGCGATGACTGCGTTCCCAGCGCCTTTCTATGGCTATGGAATCCAAGCATACATGGGAAACCCCGTCCAGGTTAACGGTCAACTCCAGAACTTCAACCCCGCCGCCCCCTACGGTGCTTATCCTCCTTACGGTAACTATCGACTGGCAGAAGGTCAAGCCAAAGGCGTTGCTGCTCGCAGAAGCGGTGACGCAGACTCTAACCAACTGTCTCGCTTCACCAATTTTCCGCTGGAACATTATCGGGGCGAGCTGTACACCCTTTGCAAAGATCAGCATGGCTGTAGGTATCTGCAGAGAAAGCTGGAGGAACGTAACGCTGAACACGTTCAACTCATATTCGACGAAACTCATATGCACGTTGTTGAGCTAATGACTGGTTCGTGAAGCTTATCCTACTTGCATCCGAAGAAACTTTTGTCTTCTAACTTCTCCCAACAGATCCCTTCGGCAACTACCTGTGCCAGAAACTGCTCGAGTACTCTAATGACGAGCAGCGGACCGCTCTAATTAATAACGCTGCCCACCAACTTGTGAAGATAGCCTTGAACCAGCATGGCACTAGGGCTTTGCAGAAGATGATTGAATTCATCTCAACCCCGAACAGATCCAGACGGTCATCCAGGCTCTACGTGATCATGTTGTGGAGCTGGTTCAGGACCTGAATGGCAACCATGTCATCCAGAAATGCCTGAACCGTCTTTCTGCGGAAGACGCGCAGTTCATCTACGATGCCGTTGGCGGCAATTGTGTGGTTGTCGGCACCCATCGCCACGGATGCTGTGTCCTGCAGCGCTGCATTGACCATGCCTCTGGCGAGCAGAGGGCTCGTTTGATCGCTCAAATTACGGCCAATGCTTTTGCATTGGTCCAGGATCCATTTGGTAACTACGTCGTGCAATACATTTTGGATCTTGCGGAGCCTCATTTCACGGAGCCTCTCTGCCAAGCTTTCCGTGGCAACATCCCAGCTCTGTCGAAGCAAAAATTCAGCTCCAATGTGATCGAGAAGTGCCTTCGTACCGCTGAGTTCCCGATGAGACGCCAGATGATCGATGAAATGCTGGCAGGAGCTGAGCTTGAGAAGATGCTTCGCGACTCCTTCGCCAATTACGTCGTCCAGACTGCTATGGACTTCGCAGATCCGGAAACCAGAGCTCGTATTGTCGACGCTATTCGCCCAATCCTGCCTTCCATCCGGCAGACTCCTCATGGCCGCCGCATTGCCGGTAAAATGATGGCATCCGAAGGCTCTAGTAGGGGAAGCGCCGCGACAAGCGGACAGGTCACCCCGAACGAAATGAATTCTGCCCAGCTTCCGGGTCCCTTGCAAGGCCCTCAGAAGCCGTTCTTGTATCAACACAACTCATTCCCTGCTCCCACTGTCGGATCCCATTTTGGAAGTCAGAATTTCATGCCCGCTGCTGGCTCCGGCTCTGTTTCCAACACCACATCCGGCGGTGCCAGCGAAAACTCTTCCGGCATTTATGCCCCTGCTGCTCAGCAGCCGAACGGCAATCTCGGGGCTCAGAGCCAGCTGTACGCTTACTTCTAATCGCTACGCTGTCTCTCGGGTCGGCAGTTCTTGCTGGGCACACTGTACTCATATTGAGACGATTCTACGATCTTGATGAACTTACGGCCACCTTGACCCAATGTCAACCTGGGGCACATGGCTTTTGATACCACAGCAAGATTTTTACCTCCATGCAATCCACCTGCATTTTGTGCTATTTCCTGATGATATGATGCAGTTGATGACGATGCATACGCGTGCATTATGCCTTGTACTTTTTGCAACACTATCCTGCATATTGGCCTCTGCTACTGCAATCTTGTGTCACATGCATACAACATCTTTTACGACCCCCACATGTGCTTTTAGCTCTTTCTATTCCAGATCTGTCTTTTTTTTTTGGCATTTTTCTTTGTTTTACTTGTGATGGACGATCTCATTGAGATTTTGGCAGTGCTGCTGGTTAAGGAGCCTGGCTCCTCCAACCGCGCGGGCAGGGCAGTCATTGGATTTGACGTGAGACTGGTCCCTGAGCCGGCTCCGTTTCTCAGCAAGGAAATATGGCCCTGGCAACGTTCTCTATCTGTTTTGCCAGTTCAGGTTTTTTTTTGTAGTCTTATCTCTGATCGCTGCCGTTTTCTTTCATGATTGTCACAATAGCACATTCGGTAGAATAGATGTACCCATACTTTTAAGTACCATATGCTTTGCAATCACGATTACCCTTGTACAAACTTGTAGACCAGACACCATCTTCGAGTTGTCGCTCGTCTACATATAAGCGGTACGGAGATGCACGTGACTTGGCATGTGAAAGGCTTCTGCGCGCGTCTTCCCAATCATTTAATTCAGTGAGTTGGAGAGGTACACAACCACATTATTTGCGTACGGCATACACCTCATTGCTTAGCTTCAGAGTTTGGAGCGTAGGCAGCTCTCACTTATCCTCCATTACCCCTATGCTCCGCGCGGACAATCTCCGGTCAATCAGCCAGCGATGGCCGTGTCGTGAGATCCAGACCAGACAGCTCGCCTGTCTACTTGGAGTACGTTTGTTCAATCCCGTTGAGCTTGTTCATCCGCGCTAAGAGATGGGATACATATTGCATTTGGACTAACGGTTCCTTCTAGCCTGGGATATCTAGTCCTTCTACGGTTGTCGTCCACGGTATCTCCGCGACATGCAAGTCAACAATTGTCCGCGCCGTCCTCTCCGCCCTTGCGGTGCCGCACGCCATTGTTCGGAGCACGGAGTGTATCACAGGTCGCCATCTACTGACGAAGATTCTTTGGGCGACGCTGGAGGCATTGGGCCTCAAGGATGAGTGGGAGAAGTTCGGAAAGGGCCGGTGCGAGCATGTTAGTACGCTCGCGGTGCTGCTTGCCGAGTCCCTCGCTTCGAATGCCGGGAAGAAGACAGAGAAGTTTGTGCTTGTGCTGGATGAGATCGATAGGCAGCGGGAGGCGCCGCAGACGCTTCTTGCTGCGCTGGCTAGGCTTGGGGAGGTGGTAAGTCGCTTTGTTTATGAGTGAATCAAGTGGTGTGGGCGGTGGTTGTTGACTCGATTCTTTGCCGATGAGTAGATCCCCTCGCTGTGTGTCGTTTTGATCCTCAGCTCGACACCGCGCCCTCTTTTCTTGCAGTCTGCCGCTGTCCCGCATATCAGCTTCCCTCCATACACGCGCAAAGAGGCAACTACCATCATCCTGAACTCCGAATCACCCCGTGTCTACGGACTCCCGCAGGAAACCGCCGCGAAGCTATACCCCCATTTCGTATCGGCCGTCTACGACTCGCTGGTCGGGCCCACGGCCAGCTCGATACCTACCTTCCGGTCAATATGCGAGAAACTCTGGCCGCAGTTCGTCTCGCCAATCGTCACCGGCGAGACAGCCCCGGGAGGCAACGAATGGGACTTCTCCCGGCTGCTGGTCAAGAACCGCGCGCTGTTCCGCCAGCAAGGCGAAGCAGCGCTGGTGCACCACATCGTCACCGAGGACTCCGCGCCCACGACCAACGGCGCCGGCTCCAGCCTCCTCAAACCCTCGCTGACCGCAGCGTCTGCCCCTCCCCACTGCCTTCCCTCCCTACTTCCCTACTCTAATCCTCACCTCCGCCTACCTCGCCTCACACACCCCTCAACGCCTCGACACGATCTTCTTCTCCAAATTCTCCTCGTCCTCACTATCGGCCCGCAACAAGCGCGCCCATCACAGACGACGCCTGAAACTCCTCTCCCAGGCGCAGGCCGAAGACGCCCGAGCAGCCCGCCAAAACGCCTCCACACCAGGCAAGAAGGGTAAGAGGCAGAAGACGCGTATCACAAAGTCGACGCTCGAGTCCGCCTTCGCGACCACCTCAGCTACTACCTCCGGAGGCGCCCCGGTATCACCGGCCCGTCTACAATCCTCACTGCCCGTCCGTTTCCTCTGGAGCGATTAATAGCTATCTACCATGCTATAGACCCTAATCCTCCTGCAAACCCTATCCGTATGACGGCTGTGGCTGATGCGATATACGCGGAGCTGGCTACGCTCCGGCGTCTGCGGCTGGTCGTGCCTGCGGCGGGTCGGGATAGCTCTAGTCGCATGGGAGCGGGGGCTGGGGGTTCGGGCGGCGGTAATACGACCTCTGATGCTGGTGAGAAATGGTGTGTTAATGTCTCTGGCGATTGGATCGGGGAAATGGCCAAGGGGATCGGGGTGGAAGTTGGGGAATGGCTAGCAGGTGGATTGGATTGAAGACGGTCAGTCGACTATATGGGTTCATTCATTAGAGTACCCATTGCTGGCTTATATCCACAGAAGTGATGTTACATCATAACTCATGATAACGCGATGACTCAAAAAATAAAAGGCCTAGTTCTAGGCTCATATTATCCGTCATGGAATGCCAATATCCGGAGAATCTACCTACCAAACCCACTCGTCAACCGTAGCACTAGAGCAGACCAGTAGAGTGGGGGTCTGAGGCCCGTGCGATGATCCATCACCAGATTCAAACCGTAGCGAGGAAATAGGATTTGCGTATTGGTATTTCGTTAGAGGTGAAGAGACTTGTTCTCCAGTACGAAGGGAGAACAATTGAACCTTGCGCTCGTCGGAAGCTATTGACGCAGAATTAGTAGGCTTGCCTGAGATCAAAAAGGTCAATGACCTCACCGCTTGCCAGAAGGCCAAGTTCAGGACTGATATCAAAGTCGGGGATGACTTCCGGCGAAAAATCGGAGAATGAGAGATACGGCCTGGTTGAAGTGTGACGGGGATGATTGGGTCTTGGATTGCGCTGTAGGCCGTTAGGTGCGTACCGGATGTCGTACATTTGCAGCTATAGATATCATCATTAGCTTGCTTTCTCTTTAGAACGGAGAAAAGGGGAATCTTCATTCTTTGGGATGTAAAGACAAGGACATGACCGAAGTGCGTACCGAGTTTATCCCTGCCACGACGATTCGATAAGGGTCAAGGTTCCTGATCTTCGTGACTGCATGGGGGTGTTGTAGACGTGTTGCAGTCCCCCCGCTGCGGAGATCGTGAAGGAAGACGGTTGAGTCTTTCAGACCAGCAGCGATGACAGTCGGAGACAGCCATTCAACGCTAGTAACAAGTGCGTGAGAGGAATCTGTACGTCGATGGAAAATTGGCTTTCCGTTGGAGACATCGCTGGCGAACGGCTTCTTGGATAGAGTCCAATAACTTCCCAATCCTTCTAGAGTATACAGGCCATCGGAAGTGCCAATCGCAAAGAGTGCTTTGTCTCCCTCTGGACACGGTGACGAGCACCACAAGGATGACTCAGTACGAATGCGAATTGGATGGGCGACTAGTTTGGGATGAACGTCAATCAACGTTCGCTCCCCAAACACTGCCAGCAGGACACATGTACGTACAGAAAGCAGGCCAACGATAATCGCCGCCTTCACCGAGGTCAGGCAGCATACGTGGAGCGAGGAATGAGTCGCCATTTGGACCACTATCCATTGTGGCTCTGATCTTGTTAGCTGATTGATCCCTTGGTGGATTCTAGTCGGACTTACAGCAAGTATCCGGTATGGCTCAAGGAGATAGAAGAGAGCTGAGATTGTACGATGGCGTATAAGCATGCGTGTTACATCACTAAATCGTTTTGGGAAGAGCGATATAAACACATACTCTGTACGGCTCTCGGAAGAGCACTCGCTCCATCGTCCGATTATATGTCCATATCTCTTGGTCGGTGTCTGGAAAGCATACTCTGATGGAAGTGTCAATGAAGAAAAATGCGGTCAAACCGCATATGAGAGCATCAACTTACGAGACCGACGATTCACCACCACGGTGGCCACCTTTGGAAGCAATCAGCGCCGGGAATGAAAATACGAGGCCGGGCTTGAACTCACTGGCAATAAGGATGCCAGAACGGTTGTTGCGTAGCACATGCTTAATGGTATAATCACTTGGCCACGGTTCAAAACGATGCAGCTGTTTTCGACTGATTTGGCTAGCATATGTGAGACCTTGTTGCTCTTGTCGCACAGGCTTTGATATCTGTTGCGCTCCAATTTCTCGTTCAAATCCGAGAAGGGGACTTCTCACGAACGGCGACCTTCTGATTTTCTCCTTTGCCAGTCTCCGAGTGAGGTGGACTTTCCTCTGGCGTTTCTATCAAGTAATCAGTTCCATGGTCCATTTGGAAGCTTAAGATCAAATCTACAACCTCATGCTCGACCCGTTTCCTCTTGACTGCATCCTTTGAGTACTGTGCTCCTGGGGCAGCTTTATGACTAGCTTGAATTTTGAAATACTTCTTCTTGTCGGGATCTGTTTGGTATCAATGAGAGTCCAAGTCATGAGTCCCAGCTCGCAGACATAACCTTTGACTGTAGACCATCACGAGAGAACATTCACGTACCATAGTAGAACCCTGGAATCTCCCGATTCATGGTGCCGAGCCAAGGATAAGCAACGGCCAGGACTATGACCTAAGAATTAGGACTCCGGTCTATGCAGAGAGATTTCTTTGAATATACCCGAATTATGAAGATTATCAAATGAAGGTGAGCTGAGCTCGCCGAAGCCACAGTGATTGCGTTCTCATGGAGTGCAAATGTGCAGGAGTGAAATTTTTGCGTTGTTAGTTTTGTTGTAGCTTGACACTCAGAGAAGCATGTACTTCTCTCCAAAAATCTCTTTATTCAAGTTTATTTGCCGGCCGTGAAACTTCTCTGATATAGATTCATCGAAGGCAGCTGTGTGCCCTGTGGCCGCAATGACGTCCACCGCAGAAACCCGGTTACGTAAGCAGAAGTATTTGAGGAGCGTCTCCAATTGGCTGGATTGAGGCGTCAGTACTATTTCCTCACGCGATCCATCAAGGACAGCTTTTCATCAGACCGTACTTCCCTTTCTATGATCGGTCGCTTCAATAAGCCAGAAGGGAACACGGGGGATCTTCTCTCTGTACTTCAAATGCAGTCTTTCGTTGATATTACATTGCTGGTGCTCTTTTAGATGTGTTTCTATCATGCTTGAATCACAGGTGCTTGCGAAATTGACTTACCATTGTTGAAACAGACCACCGAGTATTTGGCTTCCAGACTGAAGATGAACCTATATCCCACAGATGTCAATGGAGGCACCGCGTATATGTGGAGTTCCAAGTAAGGATGGAAGATTCAGATAGGATGTAAATGAGCACTGTACACAGAAACCAGATGGTTAGACGGTGTCTTCAAAGAGGTAATACAAGACCTGACACTCAGTCGATCCATGTTCCCCATCCTTTCCTGCTTCGCCTATTCCATTAAACCCTGATTTCTATCTCTTTTGACTGAACATTGTGAAGAAGGAGATGATGAGGCCCTTCCTTTATCGCTTACGGTTGCTTCCTTCCCTGAATGGGTTGTCAGCGCCTTCCGCCATCAATCCCTCGCTCTGTGATCACTCGTTTGGGTGACTCCGTCAACATCTGTTTCTACTGCCTCTCACAGATGGTTTTTTATGGTCTATTGTGGATCGTTCTACGAGTCATATTGTATACTTCTATACGTTATACGTCTCAATCTGTCTACCTTTTTCTACTGTATTATCTTTCACAATGGGTGGTCAGTTCGGCAGGGACCCTCTTGGGGCCCTTCTGAGCCAGGAAAACGCAGTACCTGTTCGGAGGCTCAGTGGTGTGAACACCAAGAGCCCTCTTGTGGCCAGCAAGGAGAAGAAGCCGATCCCTACAGACGAGGACGATGATGAAGATGCCGAAGAGGAGAACATGGACGCCCTCATTGACGATCTCCAAACAGTGGATGGTGACGTTGACGTGGATGATGATATAGCCATTGACACAGGTGTCATTACTCGTCGTGTTTCCGATGAGATGCTACAGACAGACCCAGAAAAAGGTCTTAGCGAAATCGAGGCTCAGCATCGACGGAGAAAGTACGGCCCCAATCGGATGAAGGAAGAAAAGGAAAACTTTCTGCTCACATTTTTGTCCTTCTTCGTTGGACCTGTCCAATTTGTAATGGAGGTATGAAACCATCATGCTACTTATGTTCATCTCTTCAGAATGACGACTGATTCTGTGAGCACAGGGCGCTGCTGTCTTGGCCGCCGGGCTTCGAGATTGGGTGGATTTCGGTGTCATATGTGCGCTTCTTTTGCTCAACGCATCTGTGGGCTTTATTCAGGAATTTCAGGCCGGGTCCATTGTCGATGAGCTCAAGAAAACACTCGCTCTCAAAGCAATTGTCTGCCGCGAAGGAGAGTTCAACGAAATTGACGCCTCGGAGATCGTGCCTGGAGATATAGTCAGAATCGAGGAGGTAATGTACTACCAAAGCTCCAATGCAGATGAAGGATGAGCTCTGCTGACTCGAGAAGGGCACAATTGTACCAGCCGACGGCCGGATAGTGTCGTCCAGCCTTATTCAGGTGGACCAATCTTCGATCACTGGTGAATCTCTGGCAGTTGACAAACACAAAGGAGATACCTGTTACGCATCGTCTGCCGTCAAGCGTGGTCGAGCAATAATTGTTATTACCGCCACTGGTGATTATACCTTCGTCGGACAGGCTGCCGCATTGGTTAATGCTGCATCCTCTGGATCAGGTCACTTCACCGAGGTCCTCAATGGTATCGGCGCCGTTCTCCTTGTCCTGGTCATCATAACCTTGCTTGTTGTGTGGGTTTCGTCCTTCTACCGCTCAAATGGCATCATTACGATACTCGAGTTCACCTTGGCCATTACGATTATCGGTGTACCTGTCGGTCTCCCTGCCGTTGTCACGACTACAATGGCGGTAGGTGCTGCGTACCTAGCCAAGAAACAGGCCATTGTGCAAAGATTATCAGCGATTGAGTCTTTGGCTGGTGTCGAGATCCTCTGCTCTGACAAGACTGGCACACTGACAAGAAATAAGCTATCATTGTCGGAGCCGTACACTGTTGCTGGGGTTGAACCGGACGATCTCATGTTGACTGCTTGCTTGGCCGCCTCGAGGAAGAAGAAGGGCATGGATGCCATTGACAAAGCATTTTTCAAAGCACTCCGACATTATCCGCGTGCAAAAGCTGCGCTTACGCAATACAAGGTGCTGGAATTCCATCCATTTGATCCTGTCTCAAAGAAAGTCACAGCCGTAGTGCAGTCGCCCCAAGGTCGCCGAATGACGTGTGTCAAAGGCGCGCCTCTGTTCGTTCTCAAGACCGTCGAGGAGGACCATCCTATTCCAGAGGAGATTGATACTGCATACAAGAACAAAGTCGCTGAATTTGCAACTCGCGGTTTCCGTTCGCTTGGAGTTGCTCGGAGACGCGATCAGGGCAGTTGGGAGATCCTCGGTATCATGCCATGTTCCGACCCTCCGCGACACGACACTGCAAAAACCATCAGTGAGGCGAAGAGCCTGGGGCTCTCGATCAAAATGCTAACCGGTGATGCGGTGGGAATTGCTCGAGAGACTTCACGTCAACTTGGGCTCGGCACCAATGTGTATAATGCGGAGCGGCTCGGTCTCGGAGGTGGAGGAACAATGCCTGGATCAGAGGTGTATGACTTTGTCGAAGCTGCCGACGGCTTCGCGGAGGTCTTCCCGCAGCACAAATACAATGTTGTGGAGATTCTACAGCAACGTGGATACCTTGTGGCAATGACGGGTGACGGCGTCAACGATGCTCCTTCGCTCAAGAAAGCTGACACTGGTATTGCCGTTGAAGGATCTTCTGATGCGGCGCGCTCTGCTGCTGATATTGTCTTCCTTGCTCCCGGCCTGTCTGCCATAATTGATGCATTGAAGACTTCACGTCAGATATTTCACCGCATGTATGCATATGTGGTGTATCGGATAGCCTTGTCGTTGCACCTCGAGATTTTTCTGGGCTTGTGGATTGCAATCTTGAATGAAAGTCTCAACCTACAGCTCGTTGTTTTCATCGCCATCTTTGCTGATATTGCCACACTTGCCATTGCCTACGATAACGCCCCGTACTCCAAGACCCCTGTGAAGTGGAACCTCCCCAAGCTATGGGGCATGTCTATTCTCCTTGGTCTTGTACTTGCCGCAGGGACGTGGGTTGCGCTTACCACTATCATGAACAGTGGCGAAGAAGGTGGCATCATCCAGAATTTCGGAGAACGCGACGAGGTTCTGTTCCTCGAGATATCACTGACCGAGAATTGGCTCATTTTCATCACCCGCGCGAACGGGCCCTTCTGGTCATCAATTCCTTCTTGGCAATTGACAGGAGCCATTCTAGTTGTCGATCTCGTGGCTACATTTTTCTGCATATTCGGTTGGTTCGTCGGTGGCCAAACCTCGATTGTTGCTGTTGTCCGTATCTGGGTCTTCTCGTTTGGTGTTTTCTGCATCATGGGTGGTCTTTATTACCTGCTGCAGGGCTCGACGGGCTTTGACAATCTCATGAATGGTAAAAGCTTTAGCCGAAGCGTGAAACAGAGATCTCTCGAGGACTTCGGTAAGCTTACCTCCAGCCACTCTATTGATCGTGCATAAGACTAACTCCAACCAGTGGTCTCGCTTCAAAGGGTTTCAACACAGCATGAGAAGAACAACCCTTGAAGCTGTCTAGGCTCGATTTCTCTCTCTGCGTACAATTTCATGCCCTTTTGCAGCGCCACTGTAGTATTCCTGGAAGACATTGCTATGCAGCGGTCTCACAATTATACTTCCTTGAGGCCGTTTGATGGAGCCTGACTTTCCTTAGTGTTCACTCATGATAGCTAGGTCTCACATTGTTTCAAGTTGTCCAATGGTTACGGTAGTATTAGACAATTGCATGTCCGCTACAAATTGAAGGTATTCTCCATTGCAGGTTTCCGTCTCGAATCCAGATAGGCAAAAGTCGGCTCATCTCGTATTTCTCAATGTCGAATTTTTATATTTTGATTCGGGACGACGTCATCTATACACTTACTCTTTGAAAGCTCTGTCTGTACAGTCGTTTCGTAGGAGATGGATGAAGGACCCAAAATGGAACTATAAGAGCCACTGCTGTAGCCGAATATCAGGTCATATCTGGTTAGCACCAAGTTTGTAAGCTTTGCCTTAGGCTAGCCTTTTGTGGATAGCTATTCTGCTTACATAACCGCCCCTCCGCTCTACATGGAATTTCTAATGCGGATTTCGGATCTTCCCCTCGACGATAAGAAATTGCCCAGCAAATATTTCTGAAACACCATGATAATTCCTCAGTAGTCTTGTCTTTTTAGACTCGTCATTTATCACAACCATATCGCAGCATCGTGTATTTCGACAGCGTCAATGCCTCCTCGTAGGAGGCCACAGCCCGCTGCGGCCAGTCAGGCGCGATCTGCGCAACCTTCTGAGGTATGGCAAAAGTTTCTCCGCACAATCGTCTCAGTATCCTTGTTCGTGCTAACGGATCATATTGGATTCAAACAGTCTGCAGCTCCTTCTAGGAAAGGGTCTACTGACGCTTCTAGCAAGAGAAGACGTTCTATTCAGTCGAAACCACCTACAAACCCAGCGCCGGCCGCGGAGAACGTTGAGCAGGATGATCGCGCGGATGAGCCTTCAGGACCGACCTACCGTTATAGAGATCCCTTCGATGCCCTTCTCGAACCGTTCTACTATAACAAATCACTTACGGACCCAATCAACACTGCCAAGGATAAATGGAACCTGTTGCCGGCTTTCCTGAAGGTGAAAGGATTGGTGAAGCAGCACATTGACTCATACAACTACTTTATCGAAGTGCAACTGAAGAAGATCGTCGAGTCCAGCTCTACTATCCGTAGCGACATCGATCACACCTTTTATATCAAGTTTACAGATATCTACGTCGGCTCGCCGTGCCGTGCGGACGAGCCCCAGGATGTCACGCCCGGTGCTACCCCGTCGGACGTTTCACCGCACGAGTGCCGCCTCCGTGATACAACCTATGCGGCCCCTATTTTGGTCAATTTTGAGTACATTCGTGGGCGTCAGAGGGTTACTCGGAAAGGCGTGTCGATTGGCAGAATGCCAATCATGCTTCGAAGCTCAAAGTGTGTGTTGGCGAACAAGACCCCTTCGGAGATGACGGTGTTGAACGAGTGCCCTCTGGACCCTGGTGGATACTTCATTGTCAACGGTACAGAGAAGGTTATTCTCGTTCAGGAGCAGTTGAGCAAGAACAGAATCATCGTCGAAACCGATCCGAAGAAGGAAATTGTTCAGGCGTCCGTCACTAGGTGAGTTGTTCTTTGTCTTCTCGGCCCATACCGTTTTAGTTTCCCGCTTATCTAACCTGCCTCTACAGTTCGTCCAACGAGCGTAAATCCAAGAGTTATATTATCCTCAAGAAGGACAAGCTCTACGTGAAGCACAACGTCCTCAGCGAAGACATTCCCATCGTCATTCTTCTCAGAGCCATGGGCATTCACACGGAGCAGGAGATGTTGCTTTTAGTTGCTGGTGTCGACAGCCTTTACCAGGATGATTTTGCCATCAACTTCGAAGAAAGCATCAAATTGGGAATATACACTCAACAACAAGCGTTGGACTGGATCGGTGCAAGGATTAAGATCAACCGGAAACAGTCGTCTTATCGTCGAACTCACATTCAAGAAGCCGTCGAGGCCATCGCCTCTGTCATCATTTCCCACATTGAAGTCAAGAATATGAACTTCCGGCCAAAGGCGGTATACGTCGCTCACATGGCGCGTCGAGTTCTGATGGCCAAGAATGACCCATCTCTGGTTGATGATCGGGACTACCTCGGAAACAAACGTCTGGAATTGGCTGGGCAGCTTCTTGCTCTTCTTTTTGAAGATTTGTTCAAGAAATTTTGCTTTGACATCAAGATGAACATCGATAAGGTGTTGAATAAGCGCAACCGCGCTGAACAATTCGATGCGTGGACTGTCATGAGTATGCACAGCAACCATATCACTCAGGGCATGAACCGTGCCATCTCGACGGGTAACTGGAGTTTGAAACGTTTTCGCATGGAGCGTGCCGGTGTTACCCATGTTCTGAGTCGGCTTAGCTACATCGCCGCGCTGGGTATGATGACCCGTATCAGCAGTCAGTTCGAAAAGACCAGAAAAGTCAGTGGCCCCAGAGCTCTGCAGCCGTCTCAATTTGGTATGCTTTGTCCAGCAGATACCCCTGAAGGTGAAGCCTGTGGTTTGGTAAAGAACTTGGCGCTCATGACCCATATCACGACGAATGATGAGGAGGGTCCAATTAAAAACCTCGTTTTTATGCTCGGAGCTGAAGACATTATGGCCTTGGGTGGTAAACAGCTATACACCCCGGCAGTTACACAATTTCCATCAACGGAACGCCGATAGCACTTACTCGTCGCCCTAAATATTTCCTCAACGCTTTCCGCAGATTACGGCGCATGGGTCGTATCTCGGAGTTTGTCAGCATTTACATCAACCATCACCAGTGTGCAGTGCATATCGCCACTGACGATGGACGGATTTGCAGACCTCTCATCGTTGTTGAGAATGGCAAGTCCCTCGTCACAGCCCGCCACTTGGAGAAACTGCGTGATGGCACGATGCAATTCGATGATTTCTTGGCTCAGGGATTGGTCGAATACCTCGATGTCAACGAGGAGAACGACTCCTTGATCGCTCTTTATGAGAAGGACATTACAGATACAACGACACATTTGGAGATCGAACCGTTTACGGTGCTTGGAGCCGTCGCTGGTTTGATCCCGTACCCGCACCACAACCAATCGCCCCGTAACACATATCAGTGTGCGATGGGTAAACAAGCTATTGGAGCCATTGCGTCAAATCAGTTCCTTCGTATCGATTCTATCCTCTACCTCATGGTGTACCCACAGAAGCCCATGGTCAAATCACGCACAATTGAACTGGTCAAATACGATCAACTTCCCGCCGGTCAGAATGCTATGGTGGCGGTCATGAGTTATTCCGGTTACGATATTGAAGATGCCCTGGTTTTGAACAAGGGTTCCGTCGATCGTGGCTTCGGTCGTTGCCAAGTGTTCCGGAAGTACGTGACCAATCTGAAGAGTTATTCGAACGGTACAAAGGACAGACTCAATCCCCCAACGTACGAGAATGGTGCACCCATCAGAAAGCATGCACTACTTGAAGCAGATGGTCTGGCTGCTGTCGGTGAACAGGTAAATGCTGGCGAGGTCTATATCAACAAGAGCACACCCGAGCAGTCCAACCTATCGGGAATCGGCTCCGATGCTGGCCGACCAGTTCAGTATACACCGACGCCCATGACTTACAAGCTTCACGACCCTGCATACATTGACAAGGTCATGTATTCCGTACAGGAGAACGAGAACCAACTCGTCAAGGTTCTTGTTCGCCAAACCCGTCGACCGGAAGTAGGTGACAAATTCTCCTCTCGCCACGGTCAGAAGGGTGTCGTTGGTATCATAGCCGACCAGGCAGATATGCCGTTCACAGATGCCGGTATCAATCCCGACATCATCATGAACCCGCACGGTTTCCCCTCCCGTATGACAGTGGGGAAAATGCTGGAACTCGTCGCTGGAAAAGCCGGTGTGCTTGCCGGCCACCACGGTTACGGAACCTGCTTCGGCGGCACCCCCGTGGAGGAGGCCTCGCGGATTCTGATCGACCACGGCTTCAGTTACGGTGGCAAAGACTATCTCACGTCCGGTATCACCGGCGAAGCCCTTCCATTCTACGTCTTCACCGGCCCCATCTACTATCAGAAGCTCAAGCACATGGTGCAAGACAAGATGCACTCGCGTGCGCGCGGACCTCGCGCAATTCTGACCCGGCAGCCCACAGAAGGTCGTTCTCGAGACGGTGGTCTCCGTCTTGGAGAGATGGAGCGTGATTGTCTTATCGCCTACGGAACCAGCCAACTGCTTCTTGAGCGTCTCATGATCTCCTCCGATCGCCACGAGATTGATGTCTGCGAGCAGTGCGGCTTCATGGGCTATCTGAACTGGTGTCAGCGGTGCAAGTCCTCGCGGAGCGTCGTGAAGATGACGATCCCCTACGCGGCCAAGCTTCTCATTCAGGAATTGATGAGTATGAACGTGACTGCTCGCCTGAAGCTCGATGATGAGTTCCCCGAGTGGAAGGGAACTTAGTAATGACCTCCTCTCACTGTCTCTCGTTGAAACCGTCTTGCACGGCTTTGGTATCAGCTTTTGTACAAAAAGGAAAAGTTTCATGTGTTTGATGTTTGATGTCCACGAAAAAGTGCGTTGTCGGTCGTTTGGCGCTCGAGGTCATTTGATTATGTACTCATCTACCGCGTACATGTAGTTTGCATGCATAGCGCACGGCGATTTGGTTTTCATTAGATACTGTTATCATAGCATTTGGATAGAAATGGTCTTTGCAGGACTAGAAACTAGGAATGTGGATCCTTCCAAATGAGTCTTTTGTCTTCGTCGATGTGTAATTTTTTGAAACTGGAGTCTAGATCTAGAATTTAATTAAGAAGGCAACACAGTAGATAGAAATAACATTCTGTCGATGAGCAGTGCAGGACACAGCGGCCAGCATTAAAGAATGACTACGTTTGATTCGAAGGCAACCTGCTGATACTTGGTGAACCGAACCCTCTCCCAAAAGACGTCGTCATGGAGTTTCCTAGCCTCGTTCAGAGAGATTGGTAGGCTCTCCTTCCTCTCCGAGAACCGAACGGTGAGTTGCTGCAGCATCTGATCCAGCCCTTCCAGTTCCTGGGGTCGACTCCGTCAAAGGTCCAATCCAGTCTCTGGGGCGGGACATTGGCCGTCGAAATGATGCGGATGTTCGGGTCGACTAGGAAAAGGGAGAGCACCTTGACGGAGCCAGGCCTGGTTTTGTCAATCAACTCGCAGTGGTTCACACGGTGCTGGATGGTTGCCGGCACAATGATGACTCGGCCGAGGGGCGTTTTGATCCTGCCGACAGTTTGGACGGTAGATTCTCCGTCTTCCAGGCCGTAGACTTGTTTCAGCCAGATTGTGTCGTCCGGGTCGTGTTCGACCTCGGTCAGGCTGGCGGATTCAGAGATTTGCCGGAATTCCAGCGAGGGAACTTCCACGTTGTCGAGGTGGAAGACGTAAGCCATTGTTGCGGTCACATGCTCATTCTACGGTGACGGTCAGTAAAAGAGCGGCACTGGATCTTGCAATTGCGAAAGAAACTCACCATCTGCCCTTCGCAGTGATAGCCCGACTCAGTGTACGGATGATCAGGTGTCAGATCGTAACTGGTGATTCTACAAATCATTTGTAGCCCCCGTTTTCCATAGTCTCTGTTCAGTTCAACACCCTGCTCAATCCGGACCGGGGTCGGAAGATCCGGTGGCAGAAAGGACATCATCCAGGGTGGTACAGCCCAGGGAATGAATCTCCCAGCATCGGGTTGGACGGCTCTCCAATGCTCCATCCTCCACGCATCCAGTCTATCGTGATACTCTACTTCCGCCTCGCCGGGTTTTGGCTGAGGCGTTTGTTCCTCGACCTCTTTTGAAATGGGATGGTACTGGGCTTTTTTGTACTCAAGCCGTGCACGGGAGTGGAGCATATCCTTGAGCGGAGTCAGGGATGCATTCCACTGAGGAACTGTCATGTTGAACAGGTCCTCAATCAGCTTGTATATGTTGCGGTGACGCACCGGGTGTAGGTTGTTGATATAACTGATAATGTGCCACCTGCCGTCGTCCTTCAACTCAAGGTCAAATGGGAGAACCTGGAACCTGCGACTGAAAGGCTTCGCGTCGATGTCAGCGCGAGCGGCGACTCTCCAAGCCATGTCTTCACGCGTGATCGTCTCCGGAGGGACAGGGATCACCTCCCCTTGGCCCATGGTGTCCAATGCATCATCCAATCCAATGAGTCCATCCTTGAGAATACGTGTCCGCCCATACACAAGAGGAAAGAATGCGATCGGGGCAAGGTCGCGTTGCACATGGTCGCTCCCCGGGTTATAGAATTTCAATCCCGGTGGCACGTCTTCAAGAACTTTGGTTGCCTGGCAGAATTGAGCCTGAAATGATTCCGGCACATTGTGGTCTGACTTGGAAACGTCGCCGTTGTACAACGTGATGACATTGGTATGCTCGTAGATGACCGCTTTGAATTGAAGCTCGTCGATAATCCAGTCGGCCATGTTCTTTGAGATATCTTCCGGGCCCGCCATTGCTTCTTTCTTCCATGTTTCGGCAATCTCAGGATTGAATACCTTTCGAAATGTTAGTCGAGTTGATTCAGAAAAACAAGCGTGGCCGAATTGAGGCTTCGCATGATGGCAAGCAGGACGCGATTCAGCCGAGTCAGAAAAGGAGCAAACACACCTTTTTATGCCAATCAGGCATATCTGTAATGCGCTCCATCACCTTTACCATTCCTATTTCACGGAGGGTCAAAACAGGTTGACTGCGCTCAATCAGAAACGTTGATGAACAAATGCTGAATCCAGCTTGTCAGACTGGGTTGTGCCTTACTCGACGTCCCCTTTTGCGATATCCCGATCGTCCAGACTTGTTGGAAACAGGCTCCGGTTCTGGACACCATAGATGTTCTGCTCCATCGGTGCATAATCAAGCGGCAGGCCAAATCCAGGCAGTAAAAACTTGTTGTCCTGGATTTTTGGAACGACTATGAAGGGCTCCTGCCTGGGTGCACTTTGAAACATGTTGCTGGCGGATTCGAAATCTCGCTGCCACATAGACTCTATCAGTACACGTTGCGTTGAGATGATTTGGTCCTTTGCCTGACGATAAGAACTCTCCGGGTAGTTGTGGACACACACCTGCCACGCTGTCTATGAATCTCGTTTCAACTCAAGTCGCCCTTGACGAGGTCGCCACGACAATGTATTTTAAGACTGACTCCTTCACAATGAGTGCGCAGATCCCATGCATGAAGAATGGAGAGAAAATGATCGGACACACTAGGTTCATGACGTGTTGACATAGAGCTCAGAGTCATTGTGACTGTAGTATGATGTTTGCCTTGAACGGTTTGATTGACCATCGTCAGCCAGAGCGAGGATCTAGAGCGAGCCGCTGCTTCCCAAAGAGCCTGGCTGTCCTTCGCAACGATGACCGGACATAGTTTCTGATGGGATAAGTTGGCGGAATTCTGCTCCGTTTGCTTCGATAATGCTGTAGGAGGAATGAAGTCATAAAGAGTGACCAATAGGACGTTTTACCAGAGTGCGAAGTAAAGGGAGAAAAGTCAGAGACACGAAGGTTGCTATCAATTTTGGATCCGTGGTTCTTGCTGGAAGCCATGGTTCGATCAACTTTCCGGACTGGGAATGGGTTGTCACATCGGAGCGAAGTAGTGTGGTTATACATTATAACTAAAGCCGATTGTGCCAGATTCGATGAAGGCAACTTCAAAGCAACCGCAGATGCTCGGTAATGATGAGAATCTTTGACGTCTGTGTGGTAACGAATAGGCGACTGGGCTTGTTTGAAGCGCAAGGACAAGACTCCTGCCATAATCATCCGTTTATTTCGATGCAGGCGACTCAAGGTATGTCTTCACAATGTTCCAGTACCGTTCAGGATCCGACCTCATATGGCAGACATGCGGTGATTCAAGGAACTTCTCGCGCTGAACCACCCAACCTTTGGCCTGCGCGTCCGCGGCATGTTGTTCGACATCTCTCCAGTCGACTAGCTCATCCGCAACGGAGTAAATGTAGCAACGTGCCGGGCTATTATTCTGACTCGCTCCCCGGACCAGACCATGATCATTTATCGCATTTCGAGCACGGCTCACAGCATCAGGAGTCCGGGTGAGTCTTAGTACCAAAGACCCCACTGCCAGGACGGCAAATAGCAAGAATTTACTCAAATAGTGCAAAAGCCACATCTTGGGCAGCACGAACGAGAACGCCTTGAGACCAGAGGATATTGTTGCATTTCCAGGAGCGCTATCTATGATCATCGATGAAACACGCAGCGGTTTTCCTGTTGCTTTCTGGTACGCTGCAAGGAAATGGGTGGTGGAAGCGACGCCCCCATTTGAGAACATGTGCAGAAACACTGGACCTTCAGGAACGTCGGAGGCCTGGATGGCCTCCACAGCTGAAGCAAGACGGACATGCTGCGCCTTCTGGGAAGCGTGAAGCATGAAATCGTTTGAGGAACTGAGAATGAAGACTATTCTGGCCGAGGGTGCTAGGCGTCTATACTCGACAACATACTTGACTAGTGCGCGTGAGGAAGCGTTCATCCAGAAAGCAAGAACTATAACTCTGGGTTGCTTCCCAGAGTAACCAACAGCTCCAACAGGGTCTTGGAGGTAAACAGACGAAGAGAGTTTGACAAAAGGGGCCAGCGGATTCTCCTGAACTTTTGGAGTCATTGTGATTGTGGAGATCAGCGAGGGAGGTTTGCTTGGTCCCGACGGTATCTATGCGATAGCCTCAGAATAAGAAGGCAGACGCCTGACCGTCCACTTGGTCACTGGAAGAGAAATCCCAATTGGTATTTGAGGAGATTTGGGAGACACTTCTGTGATGAAGTGTTGTTAGTGTCAATGTGTCAAGCCGCACTAAAAGCTCACGCGATAGCTCCACTAGATACAATCTGACAAGTCGACGACACCATTATCGGAACGCGACGATGTCTCCGCGAATCACGATTGCCGCTGGTGAAGCAGAGCGAGAGTTTATCTTTGTTTTCAGAAGTAGAGGGTGGCTTTGATTAAGAACAGCAGCTCTCGCCAAAGAGATGGCTGCGGGTGACATAGTTGAGCCTCGGCAAGCTCCACCCGCTCTCGTGAGACTGCCGATTACAGCAGTCAACCAACACAGTGAAGAGACACCTATGGTGATCGCCTTTCCTGATGGAGAATTACGAGGAAAAATAGAGTAATGATGGGCGTCCATAGTCTAGAATGGAACAGAGATGAAAGAAAATGATCCCTATTAAACGCCGGCCAGCCTTGCTATGCTTGATATGAAGCCGTCTTGACTAAATCTCTTGCCGCCTTGCAGGAAGAAATGAATACAGAAGTCGTTAAGCATTGTATCTGAGAGAGTGATCGACCTGAAAATCAGCGCTTAGTACCGCCAAGGGTTCGCCCACTCCCGTGAGACTTCTGGTTGCGTTCTTTGCCCTTGTGACTTTCCGCATCACTTCCTGACGTCGGCGTAGCGGAGTCTCCTGGCTCTCTCTTCTTTCCTCGTAATGTCTGGCCTGTTCCCTGAAAGCGCGGCTTTTCAATGGCCTGTCCGTCCTCCCCACGCTTCTTGACAGGCTTTATTGCATATCCCAAAAATAGCTGGTTGTGTGGAAGCCTAAGTGGCTGTGGGCCATTGGTGCGTCTAGCAGGGGGTGGGTGCTGAGGATTCGTAGCTCCTGGCACCGGCGTTGAAGGCTTAGGAGTCGGGCTTTACTACCCTTCTTCGCATTCAAGCGCTGCCCTCCAAGAAGAAAGTTTGATGATACTGCTTTTGCACCTGCAGCTGCGTCGGTGGACTCTGGAGCAATGGCCGCGTAGTTGATCGCTTGAGCCATTGTCCCGTGCGGATGAAGTAGACCCCAGAGGGGAGCTTACCGCTTACCCCACTGAGGGGTGTGCTGGTGCCACTCGGGCGTTGAATCTCTTCATACCCTACTGGCGGTGCAAAATCAACCTCTAGATCAGTTTCCAGCACAGAGACGGCGTTGGTGTTGTTCGATGGCTTGGTCTCGAGAACCGCCATTTCGTAGACCTGGTCGTTATAAGCAAAAGTGAAGACATCGCCCTTCGTGAGACAGGAGAAATTCCGAAAAGCGTTTTCTAACACTGCTTTTGGATCGCTGATGTCAAGAAAAGAGGTTGACTGGGCTTGAAGTTTAATGAATTGGCCGGGAGGAAGATCGGTTGATTTGACCTGAACTAGGTCACCAGGCTCGAGTAGTAAAGTTTGCATGAGCTATAGAGAGACCAGAAGATGTCAGTGACGGCTGTGTCGATATATCATTAAAAGAGAACATGGTCTGTCTAACCCAGAATGGCAGATAAATTTTCCCCTCCTCAGCAATGAATTCCAGAACACCCGCATGCGTCATCCTCTCTTTTGCACCATTATGCAACTCGAATAGCATGGGATATGTGATATGTAACCTAGTTAATTTGTCTAGAGCACTAGGAGGCATGATCACCTTGCCGCCATGGTTGACGTTTTCTCTCTCTGGACCAGGCAACATCGCGACGGGGTAACAGCGGTAATATTCATCGAAGCGGCGTGTAGCGGCTCCATGACGGAGCATGGAGGAGCCTAGGACCCCCTCCATCGGATCGTCGTCCCAATAGCCAGGGCGAAACTGAGGTTGTCAGGTCTTGTGAAACTTGCAGCTCAAAGTTGAGCTGAACGTGAGCTTACCATTGTGAGGGTTGCGAGTAGGGAAAGTTCAAGAAGATTGGACTTGAGGAGATCTGAATACTTGGCTCTATCTCACAGTATATCCAAGTCGTTCTCTGAAGGATAGCAAAGCAAGTATGACAGAAATCTGTACCTTGGAACAGTAATCCCCCACTGTTGGCCGTTGGAGATGGTGGAAGCTAGAGCAGCTGCTTCTTATCGTTGGACCAACAGTGACGCAAATGCCTCCGCAATGATTTTCCGAGCCGACCCCAGAAAAGGCAGGAAACCAGCATCAAGCAGCAGCTCTAATCAAGCTCATAGACTCAACTTCCATTATTTCTGAGTTTCTGGGATGTCTACTGCTCCTGATTTGATAATCTATCTCTTCATTTTGAACTAGTTTTGCTCCTCATCGTCGTTTCCATCAAGAATGATGTCCTCTCAACCGCGCCCGAAGCGGGCAGGTGAAGACTTTACGCGCACACACCACCATGATGAAGACGATCTGAACGGCCCATCTGAACACAAGAAGCCACGCTTCGATCTACGGAATCCCTCCAATCTTGCACCGGACGCGCTCGACGATGACCCGGTATTAGACGCAGACGAGATCGGCCGTCGCGGACAACAAGTGCGCCGCAAGGCCGTGAACCTCGATGGCTACGATTCCGACAGTGAAAATGAAGGGTTCAGCGCGCGGATCGAGGCCAAGGCGAAGAGGAGTCGCGCGAAACACGACGCTGAAGACGATGACATGTTCGCGGAGCTCCAGGAAGATTTCGGCGCCGAAGAAATAGATGCCGATGAGGCACTGAGGAAGAACAAGAAAACCGTGCGTTTCTTGCGAGATGATGAGATTGAGGGTCAGGTGGCTTCATCGAAAGGTGGAGTGACATTGCGCGCGGATCTGAACGCAACAGGGGACACAGTCGAGGAGGATGAGGTGGAAAGTGAGAGCGATGTTGCAGACGAAGACCGTGCGAGGCTCGAGGAGGGCATGGACGAGGAATTAGGTGCCGGAGCTAAAAAGAAGCATGCGCCACTGCTAGATGCGTTCAATATGCGTGCCGAGCAAGAAGAGGGTAAATTTGATGATCAGGGAAATTATATCCGAAAAGCAGCAGATCCCGACGAGATTTATGATTCTTGGCTGGAGGGAGTATCGAAAAAGGATATACGGCGCGCCAAAGAGGCAGCAGAGAAAAGAGAAGCTGAGAGAAAAGAGAGAGATCGATTGAACGACAGCATTCTTACGGCCGATGCACTGAGGACCCTAATAACTCACCTGCAACGGGGAGAAACAGCTCTAGAGGCTTTGGCAAGGATAGGCAAAGCGGCTCCAAAGAAACCGAAATGGCAAGCCAAGAAGAACAAGAACCGGTCGAAGCAAAACGGGCCCAACCAGAGGATACCGAAATGACGGAAGACGACCCCAATGAGGCTTCTCGAAAGCAGGCGATAGAGACCATTACCGGCGCGGCGGATATCCTCATGACACGGGGACAAACAGATATCTACGACACAGAGCGTGAGATGCTCAAAAGACAGTACCGTCAAGAAACAGGCGAGGACTGGGTCGATCCTCCCTCGGAGTCCGCTGCTCCCACCGGTGCTGAAGAAGAGCCTGTAATGTGGCAATTTCGTTGGTCTGACGCTCGAGACGGCGGTGTCGAGCATGGTCCATATGACAGCCAGACAATGGAGTCTTGGAAGAGTGCTGGCTATTTCGGCGAGGGCGTCGAATTTCGAAAAGTCGGCGATACAGGAGACTGGACGAGCGAGGCCGCTTTCCTATGATAATGATTGAGTCATAATCCTAAAAACGAATCACTATGTGCAATTTACGAGGCGGGATACTCCTCTGGGAGGGCATATCAACATCATGATTATCATTGAAGTAAATATTCTTTTATTCCCAGTTCGAAGCCCAAAACCAAACAAACCATGCACATGAGCTCGAAGAAGCGCCAGCCTTATCCTACATCATAAGATATGTAAAACAAAAAGGATCAAACGAAAGCAGAGGATAGAGAGCCAGAGCAGCGCTCTCGGAAGCAGCACCACAGTGCCATGTCGTATTACCTGATTTTTGGTGCAATCTTCTTCACGGAGCAATATGACCAACGCTCCTTATGAGATTTCCATGGCATCTCCATTTGCAGGAGCTGAAAAGTTCACAGCACCTTGATCCCCTATGAACCGCTGTTCATATGCATTGACGAACTTGACACTCCTGGCAGGATCGTAGAACAAGCGGTAGCTGCGCTGTACATCGTCAATGCTAACTTCTTTGGCCTTTCGCTTCTGACTTAGGAGATGAGAGGTGGTGATGATATTGCTAGCATATCGGAGATTCGATTCCTCGCCAATCTTAGTCAAGAGAGCCAAAGCGTCCGCCGAGAGGTCGATCTCTTCTTCCTGTGCTCGGATTGCAAGAATTTGCCGGATTTCATCGGCAGAGTATGGCTGCGTGCTGACAATGACAACACGGTCGAGGAAGTCAAGGGGTAGTCCATGGGGAGAGGTGTATGTGGTTCCGCGGATCCGCGCTTGACCACGGTTGCTGGCCATGATAACAATGGGCGCAAGCTCCGCCTCCAGGGCGCGGTTGATGTAGGAAAAGCATTCAATATCGAGCATGTGCACTTCGTCAATGAACAAAACTCCAGGAATGATTTCCGCCTTGCCCTCTTCCTTCCATTCAGCCACCTTGGTATTGATCTGATCTCTGACCTCGCTTCTAATTTCCCCGGTGTCACCAGAGAAGAGGGCCAAAAACCCTTGCGTCCGTGAGTTGATGACATCGATCTCATGGAGACTGACGGTATGTACGATTTCCTTGCGGACCTGAAGTTCTCCTTCAGGGCATTGGACGAACTTGGTATCGGCGCCCATCGCATCATAATCTCGAGAACGAGCATAGGAACGTCCAAGCTTCGTGATCTTTCCCGATGACTTGTCAATTGAGATAACATCTCCGGCCATCACACGCTCCTTTGTCATTGAGTCAATCATTTTGGTTCCCATGTCGTAGATCGTCTCCATATCGGTGGTCTTGATCGTGAGTTTCCCTTGTTTGTTTCCCTACACCGGTTAGCAACCGAACTTCCAGAGAGGAGAAATCAAGAATCTGCACTCACCCCAGTAACACTGCGATCGATTTGGATTTCCACAACTTCACCCTCGATGATCTCACTTTCCTCCTTGATTCGGACGCCAATAGATTTCCGGAAGGCTTGTGTAAGTGCTTCGGTCTTTGACATCTCCATAGAGAAGATCTCAGAGGCTGCGAGCATTGTGAAAGGGACGTCGGGTCCAAGAGACTGGGCCATGCCCATGGCAATGGCTGTCTTTCCTGTGCTGGGAGGGCCTGCGATGAGAACTGCGCGACCAGCAATTTTGCCCTCCTTGACCATTTGTAATATAACCGCGGCCGCCTTCCTTGCCTTTTCCTGACCTACAAGACCCTGAGAAGATGTTCTAGGTTGAAGCGAGTCCGCATCGACGCCAAGTCCCCTGATATGCGAATGAGCAGCAATGAGATTCAGACCACGGAGCTCCTTCGTCTCCGCGACGGTTGAGATAGGCTGTAATATAAATCAGTCATATGAAAGGGATGTGAGCTCTGGTAAGGTTACTTACCACGGCCATATTGATTCGTAGTTCAGCTAAGTCTCCTCTGTACCGACACTGATACCAACTGAAACGCGCAATCCTAGCTTCTCAGTTTGCGAGTGTAGATAAAAGAGCTGTTCGGGGCAGAAAGGCACAGTTTGAGAAGCTGCCCCGCTTACCGCCCGGCAGAATATTGTGACCTGTCGAAATGCGCCTGTCTTTGTCCATGCTCGCTGGCCAACGATTCACTTTGTTTTATTACGACTGTTTGCTCATTTTTCCAGAAAAGAAAAAAGTCTGCACAGTCTGGATTTCCCTCACCGAGGCAGCCAAACTTGCCGTCTACGCGCTTACAACGCGTCGATGTCTTGATCCTTGCCTAGTTGAGGACGACATGAGAGAAATCAATTTTCTGAGATACAGTTGCGCACAAGCTACATTCTCGCCTCTAACTACCATCAGATGCGGGCTACACATGACTAGAGACGGGCACTCTCATAGATTAGCCCTCTAGATGTGTAGATGGCAGACAAAATGGATGTCGACAATCCAAATACCCCCACCTCACGCGATCCTCGCCTCATTAGTCGAAACAGGCCAGCGCCAGTCAGGCCAGCGTCTCTAGATACTGGCATATTGGGTTCTCCTAATGGTCATAAGTTAGGCGTACGACCAACGAACAATCCTCCGCCTATTGACAGGCAAGATGGGTCTCCTGGAGATCAATTCATTCGCACCCTCTCAGAATTGATCAAAGCTGCTGTTGACACTGCTACTCGAGAAGTCGAAAAGGATAAATTGCTGAGGAAGAAGGACACGACAGAGGGTCTGCTGCGAAAGGCAAAAGCTGCGCCAAATTTCCCATCAACCACAGCATTTTTCCAGCAAGCTCGCAAGGATGAAGATTCTGAGTTGACACGAATGGATGAGACTATCACTAAACACCAAGCCCACTATCGCCAGCTAGAAAATTCTCTCACGACCAAGTGGGTGCCTTTGCTTCTGCGCAACCATTCTGATTCGGACGAGAAGATAAACAAACTACGGGATGAAATTCGGGCGCTCAAGAAGCAAGTGGGAGATTCGGAATCAGATGCGAGTCGTGAGAAATATCAGTTGTTAGAGACCAAGATGAAGGTGCTTCAGGATCGTGTTGTCCTGCTCGAGAAGACTTCCGGCAACCATGCGACTTCTATCCACGCTCAGATGAGATACGAAAAAGAGATTAAGGAACGCGTTGATAAATTGAGTTCAGATATTGCTCAATTCCCCTCTCAGGAAACCGTACTGAAACACGTTTCATCGGAAGTTGAGGAGTTGAAAAGAATCACTATGGCCTTGGATGCCAAGCTGAGCTCTTTGCAAAAGGCACAGGAGGAATATTCGGGTTCTCTCGAAAGAGTAAACAAAAGTATCGATGCGCAGCAGAAACGTCTCGATGCCAGCAACGATAATTCTACTACTTTTGAGAAGAAATTCAAAGAAATCCAGGAGCGTCTGGCCCCAATAGAAAAGGTCCAGGTAATTCCGCCGGAGGGTCCAGCGACAGCTCCAATTGACGCATCTAGTATTGAGTTGCGTTTGAAGAATGTCGAAGACAATCTATCCAAGATTCCCAGACCTGACGCATCCTTGCAGTCGACAGTCCAGAATTTGTCAGAACAACTCCAGCAATTACAAAGTCTTCAGGCCATGAAAGACGAGTTCCATTTCGCAGAAATGGAGGAGATTAAGAAATCAACCGTCGATAAAGCCGAGATACAATCATTGAAAGACAGCTACAGCCGCCTTGCCGACGAAGCACGGAGAATAAGCCAGTTGGACCGTGCAGGAGCTGTAGATCAAGCTGAGATACAGTCATTGAAAGACAGCTACAGCCGCCTTGCTGGAGAAATACAGCAAATGAGCCAGTCGGACCGTGCAGGAGCTGTAGATATACAGTCACTGAAAGACAGCTACAGCCGCCTCGCTGGAGAAATACAGAAAATGAGCCAGTTGGACCGTGCAGCAGCCGTGGATAAAGCTGAGATACAATCGTTGAAAGAGACCTCCAGCCGCCTCGCTGAAGATATGGAGAAAATGAGCCAGTGGAACCCCGCAGCAGCTCTTCAGCAAATTCGCACGACAGACGTGAAAATCAACACAATCGACATGGCATTAAAAGATTCCAATCGCTTACTCGAGAGTGTGCGCGTCGGCCTTCATTCCCTGGAGACGCGTTACAATCATCTTTCCACTGAAATGGTCGTAAAGAACATGGTCGTTGCCATGCAAGAGATGTACCCCTCTGCAGGCCAATTGACAGATCAGATCACAACCTTGAGAAATCAAGCCGAGAAAGAAATATCATCTCTGAAAAGGACCATTGAGCAGCTTGTTCAGGCCCAAAATAGTCAGGAGGCTTTGGTAAACCGCCTTCAAGACGACGTCGGCCAGCGTTCAGCAGAAGTAACCCATCTCAGGGAGTCCTTTGGAAAGGTAGCCCATCAGGTCTCTGCTCTCACTGAACAGCTAGAGGGTGTACGCGCTCTGCCAGACAAACTTCAGCAATTGCACGCCAACTTCGACTCTCTTACTGAGCAATATCGAGAAGACATCTCTGAAATTAAAGACCATCTTAAAGGCAAAGAGTTGGCCGATGGTCAAAACAAAATTGAGTTGGATGAATCCTTCCGCGAATTGAAAGACCAGGTCCAAAACTTATCCAGTGGCCTCAACCAGATGAAAGTCGTGATGAAAGAAATCACCTTAAATAAAAAGGATTTGCAATCCCTCGATGATCGCTTCCGCCGCTTCGAGGAATCCGTGTCGGCCGATCATCGGGATTTGTCAGAGCAAATTAATGCGCTCAAAGATTCTTTGGAATCCCAGCAATCCATAGTGCAGGCGCTAGATTCTCTCCCAGCCAGTGGGATACAATCACCGAAGCGTGAACAGAGCCCTGCAGGATCAGATGCCGCCCCACTCCCAAACTATACTGAGATGGCCGAGGCCAATCCTGCGCTGGCATTGCGCGAGAAGAAGAAAAAGAAGAAACGACCACGTCCTTCAACCATATCCGACGATGAAAATGAGAGATCATCTGGTGCTAGAAATGAGTCTCCCATGACATTCTCTTCACCAGTTCATACATTGGACAATGAAGATGCATCGCCCTCGGAGAGCAAGAGAAAGTCCAAGAAGAAGAAAAAGCGCAGGTTGATCACCGAGGGACCCATCACCATAGATTAGTCTTGATTCCTCGTTTTATAGTTCAGCGTCGGTCTTCAAGCATTTACTGCGCCAAGCGATCACGATACTCACGACTATTTTATCCTTGCACAGGTTGGATTATCTTCGAGATACCTCTTTGCGTGTCTTGCTGTATGGAGTCACATCATTATTATTTGTATCACTTCTTTCCTTCTTTGTGTCTATTCCTTTTAATACATGTGTCTATGAGTAGATCTTCATTAATCACTCTGAAAGTGGCACAGAATGTACAAACATATACATAAGCACAAAAACACCATCCTTCCACCTCTATACGCAAATAAATACTCTACGGCAGATCTTGCAAGAACTTCACAACAGCTGGAATATCCTTAGTCAATAAACTGATAACCCAGTGAACATTAATCTTACACATACCTTGCCTGAAAGCCTCTGGATTCTCCGAGATCAGCCAATGACCTGCCTCAACATCCGCTATCTCAGCATTGGGAAAGAACTTCTTGATGACAGGAACCGTGTCATCGCTGACATACTTGCTCTTCGTGCCTCTGACGAAGAGCGTCGGCCCATCGTAAGTGACGGAGCCCGGCTCGCGGAAGGGGAAGTCAGCCATGGCAGGAATAGCCGGTCCCAGCACCGACAGAGGGATACGGAATTTCATCTTCTGACTATCTTCCGCGCGAACCAGGTTGGTCAAGAGAAATTGACGGATGGGGAGGGACTGTGCAATTAGTGTGAATTTACTGTTTTGATCAAGGACCCGGTCTGAGCGCAAGAGGGAGAAACTTACCTCCTCGTATTCTTTTAGGAGCTTGTCGGCATCCGACTGCTTGGTGACTCCTTGTGCCTCGACCTCTTGCATGCCTTGCACGTACTTTCCGAAGTCACTCTTGAGAGGAGCATTGATAGGAGCATTGTCGACGGGTATGAGAGCCGAAACTAGATCCGACGATTGCAAAGCGACTGTCATTGCAGTTTTCGCTCCCCTGTTTTCAGGAAGAGTTAAGTATGGTCCGGCCATTCTGGCAGCCCTGGAGAATAGAAACATACATGGAATGACCAATCAGGACACACTTGGCCAGATCGTGCTGGTGGATGAATTTCTCCACATCTTCGGCCATGACGGAATAGTTATGCTCGTTGTGATGGAATGAGTGGCCATGATTCCGCAAATCCTGAAGACCGTCAGTAATTTCGTCTACCTTAAGATGCATTGAGAGACAGACCAGAGTGAAGACCTGCCGTTTGAGGTCACGTGCAAGGACCCTGTGAGGTCAGTCAGTCAGTTGATCACGGAAGGGTTAGAGTCTGCTCGTCAGGGCCTTTAACCTACTTGCCAATACTTCTGTTGTTCTGTTTCGAGCCGAAGAGACCGTGCAAGAAGACAATCGGATTTCGACTTGCTTGTTCCTTTTCTGGGCCGACAACCTGGTACGAGAGCTCTGACGCAAGCGCACGAGACGTCGAGAACGCTCGGATGGCGGGTGCAACCCTCATTTGTATCCTTGCGAACAACATTGCGGAATGATGATGAACATGGAAGGTTGTATAGAAGACAAGCCCGTCTTCGCAGGCCGCCGAGTCCGAGGAAATTGATGACTAAGCCGACACCTTCGGATCGTTCCAACTAAGGAAAGAGAACGAAGAAAGTGATGTACTACTCCATAGTCCATACTATGTGTTTCCAAGATACTTTTTGTAGATTTTGATTAGACTAACGCCTATCATCTCTTGCTAGCGTTATACACCAAGCGATAGTGTGTTCAAAGTCAATCTCCATACGTCCCAGCTGAATCAATGCTTTTTCGCTCTGTGGGATTTCTTCGCGTTCCAACTATTGTTTCCACAAGATCAAGGTCAAAACGTCACGTCCAGGGTAATAAAACGAACATCCTCCACCAGAGAATACGGTAATATTGTCTTAGGCACATTAGTCTGTCTCCAATTTCAAGTGCGAGATTCCGGCATTTCCTAGATGACGGCTCTGACTCTAACTACTACCGCTACACTGGCGGACGTTGGTTGTTTAACGAGGCTCAGCAGCTTGCAGCTCGCTATGTCCGGTTCAACATTAGGCCATTAGTAGCTATCGTTTCAAGATGTCTCGGCTAGGAGCCTCCATCATGCATCAGAATTGAGAAACTGCCGGAAGGCAACTTTAATAAGAGTCTTCTTCTTACTATGGCTAATGGATCCCAGGTCGTCGCCCGGTTTCCAAATCCCAACTGTGGTATTCCGCACTACACAACCGCCAGCGAAGTCGCGACGATGGATTTGTTTGTGCTCAAAGCACTTTTCGGTTCAGTCGAGTTCTCTTACAATAACTATTTTCAGGTGAGCTTGGTATGCCAGTCCCGAAGGTGCTCGCTTGAAACTCGCGCGCATCGGATAATCCAGTCCGCGCAGAGTACATCGTTATGGAAAAAGTGCCTGGCTCTTCTCTTGCACACGTCTGGCCACAATTGAGCAATGGACAAAAGAGGGATATTATCCAGGCCATTGTTAAGTTCGAAGCTAAAATAGTCAACCTCCGCCTTGGCGGCATTTGGTTCTCTGTACTATTCCGCCAATATCCCAAGTGGGATCAAGCACCTACTAGCTCTGGGCTTGAAGGATACTTGTCAACGCTGGGTCCTCGGACCTACCACTGACCGGCGCTTTTTCGATGATGGAAGAGGAGAGCTCTGTTTGGATCGGGGCCATTGTAAGTTCAGCCTTTGTTTCTCTTGCTGCATACTCTGATTTGAATAACTGATTTACTTCAGGGAACACTGCAGAAGAGTACATAACAGCAATCTGTAATCGGGTGACGGAGGCCATCCGGAACGCAAGGCGGCCCCTCTGACCTGAAGGAATTGTTGGCCCTGAGGGGTATCAACCTGATTGTGCTCTCAAGCTTTCGGTGTGCCGCGACGTTCTAAAGGTTGTCGATTATATCCCGCCGCATGACGACTGTCAAGTGCCTGTTCTGTGGCACAAGGACCTAAATCTCGATAACATGTTCTTGGACCCAGAGAGGCCTACGGAGATTGTGGGGCTGATTGACTGGTAGAACGCCCATGTGGTGCCCCTATTTGATCAGATTACGTATCCTACTTTTCTGGACTACAAGGAACCGGAGCCCGAAGGCCTCAACACACCTACTCTACCGGAGAACTTTGAAGAGCTTGATAATGACGCAAAGAAACATGCAAGGAAATTGCTTGTCAATCAGACCTATACAAATACTACGATCTTTACTCCGCTTCTCTGAATGTGCCTGCGTATCGTGCTTTGAGATATCAGGAGACGCTGCAGGGAGAAATTGTCACCCTCGTTGGCATAATCTTGAACGATGGAGAATCCGCCCTACAAGGACCTCCTGATGAAACTCGCCAGCACATGGGATGAGCTTATCAGCAGCAAGGGAGGTCCTGCGTGCCCTCTAGTGTACTCCGCTGCAGGCATCGAGCGCCAGCAGGAATTGGAGAGAAAGTGGGTAGACGGGATAAGACTAATGGACAATGTACTAGAATCATTAGGCGGAGCTGTTCGCAGATGGGACGGTTGGATGAGCCATGAGGATTATGAGGCACTCAAGCAAAAAACTTGCTGTTGTTTGAGAACAGTTCATTGAGCATTTTGCTGGCGATAATAAAGAGGCTGCTGAGATGTGGGCATCAGCATGGCCTTTTCCGTGAGGGTTGCGACCCATCGTTCATCCCGGCAGATGTCTCAAGAGTCAATAAGCTATTAGTTAAATGCCACAGGGGCTGCCTCTAGCAAACAAATGCCAGAACCCAAGCTTGCTAACGACTAGTGTATCATAAATAGCCAGAATGAATATGAGGAGTTAAGAGGTATTGTTTCTAGTAAATCCATTATGTCTATATGCAGTTGGAAATGGTTCACTTAACATTATACCATTAGTAACTTAGCTGCATTAAACGTCCGTGTAAGAGTGGGTAAAAGACAATCATAAAACAAACTACTGGATAGGTAGGTTGTATCAATGTTCCCTAAGAGTAGTACTGATTCAGGAAATATATGATCACTGAAAACAACATTCACTTTCAAAAGCTAGGGAATGTGAATGAGACTACCCATGACTCAAACTGGCTGAATTCTCTATTATATAAAACCATTATTCACCCTATTCTTTCTCTCTACCCATCTAGCGAGTAGTCTCCAAGCTCTTCCACGGTCGAAGATGAATCTCTGCGTCTCTACCTTGAGTTTCTTAGACTTTGGCATCAACAGTGCCCAGGTAAGGACTCTATAAGACTGACGTCATTCTTACTGTTGCTTACCACCTACTAGTCATGTAATTCCTCCCTACGGGAGACAACTCCGCTGCCTATGGGGCAGTGAGCAGGAGAACTCCAGCTCCCGAGGGTCGTCTGATTCCGTAAGACATTGAGAACCCATGAAAACTCGTCTATTGGTACGGTAGCTTTGAACGCTAAGCAATACAAGAAATACAAGCCGACTAAGGTAGTGCTCACTCAGCTCGCCGTGGTCAGTTACAGGATATATATACAAGGACAGACATAAATCATGGTACGATGGCGCTGGTTTCAAATGGCCGACTCAGAATCCGTGACTTAAGCATCCAGAAGTGGTGGCACCTTCTCGCAGAGATATTCGACAATGGCGTCGGGGCCCCGTTCGACTTGGAGACCGGTGGGAATGGCATGTAGCTTGATATCGGGCTTGATTTCTCTGGCGATCTGGTGGATCTGGCGGGCTTCCTCGGCGGTCCACATGGAGGCGCTGAACTATAGCCGGACAAAACACATTAGCTCTGCAGTCGCAGGATCCTGGAAATGCAATGAAGGAAGGATTGTGAAATGCGGAATATATGAGATGCATGATAAACGGCATACCAGAACGTCAGGCATATGCTCCTTCACCTTAGGAGCAACCTCCTCGATTTCTACATTGATGAAACGATCAGCACTCCTGTACCCCGATTCTTCTCGGCGACAAGACGCTCTTACTCTCGCAGTTGTCCACGTGAATGATGGTATATCGGTCCTTGAGGGTATCGGCAACACGTCCGATTAGACGCTTGGCTCTCTCGGGAGCAGTGTTGACAGTAACAAGACGGAAAGGTCCCTTGGGCGTGGCCATTGTGACGGTTGATGCGAGATGAAATTCGATCTAATATAACGGAACAGGTGTCTTTTCGCGAGCAGCGATTTCCCAGCTCTTTAAACGAAGGGAAATCTTGAATACTCGGAGATAACGACGATGTTTATCTGCGAAGTAGTAGTTTTATCCGCATTGCCCCTCAGGAATAATGGCATCCCCACAATCCAACGTGGGGATCTCTGGGTCTGGTGGACTCGGCTCTAAAAATGATCCAATTACATTGCGATATCTAAACTCATTCAGTGTAATAAAAGGAACACTTGACCTTTGCAGCTAAGTTTAGACTTCTTCAACGGCAATTCCTCCGCTCCCGAGTCCCATCTCCCACTTTTCTGAAGGTACCCCTCCTCCAACATCCCCGCCTGCATTGTTATCGGCACGGCTCCGAGTCCTCAGCAATAATGCATCCGAACCGGTGTCGGGGTAGAAATGTCCCGCGACGGGCTTTCAAAAGGAGTATGGGTTTCACAAGATCACTGAGCCGTGTTTCTTCCTGAGATTATTCTTGTGATACCCGCTTCAGTCCATCTAACCTCATTGCTACCCTCGAAGACCATGTCTAAGATTGCCTCCACCTTTTCGCGTACGTTCTATCCACGCATATTGGGATTTCTACAGCGCATGTTAACATCATATAGGCCTTGTGCGCTTTGTTCCAAGATCCAACCCTGCTAAGATCCTGATCGGTGAGCCAGTAGATCCGCAGGTGGATGTTGGTTTGGCCGTCTACCAGGGCAAGGATGTCTCCGTACGACCATTCACCGGCACATCTGTTCTCAACCCAGGCCAGAAGACCGACACAACAGAGACAATCGAGCGGATCCTTTCTCCTCTGGCGCAGAGCGAGGTTGGATCCATTCGATGCATTGGATTGAATGTAGGTCGCAGAACTCTTAGTTGGGTGTAGCTGGGTGCTGATCCTTTGCGAATTCTTTCTCTATTAGTATGTCTCGCACGCTGCAGAGATGAAGCTGGCTATTCCCGATGTACCAACTCTCTTTCTGAAGCCGTCCACCGCGCTTGCGGACCCATGGCCGGCACCGACTATTCTTCCCAAGATCACACAGGTCGACAACACGGGCGATTACGAGTCAGAAATGGTCATTGTCATTGGCCGTGATGCGAAAGATGTCAGCGAGGCAGAGGCTCTGGACTACGTTCTTGGTTATACCGCCGCCAATGATGTTTCCAGCCGGACATCACAGATGAACCAAAGCCAGTGGTCTTTCTCCAAGGGCTTCGATACCTCATGCCCCATTGGTAAGCTATCCCGACAACTCAAAACACTAGGAACGGTTGAGCTGACCTGAAGTCCCTGATATCAGGACCTGTCCTTGTTTCCTCGGCCCTTATCCCTGATGCCAGCAAGCTTCACATCCGCGGCTTGAAGAACGGCCGAGTCATGCAGGACTGCCCTCTGACGTATGGAAGCAACATTCTATGAACCCACTGCTTGTTCCCACGCTGACTCGTCCTCCAATAGTGATTTGATTTTTATCGTCCCCCAACTCGTCAGCTTCTTGTCGCAGGGAACGACTCTACCTGCCGGTACCATTATCCTGACAGGCACTCCTCCCGGTGTCGGAGCGGCCAAGAACCCCAAGGAGTTCTTGACGGCAGGTGATGAGTTCGCTGTCGAACTACTCCCTCATGTCGGAACACTGATCACGAAGGTCGAGCACCAGGAATGATTCGGAGAATGTGTCCGGTAGAATCGTCGATGACCAGAAGGATTGGACATGCTATCCGCATCGTATAATTCTCACAAAACGAGAAAGAAGCTGAGCCAAAGGCCAACAGCATCAATCGAAGTCCTGCGAAGAATTGGATAATTGCTAGGTGTATCATATGCGTATTTAGAATGCATAATATTAAGAAACTAAGACCTTCTTCTTTCGGGAAAATGCTTGTTACGAATTCCCCACGCGCCCAGACCGTCACCGAACTACTTGTCTCCACACACTACGGAGTACGCGTCCATCCATTCATTGCCGACACTATTGCCACACACCACTAAAAGCCGAGTGCGGTAGCCAACAAAAACAGATTGAATGCTCCGTATAAAATGGTCAATCCATCGCCCGTTTCAAGATATAGACCAGATTATATTCTCATTGTGAGATTATTTCATATCTTGCACAACGGTTCTAGCGACCTGAGACTGCTATGAGTGAGTCACCATTCGAGAGGAAATTCGCATCGGCAATTTGTTTCTGCTGATCTCAGACTTCCACGTGGGTATATGTTTATCCCGCGCGGAGTTAAGCCTGTCCGCCTTGTGGATACCCCCGGGGGAACATTGTAACTTTGTTTATGGTTGGCATGTTGCAGCGCTGTATGCCTGAGGTGTCAACAATGACATTCTCATAGTTTGGGGGAGAGTCGTGGGTAAAGCTCCGCGATTATGGCAGAGAACTTTGCGCCTGCCTTCGAAAACCGAGAAATAATTGTCGCTTTAACAAACTGTTGTCTTCCTGTAGATAAAAGTTGAGTTGAATAAGTGTTGATAATCCCGACCTCCCGAACCGGCGTCGGGCAGCCGTAAAAGAGGACTATATATGGTCTGACTTGACTTCCCCGATGGTCTCATGTCGGTCTGCATTCGGGAAAGGAGGTCAGCTAAGCCGAAATCCTTTCGGAGTATATACTAAATGGTTGTTATGGGAACATTTGGTCTTCCGCGCCTTTTCGGTGAATTTCTTCCATAGTTGTTGTCTCCCATTTACTTCTCCAATTATTCTATTCGCGTGTCCCACCTCAATAGGTACCCGTCCCAGTCTATCATCTGTTCTGCCCTAAAACAATCTAATATTCTCAATCAAAGCGTTGCTGTTTTTATGATGAGAAAGGTGAAAGTCCTTCACCATTGGCTGGGACGCCATTTCTCGCCTTGCCAGTGAACGATGATCGTCGGGATGATACTAGCTCCCACAATCAGAGCACAACCGACTCCAGCACTGGCAGCGACTCCAACATTCTCAAACATAGCCGGAAACCTGTATCGCTGTCAGACCTTGCGCAACCGACTCAGCGAAGACGCAACTTACCAGAACGGCCCAAGAAATCCCCAAATCTGCCGAACAAACGTGATGAAAACGCCAACACTTCCGGCTTCTTCGGGATAACAGTCGACGGCGAACGTGATGAGCACCGTGGTCACTACCTGGTTGCCAGCGGCTCCAATGGCGATGCCGATGATAGGAGCAACCTCCCAGCGGTTCCCGGACAATTGGGTACATACAAGGAAAACAATGAGACCGACAATGGATAGGATGTACCCAATATAGCTGAGCCACAGGCGGTATTCCGGCTCAGGCCTCTTACGAGTCTTCCGCTCTCGCTGTCTCATCCACAGATCAGACATCCTGCCACCAAGTTGCTCTCCCAGCACCGATCCAATGATGGGACCAAGGAACTGCAGCCCCAGCTGTTCTGGGTTAAGCCCCCATCTGCGTTCCAAAAGCGTTGGTACCTCAACTGTGGCCAAGACATTGCTTAGGCAGAAGACCATGGCATAGGCTGCAGCGGGTATGGCAATGCATGGTTGCATGACCATCGTCAAAGGCTTGACAAACTCATACCACATAAAGGGAGTTGGATCGATCCGTCGCAAAGAAAGGTACTCTCGTTTCCAGGCGGGCTCTTTCGGGTTTTCGTCGCCGCCGATGTAGCGGGTTTCCGGCCCGAAGAAGAGATACAGAATGAACTGACCGCCATTGATCTGTGATGAAGGTCAATAGCCGCTTGTGAGCTGTGTAGTCGATACGTCCTACTAACCATTGCCAGCACCCAGTAAATCCACACATAACCAGCACGGTGCGCCACGAAGCCGAAGATAAATGGACCGCAAGGAATGCCAACTGTGACCATTAGAGTCCAGATTCCCAGGTATTTGGCGCGATCCTTCTTGAAAGTTGTTTCCATCACAATAGCACTTCCGATGGCTTTCACAGAAGTCAGCCTCGACCTTCTTCACACACGTTTACACAAGTCTTACCGGAAGCCGGGGAAATGAAAAAAGCTTGCAAGGCCCGACAGGCAGCGACCGATGCATAATCGGAGCTTTTGGCACATCCTATGTTGCAGATACAGCTGCAGATCAATGAGAGCAAGAAGATGGGGCGACGTCCGTAACGTTGAGACAAGGGTTTCCAGAACAATGGCGCTCCGCCCAGAATCGCAATCTGAAGGGAGGTAAGGTAACTCGCTTTGTTGATGGAGACGCCAAAATCCTCGGCAATGCTGTTGGAATTCCTCATCAGCAACTGGACCTTCATTGGCCGGCTTCAAAGAGTATTATCAAGGAGCGTACATGCTGTAGCCTGGGATGATTCCGCTTGCGGCAAAGGTACCCATGCATGCGTGAAAAGCGACTAGGATCAGATTCGCCATTTTCTACCAGTGTAATAGCCGATGGTTAGTATAGGCCAAAGGTGGTACATCCTCCATTTATCATGGTCAAAATACTGTCGAGGTTACAAACCTTCCATGCGGGCCAATTATAAGGATCTGCAAGGTCCATGCTGGGAATAGGATCGAGATCTAGAGTGCCGTGATGCTCCATCAGGAAGTCCCGATGGGATCTGGAGAGACGAGAGGCCACTATATCGGCATATTTGGAAGGGATGCCAGTCTCTGTGCTCTCCACGAGATTGATATCGGCCTTCGCAGGCACAGGGGTCTCTAAAACATCATCGTCCGCTCGGTGCGGCCGTAGTTCCATAGACGTACTCATTGCTCGAACGGAGCCTTTGCTTCTCTGCAAAGACTCTGAGACCGAGACCAATAGATGTGTTTTTAGTTGTTGAATAGTCTCGCCGGTGGCTTTGACTTGTTGAACAGTTGAGACACTGGGAGAAGGGATGGTACTAGGAGAGGAGAAAAGATGAGGAATTACAAGGATGAATAATATCGAATCATGCTAATACCATATGGAGTGATGATTTCTAGCCGAAAGAATGTGGAAATCTACACGAGTCGTACTAACGGCGAAAACGACCTATCATCTGGCATCCTGACTTGCTCTCCGGGGTAATTCCATTTTTTCCCAGAGACCGGCTCAGTTGGGGAACTCTCCATGAAGTAGAAGACGCGGATTGCGGAGGACTCCCCACGGCACATCATCGAGACAGGCGAGTAAGAAAGCCGGATAATTGACAGTCCCGGTGTCGAGACGGCAGTTTGCTGGATATCGGCGAGTCCATTGATTGGACGAACCGTGCTCAGACGTTTGACTCTGGCTAGGAGGACCCATAGCAGTCGTATTGTGGTGTCACTCAGCCGACGGGTTCAAAGATGGACCTAATTCCACGTCGCACTGTTCGCATATCCCCGGATACTAATCAATGCTCTCGATCAGTCAATCAGCTCAAGCTTGTATCATGACCGTCAGGATACTGTGCATGATATGAGGCCTACAAAATAAACGATTAGCTAGCTTGCTGCTGTGGCACCAGAAACGGCAGCTGACTAGCATAGTTGCCGATGCCCTTTGAGTTCGTGAGGCGAATCTTGGCTTTCCAGGGCTTTCTCGGCGCGATGGGGTTTTCCCTGGGCTCTGTTTCTCTGTACCTGACCTCCCCGAAGTCGAAGGTCGCTTGCCGAATTCTGAGCCGATGATTAAGTCATCAATTCAAGACTGTTCACCAAGTGGGATGATGCCAGCGGACTTCGTATAGCACAAGAAACAGAAAATGAGTTGAAGTGGCCAACTGCGATAATGTAAGATATGACAAATGGAATGATTAATTTTCGTAGATGTGATCGCCGTGCAGGTCATCGGGGCCAGAGCCACGGAGAGTTGTTGCAGCATTTGTTTCGAGAGTTTATTGTTGGGCTTCTGCTTATCTAGTAGGACCCGAATTCCTGCCTGAGGCGTGAGGGAGCGTGACCTCAAATTTGCTCTTATACACACACCGTAGGACACACTATTGCCACAATCCCCACAGCTATAATGTACAACTTCCCCACGAATGTCCGAGGTCGCTTTGCCCCCGATTCCCATTCTTCATCGATTCATTCATCCAGACAGCCGTGTTGGGTGATCACGATAATGTGACTTTATCATCAGCGTTTCTAACTAAAGGTCATCAATTATCACCCACATCCTTAGTCATGCCCACCACAGCAGCAGCCATGAAGAGCTTAGTGTGTCGAGTCTGTCATAAGGCCTTCTCCAAGGCCGAGCATCTGAGGGTAGTTACGTTCCATTCTCACATTCTTGTGGGGACTCCGCTAATTGCATCAGTAAATAGAGGCATGAACGTTGCCGTAAGATAACTTCTCCGCCTTGCCCAGTCGCACGTTACTCGATTACATGATTGACATTGTTCTCTGCGTACTTGAAGGCCCTGACCGCTGACTGTATGATGTAAAAGATACCGGATCCAAGCCGTTCGTGTGCAAAGAATGTCGTCGACCATTCGCCCGCCAAGATGCTCTCACTCGTCATGAAAAGCTTCATACTCGGGCAACAAGCTCAACTCCCACAATCAAAGTGACCCAAGGGGACAATTCTATACATCTTCTTCCCCAGACTACTACCCCAGATGCCCGTCCTTGGGATTCCACAAGGGCTGTAACAGACGATGCGGCACCAACCTCTGCTCCTAGTCACACATGGAACACCCCTGCGTCTGAGCAGCAGCCTGGACTCCAGCAGGCTGCCTTAGATCTCGATTTCTCCTTGATATGGCCTGACTCGGAGAATCTGTTCCACAGCATCATGTCGTCAGATACGACGGAGCATTGGCAGATGCCTCTGGGAACACTTCCATTTCCTTCCGTGGTGCAGGACGTCAACGCGATCAATTTCGGTTCTCCCAACTCCTTTGATGACCGCAGTTCTTCAATAGGCACGATTCCCTCGGGTGGTAGTCACCAAGCTGTGAGGGATGTGACGGAAATGGTGACCAGCTCAGTAGGTATTCTGACAGTGTTTTCTCCTACTCGCAGAAGAACTGATTCTTCTGCAGTCCTCTAGTGTGACCGCGGCCATCAAGGCAACCTCAATCACATCGGTCTTTCTCGATGAATGTCTGCATATGTTCTTTGTGAGGTTCATTCCCACCTTTCCGGTCTTGCACCGGGCGACCTTTGTGTTTCGCGAGTGCACTCACCCTCTTCTGCTGAACGCCATGGCGCTTGGCTCTTTGTATATCGGGCCGAAGGATTCAGTCGCAAAGGTAGCATGGCGCCCCGTCCTTATCTCTTAGACAGCGCTGAACCTTATTTACAGGGTGAGGCCTTATGGCGACTGGCTCATACTGCTGTTGCTACTTCGGTAAGTATTGCAATACTTTGCCATATCCCTGGCCCGAATACTGACCCTTCCCAGTGGCAGTCATTAATCACACACCGCGGACCCTACGATGCCTGCAAAGGTGTCCAGCTGCTCGTCACAGCTCTTCTGGGGCAGATCTATGGTGCATTGTCAAAGGTGGGTTATACTACTGTCAGGTGATGCGTTTACCAACCCCTAACATCTTGGAATTGTCTCTAGAATCGAGTGATACGTACAACAAGTCAGGTCTTCCGCCCGCTTGGCTTTTTCTGGGCAAGGCACTGTGGCATGCTAGACAGCGAACCCTTCTCTGTGGAGCACCTCCCCTTGCCCAGTGCTTCTCATGCCGAAAAGGACCACCAATGGCGAGTATGGGCTGCGAGAGAAATACAGCAGCGTGCTTTGCTCGCATATCACATCTTAGATGGCCTTGTGGCGCAAATGTCGGGCGACGGGGCCTCTACACGACATGTCGCCAATCCACTTGTCCTCCCTAGCAGTGAGGCTGCGTTTGACGCCAGTAACCCTGACGAATGGTTGGCCCACATGCGTTGTCAAAAGACCGAACAGCCGTCATTCCGACTGGTGTTTCGCTCTCTATTTCCTCCAATTGGCAGTTTTCGCCCCCTCGACTATCAGTTTTCTGCCTTTGCGCTTCGTGTAGTCTTAGAAGGCCTGCAGTCTCTTGTCTCAGATTCGGACGAAAGCGACGTCGCAGCTGTTGGTGCGCCTGGTCGTCCTGACGTGCGAAGGGCTTTGGCCCAGGTCCACGAAACTATCAACATGAGCATCCACCTGTCCGCGCCGGAACGACTAGAGGTCCTGTTACGTTGGCATACCATCTGTCTCGACACCATGATCAATTCAACTGTGCTTTGTAGGCACGTTTGCTCACGCTACAACATCTCCCAACAAGTGTCTGGAGGATCTCGGACACTGAGGCCCGGATTCGACGCGGTGAAGTGGGTGAACACAGAGGACGCTCGCCGCGCCTTGTTGCACGCTGTTGCCATCCAGGATATTATTGAGCAACTACCCAGGGGCCGGGCCCATGTGATCCACATGCCGAGCTCTCTCTTTGCAGCGGCAACGATCTATGTGGTCTTTTCGCTAGCAGGCGTGGCGGCCATTCACCTTCCACGGACAATTGTATGGCAGGATGCTCTTCTCTCGCTTTCTGATCTTTACCTCGGAAACGACAATGTCAGGCCGTCGAGTACATCCGAGACTCGACGCTTCGTTGAACAAGGTCTGACCGACTCCCCAGCAGGTATGGGTGCGGTTCGGAATTTGTTGTATGAGATGAACTCCATGCAAAAGCTGTTCCGCTGCCTCATCTCTCAATGGGGAATCGCACACGATATGGAGGAGATTGTGGACCAGTGGATCAGATTATGCCATTGAGAATAACTGTGACTTATGTATATATGATCTGTATGTATATGTGTGACGAGGAGAGGGCGGAGTTAAAGGTGCTGTGAATACCCTCGTTTTGTATGTATTTATCCAGTGTCAATATTGAATCCTTAATAGTAGGAGTATCAAATTATCATCTAGTATCAACATCGAATTCTCATCTCGTATTGATAGCGAATGCGATCTAGTAGCGATATCGATACCAATACTAGATGATGATTCAATATTGATACTGGTTAAATATTCAAGATCTAGTGGTTGCAGAGATACAAGGTAATAGTCGTCTCTGCCAGAGGTCAGTATGAAAGTTGTGGTGATATAGTTATATATCTCCCACCTTCTCATCTTCATCCTCATCTCCGCAGCAGAAACCTACAACTCAGAGATCACTGGAGAAGATCTTCTATGGTATCTAGGTCCTTTCTGAGCATGTTGATGGTATTCTGACAAAAGACTTCATCACTGTCTACCTGGGATAAAGGATCACATGTCTGTCATCACGACAAACACAGCAGAATGATGTGGGTGGGCTAGCATGGATCCCTTGGGCGGCCAAGACCCCGTACAACAGTCGAGTAAGGACGCTAACGCGCATACTATCTACAGTTGGCGATCGAATGGGGTATCCATCATGTTCTTCATCGGCTATGGCTGCTCCTTTATTCCTGGTGCAACATCCTTCCGTCTGGCATGGGGTCTACAATTCGTCCCGTCTGTTCTGCTGATGGTTGGCTTGCCGTTCCTGCCTGAATCGCCGCGTTGGTTGGCCAAGGTCGACCGCACCGAGGAGGCGATTACCACTCTGGCTCGAATCCAGACTGGCGGCAATGTTGACGACCCGCTTGTGGTTGCCGAGTGGGAGGAAATTACGACGGTGCTCGCTGCCGAGCGACAAGCAGCCCCGGGCTGGCGCAAGTTCTTTGTGAACGGTATGGTATGTGGCGCCGTACCATGGCCGGTTTCACTGTCCAAGCCTGGCAGCAGCTCTCTGGAGCCAACGCCATGACATATTACGTCGTTTGCGTCTTTCAAATGGCAAAGTAAGGTCTACATCTTTTGGAAGCGTCGCGACCTGAAGGCTAACTGGGTGGCAGCTTGTCTGGAAACATTCCTACTAGTTTCCTCCGGTATCCAATACGCACTATTCATCATCTTCACCTCGGTCATCTTCTTCTACACCGACAAGACGGGCCGACGTAGCCTGCTCATCTGGGGAGCACTGGGAATGGCTGCCTGCCACTTCGTCGTCGGCGGAGTCTTGTTTCGGGAACATACGTCCCAGAAGGTGTAGACGGCAACCTGGATGTTCTAATCCAGGTGTCAGCATCCAGGGCCCACAGCGCGTGATTGCATTCTCCTACCTCCTGATCATCATCTACGCCCTGACCCTGGCGCCCGTTGCCTGGGTCTACGCAGCGGAAGTCCGGTCCATGGAGACTCGTGCATCAGGAATGGTGAGCTTCTTCCTCGTCGACTCATTTCGGGACTCCACTAATATACTGACTTGCGTAGTCTATCGCCGCCTTCGGCAACTGGCTGTTCAACTTCGCCCTCAGCCTCTTCGTGCCCCTTGGCTTCGCCAATATCACTTGGAAACTGTTCATCGTATTCGGCGTCCTCTGCGTCGGAGCCGCGATCCAGGTGTTCTTCACGTAAGCCTTTTTTTTTTTTTCTTTATTGAAATTGATTCAGTGCCCTTCCAGCACGGGACCATCACTAACCGTGTCCTGAAGCTACCTGGAGACCTGCGGCAAGACCCTCGAAGAAGTGGAGGAGATGTTAGCATACCAAGCCGCAGAGCTGCGCCAATCTGTGACCCCGTGTAATTCGAGTATATAATTAAATATGCTACGTAATATAATAATGAGATAGAAACGAAGAGTGTTACTTTCTTCACTCATTTGGAAGATTGGTGAAATGGTAGAAAGATACCTAGTCATCGATTGCATAAACTCCCGCCCGTCTATAGGTATGATGTAATGCAAAATGAAACGCTGTGAAACAGAATAGATATGAATCATCGTAAGAGACGCTGAACAGGACAGTCATGCAATGGGTATCTCTAGCCAGTCTGGTGCGCATGGGAAGATGCAAATAGATGAACCACTGAGAGAGAAAAACAAACAGAAAATGCAGAGAGGGGAAAAAAAGGAGAAAAAAAAAAAAAAAAAAAAAATCAGAACCCATCAACTTAACGTAAACATATCCACAAAATCAAATGCTGCCTGAGAGGAAAGAAGACGGAAATCAATATTCCGATGCGGATTCGTACTCGGAATCCCAATCCAGATCCACGAGTCGGTTGACAGCCTTCGTGAAAGCCCGGCCTAGATCTCGGTAGAGATCGTACAGCACCAGCCCGAACTGCTTGTTCGTCTGTGGTTGGTCCCGATGCTCCTCGTAGTACGGCGCGATGCCCTTGGCGAACTGCAGCCAGAGATGGTTGACGATGCGGTCCACATTCTTCCGTGCCAGCATCGCAGCGGGCGATTCTTTCTTCTCGGAGGGTTTGTCGCCGGCCGCAGGCTGAGCCTGAGCCTGAGCCTGAGCCTGAGCCTGGGGCTGGAGCTGGGGGTGCGGATCGAGATCCGTACGGGGCCGCCGCGCGGGTCGCTCCGAGGCAGCGCCGTCGACGGCGTCGAGCGGCCGCTTCCTGTCGCGAGGGTTAAAGATTCCAAGGCAAGGGAAAGAGGGATCCGGTTTGGGTTTCAGGTCGTGTGCTGCTGCTGATGGGTAGCCGAAATCGCCGTGGAGCAGGACAGCGTCGAGCGCCAACTGCCGGCTTTCATCCGGCCGGACCTTGGACAGATGGAACGCGAGATCCAACCCCTGAAGCAATCGGCCGTCCATGATAACGAATCGGTGCGGAGGCATTCCCCAGTGGGTCGGCTGGCGCTCCATTTCCTCCGGGGGAGGCAGATTCTTCGCCCACTCGAACGTCCGCTGCAGCTTGAGGGCGCGCGCGAGTTCCGCCTGCTCGAGCTCGGACTGCTGCACCTTGTCCTTGCGCTCTTTCTCCTCTTTCTGGAGCCGCAGCTCGCACCGTCCCATCCAGTCATCGATGTCGGAGGCCAGGTCCTCGTCCATGTCGCCTAGATCGGGGAGGGTCTTGTCGGCGTCGAATGCTGCCCAATAGGTCTTTCGCTTCTCGACGTACTGCTGCATCCGTCGCCGGCACGACTGCCAGGAGTACTTCCGACCGGTGGATTTGAGGAGTAACTCTGAAATTTTCATCCAGAAGCTCTTGGGGTACTCGTGTGCGTCGTAGCGGTTCATGTACTGCTCGCAGAGGCGGAAGAGAGACTTCTGCTCCGCGAGTGTCAGGCGTTTCCCCCGACCGGAAAAGTCCTGTGGCGAGCCGTCGTTGCCATCTTCGTCAGTTGGCATTGTGGCCGGCCCCGATTGATTGGGGGTTGGTAATTGAGAAGGTTCCTGTATCTGTGTCGAGGGAACGACCATGGAGGGCGGTTTGGCGGTCGAGGCCGAGGGGTTGTGGTGGTGGTGATTGTGGTGGTGGTGGAACGGGGATTGCGGTGTGAGGCCCGACCGATGCTGGAGGGCAGGGCTGAGCATCATTTTGTCTGTGATTTATTCTTCCTCACCCACACTTCTTCCTGTTGACTCCAGCCCAGCCGCCCGGTCAAAATACAAGAGTAAAAAAAAAAAGGAAAGAAAACAAAGAAAGAGAAAAGGAGGAATGAAAAGGAGGATAATAAAGGCGAGAGGCGAGGATATACGGAGTCCGGGCGGAAGAGCCGAATCGGGGGGACCGCAAACTGGGAAAATTCTCGCGAGTAGAATACTCCGTAACCTTTCATGTATCTCGTTTAGAGTACGGTAGACTAGCAGTATTTGCCTCCTGGAAATTTTCCGACTAAGCATCTAATAATAATATCGATACCCATATTATTAAAAATACTTATCGTCGGGATTTCCGCGTGGCACCGCGTCTTCGCGTACCAGAAACACGTGATGCTCGTTGAGTGAGACTCACTGAGAGACAATTAAAAGAGAATAAATGCAACTTAAAAGAGAATAAATGAAATGAATGTCCTCGAGGTTCTATCAATCAATTGTTGGGCAAAACTCGAAAAGATGAGCAAGGTTCAGGACAAGGCAACTCCCTGCATAAAAGCAAAGCTGCCCCGATGATCTTATGATCCATGGTGAGAACTCTCGGTCTTGGAATTGGGCATCCGATCGTACGACAGCCATGGCGCCTTGAGGTGATTGATTGATTGATTGATTGATTAATACGTACCTAGAATCAGTCACCGATTTTTGGATCCGTTGACTAACAGTAACCGCAGGAAGACCCATCATTATCTCATTGATATCGTCATCGACATCTTTCACGGTTATCAGATCTCTATCCCCTCCGATCGGAATGTCTTTGGCATAGTAGATACAATTCCTCAACTTAATCGCCGAGGATTTCTATCTACCCCTTTCGCGAACTTTCATGCCCCTGAAAACATTCCAAGGACTTTGTCTAGGCCAAGCGATCGTCAATCGATACGGAGCCGTCACAGAGTACGGCTAAAATACTACCTCGGCTGCGATCCGCTCCATGCACTCCCCTTTCCGAGCGCAGATCTGGTTCGTCCGCAGGACTCAACTACTACCTTAGGGACATCGAGGGGTTCAATGCTATTTTGCCTAGGCATTAAACTTGATGTTCATGGCGCTAGCAGAGTCTCTTTGATTAGCCAATTCATCATCCTGGATGAATTCGTGTCCAATAGACCCCTGTCTATACACCTATGTCGTTATTTCCGGTTCCTCGGAGTACTAATATTGGTAGCCTGAGAGAAGGAGGAGGACAGTCAAACTTGCATTTGCGGTTCTAATCATTAAATGCTGGAATTTTGATTGTTGATAACTGACATAGGCAACACTGGATTACTCTAGTCTCAGACTGCTGAGGCCATACATACCTGGAGACACCCCCTAGTCATTGAATATCCCCCGCTTCTCGGCGGTTGTTGTCTTGCTTGTACTTATGGAATCGCGACCTTCTTCCTCCCCGTTACTGGAAGCGGCCTCTGCCGTCTCTCAGGATGAAGAAAACCCCAACCGGTTCCTGGCCAGTATCTCCCAGGAATGGACTACCCAGCAGTACGTTTAGCGGACTTGCGCTGTGATGAACGATCTCAGCAGCTTAGAAGCTGACTAGACCAGCTCCGTACTAGGAGGTTTCCTACACGCGTTGATGCTGTCCGCCGCGAAGAAGTATATCGTTACGGAGCTCGGCGATGGACGGTTTCCCGATCCAGTGCATGCATTCGTGCAGTTCCTCAGCATGGTTCCCCCTGGTCCGGTCTCGATCACCTGCAAAGTCTTGCGTGTTTCCACACGGCAGTGTGTGGTCAATGTGGAACTGGTACACTCTCCTAATGCACTGTGGAAGAAGCCGGAACTTCCGGCTACTGTCGGCATCTTCACATACGGTGACCTATCCAAGGAAAGAGGTCTCTCGCAGGCCAGCGACCCTGCGTTGAGAATCCCTGCTCCTCCGCGTGAGACCGAGTGCGTCACAATCGATGACCCAGTGGTTGATTCAACTCCCGTCACACGGAAACTGCACTGGGTAGCGCCGAGGTCGGCAAACGGGCTCTGGGGTCATCGACTGGGAGGGCATCACCGCGAGGTCTGGTTATCCTTCCGCGATGGGTCGAAGATCTCCGACTCTCTGCATCTAGCCTTGCTGTCAGATATGGTGAGCCCACACGGAATCTATCGCCTGTTCTGGAAGCTAACCAATTGACTCGAACAGCCCCTTCAGCCTGCCGCAACCCACCAACCAGGCTTCTACAACCGCTACGCACTGTCCACGCTCTGCATTTCCGTGGAGTTCAAGCGACGGCCCGACCCGTCCACGCAGTGGGTGATGATCCGATCGAATTCGCACATGGTGGCGAACGGCCGCTATGATGTAAACCTTCAGATCCTGGCGGAGAACGGCGATATTCTGGCTCTCAGCAATCATGTCCTGTATATTTCAGAGCTTCGTCCACCAAAGGGGGCTAAGATGTAGCCCGGAATCTTTTTTTGGCTTGGATACAGATTTGTCTCACCTTTTGTCTTCGTTTCTACTTGCCACGCTATATATGCATAATCACAGGAAGAACCTGCTATCCAGCACGAACAAGCCACCCTGTGCTGATTGCTGCAATCCGTCCATTCGATCCGGACATCACACGGGCTGCTCCGAGATTGTCTACACTTGTCTCCTTTATGGTACTCTCCTTACCGCATGATCTTCATTGGTAAAATGGGAATAGGGCTTAGGGCTAGGGCCAACTTTTTTTGAATGAAGGACAAGTACTACCAAGAACAGGCTTGAAACATCGCATTGAGGACCGGACTTTTCTTTTAAACTAATGCATGCACAAAACGGCAAAAGTACGATGTACCGGCATAGGTTAACTACTTCTGTATGACTCCTCTTGTTGTGACATATCACATCTTCCCTGCTTCCGCCCACCTAATGTACTTTCATCACGCATAGTAAAGCTCTAGCCGTCCATCCATCAATGCAGCTCGTATTTCCCCTTTTCTTCTTACTACTTGGGTTTGGTCACCGATCACCCGCTCCAGCCGCTATCCAGTCAGTACTCACGCTGCCCCACCATAGATATCATCCATGTCGTACCCCCCATGACCGTGAAAGTACAAACCCGCCATATCGAACTCATCATGTTCGATCGCAGACACATCGATACCCCCGCCAGCAACATGACCGATCCCTCGACCTTCCTGCTTCACATCGCCGCCAAACGGAGACGAGAAACTCTCAGCAGCATCCTCCATCTTCATCGATGCAATTGACGCAGATGATGCAGTGGGCGTACTCGCACCCGTCAAATCATGCACGACGGCTGAATTACCCCCCAGGCCCGTTAGTATCTCCGCCGCCTCGCTCTTCACCTTCTTGTCTTCCTCGGAGAGCCCGTCATCGAGGAAGATCGCCTCCATGAACGACATGCCGTCGCTGTTGTTGCCGCCACCACCTCTTCCCTGGCCCGTTTAGTCGGGGTCGAGAGCACCTGACTGATGGTGCTCTTCCTGCTCCTCCCGGTAGAAGAAGAGGGCTTAGTGATTCCTCCGCGTGGTCCGCGCGGGGTCCGAGGCGTGACGCTGCTGCTGGCGCTGCCTGTCGTGCCGTTCCGGCCGCGCGGGAGCTCGGTGATGCCCCTGCTCAGCGCGTCGGCTTTGACTTCGTCGGCCATTTTGCGGTAGCGGCGGAAGCGGCCTTCGATGGCGTCGTAGGTAGCTCCCTGGCCGAAGAGGGTGGCCATGGCTTGGTATTCGAGCTAAGGGGGAGTGAGCGTGGTGTTTTGTGTTGGGGGTGAGGAGGGAGGAACCTTTAGGCCTGGGTGAGCTGCGATGAGCACCGCGATCAGACGGTCGGTGGACTCGTTGGCTTTCCAGTTGACCATTTTGTGTGGATTTTTTAGAGGAGATTCGGGGTTGGTAGTGGTACTTGTACTTAAGGGGTGGTTGGAAGGAATAGCGGTGCAAATTGCTTGGTTTTAGGTAAAGTAGATGGCATCGATGTAGCCCAGGGACATTTATAGGGATGGTGAGGGAAGTGTTTTTCTGGAGATGGTAATGTGTGGTGGTAGGAACCACAAAAGAGACTAGAGTTCGAGTAGTTAGCCACAGACTTCACTCTGATTTATATGCATCCTGACTGGAGAGTTAGAGAGAAGGGCAAAATTACAACACAGAACACTGGGAATCTCTGTCAAAAATTCCAAGTTGTACCAAAGATGCAGACTGGAGAGAGTCTGTGAATGTCAAGGTCGAGTACAGGTACAAGTAGATGTGAATGATCAGAGCCCTAAGCAGGTAGTAAGGAGGGGAAAAGAGCAACGGACAGAAACTTAAACATACAATCTTTAAACCCACAACAAAAAGGATAAAACCACTACAATCTGCCTTGGATGTTGTAGTTTTCGAGACTTTGTGACTGCGCGTTGGCAACACATCCTTGAACTTAAACCAACGGCGATCCCCAATATTTGACCAAACATACGAGCAGGAAGAAAGCATCGAACATCCGATGCAGATAATCTAACGCCATCGCCCATAGTAAATGCTTGGATAGTTGATAGATCCATCACAGAGACAAAGATGCAGGAACATCCTGGACAGCGATGATGCAAAATTGGAAGGATTCTGACGATGACTTGTAGATTTGAGGAATTGGCCTGGATTGTATCCTTACACCGCTTATCTGCTGTAAGAAAGTAAAGTGACAGATGGATGATGTTCAACCTTTTGTATAAGTGATTTAGTTAGGACACAGCAGGTTGTGGAAGATGACAACTCTGGCATACAAAATAGGTGGGAGGGGTGTAAGATGCTCCCGCAGGCTGTCACCCTCCTAGAGTTTGAGATGAGGGAATTACAACAACACCAGTGAGATGTGGATGAGCTTGTACTTGGATCCGTGGGATATTCACTGCCCAGAGCTATACTATACAACCGCACTCACACAGAGAGAAAAGGCTTGATACCTGCTTCTTCCTCTTCATCTTCTCTTACTACTCCTCAGCAACACATTCCCTGGCCTCTCCATCTTCTTTCACTCTTCTCACCTTGACCTGCCTTGACATCTACTTCCTCTACCTCTACTCAGCTTTCTCCTTACTTACTTATACTCTTCACATCTCCTCTACTTCTTGTTCACACTCTCCAGCTATCGACTTGTTTCTCCTTCCACTCAGTTAAACACCATACATACTTCAACACCCTGCATATCACTCTTTGCTGCACGATGCCTGTGCGCTGGACTCCCGAAAATGATCAGCTGGTGAGCACACCCTCCTCGCTACGGAAACCAAGACTGACACCACGACTCAATCACTAGCTTTTGCTGAAAATACTTGAAACTCATGAACTCTCCGTTGATACGAACAAGGTTGCTGCAGCTTGGCGTAAGTTCCCCAATTCAAGCCCTCTATTCTAAACAATGTATAGGACAAGCACTAACACTAAACAGCCGGCACTGATGATAATGAGAAGCCGACTCCACGTGCGATCAGAGAACGTCTCGTCAAAATGCGCCAAATAGTAAAGGCTTCTGGCAGCGATGGTTTCAGCATTGGCGGCAGCGAGACCTCCACCCCCAAGAAGGCCAAAAAGAATGCTACTCCCATCAAGACCCCCGGTTCCAAGCGCAAGCGCGGTGGGAAAGCCAGTACCATTGCTGATGTTAATGAGAACACCACCCCTCTTAAAAACGAGGAGAATGCAATCAGCCCAGTCAAGATGGAAACCGCCGAGGACGAGATCGACACGCCTACCAAGAAGAACCCGCTTCACCCCACTCTTTCAGGAAATCAGGCCCAGATCCAGAGTGGCTTTGTGAAGACCGAGGGATCTGATGAAGCCGTCTTTGGTATTCTGAGCACTCCTACCAAACGTTCCCGCAAGGCGAGCGTTCTTCCTGCGGGTATGGTCAGTTTCGAGGGTGACGAGCAGGGAGAAGATGATCCCGAGAGCTCTGCTTCGGAGTTCCTTCCTGATGAGGCGGGTGTGAAAATGGAAGATATGGACATGATGAACTTTGCTTGATTCGATGCTCCTGGGCTGCATGGTTCATGGCTTTCGTGCCTGGGAGTTGGCCGCTGGTTTGGAAACTGCGAGGGCAGCAAGGTCTACTTATTCTTCCTGTATCTAAGATCGTGACAAGCACGCTATGCAATCTGTGATTATCATCGTCAAAGACTACAAACAGGTGGTTCTTAAAGCACTGCATCAGTAGACGCAAAGGACGCTGCCTCGGGACCCAGCTACAAGGGTACAATCCAGCTGCATTAACAGGCGAGCATGATGCACCTATACAATGTTGCCCAATCTAGGACGTACAGCGAAGACGCAGCATCTCAACTAGTATTTCAAATTAAACCCAAGCCGTATTCCAGAACGACTGTCCTAAGAAACCAGTACCACAGGCACTGTGTAGAGACCGGGTCCACCCCCATAACCATAAATCCCAGCTACAAAACCAGAACACAACGCAGCAACACAAGCAAGAAAAAAAAACCCTCATGCTCAGGGAACTGATACACAGAAGCGAATCAGAGAAGCTCAAGCGCTGTCGACAGCAGATTCGTTCTCCTCATTCTTAGCCTTCTTAGCTTTCTTAGGACTGGCCTTGTCGATGTCTGCGCCATCACCCTTGGCGTCCTTCTTTGGGCGGCCGCGTTTGCGTTTCTCCGGAGTAGCAGGAGTAGAGGAGTCGCCGTTGGTAGCGCTGCCAGCCCTAGGATCCATTCTCAAACGTTGGATTCGGCGCTGGATAGCAACGGTAGTGCAATCTGTGTTCATTCGTGTCAACAAGCTCTGCTTCCTAATAGTGCCTGTAGCTATGATACGGCTTGTGTTTGTACTGACCGGGTCCCATATGTTTGGCAAGGTCTTCGTAGTCGAGCTTGATGTTGCTGGTGGTGAAGATTCTGAGGAGAAGCTGTTCTTGTCAGTCTTGGTGTTGCTTAAGCGTGATAAACTGAGGCGCACCTTGGCATCAGCCTCGTGGTCCCAGGTCATAGGCATGATGTCGGTTGTTTTGGAGCTCCAAGAGAATGAGTGGACTTGTAAAGTGTGGTTGTGGTTAAATCAAAGTGAAGCTTCGTTGAAGGGCTGGTCGATGGAGTGGGATACGTAGAGTAAGAAGAACTCTTAAGAGATGACAGATTGATGTAGAGTAAAAGAATGATGGTGTAGTGAGAAGAAGAAGAGAGAGGAGTATGAAAGAGCTGGGTTGTTTATCTGTGTTACTGTAGCTGTGGGCTGTGGCTAGCGAGGACCTGAAGCGGAACCGGGGCTATGTAGCTATTATTCACCTCGAACAGCACACAGGGGCCTTATTCAAGCAGACGGCGCCTCCACCGGACTTAAAGGGTTCGCCTTTCCAAGCTGGAGGCTGATTGAGAGCGTTGAGAGGTCAAACTGTTGGCCAGGGGCGATACAACAGGATACAAGCACTAGGCAAGAGGTTGGCGCGTTTTTATTCTACTCGCAGTACAGGCAAATGTGAAGAGCTCTGCAGACGATACCCTCGGTTCATATTCAAAACACTCTTAGAGAGATAGGTATCTTGAGATGTCAAAAAGCTACCCGCTAACTCAACTACTATCTAGCGCGCTCGAATATAAATTTGTTGCATGCTTCGGGATGGTATGATGAGAAGTAGTCATTGTATAATAACCCTTCTCTGGCTTTCTTGGGGCGTCTCCAAATCGTCGAATTGCCGGAATACTCGGCTGAGGGCGATATAGAGCTCTGCATAAGCGAGTCTACGCCATGTCAGTGTGACAACATTCGCGATCCAAATACAATTGAAGTCAATACGCACTGCATCCCAAGACATTACCGCCGGCCCTTGCCAAACGAGAAGAGGTGCTTTTCGAGGGCGCTGTGTGTGGCAGGGCCCTGCCAGCGTGTCGGATCAAACTTCTCTGTGTTCGGAAAAAGGTACTCGTTTCGATGCACTATCCAGGAGCTCATACTGACAGTAGTCTATACCAATCAGTATCACCAACCAAGAAAAGGATACATCTGTTATACCCCGTCTGGGACATGGTAGCCATGGAACTCAGCACCCGGCTTGGGGACGGTCGTGGAAGAGAAGTCGGCCAACGACACCGAATGACAATCTGGGTTGCGTAAGTGGACTTCTCATAGTACGGTGGGATGTGCTTATCGAAGTCCCTCCTTGATCACTGCAGTCTGCGGAATATAGTGCATCATGCTTAAAGCCTAACAGTATAGGTGCAACCTACCAAATAGGGTAATTTCCCAAGGGTCACAAGGTCCATTTTTGCTTCAGGGTCAGGAGATTACTCTCTCAGGTCTGCGGTCAACCGTTCATATATCTCTGGATTGGTGACGACATTATATGCTGCAATTGTCATTGCGTTACCTGTTGTATCAGCAGCGGCGGCAGTGAGTACATAGGCATTATCACTGAGTTGCTCGACAGTGGGCACTTTGTATTCTTCCGTGTCGTCTGGTCGAAGGAGTTAGTGATATATTCCGTCGTGTTTCCCCATAGTGATTGGTTATCAAATTTGCGGCCCCTTCTACTTTCTGGAAGTCATGGCAAAGGTCACAAAGGAGTACCTACATCAGCGGTTGGCAGAGGTGGAGCCAAACCTCGAGAAATAGATCAGTCTCGACGCCGTTGTTTTTCAGGCTGTTCTTTAAAGGTTCCAGCATGGACCTCCTTTCGGGCTCGCAGATCACGACGCGAGGCTTCCTGATGCCTACGACCCTAGGTAGACTGCGTCACTGCATGCATTCCAATGGAGTAGGAAATAGGGATGAAGGTGGTGTGCTCAAACAATGACATGATGACATCCAATATCTTCTATCAGATCCAGCATATGCGGCATAAAGCGAAAAGGCTGAGATACGTATGTATCTACCCTTGCTTCGCGGCTGTCACGAGAAGCCTAACAACCACTTCCACCTGCGTTATCTATATGTGATGGAGGATAACGATATCAGTCGTGGCTTCGCTTACCATCGTCATCGACAGCGACTACATTATCAGAGCACAAGGAGATTTGATCATCATCTAGGTCGGGCTTCCCTGACGCCTGGAAGCGAACATCTTCGAAAACGGAAAGCTGAGCTGCGCACTCAACAGTCAATAATAACGAGCAGCTTCTGCTAATGAAGACTATTTTAAATGTCGACGCCAATGGTGTGATTTGAGGAAGCAGTCTGGTCCGAGTGATCTGCAAGGACTCGGTAATCTGAGAGTATGCGATCAGCAGGTTTACTTCAACTTGGAAAGGGCAACTCTTTAAAACAGAAGACACTCGTATTATATCCCTGCTGCATCCCTTACCATGATGGCCAATCCTGAGGATGGCTTTTCCGCTGCAGTCCAGAGATTATGGAAATGTTTTCGTCCTCGTTGCTGGCTTTGGAGGCAATTCATGAAGTTCTTTTCGAGCATGCCTGCGATAGACATGAACGACCCATGATGGGCTGAAGGTTTCAGGAGCGGAAACGTTGAGATGATGAACGTTCATCATTCCAAATAGAGAGGAAACCATCCCGGGTAAGGAATTAAGAATACCTTGCATCTGTGAAGGATCAATAGAGTGATCGGGGGTTGAAAAGGCAACATTAGACTCAAGTGGGTTTGCTTTAAAGGGCTTCATCGGACTATTCAGCTGACTTGGACCTGACCTGCTCACTGGAAAACCATATAGTCATACATTGTCAGCTTCACCACAGCACAAAGTCCTGCAATACTCTGCCTTTGGATTCATCTGTTTTGAATCGACTTTTGAGACCTCGGGTTTCTCGAGTACCAACAACATTCTACGGAAAATGCCTGGGATATTGGGGATTTCTAGTCTTCACTGCTCTCTTTCTTTCTCTCTCCCCACCCCCTCTCTCTCTCGCGCGCGATAATTTGGATTTGTAGCGATATCTCACCCCGTCCCTAACCCCTGAGCGGACGAGCAACACTATTACATACCACTGAGAAAGTGATGCAGAAGATCGAACGCAATGTACCCAAAGATATTGCCGAGAGTATTGTTCATCTTTTCTCGCGCGTACCCCTCCGTACCCCACATTTCTCTGGACGCTTTTCGGAGTTGACCATTTGCTTCAGTGGCAGGCACATGGAAGGAGCCATATTACCATTCCTTCTACCACCACTGTATGCTTATCCCTGTAAGTCGGCAGAATCCGCCGTGAAGTCAACAAATTAACAGTAGGCAGCAATGCCAGCCCTACAGTCGTTGCCTACACTCAGGTCCTCATCCTGTTTGTGATCTGCTGCGCGCAACAGTTCCACACGACAATATACGACGGCGACGAGCGAACTACAGCACCATAACCTCATAAATGACATGCATACCGCACTCTGTCATGATGGGACTACTTCCTGGCTCACCTACTGATATTCGTAGGGAAAAATCAGAAGAGCGGGTTCAGAATGAGACAGAATGAATACCCCTCAGGCTCCACCACTGAAGTGGCCGCCAAGCGCCTCGATAGCAGCACACAAGTGGAGACAACCCTCAGTTGCAATATGGCGGTGACTGAATGCTGCAGTACAATTGTGGCTGGTGATGAAATACTGTTGCCTAAGATTTTCGCAGCTCAGGCCAGAAGGGGATACGTCTGCACAGAGCCAGGGACGCTGTTCGCTGCTCAATGTGACAGCTGCCACGGTGGTATCCACTAGAGCTCAAAAATGCGCAACATTGGAACAAATAGGGCAAGGCCAGGTGGTTAGCTGATCCGTCGTGCTATAAACTGTATGGGCAAGGGCCCACATTTCAGGACGGTGATAATATAAAAGTGAAGCTGTTTCCCGCGAAGGAGCATAGATACTCATCATCATTTCAGATCAATCAGTGCCATTTCCTCCAAGAGACATTCTTGACTATCTTTACATTCAAAATGAGCTTCCACCTCACAGCTGAAGACATCCGTATCGAGGGTGGTCATGTACTCGTTGCTCGACTCCGCAAAGCCGATGGCGAATTGCAAGACGCCTCGATTGACCTAGACAACTTCCTCGGAAACGACAACGGTACTTTCCACCTTCTATGAATGATCCAGATGCAGAATGCCAGATGACTTATTGATGCAGGTCGCTTTCAATGGGACGGAGTCAACTTCTCTCATTCTGCCGAGGATGTCCACTTCGCTATCGAAGGAGGCGGCGAGGTTCCCGTCCTCCGGGCTCGGTTGGCAAATGCGGACGGCGAGTTCGAAAGTGCTGACGTGAATCTGTCTGAGCGTATTGAAAATATCGATGGCGAATTCGTATTCCAGTGATTGAGAGTGAGTTCATGCATGGTTTAGCAGACCGGTTCCGCAGATCTAACATGGTTTGAAATAGTCACGGCGGAGTCTGCGCACATTGTTAATAAGATGATGAGTCTAAGGCACTGTATATGAGTTCATGAATGGTTTAAGCAGGTGATGCCGTAGGGTACTTCTACCACCATCCTGGAGATAGCTTCGCAGGGGGCGGGCGTAGTTTCGGGAGAATATCCATATATCAGTAAGAGCACATGGTATTGGGGACAGTCATTTTTAGGAAGAAATTCATAAACATGAAGCACCAGGGTATGCCACTTAATGCACCCATACCGTTGACCATGATAATAACCATCTTTAATCCTGTAACCCAACACCCCACCAAGAACGCCACTTTAGGGTGCTCCAACTCGTAGAATAACATAATGAAGGAGCAACCGTCAAACCAATCAAGCGCCTGTATTGGAACTTGCGCGAAGAAGAGACCATCCAGTAACAGAACGAAGGGGAAACAATGTAGAGACGAAAGGCAAAGAACCCGAAAAACGTTGATATTACCATGCATGCCCTGCCGCACTAGCGTCGAAGTCGTTACCATTCCAGTCTTCGTCACCACTGATCTCGTCATCAAGAAAATCTTGTTCATTAAATTGCAGTTCAGTCGGGCGCAAATTGTCAATTCTGACCATGACAATATCACACATTCCTTGGATATAAAGGTCTCCATCGCCACCATTCGACACTCGGTCTGGTGCGCTCAATTCCATATTATCTTCAGCTTCTGAATGCTTGCGTTCCGCAAGACGTGCGCTTTTGCGCTTGGATGGCGTCGACAGGCCGCTATGATGTGCTTCAGACTGGGTGGCAGCATCATTTTGGTCAAGCTGAGGGGTTCCCTTACGGAGGCTGTGAAGATCAGGGTTCGGAGGAGGACTCCTTCGCAAGAACACCCTCTCCATCTTTCCAATCCATTTCTCTCTGAAAGATGCGCGGTCACGCCATCCGATCTTCAAGATGGCGCTGATAATTAAACGGCGTAAGTTTCGAAGTTCCCTTGCGGAATCGATAAGAGACGTAAAGAATACCTCAGCTGTCGTGTCGTCCCATTTTCGCAATTGTATCAGCTCAATCTCTTGCAATGTGGTGGGCCAGGTTGGCACCTCAGAGGAACCAAGCAGCTCGGGGAAATGTGGCTCCACATCGTGATTAATGGACCAGTCATGCATAGATATGTCCATCTTGAACCTTTCAAGCACCTGGCAATACTCCGCTAGTCCTACAACAAATGACATACTTAAATGCCTGTTGTGACTAAGTTTGAGTTCCCGAAGATGCTGCCCATGAGCAGCGAGAAATGCACTGAGATTTGAGGTGGTTACTTCATCGCAGTTGTTGATGGTGAGAGAGGTAAGTGCCGAGGGCATATTGAGGAGGAGATGCTCGTTGACAATCGAGCACTCGGAAAATTCCAGCCGACGCAGATATGGAAGCTCCTTAATCGCAGTAGCGAGAATCACTTCCCGCTCGTTGGATGGCTCTGCACTTCCACCGTGATCAATATCTTCTGAAGCGACATGCAACAGTCGTAACTCGCGCAAGCCCCGGAACGCCCGGTCGTAATGTTTGCCGAGAAGGAAGGGAATCAGTTGCTTCGCTTCCATAAACCGGCTGTTCCAATCCCAGCTGCGCAGGTGTATCAAGCTCGCATTCATCGATTCGAATAGACTCTCGGGATAGACCCATTTAGACCGCTGTATCTGCCATGGAGCGAGACCCACAATGAAGTCACCTTTGTGATACAGCCGCACTTTCTTTACTTGAGGTGTCTTTTCGATAAGCCTAGGGAGTTCAAAATAACCGAGCGTTGGTCCGCTTTTGTGGAGCAACAGGGTCTCCACGTCGACGTGCAACTCTTGGATCTTATTTCTATAGTTGGTTGAAAGTGTCTCCTGCGGCTGACATAGCAGGTTGAGCAGAGCATGGCATTTGATAGGTATCAGAGGCGGAGAATGGTAGAGGGCTGACAATGCTGGCTCATGAAAAGCGCGGCACAACAAGGAAACGCTCACGAGCCATTGCGTCGAACTGTTTCTAGTTGTCGTCTTCTCATCCATCAGAGGAAACGATGCACGGAAGAATATGTCAAACAATATGTGGTACGGAAGGGTGTGCCAGGGTGGTATGACTCCAGAGCCGACCGGGAGCATGTCATCTGCCTGAACCTTTGGACGCTTGTTGAGAGGTCTTCCCAATTCCAGGCGGTTCTTCGCAGGGGGCCTTTTGGACCTTCTAGTCTGGGACCTGGTTTTCACCGTGCGATTGCGTCTAGGCCGGGAAGATGTGCCACTGCCAGCAGATTGGGGAAACGGATAGGTGTATCGAGTTGGAGCTTCAACGGGCACGATGGCTGAAGGGTCCTCGTTAGAAGATCGCTCAAAGTCATCATCTGTAGATTCCTCTCGATAAGAAACAGGGGCTCTATTTGAACCGCGTGGGCGCAGCGAAAGCGACATTCGTCTAGATCGTTCCTGATCAGAGTCGGTGTCTTCATCCAGCCGATCATCAGAACTGCTACCCTCAAGATATGATTGCACTCGGGTACGGCTAGTGCGAATAGGACGGGACAAGCTAGATGTCCTCTGACGGGATGAGCGCATTGAGGAAGACATGATTGCGTAGAGTAGTATTCGCTCTAACTCCAGATAGAAAGTCGGGTCGGCCGCAGATAACACATGGCCCACCTGTCCATCAGTTCCTCAATACCGGAAGTCCAGATACCACTGGGGACGCAGGGGCTAGCATCATGCGTTAGTAGACCAAACGTCAACAGTGCAGAAAATTAAATGAGAGATGATTGGATGAGACGGACTAGGAAGGCCTCAAGAGGGCTGAGAAGAAGAGAGGAAACGATGAGGTCAGTCGGTGTTGCCGTTCGATTATCGCCCTTGCAGAGGTTTATCGATAAGAGAAAATCAGCACATTCTTCATGCCTGAGGCCATAATCGGTCAAATGTGGCCTAGTGGTGCATGTGACAGCAGCCAAAAGGCCCAGGCACCCACTCCCCGCCCCCAAGGCCACCATGCTAGTCCCAGACGGGTAACAAGCAGAATCCCGAAATAGAAACAGTCAGCGGCCTCTCTTTTAAGGCGCGAATCGTCCAGCCACTCCATCTCTCCTCTTCCCCCCGTTCCAGGTCGGGACGATGGCGTTTACATGTCCAGATTTGAAATCTCCATCTCGTCAATATCAATGCTGAGTGTATATCTGTAAATTGTTCACTCCTTGTTGACATATAAGGCAGCATATTTATGCGCTCGATCTGGGCTGGTCCCTGAGCTACAGAATTCGACATCATAGCATTTAGCGCTCAATTATTCGCATTTGAGCTTTGGCATTTCGGTTGGATCTACTACAAATGCAAATGACTCCGGGCTGTCTATCCATACTCAGATCCGCTTTAACCGTTCAGAATTCGGAACCAACAAGTCATTGTTTCCGCTCGTCTCGATTTGTTTATTACTAGCAATGGAAAGCTCTTTCACCAGTGTGATACCACAATCGGAACCGAATGACATTGGAGGAACACCGGTGGTTATCCAGCAGTATGCGAGATACTCATCTACGTTGGAGCCAGGGTTACAGAGTGGCTCTTCGTTAGGGAGCGCCCGCAGTCGGTTAGGAGCGTCAAAGTCTCCACCCCTACATCGCAAAGCGACTCCTCGCAGTCTGCAGTCTTCCCCTACTGGTTTACGGCCAGTTGCGCCTGCGGCGTCGGCTACGCGCTCAGGACCGTCGATGTCTCCTCCAGTTTATGATACCGTTCGCCAGCGACAGGCTAGGGACCCCATGGATCAGGCAGTCTCGCGGAGCTTGCCCTCTCGCGATATTAGAGATGAAACTATCGACGATGCTTACGTGATGTTCATTCTTTATTGTAACCCAAACGTTCCAATGTCCACAGGCACCACCGAGCTTCGAAAGACTTTCCGATCTCCGCCTAGAAGCGATGGCAAAAGCTTCAGCATTTTCACCCTCTGGGAGCTTATTCGGAAGCTGGACAATAAGGAGCTGAAAACATGGATTCAGTTGGCAATCGAGCTAGGCGTAGAACCCCCTTCGGCGGAGAAGAAGCAAAGTACGCAAAAGGTTCAGCAATATGCGGTGCGACTCAAGGTTCGTTAAGCTGCGCTCGGCCAAAGGTCGCGAAGATGCTAATGACTAATAGCGTTGGATGCGCGCAATGCATGTAGATGCCTTTTTCGAATACTGCCTTGGCCATCCTCATCCGTACTACACCCAGCTTCCGGCCTCTAACGCCGCGGTCAGTGATACTCGCGACGGCGTACCGCTAGAAGAAGACCTTGCCTTGCGTGCGCTTGTCCCTGAGTGGAAACCGAAACGTGGGCGCAAACGGGCCGACGAAAGGGAGCAAGCTAACGAGAAGCCGGCGAAACGACCTCAGCTGGATACTTCCGTGGGGGTATTGCAGGCGGGTTCATTTGCAGATCAGTCTGCAACATTTCCGCAGAGCGCCATCCCATTCAGTGCTTTCCCGGACAACGATCCATGGATGACTTCTGCATCATCATTCCCAGCCGATGGCTCTACTGACAACCAGCAAGGCCAAGAGCTTCGGTGGAGACCTCTAGAGCGAGACGCATCGCCTGCTGGATATCCACAGTCAGCGATAATTCCACGAGGGCATCATCCGTCAGAGGTTCTTCTGCCAACGGCAGAGCCACGCTCGGCGATCGATCCGTCCTCTGGTGAAAAGTCGCGATCTCGGAGGCGGCATGGTCCAGCGGTTTCTTCTGCCTGGCCTAACAGCAATGCATCGATCACTGGGAAGACTCGGGGTAGGCCTCCGCAGAGAGGCGTTGTCTCTGGTCCATTCTCCACGTTTCCCGTGAATCCTAGTCGGACTGATTCCAGGCAAAGTCAGGGTCCGGGGTCAAGATCTTCACCTGCTATTGTGGTAGAGCAGAATTCCACAACTCGCGCAGACTCCCAGTATCAACAGTCGCCCACTCCTTTCCCTCATGCGACTGCCAGACCAAACAAGCTTCAGTTACAAGTTCCACAACACTTAGGCGGACCTGTCCGCCTTGCCACACCACCGACGCTAATGGTCAATGGAATGAGTACTCCGTCTGCCTCCCTTAAGGTGGAACCTAGTCATCGGAACGGCTCTACCGCTCATCCAAGTGACTTTTTTGGTGGAAGTACTGTACAAAATGTCATGCCGCATACGAATACCAATTCTCTGTCTGATAACAACGCGACCTTGGACATTAGTCTTGACGATGTTGCCCGTGTCCTCTCGGACGAGCTACTCCGCGCAAAGCTCACAGGCAGAGCAGTACCTCTGAGCGCTGAAGAGGCTCGTGCCTTAGCATTCTCCATCCTGAGGCGTTTGAGTGCTAATTACATACGACTTCCCTTGGGACTGTCGGCTCTTGCATCAGCTCTTTACCTCGGGCTTGGAGCGCATTTTGGCTTTACCAACCCCGTCCCGAGCTCCATGACGGTGAATGTTGAAAGAGTGCCCATGGCTGCTGGGGAAGGTCCAACGATGGCGGCCGATAGGACGTCGTCCAATTTCATCTATACGATTTCCCATGAATACAGACACGGTTCTCAGTTCTCCACAAAGGTCGTCTACAGCGATAGCGGCATCTCGAATATAGATGTTGGTAAATCTGAGGGATCGTCACGAATGACGGAGGATATGGACAACAGCGTTATTGAACTTGACAGTATGACCGATGCGGAATACGAAATCGATGGTGCAGAAAGCACCGCGTCCGAAATGACATGGAAACAGCGTTATATGAAGTTGCGAGCACAGATGCAGAAACGGGAGCGGTCGCTGTCCCAATACAAACGCAAGATTCTCGAGTCTGTGATGGCAGACATATAAATACGTCAACCGGCTTGCCCTATTCTGAGTGGGCTTGCACCAGCGCGATGTTAATTCGTCTGCGTATATGATCTGAATACTTAATGATACCCTTGGTTTTACTTTTCGATGCCACCTGGCGTTTGTTTCCAAGTCGATTCTTTGACATGTCATGGTGTCGTCTGCAGTAGTCGCGATCTTGTGACGCTGGGTTTTGAAGTTCGATTTGTGTTATAGATACCCCTTGTGCAAATGATACGCGTAAAGATATGACAAGAAACCTTTCCAACTCGGCGTAGAACATATGAAAGCATAAATAGTGCTTCGTATTTACTCGGTGATCTACGAGAACCGCTTGCGCCATGAAATATGACTTAATGCGAAATACAAACTGCAAGTCACAAGTAAATCAAGAGGCCGATAGAAGAAACCAATTGTCCAGCCTCCAAATCGCGTAACAAGTGATCATTCTGCAACAGCAGCCCGTGGCGAAACCGGAGAATCAAGCTACCTCCTCACTCTCCTTGACCACACCACGACCGTCGCCCTCGGAGTTTCAAAACTAGTCGAACAGCGTCTCACCGTCGACAGCAGTAGCATCAGCGTCAGCGCCCAGTCCCTTCTCCTCTTCAGCATCAGACACCTCTTCCTCCTCCACAGGGCTCAACCTCTGCTCAATCACTCTGTGTGCGCTCTCAAGGACAGTCTCCTTCGCCACCCGAGCTCTCTTGGCTCTGACCTTGCTACTCTGCCCTGCAGGCTTGCGCTTCGCGGGTGAGCTCGCACTGTCACTCTCGCCCGCCTGCTTGGCTTTGGTCTCCTTAGGAGAACCGGCCTTGGCAGGTTTGGGTTTCTTGGGGGAAGAGTCTGGAGAAGCTGCTCCTGCGTCGGGTTCGGAGCCGGCGGTGGTTGTGGTCGTGGTCTCCTTCGCTGCTTCATTGTAGGCCTTGAGCAAGCGTTCGTAGCGTTTTGCGCTGGGTGGAGGGTTAGTCCGCAGAAGGGAAACTGTTCAGGAGATGGTTGTGACTTACGCGGCTCCTCTGCTGACGATGTTGCATTCTTTGGCGACTTCGTTGAAGTCGACCTGGGCTTTGGTTAGTAGGTTGGGGTTCGAGGGTGAGGGGAATTGGGCTCACCTTGCCGCTGTTTGAGTAGCGGATACAGCTTAGGAGGAAATGGACTGTTTCGTCGGGGTTTGTGGGAGCCATTTTGATTGTTTGGCTTGGTGGGTTGGTGTTTTGGATGGCAGGTGTAGGTAAGGTGTTGTAGTTCGGATGGTATATGGAGAGAGGTGGGGGAGTTGTCGAGAGGAGGAGTCTGTAGAGAGGATAAATAGAGCGAGGAGCTAGAGGGAGTGAACTCGAGGACTCAATGACTGAGGTGAGTGAAAGGTGTTGTGAGAGGCAGATCGACGCAGGCACCGAAAGGATAACGAGACGGTCAGTGAGCTGATGCGAGAGAGGAGTGAATAGGTGAAGTAGATCAGGTCACTTATTCTCAGCTTCTGGAACAGTCAAGAGACAAGGTGACGTGCTTCTCAATTGTTTCTAGGCAGTGGGAAATAAGTATTGAAGTAGGGGATGAATAGTTGGAAGAGTCTGTTGTTCTCTGGTTGGACTCCCGTCTGTATGGTGCCTCTATCGAGGGTGTGTTGAATAGAGATAAGTCTTAGATGAGATCTTTACGGGTGCATCATATGCTATCGAACAGTCGTGAATGAGCTGTCGTTTGATTTCTCACATAACGTGCCTATTCTGAACCTAGGGACGAGCTCCAAACGAATTCAATGCTTAGAACTTCTCGGTAGGGAGATAGTGTCACAAAAGAAAACATCAAGGCTCAAAATCAAATTGCGAACTTTTCAAGCTATTGCTCGTATCCTCCAGAATCCCAGTTTTTACCAGTTGAAGCAATAGCCGTTTCCATCCTAAGGCCGTTCGTCACGGTGATCCGAAAATTGGAAGAGTGTACCTGTTTCGTACCTACACTATCAGTCATGGTGTTGCTCTATATGGGAAGACCGCGTGACAACTTACTGTAGCAAGGCTCTCTGCGGGACCTTTAATCTTCGGCTTTGATAGCCTCATCATCCTCCATCTTCACGTCTCCGTTGTCCTTCTTGACGGGTATCTCCACTGACTCCATGACGGCGGCTTCCTGGGCGACAGCTTGTTTACCAGTGAAAAGCTCCGTTGACTGACCTGCTTAGATTCGTTGAGATTCTTGAGGCATTCAATGATGAAATGGGCATCGGCACTACTGATGTCCTCACCATTGGTCTCGGTGTTGGTGGACATTTTCGGTGAAATAAAAGTACTAATAACTTTTACACACGTCTTTGGGGAAGGCAATAGAATCTTCAGATAGTAAGAGTGCCTGAAGGGAAAGCTGAACGAGTTGACGTACAGACAAGGGAAGGTGTGATATGGGTTATACAGGTGCACCTGTATGAGGATGAGAACAAAACGAGATCACAGATGTAGAAGAGTATGATAGGGAGTGATAGCTAGAAAGAAGAAGAGAAAGAAGAGGAAACACGTACACAGCACGTTATTTATATTAGCACGCCGAGAGGTAGGGGGTGATGATCGTTACGGCAACACAGAACTGAGCCCAACTGTGATTGAATTGAGATATCGATGACGCTGAGGGACGGACCAGACAGCAGGTAAAATGAGGCCCAGAGACTCAGTAAATTGATACTCATATCAGGTCAACTGTAGGACACTAGACTGTCTCTATCCTTCATTCCTGTCTATGTCTGTTGGAAGAGACTTTAGGAAACGGTTCTGATATGACTCCGGAGTCAAAACAGAATCTTAAAAAGGCCTATGACAGGACAGTCAGGATTCATGGTTCCAAACTTCAAGAGAAAGTATAGTTAATTAGCTAGTCAAACTTCATTGGAAAAATTGGGCCAAAGAATACAATTACAGCGCCAACCCTGTCGGAACATATGTCCATTCCACACATCAAGAATCAAACGAACCTAAGCCAAGCATCTTAACGCCTCACCAAAAGTCATGCAACAAATATTTTACCTTCATCACAAATTTGCTCATCTACTCTCCTCCAGCCTTATGGAATCCTCCCCTACTGTCCCTCCTGGGGCGATTCAACTTTCACAGATGCTTCATGCATTTTGCCTCCGGCTTCCCGCTCGAGTACACGCTCGGGCTCAGGCTCGGTCTTGACAGGGGCCCATGTGCTTTGTCCCGCCTGCTGATGAAACGCCACAGGCGGCGAGGGTGGGAAAGCCGGAACAGGCGCATACATGGTCAAAGTTCCCGGGGCCGCTGTCAGGGGAGTGTACGAAACCATCTGCGGTTGGACAGGCTGCGGATGCATCACTTGAGTGGAGACATGAGGAATGTCTGCTAGATTCTGGACTTCGTGGCCGTATGGGTCAACCTTGATGTAAGGGTTTGACTCGTACGCAGGACCCGCATTTTCTTGCTTCACTGGCGGGTGAGGGGAGCCGTTGTCCTTCAGCAGATCGGCTTTGCTGGCAGTTCCTTTGCCGGTCTTTGCGGGAGTCTTCTTGGGGCGAGAGGAGCGCGGTGTAGATGTAATTCCTTCCATTTGCTGTCGAAATCGAGAGTAACGCATCCGAGCAGCGTGGCCGTTGGAAATTTCGAGCTGCGACGCGACGAGGTTCCAGTCAATCTGTGGAGGCGCATTGTTAGCTGCAGTCCACACTCTTGGGAGTGCAAGAGGAAGAAGGGTCAACTCACAGATTTCAAGTCCAATTGCTTGATAATCGTGTAGAGAAACTTGGCAGTAGGGCCATCAGTTGGCATCGCCTTGCTGCGTCTGACGGTCGTCATGGCTGATTTGAGAGCGAATGGTTTACTGATGAGAGACGTATCAAGCAGAAAGCCTGCAGTAGAAGGTTCAGTTGTGCTTGGGAATTTGGGATATTGAGATTGATGGAGGAAGATGCACTCTCTTGCACAGACTCTGGATATATAACTCTCTGGTATTGGATTTAGCCCAACAGGAGAAAATGCAGTTGTTGTCCGCCACAACGGCTTCTTGCAGCAACAAAGAAGCTGGTCAGGCATGAGAGGACGAAGCAATAAACAAAGCAGGTGGAGTTGAACTTTGGGGATTCTGTTGAATTGCATATCTAGAGAGAGGTTGGCGACTGTAGCTATGTCTTGATGTCGCCCAAACGAGAATCTTCCCGCAAATCAAATTCCCAATCATGAATCAGGTTTCTCGTGGATGAAATCAACCGCTCGGTTTCTATGTATATTTCTCTGCGTAGACATCGGAGAGCATACTTCCCCCATTCTGAATTTATTCAACATTTCAGTCATGTCTCATGCTACTGATATGGAACATTCCAATCCTTCTGAATTGCATTCAAAAGAGTTGGTATATGTCCAAACATGACAGCCTTCTTTGTGATCGCGGCATAATATTTCCAAGACAAAGATGGATACGCAGCCCTACTTACGGAATCCACAGGACCTCTTTAGCAGTCATCTTACCGTCCCCAATGGCTTCAGACACAATGAAGGATTATGGTGGCTGGTGCATGTGTTGCAAGGAAGACAGCATAGACTTGTCATGCCAGCTTGATCCCCACAATGCTTATCAATGTGACAGGTCAGACTGTAGGTTAGTTGGGGATCTCTTCAGAATTCCACTACAGGAAAATTTCCATGCAAATAGCCTCACTGACTACGGTTTAGTTTCCAGTCGGTAGCACACAATCTACCTCGCCATCAGGACAGTCGCGATCTAGTATAGTCCTCCAGGAGCTCTAGACTATGGCAGCGATCATACATGGTTCCTGCAGCTTCGGCTCCGCTATTTTGTATTCGTCTCGAGCTATTCCTGCATCTTGAATTGCTTTTTATTATAGCATCTTCGACCGTGGCATCGGCACGCGTGCGCGTCTTAAGGCGCGTGATGGTCATTACGCTCTTTTCGAACCGGGTATAAGTACTCGAGCTGGTGGTTTATTCCATCGTTCCTTTGAAAACTCAAGTTCCTCCATTCAATTATCATTGCTCCGATCTCCAATCGGCTCCCTGTCTCTTAAGCCCGCTCAACCTGAGGCTTTATTGAGTGCTGATCGGCAACGATAAACGTTAAACAATGCCTGCATCGCGCATAAGATGGGACGACTGGAAGGACAAGGTGATGCTAATGGCAGTGTTCGAGCAAATAAACATGACCTCTCCCGACTTCAAACGTCTCTCTAAAGTGATGTGTGGAGATTACGGTGCGGACGCTCTGAAGTATGACCATTATTCAATGGACGTCCACGAGCGAAGAATGCTAATAGGTGCGGCCGAACCTACAGAAACCGCTTCAGGGCACTCAAGAAAGAGGCTGCAGCTATCTTGCGTGATCGCCAGGACCATGCCGAATCGCGGGAAATGACAGACGAAACGCTTCCCATGATGTCCGGAGCTGTGAACGGTTCGGACGATAACGATGTCCTCGTTGTCCGAGAAGTTGCTTTACGAAGCGAGCTCACGCCCCCTCCGAGCGAACCCTCCCCTAGTATGCAATCGAGGCGCTGTCCACCACAGACGCAGAGAGCCATGCCAGAAGTTATCACACCAAACTATCAGCCTTCCAGCGTTGGTCGCTACACCCAGAGCAGCGGCGTACAATACCAGCAGCAGTCGAGTTTGAACTACGAGCCAAATGTGCATCCCGCACGCCGCTTCCAGTGCTCCCACGAAGCGACGTCCCCGACTCACCCATACAACCATCCTCACAGCTCTCCTCAAATACCGTCACGCGGACGTGGTTTCCCTCGCGGACAGCAAGAGCGGAGCTGGGATCAGACTCTCAGGGCCAAGAAAACTGGTGGAAGGCCTTTCAAGCCGCGAAATAAAAACAACCGTCAGCGCAATGTTCCCCAGATGACCCGAGTCCAAATTAATCATGGACCTGTACATACCAAAATTTGAAAGACAAGAATTTGCGCCTTGATGCATGCATAGAATGTTAGCGATGTATTTTTTGCGAAAATGGTGCTCTGTTTGTATAATTTAGGGGCATTTCGAAGTTATTAGGCTTTTGGCTTACATTGATTCAAGATAGACCCCTCGATGGGCAGCACGGTCAGCTTCTATTTATGTTCATTTGATGGGAGTCAGCCCCTTCTCCTGTCTATATCAGCGTCTCCTAAACCTGCTTTTCGAGAGCAGAAACGGGCAAACATGCCAGCCTTGTGCAGACAGTGTTCCGCAACACCTACGCATATAGAGACAACACTGACAAATAGTCTATATTACAAGTATAAGGCATTATTTTTCAAATGGCACTCAGAATCACTGAAGTGAATACATCATCATCATCATCATGATGATGTTAGGGCTAGACGGAGGAATTATATTCCGGCATCACATATATTGGCACACTAGACAATTGCTCAAGTTCATCTCTTCTCACTACTTCTGCTTTATTTCGTTGATGCAATGCTGAACATGCACTGCGGTGCTATTTCTATTAGCTAGAAATGGTTGTCTGGATACTTTTTTAGCTGAGTGGTTCTGGTCCACCTGACATGCAAAGCCCTAGCACAAGAATACTTGAAGAGAGGGAGGTCTGGTCAAAAAGATGGGATCTTGGAACTGTAAGTGGGATATTACGTGTTTTCCCTTAATGAACTTTTTCCGGATGACAACCGTTGACACCACTTCTTAGGGTCATGAGATGCTAGTCTGATCTGAGGAAAGACATGGATCAGTAAAACAGGGAGAAGAGCTCCGTAAGAGATGGTCTATGATATGCTACCTACTATCTCTCTATACCATTATTCCTGCTTGAGTAAGGAGGGAAAAAGAAGGGAATGCAGTGGTTAAAGGGAGCTGACTGGGTCTCAGTGAATCCCAGCACGGTCATGGGCTAGTGATCGACTCAGGCCAAAAGATGTTCCTGATGCCAACAATGCGGCTGCTCATGGGAATAGGGCTGGTGAAGTACCATGCTATGCAGCCCACGATGGAAAATTTTCACGCCTTTCTCTCGGCGCTGGTTATTTAAACCGAGCTGGGCGTCTTCTGCTTCTCTCTCTTTCAAAAACTCAACTATCATATCATAGCAGATCTTTGATCATTCACAACAAATCATTTGATCGATTGAATATCACCAACCGCCAATACAAATAATGGTATCTGCTAAGAGAAAGGGCCTAGAAGGCGAAGATGACAGCGCCAGTAATCAGCAGAGAAAGGCTCCTGTCAGAAAGCGCGGTGTGAAGAGGCCAAAGACTCAGTCATCTGCCCCCGCCCAAACTACCTCAGCTGCTGCAGATGGCTCTGTGTTGCCCCAAACCCACGAATCTGTAGCGTCCAGTGATCAAGAGTTGCAGACCCCAGAAACGCCCACCCCACAGCCTTCCAAATTTTGGACCAACGAGCTTAGGATCGCCTTGCTTGTCGCCGTTCTGAAGGAACTCGATCAGACGATCTCGGAGAAGACCTGGCACCAGGTTGCCGAAACCCTCAGACCAATGAAGCCTAACATTTCTTGGAATGGCGCTCGGTAAGTCTTGTTTTCTACACTGGGTGAACACATCACCTTGACTCATCCTCCCTTCTGAGAGTTTATCTCCGCTCCTGTGGAAAGATTCTACACTCTCTGTGAACATCGTTCGTGACCTGGAAGTGCTGACAGATTGAAAGCTTGGAGGTCGGCCGTCTCAAAAGAGAACATTTCCTCAATACTACGCCCGCACCGAGCGGCCGACACGATCAGCCCGCTCAAACCTCGAAGGACGAAGACTAAGAGCCCGAGGCAGTAGCTCCCTGCAATTGGTAAGTACATCTCGATCTGACGGCGCATCTAACCCTCCCCTGACATGTAATGGCCAGGCAAACACTCTCGTCATCACGTTGAGGATACCTTGTGAGCAGCTTGGTCATCGCCGTTTCCCTCGCCACACAGTGTTTTACGACCGAAAAGGCCCATTCAGGCGATGATGGGTTGGGAAGAGATATGGAAGAGACAAATATCTTGCACAAATCCTGGTTCTTGGCTTTGTATCTTGATGTCCGTAGCTGTTAATTCAAGTCCCTTGTCTGCTTCGTTTTTTTTTTGTACCACCATGGCCATGAGGCTGCATCAAAACGTATCTGCAATGTTAGATTCGCAGATAGTAAGTACTTGGAAACCCGGATGTACCATTTTCTATCGCAGCAGCTGCCATACTGTCGTTGTCGTCGACACTGATGATGTCGCCTGTGGGGCATGACTAATATGCGAATCAACAACCTCTCCTCAAACCTCTCCATTCTTCGTAGACATCGGTCACTGCATTTCTTTTTCGCCACTTGAGAGTCTTGAAATATAACGTTATTAACTCATCAGAGTCTGGGAACATGTCGTTGGTTGCAGTAGGTGCATGCTATGTTGACACAATCTTGACGTTGGTTGGAAACTCGTCCCCCGCATCTTGTTGACACCAACACCAGCTTACCATCAATGCAGAACTCCTCACTACCCAGGAGAAGATGAGAAGTTGCGTGCTTCTAGTATCTCTCATCGCCGCGGAGGAAACTGTCCGAATACCTTGGAGGTGCTGCAGCAATTGATAGCACACAGCAAGACAACCTCAAAGGTGTCGCTGAACCTTGTCGCAGTTCTGCCCGCGAAGGCATCTGTTGCATCGCAGCAGATCCTGGCAGGCTTTGGACCTGGGGTTCAACTCAAGCATTGCATTTATCGGGAACACTTCAATGAACCAGCATCGAGCTATATCATTAAAAGTCAAGCGTCCGGAAGCAGGACGATTGTCAACTACAATGAGCTCCCGGAAATGACTGTCGAGGAATTTACAGCGATTGCAGATAAGATTGGCTCCACTGCCACTTGGTTTCACTTCGAGGTCCGCAACTTTTATTTTCCGTGAAGCATTCAGGATACTCATGTTTTAATTGTAGGGTCGGATACCAGAAGTAACATTTGCATGCATGCGTTATCTGCGTCAATGCTATCCTTCAATCAAGATCAGCGTCGAAGCAGAGAAACCTGCGCGGCCCGGTCTTCAGGAGCTTGCGAATGAGGCGGACGTTGTTTTCTACTCGAAGAGCTGGGCTCAGGTACGACTGCTTCCTACATATAGTCTCCCAGGGTCACAGTCTGCTAAACCTTGTCCAGGGGCAAGCCTACGCGTCAGCGGAGGAATGCCTCCGAAAGCAGTCCCGCATGACACGCAATGCGTAAGAGAGTCCTTAACAACTTCATCCATGGGTGCAGTGGTTGACTGATATACTTCCATCAGGGCTTTCCTGTGTTGTACATGGGGAGAGGGCGGAGCTGTTGCTCTAGATACTCAAACCGGTGAACTATTGCACCGCCCTGCGTACACAGCACCAGACTTTCAGGTCGTTGAGTAAGTTCATCTACTGAAGGTTTTTGACAGAAATACTGATCACTGCAAGTACTATCGGAGCTGGTGATACATTCATAGCCGGAATGTTGTATGCTTGGCTCTGCGAGGAAAATTGGGATCTCGAGAAGAAGATACACTTCGCGAACCGGGTTGCAGGCATGAAAGTGGGACAGGAAGGCTTTTCTGGTCTGAACAAGGCACTGGAGTCATTCTGAGAACCAAACATTCAGAGAACGGGCAATATCTGCTTTTACGAGCATGTATATCTCATCAACAATGCCGCGCTTGAAGTTGGAATCCGTGCTGTAGACAAGGAAAACAAACTTGGCGATTGGTAGCAGGAATTGTTCCAACCGGTGGCAGAAAGAGAGAAATAGTGCTAATCGACCATGAAATTTGGGAATATATTAAGGCCTCTCGGTATGGGGATGCCAAGAATTTTTATCGGTAATGCACGTGACCTTCTACTCCAAAGGCGGTGAACTCATAAAAAATATTCTGCCTGCATCTTTTCGGTATCCTCGTGGAGCTTTTCTCTGCGACGATCAGGAATCGAAAAAGCTCAACCGAAATATCATATTACAATCATAATGGCTGCCGTTTACAAGACTGTTTCTAAGAAGAAGTCTCGGCAAATTGCCGAAGATCAAGATGAGGTAGATATGGAGATGGAAGATCTCCTCGCTGGAGCCGACGATACAAGCGACAGCGACGAAGACGAAGATGAGCACACTGCGGAAGCGGCCAAGAAGCAGCTCGCCGCTGGATTCATGCCCAAGTCTCGCGTTCTTATGTTGACTTCAAGAGGTGTGACATATCGGTATGTTCAGGAATTTCTAGCGAATTGAGACTTGACCTTTTCAGACACTGACGGGCGATTCTAGCCATCGACACCTGCTCTCCGATCTCTGCGCTTTGCTCCCTCACACGCACAAAGAAAGCAAATTGGATACGAAAAAGAAGACGGCCGGTTACAATCTACTCCTGAACTCCCTCGCAGACCTCCACTCATGCAATGTCATTTTCTTCCTCGAAGCCCGCAAGCGCGGTCAAGATTTGTATCTGTGGCTGGCTCGTCCTCCAAATGGACCTACGATCAAGTTTCACCTCACCAATCTGCACACGATGGGTGAATTGAACACTGGATTTAGTGGTAACTGTTTGAAGGGTGGCCGTGGCATTGTCGTTTTCGATCGCTCGTTTGACGAACAGGGTCCGGTTATGAGCAGCCCCGGAAACGAGTACCGCGGATTGATCAGAGAAATGCTGCGTGGAGTTTTCTGTGTGCCGAAGCGCGGTGTCAAGGGCTTGAAGCCTTTTGTTGACCGCGTCATCGGTGTCTTCGGTGTGGATGGCAAGATTTGGATTCGCGTCTATGAGATTAGAGAGTCCGAAGGTGGAGCCAAAAAGGACGACGAGAACAGCAAGCCCGCGCCCAAGGGCAAGAATGCTCAACCTGAGATTTCCCTCGTTGAGATTGGACCTCGCTTCGTCCTTACGCCAATCGTCATTCTTGAGGGCAGTTTCGGCGGCCCTGTCATCTACGAGAACAAGGAGTATGTGAGCCCCAACCAGGTCCGCAGTGAGATTCGTTTGAGCAAGGCGGCGCGTTATGCCAAGCGTCGGGATGTCCAAACCAACTTGATTTCGAAACGCTCTACGTTGGGCTTGGCGGAAGGCGAGAGAAAGCCAGGTCCTCTCGACACTAAGAGCCTCTTTTCTTAGAAGCTATTATGGTCATCATGATTCCGATTCGGTCCACTTGTCGTTTCTGTCTCTTTTCTTCCATGAGCATTAGACTTGATATCCTGAGGGGATGTACATGTGAGGCGAGAGGTACATTGTTTCGGTCCATTCTACGGCGTCTAGGTGTGAAAGATAATTTAAAAGTTTCATATGTTCTTCATCCTTAGATGTCTGGTTGCATTCCCAAATTCCGGTCAATAAATGGAACATTGCATGCTACCTAGACCTTTGCGTTGTCCGACAGAGGGCTGAACTCGTTTATTCATCGAGAAAGATATCTGTATGGATACAAGAATCATCTGAGGCCATACTGGTTACTCTAAATATTTGACAACATTTCGACCCAACAGTGAGGGGAATTTTGGTGAAGCAAGGGGGCGCAGATTAGCTAAGCGGGGTGTATAGTTATAAACCGGGGGTTGGACGTCCTGTAGAGAGATACTCCGACTCCAACTTTCTCCGTCCACCATCATGGCGGCACATTTGCCATCCAGTCGTTCGCGGCTGCGGGATACTCGTTTTGCATCACCTATGATGGTCCTCAGTATGCTTGCTCTAAATCGGATCACCTCCTCTTCTGCCAGCCCCAACGGCGGGGTTTGCACCTAAATACATACCCTTGTTTGCGACGGCGGCGGCGTTGACTCATTGATATCGAGGCGCCGTCAAGGTTGCCGCTTGTCCGGTTTTCAGGCATACCGGCCTCTAGATCGTTTACGAAGCTTTCTGGTTGGTACTTGGAAATTACACGCTGCTGTTCCATTCGCTGTGCTGACATATTACTTGGTAACAGAAATATCACCCTATCGATGGATCGTCTGGCAACGGAGCTTTTGCTCCATATATTTTGCTCTTGCGAGAGTGTTTCTGATATTCTCAACCTTGCCTCGACCTGCCGAAGGCTTCACCGTGTCTTCAACCAATCTCACAAGCTGCAAATTCTTATTGATGTCGCGGAATTCGAGTTTGGACCTCTAGACGAGATCGTCCAGCTTGTAACACACAATGCAAGCCAACCAGCACACATCGTCCGCCGAGTTCCCATGTCCGAGTCGCTTCTCCGACAGGTAGTGCAGGTCGGACTCGTCGCACGAAAATGGGAGGCGATTTACCCGGTCAAGAAATGGAAGGTTGACTCCGAGAATCGGCGCTCCTTGACTGACGATGAGCGGTTTCGGTTGCGCCGTGCTATTTATCGCCTTTGGCTATATCATCGGGCTTTCCATAATTCCAACTTCGACCGTTTCTCGCGTAAACTTCGGCATGTCATTTCTGAGCGTGCGCAGCTTCTTCACAACTGGTCCACCGCCGAACTTGCCGAGGTTGAGGACATTCGGTTGATCATCACCGACATCGTGCAAAACCATATCTGTCCCAGCAACGGGACTATACAGCGGAAGTTCCGCAAGCGTTATCCCGAGAGCAATCACCAACTATCATTTAATATTCATCTGAACTATCCGACAACGCGTACCCCTGTGGGGGTACCCGAATGGCCTGACAAGGCTGACCACACAGTCAATCAGTACTTCTACTCCGCTCACCCCACACATATCGCAGAATCACCCGCAAAGTATAGATCGAAATTCCGCAATGACTTCTTTCACGACCCCGGCTTCGAAGGATGGGGAGATGAAATCCCTCATTATTACGTAGTCCAGGATATGATGAAGCTTGATCCTGGACAGGTCCTCTGGTTGCGTGAACATGCGCCCATGAAACAGCAAGTTGAAGCCTTCATACGATCCTTGGGCGATTGGTTTCGTGACAATGGGGAGACATTCGGAGATACTCTTGAGTGGGTGATGAATGAGCGCGGCGATGACATTGGGGAGTTTCGGGCTGCGATAGCAGATCGGGGACTAGGAATCGTGTGGTCTTAGTCTTATTTAGACTAAGTCATGTATAGCATTCTAGAGATTACGGAGTTGAAGCAGTTGAGGTACTCTATATCAGGCGCTCTATTCGGCGTGTCAATGTACGAGGCGATACAGACCGGAGTACTGTATGTTTGGGTCAGCCTAGAAGTTGCCTACTTCGTCGATAGCACATCTTCAGTTTCATTGTTCATGTTCGGAGCCTGCTCAATCTCTTGAGGTCGAGCAACGTCCAAGGGAGCCGACTGCTCAGAACGTTCAAGTGGTGTCCTCTGTTCTTCCGAAAGGTCTGCTTCAGGAACATCACCAGACTTTCCGCTGGGTCGGGCTTGCTTGGTATGGCGGGTAAACCTAAACCATCGCAGATCCCTGCAGACACGTGAGATCTTCCCATCAGGTCATATCTCCTAATAATAATATCGTAGCCTCGCAAGATATATCTAGTGTACTCCGTATGTTTGCCCAATATGACAGTCGACACTTGAAACCGAGGCTATCCGCATCTGGAGACGAACATCCGAGTCTGGACTTTCCCAGCCTCTGACCGACTCGCTTACACCACCACCCTGAGAAGCGAAACGAACGCGCCAACCTCACTCTAGATAAGCCAGAAGGGTCATGAAACTAACTAGTCAGACCTACGCGTACGAATCAGCAATGCATGAGTGGGGAGTCAGCTACGGACTAGAATCCTGTCTTAGTCAATGGCATGGTATCGGGATCCGGGATCCGGGTTGAAGCTTGAAGGGAAAGTCGTTTTTGTCGCAGATGATAATAAGCTTACAGTGGTGACTGTAGATTGCTATGATTGCCATGGCAATAGACTACTTGAGGTAGTGTACTCGGATTATGGAAGGCGAGGACAGAAGCTGTCATCGGGGAATTTCAGTGTTGTGCATAGCTTACTGGCGTCGCGTGGGTCGCTCCACTGTTTAGGAAGGTGGAGCATAGGTCCACTACATGTCGATGCTAATTTACAGTTTAGTCTAGCCTACTGCTGAGGCTCGCGAGTCGCAACGAAAGTCAAGTTGTAATTGCGGTTCAAAATGTCCCGATAATTGATATTTGGTTAGGACAATGATTGAGAATTGCGAAGTAACGTTGCAATGACCACCTGAACCCATATCGCCTGACCAATGATTGCATACAACCCACCCATCCTCTTCGACGCCTGCGACCAGAACAACCTTCAAACGACCATCATTGTCATGCCAAGGACAAGCGAACGGGAAGGGATGAGGAACCTAACGAAATACAGCCGTGAAAGACAAGGGCACAAAAAGGAAAGTTTCCAGAAGAAAGAAGAGTCAATTTCGTAGTTAGGGCGAATAAGGACAAAAAAAGGGGATAGAAGAAGTCGACAACATAATGTCCTGGGAGTAATGATCGCCTACAGTGCCCATGTCCCTGAATTGCCATTCCCAACGTTCCTCTTGTGTATCATATCCGTGGAGGCTAAGTAACAGACAAAAAGAAAGATCAAGACCATTCAATTATCACATTGCAGAGTAAAAAGTCGTTCCGACAGGCGTGGCTTCCCTTACAGCAGCAAATTCGGCGATTTCTAACAGCAGCCTTGCTTCGACTCAGTATCCGGAGCCTTGCTGACTTCAATCGTGCGGCCACTGCTGAGGGGGGCTTGTCCGGAGTCACCATTATCCAAAGCCTTGCTGGAGACGATGCGGTAGATTTCTAGTAACATGTGAGTCCAGTGGGACAAGGAGCCAGGAATAGAGGGAGCGAACCTGTGAGGATGTTTTGGAAAGCAAGCTCAACATTGCTTGCGTCGAGCGCAGATGTTTCGATGAAAGAGAGGTTGTTCTCGCCTATTGTGTTCCGAGCAGATGTAAGTAAATCAATCCCTGAGTGGCTGCCTGGACAATGAACGTACTCGCAAATTGCTTAGCCTCATCTGTTGGCACGGCGCGAAGGTGTCTCAAATCACTCTTGTTCCCGACGAGCATGATGACGATGTTGGAATCAGCGTGGTCACGGAGTTCCTTCAACCAGCGGTTGACATTGTCGTAGGTCTGGTGTTTGCTGATATCGTACACAAGAAGGGCACCGACGGCGCCACGGTAATAGGCAGATGTAATGGCACGGTAGCGTTCCTGACCGGCAGTATCCCAGATCTGCGCCTTGATTGTCTTAGAATCCACCTGGATTGAGCGGGTTGCGAACTCGACACCAATGGTAGACTTGGAGTCTAGGTTGAACTCGTTGCGGGTGAATCGACTCAGAAGGTTGGACTTGCCAACACCGGAATCACCAATAAGCACCACTATTCAAACGATCGTCGCGGATTAGTTACGGGCCCTGTTGAGGGGAGTAGGATGCCGAAAACGTGAAACTTGCGGCGACTGCGCGGGGAAAGTGGCAAACATTACCCTTGAAGAGAAACTATCCCGGATGCTCAGATTAGTGACATGGAAAGCTTGGCGTAGATAGCGGATGATAGACGAGTCACTCACATCATATTCATCGTTAGCCATGGTGGGTAAGTAGTATGTGAGCTACTACGCTCTACAAAGAGTTTCTGAGGAGATTCGACGTGGCCGACTGGAGGTCGTAGGAACTCTAAGGGACAGTGGGACCAAATTAAGCCCTGGGGACGTAAGACGGTCAGTTCTAGGATCGATGAACAGCCTAGAGGCAAAATAGATTGCAGAGAAAAAGTAACACTCACAGGGGAAAAAAAGAGCAAAGTGGGAAGAAAGATAGGAGTTATCCTGATGCCTCTGGGGATGAAGCGTCCTTGTCTCCCTACTGCTTCCCGTGCTTGTTGCGGTGCCGAGTTGACGCTGCCTATTCGAGACTAGTGGCTTATCACGTGATTATCCCCTCTGCCTAGGCTACAAAGAATGTCTGTCGTTGATCTGTATCAGAAGATACAACCAGGTTGAAGGTTTCTCATCTGTTGAACAGAAAGAAAAGTCCTTTAAGAAGTGTCTCAGAAGAAGGGTCCTTCCCTGATGTGCTTGTTGGCATCTTCTGTCGTATTCTTAGTCGAATCTCTCTTTCCCGTTCGATTCTCTACTTAAACGGTCTGAAACACCCAAAAAGGAAAACCAAATACTTTACAGCCCATGAGACTTCAGAACGTCATGGTAGACTCTGTCACTTCTCCTTGACGTCTTATCAGCCGGATTGAACTACGTTCATCCTTCATCAGATCATTTTAATATCGATTCTTTGGGCCCTTCTGGTCTCGTTGCCATCGCTCTAGATTTCGATATCTCGCTCCTGTATGCTCAGATGGGAAAGACCATTTCAGCTTGATGTCGACATGAGCGACGATGATGATATCTCGATTACGTCAACTGCACCCAGTGAGCAGGAGTCTGAGTATGAAGTAGAAACTATCTTGGCTGAGCTCGAATTTGACGATGGCATCAAATATTTGGTGAAGTGGGCCAATTACCCTATTGAAAGATGCACATGGGAACCCCCCGAATCCTTTTGCAATGAACAGACTTTGATCGACTGGAATAAGAAGAAAAAGGCAATTGCGGAAGGGAAGCGTCCGGCATTCGATTTTGTCAGTTTTGAAAATCATCTAGCTGCCCTTGAGAGGGCAAAACATGACAGGAAGCAAAGAAGAGCCGCAAAAAGGAGACGTCTGGGGCTTGACGGAGCCCAGCAAAGTCATCCTGCTGCGGAGAGTCCTTCGAGTAATAACGTGCCTGACCCAAGTATTCCTGACGTTATTGGCTCCAATGATATCGAAGTCGACAGATCAAAGGCTTCATCCGGACAAACTCCCCGAACGAATGCCAGCACAGGAAGTGCGCAAGTACAAACTCAGCAACTTCCAAAGAGACCACCTCCACCTATCTTGTTTGGAACTGCTCCGGCTCCCACGCGCCCGAAAAGGATGAACAGTTCTGAGACGCCGAAGCTGTTCAATTTGTCGACCAGATGGAAGTACGAGAAGGCGAAAGCTTATGAACCACCTCCTGATATGAACAAGCTGCAACTCATTCGACCATCCGACTGGCCAGCCAGGACTGGGCTCGCCGCGACAAAGACAGGGCTGCACAGCGTCAGCTCACCTAGCGCGAAGAATGACGCCAGTACCGCTAGGCTCGGATCTCATAATGTGATCTCACCCACGCAGGATGACTCAAGCTTGGCGAAGCTAGGTCCTCATGATGCTAGCTCGCCAAATCAGGGTGACTCGAGTAGCGTAAAGATTGGATCACACAACATTACTTCGTCGAAGCAATTCAATGCAAGTCTGGTGAAACTAGGCTCACATAATGTGAGCTCTCCTAAGTCGGTTACTTCGGGGAGACTAGGCACGCATAATGTCAGCGGGTCAAATGGAATCAATGACAGTGCATTGGATCCACAAGCGCAAGATGTCGGTTCGCCAATGGACCTTGATTCGGATAAGGAGACTCAAGGCCAAATTGGCCAAACTCGGGAGAATTGGGCCCTGAGTTCACCGAAACGCGCACAGGATGGGTCATACAAGCCGAACGACAGCGTCCCAGACACATATAGACCAGCGTGTGGTGCGGATACGTGGAGACCAGACCGTCCACTGCCAGATAGCGGGAGTGGAAGCCAACCTTCCGGTGACAGTGTGAGACCCAATACCAGCCCCCCAATCCATCGCCATGAACTCGAAGACTATCCGATACCCAAGCTTCCAACAAGGGAACCAAGACCGGGGCCTACATCGTCAAGAACCGCCAACAGTACTTCTGGAATCAGGGTGAGCTCCTTGTCTATCTTTATTACGGCCCGAGAAGAAGGAAATCGGTTCGGCCAGGCTATGCGGTCTGAGTCCCGAGAGTCGAAGCAGGCTCATGTCTACCAAAAGGGGCAGCCGAATCAATGTCTGGTTTCAACATACATGCAACCTAGAAGAGTATAATGTCCTATGTGAGAACACGGTAAGTCAACTTTTCCGACTTTTCTTCCCATTCGCTGCTCTGAAGACTCTGTCAAAGTTTGCTTCTTCTGCTTTGCGGTCTGGTTTTGTTTACTCCCATTAAAGCGCTTGTTGCTGACCGGGAGCAGAAAAACAATAAGAAGTACTCCGATGCTTGGATAGAAGGGTTCGATGATACTGAGCCGAGCATCTACAGAATTGGGGAAGAACTTCGTCGCAATGAGCTTGTGGCCATATCATATCCAGCTCCAGACAGCAGGATGTCGAACGTGTTACTTGCCTATTCCCCGAAGTCGTCAGACTTTGCGTTTCTCAATGCAGATTCTGCCCATTTTAGAATCCCTGAGGACGTTTTCCTAAATGTCGCAGTCCGAAGCCAGTTGCGAGGGTTTGACACCATCACTGCTCGGCGTGAAAGAAAGCGGCTTCATGCTGAGTCACGCAAGCCAGTACCCCTCGCACTCGTAAATGCCCCAGATGCTCCAAGCAGAGCTCCCCCCACCGGAGCTGTGGCTACTCGGCCTCGTTCTGTGGGCGTTCCTAGTGTTTCGGCTCCGGAAGCCGTGAGACCTGTCAACGACATGTCCAACCTTCGCATTCAAATTCCGAGGGATAGCAAAGTCTTGCCACCAAAAGCATTTGAGGCGTCAGACGTGACAAAACCGTCCGATGCAGCAGATGACTCAGGCTCAACAAACACAACTAGTGTAACCCCCAAATTGTCAACTCAACACTCTGGCGCAGACAATTTGCAAGCGGCACCCCAAAACACTCCGCGAGAATTAGAGCTTGTGAATGTAGCTGTACAGGATCCCGCACAAGAAACCGGCGCACTATTATCAACATGGCAGGTTCCATTGCCGAAACACAGAGCTCCGCAACCAGCAACCGAGACCTCACCTATGAGCTCTGAGGCTCGAACAGCGCCAGAGGCAGGCCCTGAATTTCCTCGCCTCAAACACGACGCGAGTATGGCTCAGTCTATTGCAGGCGATGTTAAATCGCCGTCGCAGCCGTCTGAGAATACTCTTGATCTAGATGCGGTCTTCAAAGACCAATTTGGTGTTACTTATGATCTCCTGGCGACTGTGAACGATGCTGAGAAGCCTACGAAGGCTCAAGTATTTTACTTGATGTTTCCTGCCGGGTCCGAAGTAGTGCAAGAAGAGTACGAAGTTATGCACGAGTTTCTGAGAAGGCACAATGCTGTGACTTATTCAAACCGCCTTCCGGAAGATTGGGAGAGATTTGCACGCACAATACACAAGGGGGTTGTCTTGGTCAGTCAGGAAGCACCCTTCACTAATAATCCAGCAGCTGCGCTGACTGAATGAAGGCTCATGAAAGCTTTATGAATTACCATGCCCTACCTTTCATCAGGGACCTGATCCATCGAAGCGTCAGCTTCTGGAGCCTTTCTTTAAGAAAGCCACTACAATACGCTGACCACCTCACGTACTTCCAGCGCGTATTCCCTCATGGTGGTGTCATCCTAATCACAGAAGACTTCATGCTTAGGGACCCAGACGCCACCATCATCATCCTGGCGTGGCTAAAGGATTGGATAAAGCAGAAATTCCCAGGGAGTTGGAAGATCATGTTCCGTCCAAATATCCTGAACTGGCTCCTGAAGCAATCTGAATCGAAGGATCCATTCAGGCAGGGAATGTAAGTCCCTTTTGTAGCCTTGTCGCTTTCTCCTCTCTAACCTGATGCCTCAGATGGTTGAGCATGTATGCTCTGATCCTTCAATTAAACAGTCGCGTGGCAGGCTCAGAACGGGCAGGTGGAAATATTCTCAGCGGCGCCGGCGGTGAGCACAACGAAGATCCTGTGATTTCACTCGACGCCATCCCTCTCTATGGTTCGCGCACCGAAGATGATGATGCGAATATACCGAAAGGCCTCACACAGGAGCAAAGGAATACCGACCACCTTGGAGAATTCTTTGCCGGTTGGGCAATAGTCAACAACCACAGGTTCAGACGGTTCGTCATGCTCACGGCAGTGAAACCTCTACCGAGATGGGAATCCTGGCAACATATTGAGATCAGATATGGCGCAAAAGATTTTATGAAGACCTTCAAGGTCGAGTACAAGACGTACTGGGACAAAGTGAAGCCTAGGCTAGGGAAACCAGGTCTGTCATCGGAGGCGAAATCCCAGAACCACAATCCTGCCTATACACCGCGGACGCCTGGAGCGAATGGTCCTTCAGCCGATGGGTTGGATGTCTCGAGTGTCGGCGGGTTTTCTCACGGCCCTTCCAGGCTGAAATACCCTCAACCATACCAATGATCTAAAAATGCTTTACTTTTGCTTTATGCGTGACGGGCAGTTTCATATTCTTGTTTTTATGCCCTTCGGTTCAAGGGGCGATTGTATCAGATACCCATGTAGTAGCAAGGTTTTACATCAAAGGTCAACAGAATAATGGCCAGTGATCAGAAAGACAATGAGAAGAGGCAAGATCCCCATCCTTCGCTAGATTCCAGAATTTCCCAAACGCCGTACGGACTTAGCATATAAAACCCAATCGCTCGCTGCTTGAAGTTTGCCTGGTCAGATCCATGACTATGTAGGTATCGCATGCCGGCTTCGTATATACACATAATCAAAACTCGCTTAGATGACCGTCAGGTCACACAGCGTATCTCGCCTAGAATCCCGCTGCACGAGTCCGGTACTCTCGAAAATTGGCGATACTAGGTTGATTCTCAGACCCTTGACCTTTTGTTTTCTTCTCTTTCTCGCTCTTCTCCCTCCGCATTTTCTCCTCCCACTTGCTCTCCTCCGCTGCAATCAAGGAATGAAAACGGCCGCCCTGGCCTCGGGAAAGGTATATCGGTTTCTCCTTACGATCTGCTACGGCCTCTGTAATGAGCACAAACTTGACGCTTGACCCGGGAGTCTCGAACATGGCATCGCTTAGAATATTTTCCATCTCCGTGCGGAGGGCGCGTGCCCCAGTTCCCATGGTGAAGGCGTTGGCAGCGACCTTGTGCAGGGCTGGGGTTGTGAAGCGGAGCTCGATGCCCGAGAGGGAGAAGAGGGTGGTGTATTGCGCCAGCAGTGAGTTTCGGGGTTCTGTTAGAATTCGGACAAGTAAGGGTTGAGACAGTGCTGAGAGTGCAGCGGTGACCGGGATGCGGCCTACTAATTCTGGAATGAAGCCGTAGTTTTGCAGATCTGTGGGGTTGAGAAGGTCCAGGGCGTTGAAATAGGGTGGTTCGCCGTCTGGTGATGTGGGTGAAGCCGCTGTGAAGAATGGCAGGTGTTTCTTGTACAAGGCTTCTTCTTCGGATCCTGGTAGGATGGGAACAGGCTGGTTGGATGTAGTGGCGAGCGGATCTCCGGGTCGATGAGTTGGACTCGACTGTGAGCGGACAGGTTGGCCGAATCCCATCGACCCGTGCGATATCCGGTCCATGATGACCTTATGAAGTCCCACGAATGCGCCTGAGAATATAAACAGAATGTTATCAGTGCGCACGTTGTATATTTCCCCTTTCTGGGGGCGTTTCCTGTAGGAGATTGCGAGAACGGAGGGTTCCCTAAAGGGTTGTTCGATGGATATGAGCTCGGGGAACCACTTGTTCGGTGAGCATTCCTCTCCTGCTTCGCTTGAACTTGGACTGTTGTGCCCTCGATTATTTTAAGCAGTGCCTGCTGCACTCCTTCGCCACCGACATCTTTTCCATGACTGACTTTGGCGGCCGCTATTTTGTCCACTTCATCCAGCACGATAATCCCCGCTCGGCTTGCTCCACGTCATAGTTCGCAGCCGCGAGAAGTCGGTGAACACATACCTCTGCATCCTCTCCGATATATCCTGCCTGCGTGAACGGCGTACAGTCAGATACGCTGAATGGCACCGAGAGAACTTTTGCAAGTGTTTTGGCCATCAGTGTCTTGCCCACCCCCGATGGTCCTAGTAAGAGGATGTTGGATTTTTCCAATTGAAGTGGAGACGAGTCGCTAAGAAGTGCTTCATCGGGATTGGACGTCGTTGACTTGGGACTGGTGGGTAAACGAACGGTGCGTTGCTGTCCCGGAAACTCGTCTTTTCAATGTTTAGCGTAGTTTGAGAAGGATATCAAGGGATATAAGGCTTACCCTCTGCAGGATGATGCTCCAATGCTTCTCTCCGGGCTCGCCTTGCTAGCAACTCCGCGTTCTCTTCCTCCCTTCGTTGAAGCTCTTGCACTCGCTGGTAATGGTTGAATACAGCGACACTGAGAATCTTCTTTGCTCGATCTTGTCCAACCACAAACTGATCTAGATATTGTTTCAATGCCTTGGGTGTTATGCGAGGAGCCCCAAACGCCGGAGTAGACCCCAGAGGGCCAGCCGTTGGTAACCCAGCTTCATAGATGCCAGACCACGGCTGGTTTGTAAAATCCGATCTGTTAAACTCGGAGGATGTGGGAAAGGATTGAGCAGAAGATGTAAAACCGCGACTTGCCCGACAAGTCTGGCAGATAGCTAAATGCCGATAACGGAGCAGGGAACTGCGATGTGCTCTTGAGGCACATTTAAGGCCATGAGCGCGAATCGGTAGTCGCAGCATCACCAGGCGCCAGATTATGTAGAAAGATCTCAGGAAGAGTTCCAAGGCAGATAAGTGTATCGCAAGTTAAGTCTATGAGATCTGGCGAAGCAGCGAGGATGACGCTGATAAGATGATGGGGAATTGATAGCTTTCCCCGCAGCACGTGAGCGATATATCGGCCGACGGTATCCGACGGGCCGTCGCGTTGTGATCACTCTACCCAAGAAGACGGCTCCATGCAAGTCTGAAATGGCAGTGAAATGGCAGCACATATGAGTCCAACAAGGAAAAGGAAAGATTCCTACACGTGATTGATTCGGTGGTTAAAGCGAAGGTGAAGCCACATATTTTAAACAGTGCAGAAGGGGAAAAAAAGCCCCAGTAGCCAGACGAATCATTTCTAATATTTTCAGAAGTATTCTCGACACTATCTCGTGCTGCCATTTTGTCATTGTGTGTAATGACTATTATGTCCAAGGTTGGCTAGAATTGCAGTCGACGAACTGATTCAAGATCCAGCCAAATCTCAGGGGTCTGTCGAGTTTTTGAGTCTCAAGGCCGAGATTTCGGTGATTCAAGACTAAGAGACACCCCCTGAGCTGCTTCTAATGTGGATATGAGCTTTATGAGCGCATCCTATGGAACCTGAGCGGCGCCCGCTTCGGCAAAGCAGCATTACCGCCGACAGGTGCGATGAAAAGGCGTCCTCGCACAGCTCGATCCCAGTCTTATGGGGCATGGACTCTATGACCGAAATAGGTCACAGTTTCGGGTGGAGGTCGATCGAGGTTTTCATCCGTACAGAACACGACAGGTGTGATTGGCCAAACACCCTTCCGTAGAATATCGACATACTTAAAGTGCGCTCATGGCTTCGTCTTAAAAGCGGGCTGCTGCTCCATTGTCTGTGAGATAAAGTTTCGCAATGCTGCCCACCGATTCGAAGTGGAGCTGGGTTCATTCTGAGTCTCTGTGACGGGTTGCACATTCGTTTGAATGGTCGCCATCTGAGCCATGTTCTTCGCGAAGCGATCCCGTTCCACCTTCTCTAGCTTCTGTCTGCGTTTCATCGCACCTGGCTTATGCTGCAACGTTTTCTGCTTGATGATGTTCACTTGACTGCTGGGATCGTTCATTTCCGTTTCTGTTTCAGGCAAGGCATCGGCAAGCGACTCGAGATTGGCAACGAGTTTCCTTGATGCGCGACGCCGCTTAGGAGTCTTCTGGGAGCTCTTCTCAATCTTTGATACGAAGCTGGCATGTTTGATTATACGCTTATCTCTTTTTGTTGTTCGAAAGTCGTCTTCGAAATAAGCCGACTTGGTGGATGGAACGGCACCTTTTCCACCAGAGGGCTTGTTGGTGGTGGTGGCTGACTTCTTGTTCGGGCGGATCGGAGCCTTGAGATAGCATACTGGTTAGATTTACATGCAAATTGGGGCAACAAGAGCCTTACCATGTCGAAAAACAAGATTTGGTGTGTATCCAAAAGTATCAAGCAAACTATGGAAAAGGTTGCTATGATTATCGAAGCTGGAATTCTTTTCTCCCTGCTAATCCTGTTGTGGGCTAGTGTAGATAACCCCCATGTTCTAGATAAGCCCCTCATTCACCGCCCACATGATTACCTCAACAGTGCGTGATTTTCCCCCCCCCCTTTGAGTGGACCCCAGTCTAGTAGTCCTGCTAAATCACCTCCGTCGTCCCTGGTGTGACCCTAACAGATAATCCCTACTGGCTAGCCAACCAACGAGACGTACGGCCACATAGATAGTAGGTACTTTCCATGCCGACCGAAAAATTGAACACTATCAACTTATGAAATTTCGATTTCCCTTGGCACCCTAGCCGCCGACTCGGAATCGGAACAGGAAGATCCACATTCACGGGTACCAAACCCGCCTTGTCCATTTCGGTCTTACATCAGAGGGCCACCGCAAGGTCTCTCTGATTGAAAGAATTGCCATTCGCCTTGCAGAACTCCGTGGATGCTGTCTTCAGTGCGCCTTTTATCTCGTCGGACCTGCTTTCCTGAGTCTCGTGCCACTGCCATCTTGCCTCGGTACCCGGCTTCTCAGTTCCTAACCACTCGAATCATAAGAAAAATTTCGCCTCTGTCGATCAGTTCGAGGGCTTTTAAACCGCTAGTTCTCAGTCCTGTTCGGTTCATGTCTGGTAGCAGTATCGGATCTACCTTCAACCATACGATCGAAGCATCCAAGATGAGCTCTCTATCACCGCACCCCGGAAGCACAAGGTCGCCGTAGTCGGCTCAGGGAATTGGTATGCTTATGATATGCTGGGTGCGGTTGAATGCGAAATGGGAAGCTGACTCCATTTTCTTGAATAGGGGCACTGCTATCGCTAAGATTGTCGCCGAGAATACAGCCACCCACGACTCCATCTTCGAGAGAGATGTTCAAATGTGGGTATTCGAGGAGAAGGTTGAGATCCCCAAGAATTCCCGGCACTACGACCCATCTTCGCCCTTGTGCCAGGGACCCCAGAATTTGACCGAGATAATCAACAAGACACATGAAAATGTCAAGTACCTACCCGGAATTGCCCTTCCTGAGAACATCCGCGCCAACCCATCTGTGGTAGATGCTGTGAAAGACAGCACCATCCTGATCTTCAATCTTCCCCACCAATTCATTAACAAAACCTGCGAACAAATCAAGGGCAAAATTTTACCCTATGCCCGTGGTATTTCCTGCATCAAGGGCGTCGACGTGACTGAGGAGGGCGTCAGTCTGTTTTCTGAGACTATTGGCAAGACACTAGGAATCTACTGCGGCGCCCTTTCTGGTGCGAACATCGCCAATGAGGTTGCCCAGGAGAAGTGGTGCGAGTCGAGCATCGCTTATGACCCCCCACACCTGGATTCTAAGGCCCCGTCTCCGAATCGATCCCCCTCTGCATCCACTGTGGATGTAGTTCACTTTGAGCACAAGGATGTTTCTGGCCAGCTTTCGCAGGTTAAACTGCAGCCACTGCCGTCCGAATACCCTCCCGTTGACCACGCCGTCCTGAAGACCCTCTTTCATCGCCCCTATTTCCACATTAGGGTAGTGAGTGACGTTGCAGGAGTCTCCCTGGGGGGTGCTCTGAAGAACGTTGTCGCTCTCGCTGCGGGATGGGTCGATGGCATGGGCTGGGGCGACAACGCCAAAGCTGCAATCATGCGAGTCGGCCTTCTTGAAATGGTCAAGTTCGGTGAAAAATTCTTTGGTGCCACTGTCGACACGAGGACCTTCACCGAGGAGAGCGCAGGGGTTGCCGATTTGATCACAAGCTGCAGCGGTGGGCGTAATTTCCGCTGCGCCAAACTTAGCATTGAGAGGAAGCAGCCCATCGACAAAGTCGAGGAGACGGAGCTCAATGGCCAGAAGCTTCAGGGTACTTTGACCGCTGTTGAGGTGAACAAGTTTCTGAAGAAACAAGGTCTTGAGGACGAATTTCCTTTGTTCACTGCAGTTTATCGTAAGAGCCCCTTGTACTTTGTGCCGCTTTATTTGTTCCCAATTACTAACCGGTCATAGGCATTCTTGAGGGCTCCATGTCTGTTGAGTCTATTCCATCTTATATTGAGCGGTAAATACCTAGGATCTGATGTCATGTCTTTTTCTTTTGTGCTCATGTTTCTCTTCCTTGTGACAGCAAACCGAGTTCAGTACCTAACGGAGTGCATGGGGTCAACGGTGGTGGCGCCAGTCAGGCTGTCATGGCCAGGTTATGATAGCCTGCTTTGGGGGTATGGGAAATAGTAATATCGTTTCCTTGGGGGCATTGTTTCATCTGGTAAATAATTTGTCACGGTCTACATTCAGCGCATAGAACAGATGGAAGTTGAGCATAGAAAGCAATACAGTTCAATCTTAGTCACGTTCGATTCCACTTCTCTACTTTGAAACTGGAAGTCTCTATCGATTGCTTTATATTACTACGCATTATCATGACATAGAACTGCATAAACCCCTGGTTCATTAACAATCCCAAACAAGTATCTAGGGGTGAGATCTGCGTCGAGGAGGTCCGTGGATCGAGTTGTTGCGTTCCAGACCCTGTGGCTTGAATGTTTTTCCCGCTGCCAGGGAATGGCTGGATCATCTAGCATGATGTCACACGGCCCCGCGGGGCTTGGGTGACTTTCAGATTTCAGGCACATCCGTGGAATCGTTAATAAGCTGCACCCATCCTTTCTCCCCAATTGACTTTCCACTTGTATCTCTTTCAATTTGCTCATTACTATTTATCTGTTTGCGGTGTTCCTCGGTGGCTTCTTTTGAATCATCCACCCAAGTCGGTACACCGACAACTCTCCGCAGGCCAACACCGGAGGCTACCACGCGGAGCGACTGTTCTGTTAGGGTATTCGGGATCAGGAAAAACGGTCTCGAAGTGACTGTCAGAAGTAATGGCCTCTCCGCAGCAGGTTTACCTGCTCCCTTTGAAAGATGATGGCTCTCCAGATGTGCCTGGGGGATACATATATCTGCCACCGCCCAGTGACCCTGCATATATATTACGTGTCGTGATTGAGGGCAGCAGTTCGATTTGCAGGGAGGGAACACTATGGGTGAACATTCCCGAGAGTGGCAAGCCATTCGATCGCTCGGTATTTCGGAGCTTCAGGTCAGAAGAAGTCCCGACCTGAAAAGAAGCCCGTCATATGCCTAATTGTGTTGCAGATTGGAGCCAGATTTCAACAAGAATATACAGATCGATATTCCTATCACCTGCCCTGGATCCTTTTTGTTCTACATCACATTCACACCCCTACCTCGTTTCTCTGTCGACCCTGTTCCGACCCCTAAACCAGCGAAAACACCTTATTACTACGTCGATGTCGCACCGAGGTTGACGCTTCGTGGTAAAGATTTGCCTCTCAATGCGCTCTCTATATTCTCCGTGTTGTCTAAATTCATGGGCAAATATCCCACGGATTGGGACAGACACTTGAATGGTATCAGCCAGCGCAACTACAACATGGTGCATTTTACACCGTTGATGAAGCGCGGAGCTTCAAATTCTCCATATAGTATCTTTGACCAGTTGCAGTTCGACGGCGGTGCTTTCCCCAACGGCGAGGCAGATGTCGCGCAAATGATCTCGAAAATGGAGAAGGAATACGGACTTTTGTCATTGACCGACGTTGTGTGGAATCACACTGCTCATAATAGCAAGTGGCTCGAGGAGCATCCAGAGGCTGGTTATAGCGTGGAGACTGCACCATGGCTTGAGGCAGCTTTAGAATTGGACACCGCTCTATTGAATTTCGGTCAGGACCTTGAGAAACTAGGTTTGCCCACTGAGTTCACGACTGTGGATGACTTGTTGACTGTCATGACCGCACTACGAGAGAAGGTGATCAGTGGCATCCGTCTCTGGGAGTACTATATTATTGATGTCAAAGCCAACGCTGGACATATCCTAGAAACCTGGAAAGCTACTGGTTTGAAAGACTCCGCGTCCGAGAAATATGCGGGAGTGGATATCGGCGGATTCAAAGATTGGCCTTTGAAGCAGCAGGCAGATCTCATACGCCAACATGCCATTCCTACGATCAAGCAGGTTTTGGGACGGTTCGGCAGAGCGATTGACCCTGAATTCGGGTCTCTGATCCTGACTACTATGTTCGGGAAGTATGACTCTTCAAATTCCGATATTGCCTCGATTGAGACGGCGCTGGCAACTATACTGGATGAGGTCAATCTGCCATTCTACGAGGAGTACAATGCAGACGTCTCTGAAATTATGAATCAGCTATTTAACCGAATCAAGTACATCAGGATTGACGATCATGGTCCAAAACTTGGGCCTATCACGGACGAAAATCCTTTGATTGAAACTTACTTCACCAGGCTACCTCTTAATGATATCACAAAGAAGCATAGCCCCAAAGCACTAGCCCTTGTGAACAACGGCTGGATCTGGAATGCGGATGCTATGCGGGATAATGCTGGTCCTGATTCGAGAGCCTATTTGCGTCGTGAAGTCATTGTTTGGGGCGATTGTGTCAAGCTCAGGTATGGCTCATCTCCCGAGGACAATCCTTTCCTTTGGGACTATATGACCAAGTACACCCGCCTTATGGCCAAATACTTCTCCGGCTTCCGGATCGATAACTGCCATTCAACGCCGCTGGCAGTTGCAGAATATCTGTTGGATGAGGCGCGTAAAGTCCGGCCAAACCTTACAGTCTTTGCCGAGCTCTTTACGGGGTCCGAAGAAGCGGACTACATCTTTGTGAAGCGGCTTGGTATAAATGCTCTGATTCGCGAGGCTATGCAAGCCTGGGGTACCGGCGAGCTAAGTCGGTTAGTCCATCGTCATGGCGGCCATCCCATAGGCAGTTTCGATGTCGAACTGCCGTCAGCGGGAAGCAGTCATGCGATTGCCTCCGCCGGGGTCAACCAGAACCGAGAAAAGATCTCTCATATTCGTCCCTGTCCAGTTCAAGCGCTTTTCATGGATTGTACACATGATAACGAAACACCAGCACAGAAACGTGATGCAAGAGACACATTACCCAATGCTGCTCTCGTTTCAATGTGCGCCTCTGCCGTCGGAAGCGTCATGGGCTATGACGAGATATATCCCAAACTTGTGGATCTTGTTCACGAAAAACGGCTATACTTTTCGGAGTTCTCGGAATCGGCCGAGGTTCATCATGACTGTGAAAGCGGCGGAATTGGGGGTGTCAAGAAGCTGTTGAATGAACTTCACACGATGATGGGAGTGGAGGGATATGATGAAACGCATATCCACCATGACGGAGAATACATCACCGTTCACAGAGTGCATCCCAAAACGCGCAAAGGGATTTTCCTGATCGCTCACACTGCTTTCCCGGGGCATAGTACCAATGCGGTTCTTGCGCCCACTCATCTCGTTGGAACGCAGGCCAA